CCTCCATACCTACTAGGTACCTACAGAGGTTGTAAGTCTGACCACTGAAAGGGAGACAGAAAAAGTATTCCGAAGCCTATCGATAAGCCAGGCGCATCCAATGGCGGCGGGCAACTCCGGCCTTAGAGCTTGCTGTCTAAGCCCATATTTTGCATTACATAAGGTGGCGGATGACCGAATTTCTGCGCCTCAACTGCAAAAGCCATCAAAGTTGACCTAGAGCTACCCTGCGCAACCATCACTTAACGTATTCGCGATGCCGCCCCAGATCAAGCAAGATCTCAACCGCTCAGGATGGGAAACCACCGACTTTCCATCCGTCTGCGAGACATGTCTTCCTGAAAACCCTTATGTCAAAATGCTCAAAGAGGATTATGGCGCGGAGTGCAAATTGGTAGGTCAACCACTGATCTCTTTCGCGTTCTCGCATGAACGCAGCGCTGACATGATGCCAAATAGTGCACTAGACCTTTCACTGTATTCGCATGGAGCGCCACGCGCGCGAATGGCCGTAAGAAACGGACAAACATTTGCCTGACCTGCGCGCGACTCAAGAACTGCTGTCAATGTTGCATGCTCGACCTTTCGTTTGGGCTTCCTATCGTCGTACGCGATGCTGCCCTGAAGATGGTCGCTCCCGGCCCTCAGTCCGACATTAATCGAGAATACTTCGCTCAAAACAACGAACAATTGATCGAGGAAGGAAAGGTTGGGCAGGAGGAATACGAAAAAACAGATGAGAAGGCGCGTGAGCTTCTACGAAGACTTGCGAATAGTAAACCTTACTTTCGCAAGGGAAAAACTATCGAAGAGGGCGAGAGTTCCAAGGGCGGAAATGCAGTGGTTGGTGCTGGCCTCGGCGGACCTGGTCCTATTCGAACTCGAGACTCAAAGGCAGCGGCAGCTGCGGGAGCCAAACCCGGCGGTAAAAGTCGTCAGGTTTTCCCTAGTGCTGCCCAGCTGCCTCCGAGTCCACGCGATTGGCTGCCTCCTGCTGACAAGAATATTATGTCTCTCTTCGTGACTGGTATTGAGGACGATTTGCCGGAGTATAAGCTTCGGGACTTCTTCAAGGCTCACGGCAAGATCAAGAGCTTGGTCTGTTCGCACATGTCACATTGTGCCTTTGTGAACTACGAGACTCGTGAAGCTGCAGAGAAGGCTGCAGAGGCATGTCAGGGTCGAGCCGTGATTGCTGGATGCCCATTGCGAGTTCGGTGGGGACAACCAAAGGCGATTGGTACGATGGACAAGGACCAAAGAACCCAGATGATGCGTGATGCTAGGCAACGCCAGGGAAGCTCTCAGGCTGGAGGCTCGCGAGCGACCGAAGGTGGTGGCGGGTCTACGAACCGACCTGCAACTCTGCCTGCCCCTGTGGCAGCACCCCCAGGAGCTTCAGATACCCCTGCCTACGCTGCTCTCTCTGGAGACTAGACGAAGTTATGACCCTTTTTCTTTTATGTTGATTTTAAGGTAGATAAATCATCGCGTTTTCGGAGTTTGGCGCCAGGAAAAAGACATCAATGTGGACTTTAGCGAAAAGGATGGCTGACCACGGAGGTCGGTTTATGGTTGAGTTGAGGGAAGAGATGAGAGGGAAAGAGCAAGAACGTTGATTGCCAGTTCACTTGTTCTTTCAGGGTATCTTTGCAGTAATATTACAAGATTATACAATATGGCCGCGGATTTCCGCTCACTTTTTACTACCGCCGCAGCAGCCACCTCCGATTGTGCCTTTGCCGGCCGTTTTGATCGATTCATTATCGCCTCGCTCGATGTCCTCATGTATCCGCAGCTCTATAATTTTCAATTAGTTCATGCTTGTATATGCCCATGTCTGTTGCCAACATACTGTAGGAATCTTTGCCTTCTTCTATTCTGCGGCCTTGAACAACATTTTGGCGGAGGACTTTCGCAACCTCCTCGGCGTGCTTAATCGCTGCAGGAGCGTCAGACACATCGATCGAGGCCTTTTGACGGAACTCGTTACGGATCTGTAGCTGGGCTGCGGACAGAATTGGTGCGTCCCCTTGAGAAGCCAAACCGTCAGCATGATTGATCACAACATGAGGAGTATAGTATCCCAGGCAATTTCAATATGGTTCCATACCTTGGAAAGCGATGCGCGCCGCGCGCATTAGATGTCGGTAAGCATTTAGAGCCGGGACGGTGGTCATCTTGGCTTTCGGAAGTTCGAGAGAATGGAAATTAAGCAAATATGGAAACCGGTGTGGCGATTTGAATCTATCGTGAAGATGGCCTTGAAATCGAGAAGGGGAAAAAAAAGTCCGGTTCAACCTCAATGCTTCCGATGCCTTGAATGGCTGGGCGGAGCCTCTCATCTGGCCTGACCTTCTAGGGAGTTCCAGGGTGCTTTGGACACCTCTAGACGCTAGCCGCGGAACAGCTTAAGGCGCTCATCCCACTGTAACTGGTCTGGTTGCAATCATGTCCCACTGAAGCCTTTACCCCGCCAATAACGTCCATGGTGGGGGAAGTCGATTCAGCGCCATTGAAAAAAAAAATTGTTGCGGCCAAAAAACCATCGGTATTTCTCTCTTCACCATCAAACTCATACACCACATAATGGCTTCCGTAGCTACTGTGACACTTCCTCTCCCTGCCCTCCCCAGTGGCTGGGCTGCCGATAAGGACTTCAAGGCTGTCGGCAAGCTTTCTGACGCTACTCAGCGAAGCATCGAGCCTGTCGGCCCTCACTTCCTCGCCCACGCTCGACGAGCCCGCCACAAGCGCACTTTCTCCGAGGACGACCGTATCCAGGCTCAGGAGAGCGCCAAGAACGTCGAAGATGGTGATGTCAGCGACGAGAGCGAGCCGGAGGACCCCATGATGCTCCAGCGTGAGGCCAAGGACTGGAAGGTATGTGGTTCTTGATATGCACCTCGATTGCTTTTGTTAACGTTTTTTCTTTGTACCTAGACCCAAGATCACTACAAGATTCTCGGTCTTTCCAAGTACCGCTGGAGGGCTACTGAAGACCAGATCAAGAAGGCTCACCGCAAGAAGGTCCTTAAGCACCACCCCGATAAGAAGGCCGCCCAGGGTCGTGTCGACGACGATCAGTTCTTCAAGTGTATTCAGAAGGCTACCGACGTCCTCCTTGACCCCGTGAAGCGCCGTCAGTTTGACTCCGTCGATGAGGAGGCTGAAGTTGAGCCTCCCACTAAGAAGCAGCTCCAGAAGGCCGATTACTATAAGGCGTGGAGCAAGGTTTTCAAGTCTGAGGCCCGTTTCTCAAAGACTCACCCCGTCCCCTCATTTGGCAGTGCCGACGCCACCAAGGAGCAGGTCGAGGACTTTTACAATTTCTGGTACAACTTTGACAGCTGGCGAACCTTTGAGTACCTCGATGAGGATGTCCCCGATGACAATGAGAACCGTGATCAGAAGCGACACCAGGAGCGCAAGAACACCAACGCCCGCAAGAAGAGAAAGGCCGAGGATAACGCTCGCCTCCGTAAGCTGCTAGACGATGCTTCAGCTGGTGATGAGCGTATTAAGCGATTCCGACAGGAAGCCAGCGCCTCCAAGAACAAGAAGCGTCTTGAACGTGAGGCCGCCGAGAAGAAGGCCAAGGAGGACGCTCAGGCTGCCAAGGAGGCCGAGGAGAAGGCTGCTAAGGAGGCCGAGGAGAAGGCCAAGGCCGATCGCGAGTCTTCAAAGAAGGCCAAGGAGGCCGCCAAGAACGCCGTCAAGAAGAACAAGCGTGTGCTCAAGGGATCCGTCAAGGATGCCAACTACTTCGCTGCTGGCGAGCCTACACCTACTGACATCGACTCTGTCCTCGGCGATGTTGAGACCATCCAGGGTAAGATTGATCCCGATGAGATTGCTGACCTTGCTGGCAAGCTCAACGGTCTCAAGGTTGCCGACGAGATCAAGGCTGTCTGGGTCGGCGAGACCAAGAGGCTTGTTGAAGCTGGCAAGCTCAAGGCTGGCGACGTCAAGGTCTTGGCTTAAGCGATATGTTTGATTTAGTTGGGGAAAATGCATGCGAGGTTATCATGATAGGCTAGATAAAATAGATACGAAGATATGGATTCTAGATCAATATGACGAGAGCTGTAGACCGTGGTCAAGCTCTATTCATCATCATGTTAACAGGACGAGCTTAGTGTAACAAAACCGTAGGCAAGTCATAGCCGACGTTTGGGAATCTTATACTATTTATATGGTTCAGTGAGCTTGAAAAGTTCAACTTGATGAAGAGTAACCAAGTGATTCGTCACCGCTGATGGACTATCAACCAAATTTTGCACATCAACTCCTTGTTCATGGCACAGAACTGGGATCGTGTCATTCTTTCCTATTATACAACGCTATAAAAGCATTGCAAAACTTCCGGGTGATAGGTCCTGCTAGCGTAGATGAGTGAGGTTAAGCAGAAATGAAACTCCTCCTAGACTCTGGCTGACTCCCGAATTAATCATGCCTCCCTATCTAAGGACTGGCCTAACACCATCTCGTAATATAGACCTTTCTTCGCAACGAGATCTCCATGTCTCCCTCTCTCGACAATCTTGCCACCCGAGAAAACGCAAATGATATCTGCATCTCGGATCGTGCTCAATCGATGTGCAACGGCAACCGTTGTTCTTCCTTCGGCTGCTCGATCCAAGGCCTCCTTGACGACCTTTTCACTCTCTGTATCTAGAGCGCTAGTAGCCTCATCTAAAAGCAATAAACGAGGCTTACGGATAAGGGCTCGGGCGATTGCGATACGCTGCCTTTGACCTCCAGAGAGCGACAAACCTTGGTTGCCACAAGGTGTTGCGAGACCCTCAGGAAGAGAAGAGACGAACTCATATACGTTGGCTTGTTTACAAGCCTCAATAATATCGTCGTCGGATGGGTTACCCTCTTCGATACCAAGGGAGACATTGTCCCGAATTGAACCCTGGTACAGAACTGGCTCCTGTTGCACAAGAGCAATGTCTCGCCTGTGTAGTCGCCTGTCTTTTGTCCTGATATCCTGGCCATCTGCCTGTAACATACCACTGGTTGGGTCGTAGAAGCGTTCAAGCAGTGCAATCATAGTGGATTTGCCACATCCAGAGGCTCCAACGAGGGCAATCATTTTGCCAGATTCGATGGCGATGTCCACGCCTCGAAGTACTTGCAGTTTGGGGCGGCGAGGATAGGCAAAAGCGATCTTGTCGCAGGAGATGTCGATACCCTTCTCGGCCAAACTTTTCTCACTTCCAGGACTATTGTCCGCATTATCATGCAGGACCTTTTGGCGCCGGAGCTCGAAGATGTAGTTGATGGCAGTTCGTGCTTTCGTGATACTGGTGGTATACTGAAACAACATTGCTGATGTTTCCCCTGAGAAGACGACGGCAATAAAGATCACGTAGAATTGATCTGTTGTATACTCGCCCGTGGAAACAAGACGCCCACCGTACCTATCAGTCGTTAGTGTTACTCTTGCAATTTGTAGTCGAAAAATACTTACCAGAATCCTAGTGCCATGGCAAGGAAGGATGCAGACTGACTGAAGGAGTAGAAAAGCATCTTCCAACCCAGGCTTCCGATAGCCTCCTTAGCAAGGCCTTCTAAGGCATTGCTATATCGATCGATTACCGCTCGCTCCAATGCCAGTGAGGAAACGGTTCGAATGCCCAGGACCGCCTCCGAAGCCAGACCACTGCTTTTAGCAAACCGTCCGGCGGTGTCGTCGTCAAACTTGTATTCAAGTCGGATCCTTACATATCCCGAACCAACGAGCACCGGCAAGGCGGCAAGTGTAAGAACAAGACCCAGCTTATAGCCATAGGCGATGGCTAGTACTGAACTAGATAAGACGGTAACTAGGTTGATCATAATAAGTGATAGATTCATGGATAGTAATTCCTGGAGACTTGTTGGTTCAGCGGCCAGTCGTGAAACGAGAGCGCCAGTTCCACGGTCGGGGTCATCAAAGAAGATCATGTCTTGTCGGAGGGTGTTATCAAATAGTTCACTTCGATATACAGTCATGACATGCTAGAATTTGTTAACCTCAAAGATGCTAAAACTGATAGCGTATGGGACTTACTTGGCCGATTTCATTGCAAACCCAGCCAGCCACGGCATATATAACAAAGTTGGCAAGAGCGACTACAAAGAACATCAATGAGAAGAAGTTTGCCTCGCTGACGTCAATTGTCTCGAATGCCTTCATGGTTCTCGAAAAGAGGATAGCAAGTGCCGGATACGTAGCGCCTGGGATGGTATAAGTAAGCTTTACTTTCGTAGCGTTGGACAAACACCTTACCTCCCAATATGGAGATGATGACTAGAACGAAACAGGAGAACCACAATGGCCTCTGTTCCTTGATAACGAGCCAAAGTCCTGTAAGAAGCCCGTAATTGACTCCGTCTTTTCGTGTGATATCCGCTACAGCATGCTGAGAAGCATGGGATAAAACAGGATCAAGACCAGCAGCTGTTTCTTCCTTGTCTGTCTCACTTTCCTCCTCTTCTGAAGATTCGCCACCCTTTCCAAGATCCTGTAAGCGAACGAGACGCGAGTATGTGCCACCGCGCTGAATCAGTTCTTGATGGGAGCCCTTTTCGATTGTTTCGCCCTTGGCCATGACTATGATGTTGTCGGCATCACGAATCGTAGATAGACGGTGCGCAATGACAATCATTGTTCGGCCTTTGGCTACGTTGTTGAGAGCTTTCTGCACGATCTTTTCGGCGTTTGGGTCCAGAGCACTGGTGGCTTCGTCGAGCATCAAGACTTTGGGGTTGGAAATGATGCTGCGAGCAATGACTACACGCTGCTTTTGTCCGCCGGATAATGACGCACCTCTCTCGCCAATCCAAGTATCGTAGCCCTAACAGTACTATGGTCAGTAAAGGCTTTGGAAATTGGAGAAAAGAACGCACGTTGGGCAGCGTCTCGATGAAATCATGGGCATATGCGGATTTACAGGCCTCGACGACCATCCTTTGCTTCTCATCCTCTGGGAGGTCGACCATGGGTGTGCCAGTCAGACCATCTACAACATTCTGAAAGATGGTACCGCTGAACAGGGTTGGTTCCTGGATAGAAATTAGTATCATGTGTGATGTTTGGTGTCTTTGTCCATACCTGCTGAACCATTCTAATATTCGTTCGAAGCCATTGCAGGTTCAGGCTCTCAACAGGACGTCCATCCAGTGTGATTGATCCACGACTTGGCGTATACCAACGCTCCAAGAGTCCAAATATCGTACTCTTTCCAGATCCACTGGCACCAACAAGAGCCGTTGTTTGATCAGCAGGAATGTCGAGGTCAAGCGAGTGAAGAATCGTGACATTAGAACGAGAGGGGTATGCAAACTGGACCCCGCGGAATTGGATATTGCCCTGGAAGTCAGGTATGGTTTCACCTCGTGGGGATAACGCATCAATTTGCGACTTGCGATCAATCATTTCGAACATCTCCTGGGCAGCGGCAGTGGCTTTAGAGATGGCTATCGTCTGGGGCGCAATCTGAGTGAGTGCTGTAGCAGCAACGAGAACAGCAAAGATGACACTGCCAATGTCAATGGTTGGTTAGTTTAAGTAAAGTATGGAGATACTAGATATACTCACGTCACGACCGTTCCTGGCTGAGTGATCTCACCCTCCGAGTACATCCTCATTCCCTGCCAGAAAGCCAAGCCATATCCTGCAAAGATGCAGAAGAACTCAGTGGGGAACAGGACCATGTATACCCATGACTTTTTATGGCCAATCCTCCTTGCTTCCTGGAGGGTATCTGTGAAGCGTTTGGACAACTTTGGAAACGCCCAGAAAGCATGAGCTGTACGAATGGTCGAGAAGGCTTCCTCGGCCAAGGAACTTGACCTCGAGTAGACATCGAACATGGCATACTCGTACCCAGTGTCAATAGCGACACATATGATAGTGACGATCAGGTTCACTGGAATGATAGCAAGGACAATCAGAGTAAGCTTCCATTGAACGGCGAAGGCTACGATGAAAGCAGAAACGAAAGTCGAGAGGGCAGCAATTGTAATGCCAAACTTTTCAGAGATTCCTTGGTTGATGAGGTTGCCATTTGTTGTGATCTGGCCGGGTATCGAAGAGGCGGGAGAGTCAAAGAAGGCTACCTCTTGACGGAGGGTGCTCCGGACAAAGTCAACACGAAGCGATTTGGTAGTGTTGATGGCCGCAATGGAAACGAGTATCTGGAAAAGGTAAGTGTAAGTGTAAGTATAAGTATAAGCATCTGGTTGCTCAAATAGCGAATACGTGGTAAACATACCGTCCAAATATAGGTCAGAACAAACTTTGCGATAAAGAGATAAATAAAGTACAAGCTATAAAATGAAATTGGTTAGTACAGATAGATGACTGTAGTACCTATACTAAGCATAGTAGGTAGGTATAGACGGGCTGTCATGGATGTTTTACCTGTACTTGCTGACCTCAGTTCGGTATCCAGCAGGTGACAAGGAGCCAGTAGCGAAATTGGTAAAAACGTTGATAAACTTTCCAAATACAAGGTCCATAAGGGGCAGGATTGTACCTGCAGCAATCATACAGACAAATGCAACACCGTTGAGGATCCATCCCAAGCGATCATTGTAAGTAAAGACGCGCTAGAAATGTTGTCAGTCATGATACACCACGTATATTGACATTAATACCAAATAGTATTTGAAGCTTGAATCTTTCTTGTCTTCTTTTTTCGTATCACCCTCGAGCTCGAGTGTAACCGTCATGGTGTTGTTTGTGTTTGTGTTCGTGTTTGGCTCACTTGAATCGCCAAGTTGACTTTCTTGCTTCTTTTTATGCTGCTTAGCAGTCATCTTGAATTAGGTAGGTAGTGCACATAACATAGCAAACTCAAGACAAACGTCGACTCTTTTGAATAAAGGGTGTTTCTTGGCGTTGACGTTCATCGCAACCCGCGCGATACGGCTCAGCCAATGAGCTTATACAGCCACAGATGATCAATGGCATAGACTATGTACCTTAGTAGACTACCTACCTACCTAGAGTACCTAGGTACCTAGTAGGTTAGGCAGGTAGTAGTATCCATACAGTAAGATAATTTCAGACCGGGGCAATTATTCAGCCGCTTGTAGTCAATTTCGACTACCTATATAATACCTAACTGAATCAGATGCAAGTCATAAAGATGAAGCAGAGTATATACACAAGTTGAGTTATGGCAATCTGTGAGAAACTACCTCTGTACCTACCTACCTTAGGTGCCTACCTACCTACTCTATAGGTACCTAGGTAGGTACCAACGGATACGGATACCGTTAAACTAAGACGGAATAGAGTTTCGATCCATTAACCTCTCCTAAATCACAGCCACATTTGATTTTGATACATGAGGTTACAAGCCACAATTCACTGGTCGGTCCCCGCGCTTCCCGAACCCTTCCATTACCTTACTTTACTTTACTTGACTTTACTTCCCTTCCTCCCGTATCCGTACATCCCGTACATGATACATCCCATCTATACCGCGTCGTCAGCACCCATATTCTAGTCTCTCTCCAATTGCGAGCGGAGAAAATAAAAAGAAGAAAAAAAGAACAACGGAAGTTGTTCTCATCCCAAACCTCTACGTCATCTATTGGTCACATAAAGACAGAGAGCTATGGACCAGTCCAGTATCGGCCGAGGGCTCACCAACAACGGACCCGCGGCTCCCGATGATTCTACACGGCGTGCGGTGAGTGATACCCGTATATTCATTTTCATTTTCATATTCCACATTAGGCATTTTTCACCGAGTTGGTTGCCGTTTTGCTGTCTTGCGAGGTTCCACGGTTTGATTTCCTTGGTTGCTTGTTTGGCCTTGATAGGCGTATCAGTCTAACATGGATCCATCAATGTCAAGACTAACTGGATATCTCGTGAATTCAGTGTGATCAGTGTCGTATGCGAAAGGTAAGCATTTCCCATAGATGCCATTTCAGAAGCAGCGTAGCCTTAACCTTGGTGCTTCTGGATGCACAAACCGTTCAATATACCGTATTCCTATCAATAACGCCCCGTATGCAATAGATTCGATGCGATAAAGACTGGCCCTGTTCCAACTGCCGTACAGCTAAACGCTCTTGCACATCCACTGGTGTTGGTCAGAGACCCAAGGAGCCCAGGCAGCGAGTCCTCATCTCATCTCAATAGTTAGTCACCACTTGCACTGCACCCACCGAACTGCCATCGTATCTGTCAAATCAACTCACCACCTGAACATGCAAATCAGTTGCTAATCAGTGATATTCGCGCCCTCTAGTGAACGCAAGATTGATCAAATTGAAGTCCGTCTAGCTAACATAGAAAATCTCCTCCGCGATCTCTCCCAGCGCCCTACATCAACACCAGGTAGCAATGTCCACTTCCCCGTGACCCCTGGAGCATTTGTTGGCTTGGATGCCAACGCTGCGTCGACTGTCGGGTTCGAAAGCTCTGATGATGAGTCTGCTCTGGGTGGCGATTCTGTAATCGCCCAGCAAACGACGTTTGCGAGCGAACTCCTTGAGCATGCCGTGGAGCGCACATCTCTGCACGACGTCAGCCCCAAGATGTGGGAGGCCCTCGCCAACCTGAGACAGATAGCTGAGCTTCAGAGTCGACAATCTATCAGCCATGGCCCCAGGTTCCCATTGCAGCAACCGTTACCGCAAGGCGGTCTCGGCCAGCTCAAGATGCCCCCAATGGACGTCGTCGTCTCCTTACTGAAGCGAGCGAGAGGTACGTATCAAAGCATCTGCTCTCCAACCCACACGCTGACCTGGTGCCAGCTTCTCCGCCAGGGCTCTTCACGTTTGTGTGCTATTTCGTAGGAATAAGTGACTTTTCCAACCTTTGTCGAATGGTCTACTTCCCTACAGAAGACTTCACTGATGCCACATTTATCATTGTCAACGTCGGACTTTACTACCTGTTCCTTGAACAGCACGCATTGACTATCGACAACAAGGCTCTCAAGGACGAGTTTGCCTCTCATCTTCACACAAGTCGAGTGAACTTGGAAACTGGATTGGCGAACATGTCTCTCTTCATGTCCATCAAAATAGAGACAGTCCAAGCTCTATTAATGGGGGTGGGTGATCTTCTTCTGTCGAGAAGCCGTAGACGCTAACGGACCGATCAGACATTGTATGCAATTGATGTATGCAGGCCGTCAGTAGCCTGGCACCTCAATAGTGCTGCTGCCCAAATGTGTCAGACCGCAGGATTTCACCGCAAAGATCACTCTATGCGTAACCCAGAGGAAGCTGGCATCAGAGCAATTCTCTTCTGGTATATTTATACAACAGATAAAGCGTTGGCGATTCGACTCGGACGTGCGCCTCTTATCCAGGATTGGGAAATTGACATTCCGCGAACCTTCCACTTTGAGGGCATATTGAGTATTGAGACCAAGGCTGTTGCGTCCATGTGGCTAAGTGCTGCAACGCTTCAGGGCCAAGTGTATGAGCAACTGTAGGTATCGCTCCAAAGTTCTTCAGCTGTTGTGGCTAACAAAAAAAATCAGTTTCTGTCCAGCTGCATTAGCTCAGCCTCCTGCTGTTCTCGCTGAGAGGGCTCGAATGCTGGCGGCAAAGTGTCGGGAGGTAGAGGCGGAGGCGCACGAGAGCCGAGGATTGGCCATTGCCTCGCTTGAGAAGATAGGAGCCTCGCCCTTGGTCGATGTTCATGTCAAGGGTGACGAAGTCCAGTTGCTATCAACTATGACACTTATCTATCGAGCGATCCCAGCCCCTGAAGGCTCCTCCAGTAGGTTCTGTGACGAGTGCATAGAGACCGCAAGAAGGGCGACACATACGCATTTAGCATGTATGGAATTAGTGCGAAAAGATCCACATGCGAGGAATATATATGTCCACTGGTATGTTGATAGCAACAGTCATCCCTGGGCTCCGAGCACATCTGACAAACGTATAGGAACCTGGTCTTGACCCCGTTTGCCCCGTTTTTCGTTCTGTTCTGCTATGTTATAGAAACATCATCGGCAGAAGACCTACGTCTCTTGAGTGATTTCAGCACGTCCATTGGAGAAACCAGTGACGCTTCAGAGACAATGCAAAAGCTCTCGCGGCTATGCCAAGTCATGAGCAATGTCGCAGCACTTTATGTCGAAGCCAAGTCGCAACAGCAGGAAGACCAAACAATGGCACCAATCGGAGATGAGTTCGACGTTTATTTGAGCCAGCTCGGCTTCATGCCTGTGATGGATCCTAACATGAACACCGCTGGTGGCGACCCCAATGCTGCATTTCAGGATAACTCGCAGGTGGCGCAAATGGCAGACTGGATGTCTGGAAGTCGCAACTTGCTGGGATTGTTGGAACAGGACATATCACAACTAGGAGGCCCTCAGTGGCCACCAATGTGAAGGGCTGGGGGCGATGCGAGTCGATAGAAGAAATTCAGTGCACCGTCATTGTTCAGTGTCTGTTCGCGCTTTCAGTGATCAATAAGCTTAATCCGTGGGAAACCGCGGGTCATAGACCTCATAGCCCTCATCTTCGGTGTCGCTTTCTGGCAAAAGGTTCTTCTGGAGACCAGGGTTGACTGGTGCAGGCTCAAGAGCATTAGTCGATTTGGGTTTCTCAGTAGTTGATGCTGTTGATCCTGATCCACTGCTCTCCACTTTGGTGAAAGCACTCTTGAAGCCACTCTTTTTAAATCCGCCTTTCTTGAAACCTCCGCCTCCAGTACCGGTGGTAGATTCCTGGCCAGGGAGTTTGATACTTATTAGACCATCTGCTTTGGCCTCGGCCTTTCGAGCTCGTGAGCCCGCATTAGGATCACGAACCATGGCCTTCATATCCTTGAGGCGCTGTTTGTGACTGTGATCGTAACTGCCGAGATGAGCTTCATAGTCGTTCATCCGAGAATAGCCCTTAGAGCAGAGCTGGCAGTAGAAAGACTTTTGTGCTTCACGTGCGGCTGCGGTCTGCGCCGCCGGAAGTGTTTGGTGTCGCTAAAAGCGCGTCAGTAAGTCAGTGGTAAATCAAGACACGCCAGGCTCACTGGAGGCATCTTCTTTCTGAATCGTGTTTTGCCGCTCAACACTCGAACCGCGTGCGATGAACTTGCTGTAAGGAAGATGTCGATCTGTTGATGTTTGATGGGGAAAGATTGAGCAGTGGCCCGGGCCAGAACGAATAAGGAACTAACGTTAGGTAAGTACTAGGGAGTTCGGGCACTAATCTCCAATGGTCAAAGTCTTGAGTTTGGCTGTCGCCAATCACAATTTAGCATGTTTTGCTGACCGGGCTCCCAGAACCTCAACGTCATTCCCAGGGGGCTTGCGGTAGGGGCTTCCATAACACCTGCCCAGGTGGGTAACAGCTGGAGAAGAATTGTCCCCCAAGACTCAGGCTACCATAATAAAGTAGCTTAACTGCTGGTCAACCTAGAATAAAATGATCGAATTATTTCGTCTCTTAGGTATGCCTCCAGCGGCCAATTCTGACAAGGTACCCTGAGACTGCCCCAGAATCTGGTGGCAGCTTCCCCCGTCTCCCACCACGTTGAGGCGCTAATCCCAACTGGAAAAACTTCCCTGTCACGAGCGCGCCATCATCTCTTCTTCTACGTCTCGGCTCCCCGCCTACGTTTCTTGGGACTGTCTCTCTCATCTACTTACAGAGGTAGCACGCTGGCCGTGGTAACATCATGGATTTCGACCAACCCGCCGATCGTCGAGCCTCACAGGCGAGCTTCTTATCTTTACAGCAACTTGACCCTTCCCCGATAGATTCTCCGCCAGCAGATCCCGCTATTGACCGACGTGACCTTGGGCCACCGCCTCGGGGAAGTGATGATGGATATGAGATGGTGAACGCCGACGAAATGGAGAACAGCACTTCATCGATCAGGGCTCCTTCCACCGGTGCTCCGGGTTTGAGTGCCAGTACAAACCTCAGATCGTCTGGGACTGGTCCTGGCCCTATCTTCTATCGTAAGGACATAATCACTTGCATGACACTCGATGAAGACATGCTTACTTGACTAGTTATGCGAATCCAGAAGTTTTCAAGTTACGCAATGGGTATCTTTACCTCCCTCCACCTCGCCAACGTTTCTCTCATTCCCGCTATCACACGTTCGGTTCCTGGCTCGGAAACTTACCTCCTCATGACTCGTGAAATTTACCAAACGTCGCTCACCGAACCCATGCTGGTTGCTCTACCTATCATCGCCCATGTCGGTTCAGGTATCGCCCTTCGATTGTTGAGGAGATCGCAGAATATGCAACGTTATGGTGCTGCGACCCCAGGGATGTACGCCCTTCACCGTTCAAGGACAGAACTTGAGGATCAGAAAAGTGCTCGGGCTGCTTCACCATGGCCAACGTTGAGCTATATCTCGATATCCGGATACGCCTTCACTGTCTTCTTCGCAGCCCACGTCTTTGTCAATCGTGTCTTGCCTCTTCAGGTTGAGGGCGATAGCTCTAACATCGGTCTCGCCTATGTCGCACATGCGTTCGCTCGACATCCTGTTACTTCTTGGTTCTCCTATGTTGGTCTTCTCGCTACCGGCTGTGGTCATATGATCTGGGGGCAGGCGAAGTGGTTTGGTCTGTCACCTACGACCAAGTTCATTTGGGGAACGAGTAGTGTGCCTGCGGAGAAGAAGGCCATGAAGTCAAGAAGACGAAAATGGGTTGCTCTTCACGGTGCTTCGGCAGCTTTTGCTGCGCTATGGGCGGTCGGGGGTCTGGGTGTCGTCGCAAAGGGAGGTCTTATGGATGGTTGGGTTGGCAAAGTGTACGATGACCTCTTCTCGGTGATCGGATTGTAAAAAGTAGGAGTTAGTCAAGCATCATTGGAGTTTGGGAACACTTACACGGTAGACTTTTTGAGTTTCTACCCTGGCACGCATTATGGAAATACCCTGCGTTCAAATGTACGACAGAGAAAGAAGTAAATAACTATGAGGACGTCAGGGCCATCGTTAATAAAAGCGTTTTGAATCATGAGAAGTATTAGTACTATTCTCAGGTGGCTACAGATTTTCCTCTTACCAACATCCTCAAAACGAACAAAGCGGTACAAATATCTGGGTTTGTTAGAGCCACAACCATATACACCGGAGCATGACTACAATGTTTGTTTCTTAAAGCTAAACAATACCAGTTTTCTTACTGGCTATCTGTAAACAACCTTGATTGAAAGATTAACTAAAGATGCGTTGGCACTTCCATTGTCACGAGTACTGTACAGGGTAGGCGCCGGCACTGTAAGCTTCTGTCGAAGCCAGAATGCATTGCCACCGACATTTTCACAAAGAAATAAGTAACCTCTCTGCTCCAACATCACCTTGCTAATTGGTTACATATAATTTGCATAGCTAAATGCAGGCTTGGCCTGCCTAGTGCTCCCTACCAATTTCTCGCAATGCCGAAGCGCAAGCCTGCATCGATCGAAGAGAGCTCTGATCATCTTCGGACACAAGATGTAGTTTCATCTCGGCCATGCAAGCGTCTACGCATCGCAAATGCAGCTTACGACCCGCCACCCCGGGACATTCTTACCAAGATATCTTCTGAGATCCTACTGCGAATTCTATCCTTTCTCTCTTCGTCAGAACTCCTCGACATTTCACCAACTTCGCATCGACTATACCGCCTTGCCTCAGATCCTCATCTCTGGCGCGAACATTATTATGAGCGTTTTGTGCTCCCACGCGCGTTGCGTATACCTGGCTTCCGTCTTGGCGGAGCCGGCGGTACCAAACTCCAATACTCGGCGCGACGAGCCGTTTGGGCCGATGGAAGGAAAGGAAGAGCACCTGACGACGAGTTCTTGAAGGAGAGCAGCGAGAGCGAGAGCGTTGACTGGAAGAGACAATACAAACTGCGTCATAACTGGGCCAGAGGCAAATGTGCGGTAGAGGAGGTCAGCGTGCGAGATGCACCTGACGGCAGTGATGGTCAAAAGAAAACGCTGGTCAAAGTCATTGAGGGTATCGCAATAACGGCTGATTCGGAATCTGGATTGCGCGCATGGGATCTACGGACGCGGCGGCCAATAGCGCAAATCGATCTTTGCGAGGACGACGAGTGTGACGATACTGCACCGGCATCACTGGCAGTGGACGAAAGCGGTTCTGCAACAACGGTGGACATCATAGTGGGATTCGCCGATGGGGGTTTCGGACTTTGGCGGTTGAATCTCCAACAGCAAGAATTGATACGAAGATACCGGCACGAAAAAAGCTGCAACGGGGAAGTCGTTGCAGTTGCGCAAGGCTTTCCTTACGTACTGACAGCGACAGCTGCTGGTTTGATCTCGCTCTACACATTTAATCGGCCAGCCGCCGAGCCCACAGATGATTTGACGAACAATGCAAACATGACTGGAGAGCCGCTATTGTATGGAGCACTAAAGCAACAGTCGGAACCCCGAAAGAAGAGCACGACCCTACCGCCTCCATACCTTCTTACATCTCTAAAGTCGCACACCACTCAGCTTCCTCTTGCGCTATCAATACGACGCATGTCGTCCTCCGTGAGCGCCTCTATCGCCTACACCTTCCCTGTCCGTGATGGCTGGTGCATCGGAGTCCAGGATCTACTCATCACGCCGTCACCCGATAACGCCGTCGTTGACAAATTGACCTCTCGCCTTGCGTCGACGCTCCCTATCGCCGCCTCAGGCGGCGGCGTCGACTCTGTCCGAACCAACAGGTCACGTTCAGAGCTTATGACACTCTGTTACAGCCACCCATACCTCCTCGCCACATTACCGGACAATACACTCGTCCTTTACCTCTGCACATCCACTGCTACATCCCTCTCGCTGTCTTCTGGTATACGCCTATGGGGCCATACGTCCGGAATCTCAGACGCTGAGATTACACCGCGGGGTAAGGCTGTTAGTATTAGTACGCGGGGTGACGAGATCCGCGTATGGGAGCTAGAGGGTCGGGTTGGAGGCAGCAGCATCGAGGTACGACCTACGACCAGGCAACCAGCCGATGGCGCAGACAGCCCTACGACAGCCCCGCGGGCTGAGTGGGAGGACCGCAGGAATTGGGTTGGCTTCGACGACGAGATGGTCATTGTTCTCAAAGAGGCGCGAGACGGCCGCGAGAGCCTAATGGTATACGACTTTACATGATACTGACAGCTCAATGCCGTCATATTCAACGAGCCAGAAGGCAGCTTCATTTCCACTCTGATAAAAGACGCGCAACATAGGCCTGCGTCGCGTCGCTACCAACGAGGGTAACCGCCGCCGCCGCCTCCAACTCGCGCCACACTCCCGGGGAAGAATGCTGACCACCCGTGGCATGCTCAATAGTCACGGCGGTCTGCAAGTGGCAATACCCGAGAGTGTGGGATGAGTCTTTCTGAAAGTCCTGGCAGTTATCCGTCACGAACCAATAACTGTCGGGGCAGGTTGTAAGCATAAAGGCAGCAACTACAAGTCCTAGCAAGTCTTGCTGACGCAGAACAAACGCATGCCTAAAACATGTACCAAAAGTACGAAATGTGTCGATTGGGTCTGGATGCTCAATGGTAGTGACTGAAACCTAATTGACTAGGCGTGATGATTAAACTTTCAGCGACATTCCCTCCTGATGGAATCGTCCGTCATGACGACTGGCCGGTACGTTGTCCAGAGGCTGAAGCACCTATCGATCCAGGCACTTCCGCTTCGCTAGCTAGAGCTTATCGAGTTGTGGAAAGCCGATTCGGAAACAAGGTCACGCAAACCATACCCAGGTCGTACAAAAGCTGTATCTCATCAGGGGGTGGCTGGAAGGGCTCAAACTCCCTCTGGAGTGGTTTGAAAAACCTGAGGCCACCAGTGATCTGGGCTGGCTTTTCAAGATGTACATATAATTAGACAATCTAGTGATCAATGCATCACGCAAGTAGATTCCCGCCTTGAGAAGGGAGATCTTCGGCCCCCCTGTGTTCCTGAAACAAGGTCCATTGATGGAATGATGCAGCGGAAGTTTGCTACGGCGTCTTCCAGTGGAACTTGCGTTGCATATCCTGTCATGCATTGTGTGGCTCCACGGCATGAAACAAAAGAAACCAAGGTCGCACTGACAGCGCATCAGAGAGAAGAGACAAGGGAAGAAACAAGAGCAAGAGAGTGGTGACGTTGAATAGCAACTTGCCACTCTAATTATTTGCACAATGCCATTGGATTTTCCGCATCCAAGCAGATGCTGACACGCCACAGTGCTGAAACGACCATGGACGTGGGTGTTATGCCATGCCATGCCATGCCTATACTGTACAATGCTTGAGTGCTTTAGCCATGCCAACAAATCAGCTGCGTCAATTGAATCCTGCTTGAACCCAATGCAGTACCATTGTTTGCTGGCAGCCAGCAGAGCCAACATGCGCCACACTGCCATATCCACCGTATCTTTGTTAAGTAAAGGCAATGAGGCAATTGAGTCAAAAGGAAAAGAAAGGAAGCAAGGAATTCTTGGCCTTGGACAATTCACCAGGCCTCATTCACTTATCCCGTGACATCCATGACTAGATAGATAGAGAGTGCACGTTGCCGCTGGTCGTAATCGACCAGAGCAGAGCAGAGACGTTCGACCCCCACCAGTCGCGAGGGGTATCGACTTTCACATGGCACAGGCACAGGCACATCCTTCTCATTCTCTATCTAATCAAGTCAAGTCTAGGAACGAGACCCATATGATTGACTGAACGTGGTGGGGCCGTCCCTTTGGGTATGGAGTTGAGTTGTCTTGTGGTCAGTGGGGATGCTGCTTCTTTTGAGGCGGAGACAGTAAGGGAGTGCGATTATCACGGACTTTGATATGCGAGTCGAGGTTGACTTGTCATTGATTTGATTGTCGTTTGTTTTACATGGAAGTGGAAGAGGATAATGCGAGAGATGGGCTAGTTTAACAACAAGATGAGTAAAACGCAACATCCAATTTCAAAAGCATAGTATGTACGTAAGTCTTACAGGAGAAAGTGAGAGTGACCAAGAAACAGATCCAATGATTCAAACGGAACTTGACTTGACACCCGTGCACGCGGCCCGAATCTCTCTAGCCGCCCAACAAGGCAATATCCATCATGAACCGTCGCCAGAGATTGGCCGAACCGAAGGACGGACGGCACATGGGAAACGGAAGGCCGATACAAGTACAGAGTACAAGACGGTGGATCAGGTTTCTCTCACCGTTTCTTCCATTCTCTGTCTCAGTCAGGGTCCTTCAACCTTGCAGGCTTGCAGAGGTCGATCAGCTGGAGCCTGGAGGCCGGAAAGTTGAGGCACGGATGATGGATGGCGATCATATCCATGAATTCCATACTGTAGAAGGGATGTAGATAGAACATATGACTCTTGTCCCCAATGGTTGTGTATTGTACTGTACTGTAAATAGTTGACGCTGTAAGCGCACGGAATGTGCAATTGACGCCTCGAAAATGGCGCTACAAACACTCCGCTTGATTGCAACCATGGCGCGGGTCAAAAAGTGAGGCATAATATTTGGATTGTTGGAGGTCAATTGACTCAATTCGACCCCTCTTGAGTTTACTGTAGAGGGGCACCTAGAGGTAGGTAGGTAGGTAGTGTGGTGTAGGTAGCTCTGCTTTGCAGCAGCAGTAAAAGGGTCCCGTCCACTAATGCGCCCGTCAAGGACTGGTCCCTGTGATGACGTCTTTTCAAGTTAGCACATGCAGATGCACATGCGCATCCTCTGGTCTGGATCTGAGGGGTCTAGATCGTTTGTGAGTGAGCAATCAATCAATCAATCAATCAATCAATCAATCAGTTCCTTGGATCGTTGCATCCTCGATGTATTTTCCCATCCTCTTCCACTGTCAACAGAAGGACGCTGACCGCTCTCTGTGTCGCACAGCCCCAAGTCTTTGACGCCTCCAGCCCCCATCTTTGTTCTGTCGGTCAACAAGGTCAATCAATATCCCGCCCGCCATTAGCCTCAATTGATGCATGTACCGTACCGTACTGTAGTATCCGTAGACACTGAGACAATGCTCAATGACTTGCTTGATGCGATGCTGATGCGCAACACCCTCGCTGACTTTCCGAATGCGATCCAGTACTCAAGATACGTCTGGTTCTAATTATCTCCGATCTTATGCCATGCAATGCGGGTGTTGATTAGTCTCGTGCGTGTTTTGCCTTACTCTTTGTCTTGATCTGCTCAGACTCCCATGTCTCAATCTCTCTCGTTTTGTCTCAGAACAAGGCGGTCAAATGACCGTATGAATGATACCGTACAGTCCTTTACTGTAGTAGTTTAGAGTGATACTCCACGGAAACATACCTCGTGAGCCTCCAGTTCCCAGCACCCTTTGGAAATAGCGGTCCTCTCACAGCCGAGAGCCGCCCTCTCCGTACGAGCCTTGACAACCACCACTACAGCGGATGTTTATCAGCCACCGCCGATTGAGTATACGGAGTGGATGGGACGGAGGGTTCACGCGCCGGGCGGGCCGTTTCACAACCAAGGCAATGGGAGCGTGGTAGGCCGTCGTCCCGATTCTACCACCAGCCAGCCACCTAGTCTATATCAGCTATCACCTTGCAAATGGCCTCGTCTGCTGTAGACTATCTGTCATGTGCTCGACACTCACAGTCAGTCAGTCACTCGCACCTGCCAGAGCGTCTCTGGACGATCGAGAGAGCAATAGTGGGGAACCTTGTTAACAACCTTGGAACCTAGCAACATCCATGTATGTGTAACCTCCCTACGGATACCTCCCCCAGAATCTGGGGAATAGTCTGAGCTTTCGCTATCGATAAATATTCGGAAGTTGCATTAGTGGTCTCTTATCTTGATGAATACGACAAAAGGCAGCATACAATAGTAAGAACAAGAGTCAGAGCATGACCTCACTTGGCAGACCCGAATATAATAGTTTCCTACCTACCTATCTAACAAAGGGTGCATGTCCCACATATACTGGTTATTCCGCTGGCTTCTCGGTTCGGATTTCCCCCCGACTTTGCTTTGCTTTCTTTGCTTTGTTTATGAGATTCTTATTGCGGGTTGACTCAATCGCAGACGTCAACTACTCATAAATGTAGTGTCAAGGATGTAGCCAAGTTGGCCTGTAACTCCTTGCTCAAGCCGACTATTCCTTCGGCTGACCCGGACATTCAATTGATGATGTGCTCAAGATGCAGGTGACATAGTCCCAGAATTGAATTATCTATCTTGCGTTAGAACCAGATTAGATCTCACATCGCCACCGTAAGCTCATCAGTCCCATGGTGTGCTCAAGATACAGATAATTGTTCTATCTTCGCACGCTGACGGACAGGGTCAGAATCCTCGCACATAACTGACTGTGTCTCTGTTGGGAACCATCGAAATACGCACGACATATCTCATGCAATTTTGAGCCCATAACAGAAAATACATTCGTGCCAATGCCATCAAGAGATGATGACGTTGGCATTTGGCCATGATGTAAATGCTATCATGCCATCATGCCATCTCCCATCAACGACAACTCAATCCATCGTCAAGCGTCAGCAGTCACCAATCAGCAATCCTTCCAGAAGCCTCCAAACTCCTTATCGATAATTCACTGCTGTCTTCCATGGATATCAGCCACTCCCCCCCTAGCGCAATGTATGGACATCTTAGCATGTGCCCCCCATACATGCCAAGGACTCACTAGACCAGACATGACTTGGCACCAGGTCTCGTTTCGGTCTCTTTAGTGTGTCTTTGGGGCAGACCAAGCCTGTTTCTCCTCCGTCCTGTGACTCACATCGAAGTACAGTAGTGTGGGGGAGGAATTACACTTTGGATAACTGAATCAAAGAGTGAACGAGAAAATGCATTCGCTTCGATTCGTGATTCGAAGCGCAATTGATGAAAGACGCTAGGTTTGGATGTTGTGAATAGGTATCTAGCATCTACTTGAGTTACTCCGATTGCAAATAGTGCCAAAAGAAATGAGGACGCCTTTCTGTTGTTGAGCAACAGGGATAGGTGACCATGGTCATGTTTCCTTGATAGACATTGATTGAACGCTCATCTCATGCGACAAATCAACTACATACGTGTGATGGTCGATGTTCCGTATTCAACACCAAATTGAATCATGAGTCGACATGAACAGTGAGTAAGTGACATGTGCTTGGTGGGGGTTGATCATTTTCCAGGGCTCTCCAAGGGACGAAACAAAGGGTCTGAATATGGAAATCCGGAAGCGGGAACGATTGACGACACTCAGACATAGAAATTGAAGATAGATGCACATCAGTTCAGAAGATACTGTAGCTAGGTTAGTAGTCTACAGGTATCGTCAGGCTTACAAACATGAGCCTGCATAGTAGCGCAGTAGGCTAAGTCGGTCAAAGTCAAGTCAGACGGCAGGTCGAGGCAGACAACTGGCGAGATGACATCCAAACTAGAAATACTGATCTAAGTGCCAAAGAAATCCGGAACTGGCACACGGCGTTCTTGATCAATTGGGCGTCGGGCAGCGAGAAAGAGGAGGGCTGATTCAAGACATGAACCGTCATACATGGTTGCTGCACGCCCCCCTCATACTGTACTGGGTGTTTATCGTCTCGATCGCGATTTCTTCTGGTAGGAAGCAGGCGCTGAGGAGTAAGAAGATAAGATTAATTTTGTTGTTGAAAGAATCAGCGTTGTAAGAAGCGAAAGAGAAGCAGTGATGGTGCTGTGAGGTCAATTCTTCTGGTGACATGGTAAAGTTCAGATGGCATCATGATCGACCGTGTTTAATGTAGGGACGCGCATCTGCCGCTGAATAAACGCAGGCTAGATCTCTTGTCCGGAGCCTTCTGTAGGAACAGGGAGATGGACCATCCAAATGGTACCTACCTTGGGGAACTAACTGGGTTTGGGAGTTTTGGCGCCGGCCTCGTGGACGTTGCCAATTCTGACCAAGCCACACAGCGCCTTTAGATGTGATGGAAAGCCGAACAGGCTAGGTGGAACATGTACCTACATGCCGCATACCAAGGCCGTAATGGCGCACGAACTGCTGGCATCACCACTGCCTTGGCTGAAAGAGCTGGAGGCCTGACAGACAGACAGACAGCCAGCCAGCCTCAGCAATTGAGTCTTGACAAGCCAGCAACTCGCCTGCAAGATATCAACCAGTACAGGTAGACACGCTGTTACTGGGCATTAGGTTCGAATACCTGGACGGCGATCTCTCTCAACAACCACGGATGGATGCACCTCTGACCACAGTACTGCCCTGGCATGGCTGGCATTGATAGCATATTATCCTTGGCATTGCTGAGATATTAGTCTAAAGCCACAAGAGAGACGCTCGCTCGAGACATTGGACAATTTCCCGTGGAGCTAAACAGGGGACCTGATCTCCGTCCCGCTGCTCGGCCACGATATGGACGTTTTGCTTTTGGTGTCGTTTCTTACATATTATTCACTTCACTTTGTGAGTTGCTTCTTTGCTCTATTCTCCACTCACACTAGCTCAAGTCTGGAAATTCCTTCTGTGAATTGACTTTACAGCCCAATTCCTTGCTGAACATTCAAGCATGCAACTCGCAGTCAGGGGCATGACAAAGCAGGTACTGAAAAGCTGTTCAACTTTGCTTAACAATTGAACTTTCACTTTAGGCAGTAAGGTAAATGGGATAACAGAGTGAGTCAAAGAAAAAGAGCTTTCTTAGAGAAAGCTAAAGCAATCTATTTGGGTCCGTTGGGATTGGATTGATAGATAATCTGCCTCGACCTTCCGTGCATATATCTACCTAGGTACCTAAGTACAGTGAAGGTAGGTACGGTACGGTACGGTGCAAGGAGGGTCTCCGTACGCCGCAGTGGTTCAGTTTCTAGACGGACGGTGGGATATTTTTGGGAAGGAAAGGGTCAGCCCGTCACCATCTCTACCTACCTTACTGTATCGAAAAAAAAAGGATCCACAGACCCACCCCTCCCGTGGTTGACAAGAAGTCCCTGATGACCCTTGCGCGACCACCTCACACATGACTTGGGTTTGGGAACAAGATGGGGGATGAAGATGAAGATGAACGACAAGGCCAATTGACCGAGATTACCGTCATACTTTGTTGCGTCAATGTTCAATCTCTAGGTCACGCAAAAATTTAATGTTGAAGATTACTCACAAGCTATCAATCTGATCCAATGTCTCTTCGCTCACCGAACTCTAATGGAACCTTCTAAGGAAGGCACTGTACAGTTTCTTTTTGGGTCCACTTCTTTTCAAGGACTAGGTTAACACTGGATCCTCTACAGTCAGTCAATGCTGTAGACAGTATGTACTGTGTCTATCCGTAGGCCTTGAGGGATCCAATGGAATGGCTATTCAACCAGTCAAGTATTAGAAACCTGGCGCATGGGGAAAGGAGGCTGCGAAAGTGACATGTCTATTGCGCGTTGGACGGTTGAAAGCATGTCCGTCCTGTCCTGTACTGTATCTGTATTCCAGACATTGATTGATTAGAGAAAGGGACAAAAAGAGGCCATGCCATGAGAGGAGGGGTGTGTTGATAGCAGTTCTTACCTCGTTGCATAGGTTATCACATTTCATTGTGGCTGCGCTTAATCCACGTTTCTTTTATTACATGCACGCCCTGATCTTCTTCTTATTGTACCCCTTGCTTCCCCTTCTTTGACCATTCCCGTCCGTCTTCCTTCCTCCGTTTCCATGAGACGCCACTGTGTGGGTGAGCGAGTCTCAGTGTGTGAGCCATTGACCGAGGGAATTGGATCTAGGCGTACAGATAGCTTATTGTATTGTTTGTAGTAAATGTCAATTGCAGCGTAGGTACAGAGTAGGTAGGTATTGATTGCGCTGCATTAATGGGTAGTCCATTTCATACCTATCAGCCATGACACACCCCTTTCTTTTCCGTTTCCTTCTCCTTCCTCTTCCTTCTTCCTCAGCATACGCATCTTGCTTCCCTCTGTAACTTTGAAGCGATATATCGCTGATGAACACTTGACTCCCACTACGTACCTGACTGTACAACACTTTAACCTCAAGCATTGTCTTGCTTGCAATTGACCTGAGCATCAATCGACATCTCGTTCCACCTACTCACTATATCCCCCCACCCGCTTGTCTGCTTGCTCAAGCGCACAGTCATCCCAACGGATCCTGCTCTGGCGCCGTCTCGAAACGAAAGGTCCTCTCTCTTTCTCTAGACTTTCTCGCTCAACTGTTGCATTCGCAGGGGAGACGAGTCGATTACGACCTGATCTATTCCCAATTGGACATCTGTTGAGGAAGGTGAAAAAGGCAGCCATAGGTACCAGGTCATCGCTTGCTTGATTGCTTGGTTGCTTGTTCGCTCGCTACCTTAGTGCTACCGAGACAAAGACCTCCTTTCTTTGGCCTCGCTCGCTCTGCTTCCTCTCCTCTTCCGACTCTCAACTCATATCTCCCGTCTCACATTGAATTTCCGCGCAAACAAATTGAAGCATACACACTTGTCAATTGCAGATTGGAAAGGTTAATCCGCAAGACTGAGTTTGACTCATATCTTTACTTTACTTCTGTGTCTTGAGTTTAACTCTCGTGTGTGCAGTGCAGTCGCTATGCGCACACGCGCGCAAACTTCTTTTCCCACATTACATTGATTCCTATATAAACCAAGCTACCTTTTCATTCCATCCTGGATGAACAAATTCTTCTGTCAATCACCACCATTTTCTGACATTCAACATTGACCAACTGGCATAGGCTGTCTGCCACATCATCAAACCATCCCGTCGAGCGACCCTCAAAAGTCGTCAGGTTACGGCCAATTTAATTGTCCAGTCGGCAGTATCAAAGAGCCATTGCTCTCCAAAGTCATACGGTCTGGTACGGTGTCCGTCCCACAGATCGGTTCTTGGTCTTTGGTCCTCTGGTCTTTCGGACCCAAAGTTTTATCCCGACCCCCCCTCCTTTGTCAACTCCGCCTTCCCCTTCGCCCCCCTCCTCCAGTTTCGCCGCCCTGTTGCTGCCTACTCTGGTTTTAGGCGCCCGTCCAGTCACTGACAGCGAGCGCACTTACATACACTTTGGGCACACGCAAACAAAGCCGACAAGACTCATACTCTAACTCCGGCTTATTCAGGCATTCTCCCTGAACCTATTAATTGCAAGCCTGCCGCCCTTTTTAGGTCCTAAAAAGGTCTCCAGCAAACGGTTTCGCCACAACAACAGTCATTGTCACTGACTGCAATTCGTGGCTGACAAACCATTTTACCCTATCCATATCTGCATTGCACTGCCAGGTACACACACTACCTTCCACCGCATTCGACAATACCAACTTATCAAACGAATTATTCTATTTCAACCACCTTTGTCGTCTTCTTCTCCGATTCATCAACTTAAACCATCTTTCAATACAAACATCGCAACAATGGCGGCCAACTCTCCGCACACCGCGCAAACCGGCAGCGCAATGGGCCCTCCTATGCATCCTGCCTCAATGGACTCCAAAACTCCCAATCTGATGTCGCCTCCGGATCAACCTCATGATACTTTCGATTTCAGAAAGTTCTACGGTCCCCGAACGATAGCCTCTTCGAAAGTCGACTCCGAGAAACACCCAATGCCAATGTCTCCTCCAATCTCGCCCTATAGCAAGCTTGTCTCATCGACTGCAGAGGTGCCGAATGGGCCCTCCAACGCAATTAAAGATCCTCTTCTTTACCCTGTCGATGAATCTCCTTCCAGCCCAGTTCAAGAGCCTCTGTTCAATACCACCGAGTCTGAGCAAAGTCACAATAGTATCATTGAAGATCACATCCGTGCTCGAGCTCAATCGCCTGTGACCTTTGCTCGGGTCTCACCACCGAACCATGAGGAATACAATCTGGTGCTTTGCTTCAAGTCCCAGGTCATGAAGAACTATACAGCCAACCCTCGGAATTGGCTCCGTCAGGAACGACGCTATCTCGAAGAGGCCCGAAAGGCTCAGGGCAAACGCTTCCCCAAGATCATGCCTGCTAAACCCACCAAGACACCAAAACAGCGCGATCGGGTCCAGAAGCCCCAATCCACCCCGCGGCCGATCCGTACCCACCCTCCCACCGGCCCCAGTCCTGGTGCCGGCTTCTCGCGACCGGCTGGCCGTGTAAGTGCCACTCCTGAGCCGTCTCGTCGCGCTGTCGCTCCCAACCGTGAGGACAAAGACTTCGATCAACTGCCCGACTATTGCCCACCTCTTGACTCACTGCCCGACAAATCCAATAGCTTAAAGGTGGAATGGAAGGGACAGGCGCTTGACCTCAGCAACGACCCAAACAAGAGACTTCTTCATCCCGATGAGATGACCTTGGCCAGCAGTCTACGCTTAGATGCTGCAACCTACCTGACTAGCAAGAGGCGTATCTTTGAGCGAAGACTTGCCTGCCTGCGTACCAACAAAGAATTCCGCAAGACAGATGCTCAGCAGGCTTGCAAAATCGACGTCAACAAAGCCTCAAAGCTGTGGACCGCTTTTGACAAAGTCGGCTGGCTTGATGCCAAGTGGATGCAGAAGCACAAGTGAGACTGGACTTGACCATATCCGCACACCATCTCATAGACATTACGGCACAATTCTCGAAACACACGACTTTATGGATTATGGGAATGAGCATTTTACTTAGCGACTCGGTTGCTTATCGCCAACCAATTTGGATGGCCCATTCTTTCCCTGGAATAGTACAGACTCTGTCGCTTTCCAGGTGTCTCTAGCCTTCGATGGGCTTGAATTTTCTTTTTATGTCTACACCTTTATTATTTACCTTGGCACTTCTGTTTATTGGGATTGCTTTTCATCTCATTTATTCGTCTCACCCTCCTGCCTGCGCATCACAGGATCCAAAGGCACTATTCGGCATCACGGCACATTTGAACGATACACCAGAGCATTAGGGATTCTCATCATTATGATACCCGGAGTGCGATATACAACTGACCCCTTCGCGCGATCACGTCACCACTCCACATTTTCTTACCATTTGTTTTCGGGTTTCCTTTGTTTACCTCGCCCCCATTTCATCTTGTCGGGTTTCTTTTCTTTTTCATATCGCTAGGGCGAGGGTCTGCGAATACGGAGGCATTGCATGTACGGCGTTTTTGTATATGGCCCCTTCCAACAGATTGTGGTGGGAAGGGGGCTGTTTTATCGGGAAACCGAAGACGGAGGCTCATGAAGAGTCGAGAAGTCTACCAGAAGCCATGAGGATACAGTTTACGGTATGCTTTGGGTTATTGTGCACGGAGGTACTGGGCTTTGGGGGGACAACCTTCCGGCCAATGACAGATATCTAACCGTTGTTTTCGATGATAAACTGAAATAAGGATATTCTTCTTCAACTCTTCTTTCGACTGGACTGGTATACGTGAATGCGAAATAGCTGCTCGTGAAAATGAATTAAAACCAGTACCGCGATAATAAAACCACCACCAGCAGGTCGCAACCAAATGCAAGCGACATCGCAACTAGAATGCACGTAAAGCACTCTCGGTATAGAAAATCCTTTCAGCCCTACACTACTCTGGGGCCAGTCGCTTCCTCTAGAGGCTAAGCGTGAGCCATATTCCTGGGAACGGATGGATGTGTTTTTGATGTGCGTGCGGTACAGCGGGTGAAGCCGCCGTTGCAGCGGGGAACAGTGAGGGCTTGCAAAGTTCCATGTACCTCCACGCTTTGTTATGGTGGTTGGATACATAAATGGTGAGGGGGGAGTGTGCTGGGAAGACACAAGAACCCGGGTTTCGCTGAGGTGGAGTCGGAGAACGGGAGCTTATCGGGTGGAGAACAAGGAAGAGGAAGAAGAGAAAAAGAAAGGCGATGGAAGTGTGGCTTCTGGCATGTGGCTTTTGTGACTTGACTTCTGAGATTTCGCGATGTTGACAGGTTCCTCTTTAAGCTATCGGGTCTTTTGTAGGGTTATTTGTTATGTCCTCATTGCGAAGAAGCAATCCTCGACATTCATGATTCTCAGTTAGTTACTTAATTCAATCAGAACCCTACGTTGTTTGGTTTCCAACATCCTCAGCTATCAAGAATTTGCGCTATGGACTAGAGAACTGAGCAAGAGACAATGCCTCTCACCATCAAAGCAGCTCCTGCACATGTTTTCCATGAGAGGGAAAAAGGACTGGGATAATTACAATTGTTAATTCCGCTCGAAGTGTACAACATGTATCTGTCTTGGAGCAAAGTTTGAGCACTCCATCATAACTGTTTGACGTCCGGTATGGTGTAGTGGCTAACATTTCGCGCTCTCATAACCTGAGAGAACAAGTCCCGCGGAGCCCAGGGTTCGATTCCCTGTACCGGAGTTTGTCTTTTGCTCTTCGTTTTTCTGGTCATGAGGAATTGGAGGTGCTCTTTTTGTAATGAGGGAGTGATTGATAGATAGATGGATGGATAATCAGATATGCCTTTGGCAATCACACCATGTATGAACTCAATAACTCTTTAAATTATTGCCAATCCACTCGATCAATAGTAGTGGATTCAGAATAAATATAACAATGATACTGCCTGCCATTGTAAACCAACATGAGGTCTAGGTAGCTAGTTGCTGTTTCACGATCGGGGAGGGAAAGAGAGAGGGACATGAGCCATTTGTTTGGTCCTGTATCATAATGTGTCATTCATTATTAATGCCGTATCATTGTTATATTACAGTAGTTTTGATCCCTTTACCATTCTTCTACTGACCAGCGGCAATGGTGTAGCCTCCGTCAACGGCAAGTGTTTGTCCAACCAGGTACTGATTTGTGGCAAAGAAAAGCACAGTGGCAGCCATATCCTGATCCTTGCCAGCCCGTCCAGCGGGAACCTTTTCAGCGTACTTCTCCTTGGGAATGAAGCTCTTCTGGGTCTCGTCGCTGCCATCGGTGGTCATCTCGGAGGGGAAGACTCCAGGGGCAATACCGTTGACCCGAATCTTGAGCTTGTTGCTGACAACCTCAGCAGCCAGCATGCGAGTGAGGTGGACGGCGGCACCCTTTGAGGCATTGTACGCAAAGTGATGTTGAGATTTCTGGATCAAGCCACTAATGGAGCTAATGTTGATGACAGTTGAGCTCCAGCCCTGGTGCTTCTCACTGCTCTTCTGGAGAAGAGGCAGGAAGGCGGCGGTGGTGAAGTACAGCCCAGTAACATTTGTGTTGTATGTTTGGTTCCAGTCCTCGAAAGTGGCATCCTTGTTGTCGAAGAGGTTCTCCTTCATCTCCTGCGCGGAATCGGCCTCAACCTGGAAAGAGTTGCTCGAGATACCGGCGTTGTTGACAAGGATGCACAAGCAATCCTCCTTGGACTTGTACTCGTCGTAGAGCTTCTGAATGCCCTCCTTGTTACCGACATCAGCCTGGATGGGAATGATCTCGCCAGCAATGTTCTTGCCATAAGTCTCAACGACGCGGTCGAGTTTTTCCTTTGTGCGGCCAGTGATGTAAACCTTGGCTCCGTTGACAGCGAGAGCCTGAGTGGCCATGAGACCAATACCTGAGCCACCGCCTACAATTGGTTAGTTACCATGTTACATAGAAGTATTGTACCGTCGCACGTACCTGTCACAAGAGCGACCTTGCCCTTGAGATCAAAGAGAGTGTCGCGAGCGAAGTCTCGGTGCTCGCCGCCACTAGCTGGTTGTGTGCCCGCCATTTTGATTGTGGTAGATCGAAAGTTTATTGGGATACCTGATTGAAAGGTTCGGGATTGGTTCGCAGCTGGAGTGCAAGAGGTTTTAATCAGAGGGGTCGTAAGGCGAAGTGTAGGTGCAAGAATGCTTCTGGTGCTGGGGATTCTAATAGCTTGAGCGAGCTGCTTGGACATGATTCTTATATCGGTTCCAGATTTCAAGGGGAGAGAAAAAGAGGGGTAATTACACAACAGAATAGAAACTACAACTAACTGTACAGTACTCTAGCTGTAGCTGTAACTGTAGTCGTAGCAGTAGCCAATGCCATCTTATGCACTCCTGCCTCCCCCGTCCCTCAAGGTACGCCAATGACTCCAGGATGAGGTCAATGCCAGTCTCCCGCTGCAGAAGTTCTGTCCATGACGAAACATGGCGGAGGAAAGTATCCGTTATGGTCAGAGAAAGCACGTCAGGGGAAAAACAATTGGAGTTGCACATAGTTTTCTGTGCTGGGGGAGCTTCCATCATGACGTCGACGTGGGGTCAGCATGATGAATGATCCGTACTCCTGCTCGACCTCATCGCGATCCCCAAGCTCGTTTGAGATTGACTACGTAAATCGCTACAGAGAGGGTAGATCAACTAATCAAATTTGCATGTGCTCTGTTGGGAGGTCATCAATAAACCAGTCTGGGATATTTGAGTGTCATGACTTCTATTGAGGCTAACCATAGCTTAGTCTAGACTCCCCACTCAAGCTTCACAATATTCCTACACTTGCATCCACAACCGTTCCATTACAGACCTCAACGACGTTAAACCCAATCCATCAACGCCGTTCCATGCATAGACCATCTGCTTCCTTCTCGTCTATTTGACCTCAATATGTTGTACAGCGTTCTGCCACTTTTGTTCATCCGTCCTGATAGAGTTGATTAGCCCGTGTCCATAAAAATATCGGTAGAGATGAATAACTTACTTATCAAAGCGCAACAGCTTGCCCAACACCGGTACAAGCTGCGCTCTTAGCTTAGTGTCCTTCTGTTCCAGAAACTGCAGTAGAATTGTTTTAAGGTAAACAGTATCTGGGGCCCCAGCAGCTGCTGGTGAACCATTGCTTCCACTCCGGACCGAGTCGAACGAGCTACGACTCGAACTGGCCACGAGCTTGGTCTGCGCCGACTTAAGGTCCTTGGAAATTTTCTCGTACCGTTGCCTCGACTCCTCAAGCATCCGTCGAAGTTCAGCTCGCTGCTTCTCCACGTCGCGGACCTGCTTCTCGGATGCATCCAAGGCTGTTCGGAGCTGCGAAGCCGTGGTCCGAAGCTCATCGGTCTCGGCCTCGGCCTTCTCTTCGACTGATTCGAGCTCTTCCCTTCGTTTGCGCCATTCCTTTTCACGTTGCTCAAGCTCGTCTCGTTCGTGGGTCAAAGTCTTGACCTCGCGCTCCAGGTCCTTCAGCTTCTGCTTCAAATCCTCTGTCTCGCGTGTTTTGCGTCGTGCGAGTGTAGCCGACTCATCCTCAATCCGGTCTCGCTCCTCGACCGCTGCCTCCATTCGTGCCCTCATATCTCGTATCTTGTTATCAGCACGTTCGTCAACGTCCGCCAGGAGCCGTCGCATCGTTTCACCCTCGCGTGTTCTCTCTTGAAGCAGTCGCTGAACCTCGGCCAGCTCCTCCTCTAGCGATTCGGCTTGTGATTTAGATTCCTTTAATTGCACTGACATCTCAGCCGTCTGGTCTCGCATACTACTCAACAGGCCTTGGGCGTTGCTGTATTGCTGCGTCTTGAAGTCCGCTTCCTCCTGTGATGCCGCCTTCTCTCGTCTCAATTTGTGCATCTGCTCTTCCAGCTCATTTACCTTGGGTCGTAGTTTGCCTAGCTCGTCCTGCAGTGTCTGGAGCTCCTGCTCCGCCTTATCAGCTCTTGCACTGACTTCAACCTTCTCGGCCTCGCATCGGCGGAGGTCTCGTCCAGAGACTCGCTGGGCATCTTCAAGGCGAAGCTTTGCGTTAATCTCGGCAGTCACCTTCTCCTGCAGGCCCTTGATCTCCGTCTCACGGTCAGAGGATAGCTTCTGAGCACGTTCCAAGTCCCGCTTCAAGTCCTTCTCCCGTTTCTCCATATCCTTGAGTTCCTTAGTTTTGGTCGCGAGCTCCTCCTTCGTAGTCTTTAATGTGGCAGACTCTTGGCGGAGGCTCTTTAGCTCGGGTTGCGCCTTCTGTAGCACCTCACGTAGTTCTGCGAGATCCTTGAACCGATTTTGGGCCAATTGCTGAGCGGCACCAAGGTCGGCTTGCAGAGTCGATGTCTTTTCCTTAAGATCGTTATATTCAGTCTTCAAAGAGTCCATTTCGTTCTGCATTTTGGTGCTGGCTTCGGCATCTGATGTGGATGAGCTGATCTTCTTCTCCAGATCAGTGATTTGTGTCTTCAACTCCAACTTTTCAGCCTCGAGTTCCTTGATCTTGTCCTTGGCCTCGACGTGATCCTGGCCAATCGTGAGAAGGTTCTCTTGCAACGACTCAATCTCCTCTCGCAGATCCTCCTCCGTCTTGCGCTTCTTGCAAAGGCGGTCGATCTGAGTGTCCTTTTCGGTAACTTCTTCCTTGAGTTTGGCGATCTCAGCCTCTAGCTCGGCATTTCCAGCTGTCTCAGCAGGAACTGCTGGCTCAGGAGTGTCTGTAGAGTCTCCTGCTGGTAAAACTTGAGAAGGAGCTGTGGCACCACCAGCACCACCCTTACCCTTCTTTTTCTTGTTGTTCTTTTTCTTGCCACCACCGCCCGCCGCAGCTTGCGGAACTACAGGTGTTGGTGTTGCAGTGGGGGTAGGTGTTGCGGTCGTGGACTTTGAATCCAATTTCTTGGCCAAATCATCAATCTTGGTCTGGCTGTCAGCTTTCTCTTTCTTCAAAGTGTCAATCTGGTTGTTGAGGTCATCAATCAGCTTCTTGGAAATATTTTTAGCGTTAGAAGCCTTGGCCAACTCTGCATCAAGCTCGCTTGCGCGCTTATCTGACGATGCAAGTGAAACCTTGAGTTCGTCGACCTTGACGTTATGTGCGTTCTTGCCTTCTTCGAGTTGCTTGAGTTGCGTCTGCGACTCTTCCAGCCGTTCGTTCAGAGACTTGATTTCCTTATTGCGCTCATCAAGTTGAGCCTGCAAAGACTCCTTGGCGGCAGCAGCATCACGAGATTCGCTCAACTCCCGAGTAGCGTTCTCCAAGTTTTCAACTAAGCCAGCACTGGTCTCTCGAACTGTACTCAACTCTTTCTGGAGATTCTCGACTTCAGACTTGAGCTTCTCGATCACCTCAGACTTTGAGGCAACATCAGCCTGAAGCTGAGGGATCTCATCATCGTAGGAAAAGAACTCTTCGTTAGACTCCTTTGGTTCGGTGACCTCGGTGAGTGACTTTTGAGGTTTGTGCTTGGGCGAGAACATGCCAATGACAGAAGATACAGGGGATTTCGATTTCTCAATTTCCTCGGGGGGGATGTCTTCATGCTTGTCATTCTTAGCGTCCTTGGCTGTCTCCGAATCGTTGATCTTCGGTTGATCAGCATTGTCCAGCTTCAGTGTCGCCAACTCTTCTTCCAGCTTCTTTGTCTTTTCTTCAGCTTCATTGTGCTTCTTCTGAAGTTCCTCCTTGTCAGCCGAGATCTTCTTCAGCTCCTGCATCACCATATCACTCCGCAGGTTTACTTGGTTGAGGTATTCCACGAGGGCATCAGGATCACTGATAGAAGTTAAGGGAGTGTTTTCGCGGAGAGCCTTCTCGAACGGCTCAATCGCCGTCGCACGCCTATGGGCGACGCGGTAAGAACGAAGCAGTTCTAGGTATTGCGATTAGTTTATTGTGCCATAAGATATGCAACCTGGGGGCGTTGAGTTTACCAGGATATGTCGCCTCAAGCTTTTCAAGTTTGCGCAGCTTCTGACGAATCTCCGGGCTTAACTCCTGCGGCTTCGGTGTTTGTGGTTTAATTGCTGGAGTTTCAGCTACACCATCTTCACCCTTGTCGGTGCTGGCTTCATCATTGAGACCTTGCCCCTCTGAGGCCTTCTCTTCCGATGCACCGCCCGAAGCATTGGCGCTATCAGTCTTTTTCTCGTCGCTAGCGGTAGGAGGCAACGGGGTAGCAGCTCGACTTGGTTCGTCGCTATCGTCAATCACAAAAGCGGCTTCAAAAACGGCAGGATCAGGGTTCGGGGCGTCGCCTGCATCGGAGGCTTGTTTCCTGGACTTTGCGCGCTGGGCTGGCGTGCCATCGCCTTTGCGCGACGACGTCGAGCCTGTTCGAGATGGTGTTCTCGACTGGGTGGCTGTCTGCTGGCGGGCTTGCTCCTCGGCAATGGTCCGATCGATAGCGCTTTTGAACCGCTGTTGAAGTGTCAGCGGTTGCACATACAAGTAGAACGCATACAGCTATCACGGTAGAACTCACTTGGAACATGGTGGCTCCCTTGAGTCAAAGACCAACGTCTCAAGGGACCAAGGGACGCGCACAATTTAGGTAGTAATGTAAATCTTTGAGTCAGTAAATACGAAGAGTTAAATGAGAGTCCAGAAAGTTAAAGTGAAGAGAAGGGGAAGCAGCTCAACAAAAAGCCTTCATGACGATGAGAGACTGTTGGTGGTTGAACTGATGAAAGGAGTTGCAGGGTCTCTGTCTCGGGTGGCAGAGGCTCAGTGGACAGAGTTACAGTGCTTCTCATAAGATAGATCCGTCTTGAATTCCTGGGGTAGGATTGTGGCTTGGTTTTTGTGGCTTAGTTAGATCCTGCTTCAGCTCCACGTATTCAGGTACGTGTGAAAGTAGCCCCTTGGATGGCTTGAACTCTGTGAGCAAGCTAGGGGTCAACGAATAACGTACCTATCCGATAGATACCGTCTATCAGGCACTGTAGACGGCACTATCACGATGAAGGAGTTGCATCAAATTACCTAGTAGTACAAGGACTTCAGACGCTGCACGTTGAGTTGAGGAATCCGGCTTGCAATTTTTGTACTTTAATGTGTTCAAGAATCCGTGTTTCTAATACGACTATAGATCAAGAGGACAAATAAGATAAGTTAGGAAGAGATTCTGGTGAGACATGGTTTGCTTGGAATGGTAGGTTGTGAAGAGGCCTTTGCTCAATCAGAGTCAATTGGAAGCATATTTGAGGATATACTTGCTGTATGACCGGAGAAGCCACTCTCAATACTATTTAGATCCAATACATATATTTATTTGCAATACTCTGCGAGTCTATGAATGCAGTTTTACCTAATTTGTTCCTTCTGCCACTTACCTACCCTAGGTAGGTAGGTACCTAGGTAGGTTGGGTAGGTACCTACCTAGTAGGTGGTTAACCCTTGAGGCTGTCGCTCCCATTTTTAGTTGCTATCAGTGGAGCTTTCACAGGCCAGATGCCCTCCCTGTCTAAACCCCCCCGGGTCCTGGGTCCCGTCTTCAGGTTGCCCACATGAGCTGAGCTGAATGAGGTCACAACCTTGCACTTGTGACTTGGTTAATTCAACTTCATATTCTACCATTCCTTTACATCGTACCTTTTCTTGATCCTTCACTTGTCCATCTTTCCTTTTATCTTGCGACACTCTTCGCCCATATTCTGGGCATACTCTCCCTTACATCCCGGTCTTTCCTTCCGTTGTCTTCTTTTGTATACCTGGCCCTTCCCACGCTGTCACCTTGATCAGAATGGTGGCTTTTTGGCCATGGAGGGTGAGGCTTCGTCTTAGCAAGGCTTCGATACAACCGTTAACATGTTCTTGGTAGGGAGAATCCTCCGATACAGCCTCATTCGAAAAAACTCTCTCTACGCTATCGACCAAAATCACCGATGCTCAAGCCTCCCTCGACAACTTCCGCGCAAGCTCTCGCCGCGCTCGCGTCATCTGGACACTTTACCTAAGTTTCGCTTATCTCGTTTATGCGATAGTCCTTCTTCTCGTCGTCGGCTACAACGACCTCGGTGCTTTCGAATGGGGCGGCCTCACTGGTGGTCCAGTACTGTATGTTATTCGCCAGATATAAACAATGCGACTCTCAAGCTGACAAGACCCTGACAGTATCTACGTAACGCGCACGACCCTCGCCGCATACTACAACTTCCGAATCGAAACCCTTAGCGCTCGTCTTAGGGAGCATCAGCAAGAGCGCGCAAAGACTATCCAGAAACTCAAGGAGGCCACCAAATATGACTCCACCATGGAGTTGATCGAGAAGTACGGCGGGGCCGACAACAAGAGCAAGAAGAAGGATAGCGAGCAGAATGCAGACAAGGCATCGAATGGGAAGCATCAGCCTGCTGCCCCTGAGCAGGGTGTTCCGGGCCGAACGCGCATGCCTCCTCCTCCTACGGCCAACATCCAGCGGGCTCATAGCCCTGCGCCAGGTCCAAACTCGATGGAACCAGGTGCTGAGTTTGCACCCAACGCCGAATGGACAGGACCCCCTCCGCCTCCCATTGTCCCTGGTACCCCTCAACCCCCTCCTCCCCCACCACCGCAGAGAAGCTACTCCTCATACTCGACTGCTGCCGCTGAAACCCACTGGTATGACCGCATCTTCGATGTCCTCCTCGGCGAGGACGAGACTGCCCCCAAAAACCGTATTGTTCTTATCTGCCAATCATGCCGGGTTGTCAATGGACAGGCTCCTCCTGGAACCAAGGCTCTGAGCGAGCTCGGACAATGGAGATGCATGTCGTGTGGTGCCTCGAACGGAGAAATTGATGAAGGGAAACGCATTATGAACGAGGTCCTGGATGCTGCCAAAGGTGCCGATACCGATGGTGATAGTGTTCATGAAGAGTTCGCTCCTGAAGCCAGTGAGCCCCCTATGGTGGATGTAAGCACATCTGATGATGGCCCAGCCGCAAACACCAGAAAGCGCAAGGGCAAGGGAAAGAAATGAGATGTATTTAGCTACTATGTAATTCTACACGAGCACGAAGGTATTGACCAAATGTGGGAATGTGTTTATGGGGGTCATCTACTCAGGCTTTGAAAGTCACCTCTGCGAGGCTGTGATAAACTAAGCATGTACTCTTGCATGCCTGTACTCGACTCCCAGATAGCGAGGAACGAGTCACTGACATGCTCTAGCCATATCAATAATAACACTTCTGTGGAAAGCATTCATTGTGGCAGTCGGATCGAGGAGTGAGCTCGACGGATCTACATTTCTAAAGAACGGGTTGCTTCGTACATTTTTGATGGCGCACATCAACGAATTCTAGATTAATCGCTGTAAAACAAAGAAAGTCTATCATTTTCGGCCGCGTAAGTGATGACTAACTTCAACAACGCTGTTCTTTAGGTTTCCAAATAATACTGCAAGTCCAATTGTACCCAAGGTTTCGTCACGTCCCGAGCCAAAGTGCCCATTGGACAAGTATGAAGCTTCTCGTTGTCCAAGGAGCCAAGGTCCCATCCGGCCTTGTGTCCAGATAGATGCACAAGTGTAGTACCGCAGGTCGTGTGGATCATCAAACAAAAAAAGACCAGCCATCCACGTCATGTGGATGCCCTGGAATATCGGCTTGCGTTCGTTTGTTCCTCTGTATTCGACATACCCGAAGCGTCTATAATCCCTTTATCTCTTCCTCACCTCTGTCGCCCAGCCGTCAATGCCCTCGCCGCGGCCACCTACCTCCAAACCTTCGATCTTCAACCCTTTCATGCCAGGTGTGTCCTCCAACCAGACATGTCCTGCCATGCCACCGGCATTGGCACGTTTCTCAGGAACCAGCTCCAACATTGGGGTCAAGAAATCTGCAATACGCTTTGCTTCTTCTTCTTTGAAGTGATATTTCTCGCGTAGAACATCGGGTAGAGCCCAGTGCCTGAGCCGGTGGATGTTCCGCAACTCGCCCTTTCGATTGAAAATTTCTTGACTCCATTTGCCACTGAGGCATAGCGATTTGGGGAATGGCCCGAGAAGTTCGATGATTTGGGCAATGTGATCGTCGTCCTTGCCGTACTTGGTACCTGACTGGGGATCAAACAAGTAGTCACCTGTGATCAACTCGAACACCTAAGAATCGCATGATGTTAGAAAGGTACGGCTTAATCGGAAGATGAAAACTCATACCATAGCTGCCATACTCCATACATCAGTGCTAGCACCCCATTTGGAACCCAGGATCACTTCGGGTGATCTGTATTGTCTTGTCTGAATGTCGTTGGTGAAGTGATGATTGACCCAGCAAGCATTGCCTAGGTCTGCAATCTTGACGCTGATAACGTCGAAGGCATGCGCATCTTCCGCCTTACGCTTTTCGCCTGTTGAGGCAGAGGGTGAGTTCGACTTGTCAAGAGAAATACCCGAAACCTCTCGACTGAGAATATCACTTTAAGTTGATTGTCAGTGACTGGGGATTCTTTCTATTTTCAAAGCTGAACGACTTACGTTGACTTTTCTCGTTGCTTTTGGGCGTCATCGGATGGTTTAGGAGATGCTTCATTTGATGATTTGCCTGGGATGAGGTGTTAGACCGATATGTGTAGGGCACGGCATGCCTGCAGTGATCTTTGGGCGACTTACCATCGTTCAGAACACCGGCAAGACTGGAGTGGGGGGTTGGTGAGGGGAAAAGGTTGGACTGGTTAAAGCTAGTATTCAAGGGGGATGGGAGTGGTTGACTGCCAGTGATGAGAGTCCTCCGACGTCGCCGTCCGTTGCGGTTGTTCTCTTTCTCGGCGGCTTCAGGCTTGACAACGCGCTTAACAATCTGTTCGACATCTCCAATTTCGATGAGAACGTTTTCTGGCTTAAGGTCGGTGTGGATGATACCGCATTCGCGATGAAGGTAGTCGAGGCCGAGGAGTACCTGTTTTGTGATTTGTTTGACCAGGGGCATAGGAATACCGCGATGGTTCCAGCGCTTGATGAGACCAAGCAAGTTCTCTCCAAGCACCTCGAAAACCATACATACGTGGGTGCCGTGAGGTCCCTTGTGCTCAAACGAGTCCAGAAGACTGACAACATGCTTGCGACCAGGATGATCGGGCTTGGCTTGAACGATCTTGTTGAGAAGCTTGATCTCGTCGATGGCGGTCTCGGTGTAGTGGGCGGCAGATCGGACGACCTTGAGGGCGACATGTTTTCCGTTGGTGTTATCTCGGGAGAGCCAGACGGTCGAGAAGTGACCCCATCCTAACTTGCGAACGACCGTGTATTTTCCATCTTTGAACTTCTCTCCAACTTGCACTGGGTGGTAACCACCTTTGCAGTAGTCCTCAGAATCCTCCTCGTCTGCAGTGTTTTCGGCGGCGTCTTCGACGGACGAGGATGAGGGGGAGTGGGCCATGGCCGAGAGTTGATGGGATCTAGAATAGGAGAAAGAAGGTCAGTGAGAGCTCAAGATATGTGTCGAGATGCGTTAAAATCCAGCGCATAAAGACAAGACTTTGACGATGAATGAAAAAGGTGGCGGAGCCAATGCAATCAGATCAAACAACCACGGTCGCAAGATTTGGTGGGAGAGCGACGGCGGCGAAAGAGCTGATGGCCTTGCGCGTGGTGGGGGACCTTTGCCGGATTGGGTTTGGGTGTGGTGAAATGGCGGGGAAGCATCAAAACATCATCCACGACGATAACGTAGCAACGAGTCAAGACGTGCTGCCGCAATCCATCCATCCACCAGCGCAGTGAGACCCAGACTCTGAACTACAAGAAGTCCAGCAGCTAATCTTGGGCGCGGGCATGGAATAGAGAACCGTCGACGGGGTAGGGAAGTGCAACCTTGATTTGAGAAAGCTACTCATGGTGTCTTCACATGACGCAGCTTGCGCTGGTAATGGGTAGGGCGCTGGTTCTGCTTCGTTGCCCTCTGTGCGATACTCGCTGGCTTCAGGAGCACGCGCCCAAGTCGATCGGGTAGCGAAAGTGATTACAATCGAGGTGAGAGGGCGTAACAGATAAGCCGGTGAGCAGCGTGGCGGGCAATGAGCGGGGAATAGGGAGAGACGAGGAAGAGAACAAGGATCTTGTGAAAATGACGATGATGACAAGGCGTAGGTTGGGTGACGATAGCGGTTGCGGTTGTCTGTAAGCTGTGGCAAAGACCAGCGCGAGAGGGAAACGCAGGAAGGGGAAAATAATGTATAAATAAAGGCCAGGCCAAGGCGAGGGAGATTTGTTGGAGATTAACTAGAGGTCGGGGGCGTGCTCCTTGTCTTTGGTTCTGATTTGCGTCTCTTTTCTTTGACACTGACTCTGGGCTCAGCGTCTTTGCGGATCTGCAGTCGCTTGGCTTTCAGTTTTCTAGGGCCCTGCCAGAGACCATGGGATGGCTGGCACGCGGCGTAACGCGGAGCGTCCCGCCCGGCGAATAAAGGGTCTTTGCAGGCTCAAAACTCAACTGTCCAGCTCGCCAAGAACCCCCCAAAGACAGGGAATGGGATTGCTGAATGCACAGTGATGGCAGAAGGGCAGACAACTAAGTCAGGTCAGGTGGCAGTAAATCAGACAGCCATAAGAACAACCACCATCGCAATCACATTCCCATCTTCCTCCCTCTTCATTAGTCAAGAGTAGCTCCAGGCACATCCAAAGGTGCATGCGCAAGTGACATAGGGCACCCTCTACCTCTATCAGGGCAAAACTGGCCGAAATCAGGTACAGAGGACCCAGTGATCGATCGAGACATTCAAGGTTGGTGAATGCCCAAAATTTATGGGGTCGCGTCCTCCTATCGATGGAAGCTGGAGCCCAAGCACATGGGGCCCCAAAACTGTTCAGCCCAGAGGGGGCAATGCCACTGCGAGCAGTGTCCACACTTGTTTCAACCTGCTTCACTGCTGCTCGGGCTGTAAGGTGATGCAATGCCACGCCATATCTTGTTGAGTGGCCTTTGGAGAAGTGAATAAAATGTTGTTTGCTTTGTCGAGACCGCCATTGAATTCTGCACTCGCGAGACAAAAATAAATCGTGAATCGAGTTCCTTGCCTGCAGCAATGTTTTGCATGGCTAGACAATCAACAGACTTCGGTGCGCATCAAGTCCATTTTCGTTTTTTTGGCGATATCGGAGCGCACGCAAAAGTTCACCAGCGGTTTGAAATCGCTTGGGTGTGTAGTGTAGCCTGAGTGCCAGCGGTCCAGTTGATAGAGTAGAATAAGTCGTGGCCATGGTATCTTCAACGCTCAAAGGCATTGACTAGAATCAAGACAGGACGAAATGTTATGGAAATGGTGCAGAATGGTCAAAAACAACAAGACGAACAAGGAAATGACTGGCAACATACCCTTCTGTTTGGTTTGTACCTTCCATGGTGATGATAGGCTTCAAGTCCTTCTTGCGCTTTTTGGCCGCCAGACTGCTATTGTTGCTGTTGGAGCCGTTGCTGTTGGCATTTAAAGCCTTCTGGGGATCGGGAGACTGTGTGCCGTTCATTGTGTCTGGTTGTCCAAATCTACCTGCGCGCGATAGTGCAGGGTCTAAGTTATGAGGTGAGGCGAGGCCGGAAGGAATCTGGTGTTCGTATCGCCAAGCCGTCAACGTTATGTGTCGTGAAGTCGTTCAAGCGTCGCAATGTTTGTATTATGTATGGATGTAGGATGGATGCGACGAACGTCCAATTTCTTTGGGTTGGGCGCTGGTGGGATGGATATCGAAGTCGAAGTGGGGGAAGAGGGGTGTTTGTAAGTGCTCGATCGGCGGGCGTCGCAAATAGGGACCGTCTTTATTCTTCCGCTGCAATGAATCCCAAAAATCTAGCGACAACACTCAAAATAATTTGGTTGCGATGTTAGATGGAAACCGAGATAAGCAGGAGACGATTGCGGTTTTGGTGCGGCAATGGCAATGGCGTGGTAGATCTCTTGCAGCTCGTACAGGCAAAGATGTTGCGCAGTGGCAGCGCGGCGCAATAAGACCAGTCCAGCGAGCTAAGAGTTGCAATAGTAATTTGGTTGACCGAGTAATGGCTTGCGGCAACAGGGAGACGAAGATTCGGATGAACCGCGATAATTGAAAGAGGACGGAAACCTGGGTATGATCTAAAGTGACAAATCCTTCGGGATTGAGAATGCAGAGAAGGACGAAAAGAAATAACTATCTGGCAGCGGACGGAAACAGGGACGGGAGGGACCCAGAAGCCAGGGTCCCGGTTGATGGGCTGGGTTGGGTTGAGAGGAAGGTGAGAGATTCTTGCAGCAATGTACTACAGACGGGCCAACAACATTTACTATTAACTCCAGGCCTCGACGGCTTCTAGCAACAAGTGCAACGTACTAAGGTACCTTCCTACTAATCTAAGACACCGGGAAAACGGTGGAAACTCGATCTCCTACCTCGATATGCTTCACAACAATGTACTGAGAGACAGAAGAAACAAGACATGACCAAACGATAACAACAGTTATTCACTCAATGGTGGACGCTCCATGAATGGGAATGCATATAGTACGCATGTGGATAGGCCGCTCGGGTTGCAAGTCGGTTCACTTCTAAGTAAGGGGCTGGCTGACAAGATAATGACGATGCTTGTCACTAGCATCCATCTCGCAGCCAAAACTTGATCGATTGCAATATTAATCCCTGTACCTGATGATTGATGGATTCATGGAGAATTGAGGTGCATTGGAACAGCCAGCCACTTAGCGGCACTTGCTGGTGTCGGTTCACCACGATTTTCTCGCATCTAGCGCTAATGATCGTCTTGCGCGTGCTGATTGATTCGAGTATGGAACTGACGCCATCCTCTTAAAGGCCTTGCAGGGACTGTATAGGTATGGATGGGCGTGGGGTAGACTACAGGCGGAGAGTAGTCTACTTGTTCAAGCTGAACAAGACCCGACTGCAACTGCAGCTACCTAGATGTAACTTGGTGATTGCCTTTGCAAGGATGCAGCAAGTTTCGAATGGGGGTTATCCTGATAAGAATCTGTATTTCACTGCAGATTTGACTTATGTGTATTTTGAGATGGATATGTATTCTTCTCATTTATACTGGACATACCTTGCTTCCACCGATATTTGAGAGACTTTCTGGCCCTTTGGCTGCATCCTTGGATGCTGTCGAGCTACTCCAACCGCCCAAACCTTAGGCTTCACCAATAGCCGACCTGACGTCACCGTTCTGGGGATTTACCAAGGAACACTTCCCGAACGTGCACTCGTGAAACCCATATCCTGGGAATATCAGGTAACAATCTATCAGACTTATTCGGCTTAAACAATCTAGGACGGTGCTCCGTTATACAGGATCGGGGATTGGGGATCGTGTCCTCTACCTTTTTGAATAGCGAGCTGTTACTAGTATTATTAACTTTCAGAAAATCATAGGCTGAGGCTGTTTGCCATGATCAAACGTGGTGTCTAGCAGCTGTATAAATGATGAGCCAGGCCTGAGTCGGTACCATAGGTCATTCATCTCGACGGGCTGTCAAGCATGTGAAGCATTGTAAAGGCACGTGGCTTAAGGACCGGCCATGTCGTCTGTGTCGGCAGGACACGGGACAAACAACCCTGTTGCTAAAATCGGATTGTGAAGTATTGGGAGTGTAGAAATCAGTTCGCATTAACCCACAATAAAGGGCTTCTATTTAAAGAGTAAAATAGCCTTATAGGCGTGCGCCTTAAACGCCGAACCCAAAATCCGCCTCTACGTTCCATACTCTGTGATATGTACCAACTAATAGCTAACCGCCAATACGCTCCCCAGTGTTGATGTGGCTTCAAGATAGGATGGCGCCAGTCGTCTTAGTTGGCTCGCTTCTTGCTCTTTTGTGTCATCTTGCGGAATGCCTCCATGCCACCAGCACCAAGGGGACGATGGTTGGAGCCTTGGCTTCCCATGAATGTGCTCTGAGGAGCAACAGTGTAGCTCGAGGGCAGGTTGACCATACGGGCTGAGTTGTTGCCGCGTGAAGGAGCCAGGAGGCGCTCACGCTCGGCTTCCTTAGTATTGGCCGCAGGGCGTTGCGATAGACTGAATTGCGAGTTGGTTTTCTGGCGTTGTGCCATTTTAGCCGCACTAATGATTTGGTTAGCAAGTACATAATCCAACAGGGCAATGGCCACACGCACTCGTAATCATAATCCCGAGTCTCAATCTGTCGCTTCTTGTAATCATCGGTTCGGTTGAGGATAGGTCGACTCCATTCGCCCAGCAGACGCTGGGCAATTCGCTTGATCGAAGGCTCGGGCTTCTTACTTCGAGTGTAGAAGACGACGACCTTTCCAATACCACTGCTTAGGAGTGCTTCCTTCTCAATGTTCATCTTAGCAAGAGCGTTAAAAATGTCTCGCTGGATGTTGTACGCCGGTAAAGACCCATCGTTCAGCGGCTCCAAGAAGAATTTGACATGTTGCAGGAAGTTGGTGTCCGGATCAAGGACCTCATGCTGGACGTTGTTGCGGTTCATGATAGCGGTGACTTCAGGAAGAAGCTTCAACTTGTGAAGGGCTGGTTGGCCAGCCTCACGAGCCTGATTATCGGACTGGCATGCACCCTCCATGCGGACCTTCAAATCCGCTAGCAAGTCGTCGATCTCGGTCTCAAGATCCTGTGAGAATAAGAGTTAGCTGCATCTCTCCTTGCACATGTATTAGAACCCTTACAATCTCATCCCTCTTCTTGCGCTTCTGGCCGCTTGGCTTCTTGATCGCTGCATCAAGAGCTCTGTCGATAGCCCTCTTCCGTCGCTCTTCTGGTGAAAGATGCTCTTCATTCTCCGGTTCCGGTGTGGTAGCTTTGGACTTGGGGCGGCGTTCTCCATCGCCACCCGCACGCCTTGACCTTCGGGACTTTTTGCTTCCATCATCTGCATCATCCATTTCAACATCTTCATCTCGATCTCGACGCTTCTTGTCTCGACGGCCCTCACGAGGCTTCTTTGGAGCCTCTCCTTCAGCACGCTTCCGCTTGGTTGCCTTCAGTGTGCGAGCCACATCTTCGTCGATATCCACGGGACGATTTTCGATGTTGGCAGTTTCAGGGTCGTAGTCCTCAAACTGATCTTCGTCAACTTCGGACAGCGCATCCGAATCGCGGTCAGAGTCGGCAGCGGCTACGGCATCTTCGTATTCCTGTTCCTGGCCATCATTGACAGGTTCGTTGGCGTGCTCGCCGACTGGGGAATCTCTCTCGGACATTGTCGCGTCGTCGATCGCGTCGGAAGTGTTCGCAAATCTCTTTCGGACAATCGAATAGTAAGTTTCCTGAGTGAGAGAGTTGCTGTAAAAAGGTGCTTATACGTGCTGCCAAAAGTCTTTGAACTAAACACTTGGTAGGTAAAGGAACAACAATTCGCAAACCTTCAACTTTCTCTGTCTGGCTGGAGCCGCCACAGATGTGAGGCGCGACCCCTGTCTGCTGACATAACCACAAAGCTCCGCTAGCAGCCTGAGGCAAGTGACCCGTCTCTTTTGTTTACTTTGGTCTCTTTGGTTGCCATGGATGGATGAATAATTGATGGATTCGGTGGCAGCTGCTTTCATTCACCAGAAAATCACCTGGATATCGAAAAAAGAAAAAAGCCCTCCCACTCGTCCAGGAAAATCCTACACCGTAACCATTCGAGCTACTCAGTGGCTATTAATCGATTATGGATCGTCGAACTTACGAAGGTCCCATGGACTGGGAGTATCAGGACAGCGGCCCTTTTGATCCTACCAGTCCCTTTACACATGCAGCCAAAAGTAATTCGCAGAATGGTAAGTTGCGCCGTTGAAGAACTGACTCCATACGATTCTCGACAAACTATAACGCTCCGAACTCCGCAGCTAATAGTTTCATCTGCAGTCTTTTCTTCCCCTTCAAAACCGAGCTCAAGACCAAACCCTTTTGCAAATTTAGGGACACCTTCTAGAGCACGACCACCCCAATCATCATTTTTCACGCCTCAAGTACCTCCGAAAGCTGCTGCTCCCCCGTTCCGAAATCCTGCTTTCACGACGCCGAGGCGACCCTTTGAAGATTTGGCACTGTCTGAAGCTTCCGGTGCAGAGGATAGTCCTGCCCAAACAGAGGTGTCAGACTTTCCCAACGATACTCCTGAGGTAGATCATACGAGCGATATCAATATGGGTGGTATGGCAAGTCCTTCTAAAATCGACAAGTCGTATCGGTACAATAAGGCCCCTTTCTCGAGCAAGAAGCACACCCCTGGCCGAGGCGAGATCAGAACAAGTCGGGATCTTTCTGTATCAGAATTCATTCGCAAAAGGAAGCGGCATAATCTCGATAGGGACGTCAGCAATATCACTCGACATCGATGGACAGAGTCAGACTCCGACTCGGGTGATAGTATCGCACCACGACGACGATCGCGCGGGAAGAAAAAGACAAAAGAAACGCCGAAGGGTTTCCTGGGCTCCCTATTTCACGTACTGGACGAACACCCGAACGCCCCCGATAATCTCTATCGTTGGGTAAAATTACTCGTCAATTTTTTCCTTGTCTCAGTCTTTGTTTATATTGGCTGGTCGATCGTGAGCACTATCAAAACCGATATCGAGAACGCGAATGAGATGGCACGCATCGAAATAATGGGCAGGATTACAGAGTGCCAAACCAAGTACACCATCAACAGCTGTTCAAATAACGATCGCCCGGCGCTCCAGCCATCCTGCGACGAGTGGTTCGAGTGCATGACGCAGAACCCTGAAGCCATCATGAGAGTTAAAGTGACAGCGAAGCAAATCGCGGAGATCATCAATGAGTTTTCCGACGCCATGAATCTTAAGGCTTGGGTAAGCTATTTCCGGATAATGACCAACAATTCATAGCTAACAATGGCCAGGGTTTCTTCTTCGCTGTACTCATATTTTGTGCCTTCGCCAACAACTTTTTTCTGGGCGGATATGTCAACAAGCCGGCGCCGCCTGTCCAGTCCCAACCTGCTGCTCCATCACGCGAGCCATCGATGGTCCCGGAGAGCGGTCCTGGATTCATGTGGGTTCCAGTACAAACACCTAGAATGAAGCGTCATATGATGCTCGACGAGGGCACTGACACGGACAATACACCCCCTAAGATGAAGACTCTTCTCCCACCACCTTTCACCCCTTCGATTCGTCGAAGCCCTAGTAAAGGAGATCGAGGCCGTAGCCCTGTCAAGAATCGGAGCCCTAGCAAAGGCCGCCGGGAACCATTCGCATAGTGGTTTAAAAACACACGAATATTTCTTTTGTTGATGTAGCCTGAGAAAGTGGGAACTGTATAACATAAATGCATAGGGACGGGCGTATAATACACATGGTGGCGGTGAAAATGGTGTTTGGACAACCAGGCTATGGTATTAGGTTGTGGGAAATATGATCAATGTTGGGATAATTATCAACTATCAATTATATTCGTAGAGTGCTATTCTGCATATCTCTAAGAGAATAACTGACTGACCATCTATTTTGATATTCTCACCAGTGATAGGAAATGCTGTTGGTTAACCTGTAGAATGGGAGCTTGATGTGGATGGAGTGCAGTTAATGTGGAAGCCAGCTGAATTGACTTTAGGGCGTCTCTGAGACTGCCTCCATCAAATGCCGATGACGTACTGTGGGGTAACTGGAAGACTGAGTGAGGTAGGTCTCTGGTATTGGGTAAAAGATGGTCAACTTGTTTGGAACTGGTAACTTATACTGTACCGGCAGGGGACAGTAAAAGGCTTGGCAATGCTGCCGCTTGCTTCAAGAGTGACATTGGCTAGGAGAAGACAGAAACATGGCGGATTCTTTTTTTTTTTTCGCAAGATACAGTACTATCAACTACTCTCCAAAGATTCTTTACGTTCATCATACTCTGGGGTAATGTCAAGTCGAGTTGGAAACACCGATATCTCTGACATCATTGTCGCAGGGGCAGAAAACCTACTTTGTCCAACATATCCAATTGAATTGCGTGTATCGGGCTCCAAAATGGCCATCCGTTTTATATCCATGAGCATCAATTTCGATGCGAAAAAGCCAAGATGATGGGGATGGTGGGCTCAAGCGAGGCGCCATGCAAGGAAGAATGCGCAATCTGGGAGGTTCCGCATCGATCCAATGGGATGGTGAGGATGACCAGGAGGTCGAATCGGGCTTGAATGAGGTTTGGGAGCTATTGACATCTGACATGACAAATGAAGCATTATACTGTCGAATGATTTTAATAAGAATTATTGAAATCTCCGACATCACTCTTAGATTTGAGAGAGGATCGAGAAAGCATTATAATCAAGTATTGCAGAAGAATAGGCAGTTCAATTCTTTCTAGACTCGATATGCAGGACAATCCATGGTTATCTTACTCAACTACCTACACGACAATGAGATGAATCATACTTTGTCTCCTGCAACATAACGCCAAAGGGAAGAAAAAGTGAAGACAGGATTTGTGGTTAAGAGACTAGCAATTTACAATATAAAGTGGCAAGCAATAGGAAATCTTCATGAACGACAGTCGACTGCAACATGACGACTGGCTGAACGCATTTATCCACTCAAGCCATATTTTGGAGGATGAGTCTGAGCAAACTTGATGCCTATTTTGCATGGTGTTTATTCCTCCAGTCTACAAATACCGGCAAAGCAGCTTGTGCCTCGGATTACAAACACAGGAGTGCTCTTGCAGATTAAAGAAAATAAAGTTCGTCGTGTCCATCCTTGGACCATCAAAAGCGGAACGACCCCCGTCATCACAGCAAGAAAGATCGATCGTACTGTACTTCCGCCCCAGGCAGATCACGCTCCTCACTTCTTCCTGTGCAATATTCACTGTCAGTCCATGTTTCTCTGGCCTCTCCAATCCGGTATTTATTTTGTCTTTGTTGACACTTCTGAGACGATCTCAAGTCTTCCCGGCGGCGCGAGATGAAGCTGTGCTAAACCGAAACAGCCTCTTAGCACCTCTGATCTCCTACTCGACTATAGAGCCGCAAGATCGGAGTATACAGCATCTATCTGCGAAAAGAAATCCCCAAGAAAACGCAGGAACAGAACCCATAGAGCTAAGGCTGCAGAGCAAAATAAGGGCTACAACGCGCTGCAAGCCGAAACGCTTCGTTACGGTTCTATCCCTCTATTGAAGCCGGCCCGAACCTAGGATTGAGGGCGAGGATAATCGTGGTCGCAGTCACATCCATTGCTTTACGTCTCCTCTTTTCCGTTCTGTTTTACGGTTTTACCAAAGAACTGACAGCCCGTCTCTCTGTTCTGTCGACTTCCGTTATCTGCGCGACATTTCCGCTTTTAGTCTAATTGTAGACTGCCTATTTCATCATTGCCCAATATTGCTACGGTTCCATCACCCTAGCCGTCAATTCATGCCGTGCATTGACCACAGCCTGCACAGCCAAACAGCTCTGGGCTTGCTTGGTTTCTAGTACCGGCGCCATCGACGATCGAGTGGACACCGATTATACCTCCAGCTCCTTACTGCATCGTTGATCCCTCCTGCAAAACGTAAAATACGGCAACAAGAAGAAGAAAATTTATTGTGCGGTTCAAGGCGCCGTTGATCCGTAACATCTTCACGCCCAATTTCTTCTCCCTTGGTTCGTGGACCCGGTCATAAGCTCCCTCCGCCCCTAATCGCATTCCACCAACTTGTGAGCTTCAAAGCTCACCTCTACCTAGTTCGGTTACGTCGTTTCTAGCTAGGTCAACAAATGCGCAGTTCCTGAACTGGTTACCTAGCAATTAACTACAATTCGCTGCGACTCATTCGAATCAATTGCGAGAACTTAGGTCATCTCCAGCGCTGTGTCTCCGCATCGCATTCTCCCCGCCACGAGGCGTGACGCGACATACAAATCAGAAGTCCTTCAGGTAGCAGCGGCCCAAGGTATCCTTGACCCTGGCGCCAGAACCAGCGCCGCATCTTCGGTACCCAGCAGAGAAAACGAGAGTTGGAAATTTCAAACTCAAGTTTTTACTCGGACGATACCATCACGACTTCACTCGCAGCATGTCCGATTGCGCCGCATCCTCCGCTGTCGCCCCTCCAAGACCTCATCCCACCCGAAGCTCGTCGAGCTGAAGGCAGGATCTTAAAGCTTAACGATAGACGCCGGGCTCGATTCGCACACGACTACTACGAACCTACTCTTTCTCCATTTGGCTTTATTGCATTTGCGGTAGTCTAGAGATTAGGCTACAGTTCGAGAGATGGATGTAGACAACGAGCATTCAGACGGCGGTAGTCAACAGCCGCCCAGCGCTGAACACACACCTCAAGGAGCTTCTGCGCAAGCCGGAGGAGCTTCAGGAAACCCAACCCCCACCTCAGTTCAGTCTTCCAACACGCCCTCGACTGCATCTGGCAATGCACCCATTGTCACCCATTCACAGAACTCTAAACGTCGACGAGGACTAGGTGTTGTCACGCCCAATGCCTGCACGGAGTGCCGTAAGAAGCGTGCCAAGGTACGTAGCCAACTAGTTTAACTTCCTTTTGCCTTTATCTGTCTTGATTCATGGCAATCGCTTGTGTGATTTGTGCATGATGTCATGCCTCGACAAATCACGCTGTCTAGTTTGCAATGGAGACTATCAGTTGTTCTATATATCTCGTTTCCACCGCGCATCGTTTGCACTTGTACGGACTCTTTGCTAACAATCACTGGGCAATAGTGCGACGGCAAGAAACCATGCGGGCGTTGTAGAGCGCAAAAAGACGTCGAGTGCGTATACGAGATACCCGTGCGCCAATCGAAGGAAAACTTACGTACCGAAATCGAGACTCTCCGCCAAAAACAACGTTCAAGTGATCAAGTCTTCGCTGCGCTTGTTCGACCGGAGCTATGGGAAGAAGTTCTCACGCGACTTCGAGGTGGCCAACCGATCGAGAACATTTCAGAATGGCTAGCAAGCGTGCCACCGTCCGGAGGGGGTCGAATGCCCAGCTTTCCCCCCCGATCTGAAGGACCTACAATGGGGCCCGCGCCAGGTTTCCCTGGAGGCGGACTGGGAACGCTGGCAGCGATGAGTCTTGGTGTGAACCAGGTCCCACCACAGCAGCCTCCCATGAGGGAGATGGGCCAGCACAGTCCATGGCATTCTTCGTTCCATAGCCAGACCGGGTCGACCAGGAGCAACTCCCATCCAGATGTTATGAATTGGACGCCACAAAATCGAGTCGGATCTTGGGCGGAAGGGATGCATCCTGAACAAATGTCAGATGGCATGCCACGATATCGTGGTGTTGAGCAGATTCTATCGCCTCTAAACGAACCAGAACTCCGAACGCCGACTTCAACGTGGACCGCTCTTACTAGCGACAGTACTCTGGTTCAACATCTTCTGGCGTTGTACTTCTGCTGGGAGTACCCGACTTTTGCGTCTCTCAGTAAAGAGCATTTCCTACAGGATTTCCAAGAAGGTCGAAACCGCTATTGCTCACCAATACTTGTGAACGCTCTCCTCGCACTGGGCTGCCGTTTCTCGACTCAACCTATGTCTCGAGCCAATCCAAATGACCCATATACATCGGGCGACCATTTCTTCAAAGAATCATTGCGACTTTTCTCGCAGGAAACAGACCATCACTCACTGACCACGATTCAAGCTCTGGGCATAATGTCAATCCGAGAAGCTAGTTGCGGGCGGGATTCAGAGAGTTGGTATTACGCTGGCCAGAGCATTCGTCTGGCCATCGAGATGGGGTTGCATAGAATAATGGATGAAGGCGATGAGGACGAACTTGCTGTGCAATCAGCAACCTTCTGGGGAGCTTTTGCACTAGATCAGTATGTTTACTTTTATATCCGTGGGATGTTTGTGTCTAACCTATCTCTGCAGTGCATGGTCCCTTGCCACAGGCTCACTGCCGCAATGTTCCTGCTTCCCACGCCTACCCCCCAAACCAGCGATAATAGGAGACATAGAAGCTTCTTTGTGGGTACCGTATACTGATGACGGTGAGTTGCTTGCCCAACGATGCCGCAATGAGTTGCTAATTGCGCCAGGGGCTCCATTACAACGGTCTTGCCAGCAGCCTTCCAATGTACGATCTGTATATAAGTGTTTCTGTGAACTGAGCGAGCTCGTGCACCAGTCTCTGTATATTCTGCATTCTCCGGGTAAACCTCTTACAGCAAGAGAGCTCTTGAGCATGTACACGCAGTACCTAAACTGGTATGATAGAATCCCCGAGGTTCTTCGGCTGGGGCACAACTTTACCCCAGCTGTGCTGTTTGCACAGTGAGTTAAAATTCCCTTGTCAAGATACGATACTGACCAATAAAAGCATGTACTATCATTTTGCTATCCTACTCTTATTTCGACCTCTGATCAAGCTGCGAATCATTGGATCCAAAGTCGCTCCTCGCGATGTTTGTTCCCAAGCAGCCGACGCTATCCAAGGTCTTTTGAGGTCATATTCTTCCCTTTACACCTTGCGAAGAACCCCCTCATTTGTACCGTATTTTGTCCTTACGTCAGCCATCATGCACTTGGCGATTGGTGCAACGAGCGTCAATCCGGAGGCCACTGAAGCCGACATGGAGAAGGCGGTTAAGGTCGATCCTCGCGTCGCCGAGTCTATCACCCAAGGCATATCAGATCTTACTGAAATGGCCCCTTGCCACCAATTCGCCGAACAGGCGCTCAACATATTACGCTATCTGGCTGCGAAGTGGAATATTGACGTCGAGAATAATGCCGATAAGCTCACAGCCGAGGAATACGATCGTCTAGTGCTGCCACAAACTGGAAGTCTGAACTTTTTCTCTCCAAATATGCGCGAGGGAGATATAACGTGCCAATGGGGTGCAGGAAACTTTATGCCAGGAACGTCGGAACAGTCGCCTTCGGCCCAGAAGGTGGGGGACAATATGGAAAACCCCCTTTTCTGGCCGTTTCCTATGCAAGGCCGGCCTATCCTTCCTGATGGCCTTGAACTGGAACATGCGGGCTTTGCCATACTCTGATGATGCACGAAATGGCTGTCCTTTTAATCAAACCACGACCGTCCATTATTAGCGAGTGGATATGCAAATACATGTATTGTACAGGAGTAGACCGGGATCTAGTCTAGGTCGGTGTTCTTTAGGCGAAACGGGCTCAAAAGAAATGCGGCGGGCATTTTCTGGATGAGGGCTTTGGTCTGCTGAATCATTATGAGATTTCCAAAAGCGAGTTGTCAATGATTCATTCTGTGGAAAACTAACATCCCGTGTAAGAGACAACGCATCCACTGCAAGGAGTTATAGGCTTTCATCACATTTCGCATGAAGCGGATGTTAGTGTACAGTATACCCCCGAAAGGAATGAAATCATCAACTCTACTCTCTTACTCATAATCAATATTAAAGCCATATTTGCCCGTGTGTATGGTTCAAAATAGTGGACATCTTGTTAGTTGGCACATTCGATTACTCCCTGTGTGGAAAAGGTCTGGAAGTAGTTGCAAAACAGACCCATGAGCAAACAAGGAAACAACAAGGCAAGCTGACTCTAGGTGTTCACATATTGCTCGTACAAAACCGAGTAAGTACTGATGCGAAGATTGTTCTATGCGTACGGCATCGCTGTTCCGCCTTGAAGGCCTTATCAACCACGCACTCAAATGCAATGCAGAATTCCGTTCACACCTTCATGCTGCATAAAAAGAAAGCAAGACGAAGACACAAACACACGTGATGATGCCTGCTCATCTGCATATCTATGCACTGTATATAAACTTCTTGATATATTAATGGATTGAGAAATCAAGGGCAAACTGAGGCTGCTGTCCGAGCCGTCTGCAGCTTTCCGCCGCTACGCTTATGGGCAATTTTACGTGACTCAGGGTCAATTCTTTTGTTCGCATCCCCCATCTGATTTATTGTTTAATCTATACCATAGAATATGACAAGGCCTGTCTGAAATCTAGGGGTTTTCCTTTCTTCTCAAATGGTTATCCCGAACTCTTGATCGAGGAGTTACCAAAAGATCCCTGAAAACCACCACACTACCGACGTGCCTACTTGACGACAAGCAAGTAATAAAAGCATAACGATCCATCATTGCTTCAACTTGGACGTAACTTTGAGTACATGAGGAAGGTGATCGGGTGCTGCTTGAAAGGGTAAGAAGTTCTGATTCCTCACTTCTCAAGCATGAACTGATTGTCTTTGAACAGAATTCATTATCGACGAGTGAGAAATAATCGTCTCGCCTTGCATAAAATCGACTAAACCGAAAACAACTACTATTGCACTATCACGACATCTTGGCAAGGCATTTGGCAGTTTGGGATATCAGCTGCGAGAGCGCCTCTGCGTCCTTAGGTTCCTCAACAACAACTGTCTGCACTATCAACAACTTTACAAGTAACAATAAAACACCGAGGTTAAAAAGCAAGAGCGTTCATCACTAAATACCTACCTATCTTACATTCGCTGGAACACCTAGTACCCAGGCAGTATCATGTCCCGGATGCTTTAGTAGGTAGGTGCAAAAGACTTCGGCGGTCACTGCGCTTCCTCAGAACGGGAAGAAAGAAAGGACAACCCCCTCTTACCTCAGAACAAGAAACCTCCAAATTATTTCTCGGCAAGAGATACGGGCTAACGGTATTAAAATTTTCATTTAATCGGCACTAGATACTTCCAAGGGCCCGTCTTGGACCTGCAGAGATCTGTTAGGCAGGCACCTGGCAGCACCTGGCAACAACTGCCTCGACTACCTCAACATTCAACCCATCGTGCCTACCTATTGGCTGAGGGGGAGGCCCATGCTTCTTGCTTCCTTCCTCTGCTGCGTCCTTCCTTCTCTCCGGGGCCTTACCTATCACATCTTCCCTGCCTCTCGTCGTCACCTCTCTTCTTCTCGCCTCTTCCACAACACATCGACTGGCCAGCTTTCACATTCGAGCTTCTACGAATTTCTGAAACTTCTGAAAAGGGTCAATGTCATCTAATTCCTTGAAGTTCATCACTCAAGACTTCTCCCTTCAACATTATCATCCAGTGTCTGTTTGACTCGTGCTTGCGAATCTCTCTTCTTTCTCGCCTTCTCCTACTCCTCACCCTTCAAGCAGAACTCACCTTCACTCAAAATACTCGAATTATCGAACCACTCGAAATCTGTTGGTTCTGCTGCATTCTCTTTTACACCATACAACTTCCGCCTGCTCGCCTTCCCCTTTCCTCTCCGTGGTGACTGTTGTCGCACTTCAACTTGCTTCTTATCTGGAAAATCCTGTATACAACTGAAATAAGTCCGATACTTATTTGTTTCCAAAATGGGTCGCAGATGCGAGGTGAGAATGAAAGCTCCAGTTTATCAGGACATACTAATACTGGCAAGGTTTCGAGGGATGAGACTATAGCCCGGCATGTTCAGCACAGGCACCGTACCGATCCCGAGAGTCGACACTGGTCAACCTCCCCGGAATTACCTCAGCCAGAAGAATTGATGGCAGTAGAGCCTGCTACACTTCCTCGAGGGCCTTACCAAGAGGAAAACTTTGACAAGCAAGCATACCTGGAGTTTCATTACGCGACGAGCCGTTTTGAGGGCGTCGAGCTCTCGAGAAGAGCTATCCAAGAGTTTAGAGAAAGACCTCTAAAACAGGATTCAGATGACTTCCACGTTTACACTCAAGTTGGTTCTCTCTTCCTCACCCCCTGCTCTACTTACTTATATACTACAGGTACATGTCCAGGGTTACTTGCTTGCTAGAACTGGACCGGCGTGTCAGGTTTCCTTCTCAACCGAGTGCTCAGAATCAAAGATAGTATGGCACCAATCTTCCCGTCTGGCCACTGGCAAGCTTGTTGCTTTGTCTCCTTCCTCAGACAATTTCAAGAGCCAATGTTTTGTTGCAATAGTTGCAGACCGAAGCATTCTCGGTGGATTGGAGCCAGACTTTGAAGCTGGTGAAAGCGAGAACACTGCACCACGCATACAAGTATTCTGGGCCAGCCCAGATGCTGCAGTCATTGATCCATCTGTTGAGATGGTGATGCTCGAAACTAAAAGTGGCTTTTTCGAGAGTGTCCGTCATGCTATGGTTGGGCTGCAACATGCGGCTGAGTTCGAGTAAGCATTTCCTTTCCTTTGTCCAAAGCTACTGTGCTAACATGCGTGTTAGATCGAAGTTTGACAAATACATTATTGATGGCTTCAAGAAAGAATGTACTGCAGCCTTCCTGACCGAAGATCCTAAACTGGTTATTCAGATCCCAGAAAGGGCTAGAAGCTTCGATGCTTCTCAGTGGGAAGCATTTAACCGAATGACTTCTCGACAAGTCGCAGTTGTTCAGGGCCCTCCAGGCACTGGGAAAACCTTCACATCGGTTGTTGCCCTTGAAAGTTATGTTCGTACTCTCAAAGCTGGACAAGGATTCCAAACTATTCCGCCCGTCATTGTCGCTGCCCAAACCAATCATGCGCTGGACCAGCTCCTGGAACGTTGCCTGAGTTTCGAGGCTGTCATTGCTCGTCTAGGTTCTCGGACAGAGAGTGAAGCTATTAAATCTCGAACTCTATACAACATTAGGAAGGACTCCAAATTCGCTCATGGCCCTATAAAGGGTGCGAATCGAAAACTTCAGCAAATTCAGAAAGATATCAGAAACCTTCTTGAGAAGTGCTTCCCCGCCGAACTCATTGCAGCAGACGAATTCCTTGCCGAGGAACTGATAACGCAAAACCAGTACGACTCACTCAAGGACGAAGAATATGAAAATGCACCCATAGATCGACAGGACAACGATGAGGCAATTGATTCCATAAAGCAATGGCTCGGTGTATGCCTTGAACCAGACGAGACATATGTCTATCGCCCTCCTAGAGGCCAGCGAGAACCTCCTGAGGATCAAAGCCATGCTGTCGACGAATCGAAACAGGAGAACGACACGGAACGTCTTCGAGGTATCTTCGTCCCTATTAAGTTCCATATGACTGGTTCTATCCCAACGGCATATGCGAACAGATATTCTCTACACTCTCGAGCAGGGAAACTACTCCAGAATCACCAGGATCTATACGAAGTTGATCAGACGCAGCGGGGCTTGGTATATCGATACCTGCGAGAAAGACTCATCAATGCAAGAGCCAAACGCTTTCCCGAACTGATCAAAGCGTACCAGGTGGCATGTGACGAGAACAAGATCGCGAGCTGGACAAAAGACGCCAAAATGCTCACAAATGAAAAGATCGAGATCTTGGGTTGTACCACAACCGGGTTGACCAAGTATCGTGGCTTGATCGCGGCATTGAATCCTCGAATATTGATGGTCGAAGAGGCAGCTGAGACACGAGAAGCGAACATAACATCGGCATTATTCCCCAGTCTTGATCAGATAGTTCTGGTTGGAGACCATCAACAGCTCGTTCCACGGGCCGATGTCCGCGAACTGGATTGCGAGCCTTACAACATGCACATCTCACTGTTCGAGAGGTTGGTAAATCTTGGACTGCCATATGCAGTGCTTCAGGTGCAGCGCCGTATGGTGCCATCCATTCGTGAAGTGGTCAATGTATTTTATCACAAGCTTACAGACCACCCCTCGGTCAATGATCCGAAAAACCGACCTTCTATTCCAGGGATGGGAGGTCAAAGCCTACGATGGTTTAATCACAGTTGGAATGAAGCTCAAAACACCGATGACTTCTCATACTTCAATGCCACAGAAGCGAAAATGATCGTGTGTTTTGTTCGATATCTCATTCAGAACGGTGTCGCCCCCAACCGGATAACCATATTGAGCTTTTACCAGGGCCAGGTCAATGTTCTGCTAGAGACTCTGCGAAGAGACTCAACCTTAGCAGCCAAGAATCCGACAAAAGAATGGTCCGTCAAAACGGTAGACGGCTTCCAGGGCGAGGAGAATGATATAATCATCCTCTCCATTGTGCGGAGCGCTCGCCCTGGCTTCGTGCAGAACCAGAACCGAGCCGTCGTGGCACTTAGCCGCGCAAAGTGCGGCCTGTATATATTCGGAAATGTCTTCAACCTATTGCATAGTGGGGCTGAAAGTTACCAGACCTGGTCGAATGTCTACGATGTGTTCGTGGAGCAACGTTGTATCGACGACTCTCTTCCAGTGACATGCGAGAACCATAAGGCGCAGACCAGCATCTCCAGCATTGAGGACTGGGATCTTATCGCTGGAGGCGGTTGCAAAAAACTGTGCGAAGGGAAATGCATAGAGGGACATCCATGCACCTCAACATGTCACCCTTTCGAGGAAGCAGATCGCATTTGCAGTCACCCTTGCGAGCGCACTCTCGGTTGTGGTCACCAGTGCAGCGCTTTGTGCGGTGAGCCATGCACATGTGGTAGCTGCAAGAAGAAGATGCCTGTTCGACTTCAACGAGAGCCACGAGCCCAACAAGCCCAACGAGTGGAAGGTCTACAGGCTGCCTGGGGAAAAGCAGATGGAAGGCGAACAAAAACTATGAATCGAAATGGCAGAGGTGGATCTCATCGTGGTTCTGCCCATACTGGACCTTCGGCATCCGATAGAAGTGTCGTCAGAGTCCGCAGCCATAGCAACGAGCCAGACATGCTACTGGACCAATCTGCCCCTGCAGTAGAGCCTACTATCGAAGAGCCTACGAGCGAACAGTTAATGGAGACAGGGTATTATGCCGAAGGGGGTCCTGCCCGATACCATGCGCCAAGAACTTCTGCGGCCATTCCATACCCTGACATCAGCTCCCTTTCGTTGAAATGGAGTCCAGAAAAGGTTTCGCAGAAAGAACAAGAAGCCAAGCGAGCGGTACAACAAAGCAGCCCTTGCGCGACTACCATCACAACTGCATTCCGCCCAACGACGATGGGAGTAGATGGTAGTCGGCGATATGGCCCGAAATCCTTTTCTAGTCACACTACTCCAGCTCCTTCCCCGACAAGAAGGCAAAACTTGCTCGATGCCGCTGCTGGACAAGGTCTCGATGAGCAGGAAGGAACGACCACGAACCTAGTGGCTACTAGAAGTGAGTCCCCCGATGATGAGGACCTCATCAGTTTTGATCAACACGATGAACAGCCAGGAACGAATGTGGAATCGGTAGCTACCAGGAGCGAAACCTCCGATGATGAGGACCTTATCAGCTTTGATTGAACGGTGCGATGGCAGAGTCGGTCATGTTTATGAGTATTCTATGGACTGATGGCCCCTGAGATAGAAGTACAAAAGGCTGGCAATGTATTGGGATGGGTAAGCAGTGTGTTCTGACAGGGTGCAAAAAAAGGATCCCTGAGAGTGAGTGAACTTTGCGAATATCCTCTACAGATGTATTATTGTCAAAAGCCAGGGAGATAGGGAGTGAGTGAAAGCGACAAAACGTGTCAATATGGGTGAAGCCGTTGTTAGGGATGAGTGGTAGGCTGTAGTTCAGAGTACCTAGAGTAGAAGATATCGGAACTTACAAGTATTGTTCATCTTTAAATCTGGCTTCCACTAAAATGTGAAGTGGTTTGCATTGTGGTCATGAAGGTGAAACTCCGCCATCTTTCAAGTCGCTATCGAATTATGATCTATGATTCTAACAAGCTAGGTATACAAGCAACTCCCACACCAGAACATTGGATCTAACGCCTCAAATAAGAAAAGACTGGAGTTTTGGTTAGACGAACGTGCATTTAACTGGATCCTGGATACCTCTTCCTCGACTAAAAGCTCATCCATCGGTGACCTTGATCTCATAACCGATAAGAACTTCAGTACTGGTACCCTCCCAGCCTCTAGTACCCGCAGCACTGAGCATGAAGCGACTGGTTGGGTCAATGTAGAGACTGGAGATGACGCCTGCGCGGGGAGGGCCGGGAATGATGAGGAACGGAACGGTGGAATGTTTGAAAGCACGAGTATCGCGGAGGTCATAAAGACGTAGGATATCATGGGAGGCACTGATGTTGTTAGCAAGAAGGGGACAAGGGCTGGAGAAGGACAGACTTACCAGACGAGATGGCGGCCGTTTACCATGGGTCTGACGGCGCTGACGGCTCCGCTGCCAGCAGGGAACTTGAGTGTTCTCTGCGGTTCCCAATTTCTCTTTGCTTTGTGAATGTCGAACTCTTCAACAGTGCCGTTACGACGGCCTGCGTAGATGGCATTGCCAGATGGACTCCAACACGCGCCCATGCACCATGGGGGAACACCGTTGCGAGTACCTATCCGCGCGACAGGGTCAGGTTGGCGTCTGTCCCAGATACGAAGCGATCCATCCATAGCCGCGGAGAGGAATGTTGTTGGAGATGTTTGCGAGGGGTCGTGCTGCGTTGGGGCGTGGGAGGATGTTAGCATGAGAGAGGGTGAAGCGGGGGGTTCTTGGGAGGCAGGGGGTTGAGAGTCTTGAGTCGTTTGAGTCGATTGTATTGGCTGAGAAGATTCTGCAGTCTGTGTTGGGGCCGGGACGAGGTCTACGTCCATGGCATCACCTGCATCCTGTGATGTTTCTGGTGGTGGAGGTTCAACGGCAGGAGCCGGCTGTGTTTCTATATCTTTTCCTGCATCGAGAGCAGCCATATCTGCGGAGTGGTCCATTGCGCTATCGTGGCCATGACCAGGCATCATGTCCATAGATCCAGCGCCGAATTCATCGTCATCGTGCCCGAATGGCTGATCCTCTTTTGTCTCGCCGAACAAACTGCCTGCGTCGCTGCCACCGAAGAGACTATCATGAGCAGGTGATGCTTGGCCATCGCCAGTGGCTGTGTCAGGGTTGAAGTCAGCATTCATATCGTCTACTCCATCCTGAGTCAGTCCGTCTGTGAAGCTCCCGTTGGTGATTGGAGCTCCATTGTTGGTGGCTATCGTGGTAGAAGGGAGTGGCTCGTCATCTCCTTCGGGGATTGGAGCTCCGCTAGCAGGGCGAAGCTCAAGAGCCGAGATTTGACCAGCGTTTCCATCAAAGCTGCGGATTGTCTGACCGGTGTTCAGGTCCCAGTCAAAGATATTCTTGTCCCATCCGCCACTAAGAACACTCTTCTCATCCTGTGCCAAGGTCAAGACGGACACGGCGTTCGTGTGTTGCTGCAGGCAATGAATTCGTTTACCTTCGTCGTGCCGAACACTCTGTAGGTTGATACCTCCAGATTCAAGACCAGACAAAAGCCAGAGAGCTTCGGAGTGGACAGCGAGAGAGTAGACGGGTGAGAGTATGTGCTCTTGATCGCCTCGACCAGGAGGTGCCGGCTCCTCGTTTTCCCAGTACGACATGAGGATGCCAGCTTTCGTAACACTGTCCACAAACGGATGTCTCTGGGCTACGGTCAAAGCCAGCTTTCCATTGATGGTATTTGGACCATCATATTTGCGGATGTAGCCGTCAGAACCTCCCGTTATCCAGTACCGCAAATCCGGTGTGATGGCCATGGCATTAACACTGGTCGATTGAGGTGCAGCCATAGTTGGTACAATATCATAAAGACGGGCATTGATGGCTTCTGGTCGAGGTTGGGGCCACTTTAAACCCGAGCTTGGTGAAGGAGTTGTAGATTTACGGTCTTGCGCATCGTCATTGGACTCGGTCTTGATGTGTGTACTTGTTTGATCGTTAGAGTCGGTAGCTGGAGGCTGACTCTCGTCTCCCTCAGCGTCACCATCGCCATCTCCATCTCCATCTCCATCTCCATCTCCATCTCCGTCAGCGTCAGCATCGTCATTGGCGTCGCCATTCTCGTCGTCGTCGTCGTCGTCGTCGTCGTTATTATCGTCATCGTCGCCTTCTGCATCTTGGTCTTGGTCTTGGTCCTGATCTTGATCGCCATTATCGTCTACATCCTCCATTGCCTCGTCCACGTCATTGTCCTGATCAAGGCGGTCATTGTCGTTATCGTTGTCCGAGTCGTTTGAGCTGTTGGACAGCCGATCATCGTCCAGAGCGTTCATCATGGGTACGGGACTAACAAGTTAGTTGAGGTTTGTGAAAGTGATGGTTGAGAGTACAGAAAGGACGTCTTCTGAGTTTCATGCATACATTAAAAAGATGACAATCTAGTAAAGAGTTAAGAGTATCGATACATGGGCAGATGTCTCCGGTAATAGACCTGGTCGTCAATCGCATTCGCATGAGTCGCAAAGGACCTGGAATCTTGGGCGGGGGTGATAGAGCGTCCTCGAGGCTTTGTGAAGAGTCGCGGATAGCAAAAGCAGATTCTGGAGGTTAGCAGATCAATTGATGATGTGCGCTGCAAGCTATTGGTGGTACATGAAAGTGTTGAGTTCTGTTGTTTTGTACGTGGGGCGTAAACATGAAATGTAAATGAATTAAGGTAAGGTAAAGTACCTAAGGTAGGTACAAACTTGAAGCTCACTCGCGTCGCGTTTAATTGGAGTTCCATTAGGTAGGCCCAGTACCTACCTACCTAGGTACCTAGGTACTACGTAGGTCAAGCAGGTGGGGCTACTTTCAAGGTACCTAGGTAGGCACTACGCTCCTTCGACTTACACAAGTCAGAGAGGCTTTGGAGATCAGTCAAATCCATATCATACAAACAAAGGAAATTTATTTACTAGCAAAGCATGGCTAGCTCATGCTGTAAGTGTCTTACTTGATAGACATAGGCCCTACCTAGTTTACGTTTACTTACTCTTCAGATGCCTTCTTTCCCTCAAAGATTAATCTTACCCTCGATCTGAGCATCTTACCATAGGTATCCCTTGACGACTTCGAAGTGAAGCAAAGGCCAGCACTACGTCGCCCTGTCCCTCGCCTGATCTAGACTTGTCGACGACTGTGTCTCGGTCCCCCTGCTTGCGAGCTCTCGTTACGATGATTTCCGGCACGAGACCCAGATGGTTCTCTACGCTCACGTCCATGGCGACGCAGAATGATCTCGGTTGCACTATCGCCGGGAGCCAAGCTCGCAGAATCATGGCCAGTGTGTGGACCAGGCCAGACAGTTACATGGCTCCCACCGAATACTGAAGGCTCTCTGTCTACGCCGTACTGCTCTTCAGGGGCCTCGAGCATGGTGTTACGCCAGTTATCAATACGATTACGTGGGGGCTCAGTAGGTACACGAGAAATACTTTGAACCATAGGCCACCCATCTGAACCTGCCTGAGGAACAGAGTGCGCCTGTCGAGGGTTGTTGAAGGACTGAGGTTGTCGCATAGACTGGGCATCTACTTCGTTCTCTCCGTCGTCATTTATATCCTCTTGCCCTATCTCACTCGGGTTCGACTCTCGCCGTCCTGTCGTAGGCTGCCTAAAGATCTCGGCCATGGGTCTATCGGCATCAAGTTGCTCCTGGTGAACGACAATGTCGCCTGTGGCTCGCTGTTCCTCATAATGAGGGATATTGGCAAACAATGGATCGTTGTTAGCATCGAAACTTGCCGTATACCGCAGCTGCGGGCTAGTCGGTTCCTGCATAGACCTTCGACCGGTGATACGCTCTAATGGTGAGTCTCGTCGTTGAACAGCCCCATGCGCACGGGTCACTGCTGAACTAGGTGAATGCGACCACGCAGAGCGAAAGGGATCTGGCTCAGGCTGTAACGCAGGAGGGGGAGCTTGTCTCACCTCACCGCCGCCTTCACCTTCACCTTCACCTTCACCTTCACCTTCGCCCTCGCCCTCGCCCTCGTCATCTGTACAGTATCCCGGAGGAACATGGTCAGCATAGTCTCGCCACTGTTGAGCTGTGAGATTCAGTCCAGGCGGTGCTTTGTCAAGGCGAGCCTGTCTGTAGGCTTCAGTATTACGGTGCGGGTGGCCACCATGACGAGAGCTGCGATGAGATCGGCGACGAGCAGACGCAGGGTCCATAGTCCACTGCCCGAGGGCTTCCAAGAAGCCAAGGGAGTGACGCTGAGAGCCGTTCTTACGAGGCATTGTGAGTGAGTTACTGGGTTAGTCGAGGTGAAAAGCAGAAAAGAGCCCGATATTGGTGATGATATCTTGGAGTCGAAGATCTAGAAGGCTCTACTAATGATGAGTTCTGGTTGCTGATGATAGCCTGGAGAATTCCCACCCCTATATAACTGATAGGAACACTGGTTTGGGTGAATACAATGAATTGCTCTTTGTCGTGTTCAGAAATTTATCGCTATTGTCTTTAGATTTGTCCATAGGACAAAGGGTGGACCAAGAACCAAGGAACAGTAATCAGCCCTGTTCTCGTTTTGTACAATCATACATCTCAGCCGTTCAGCACGATATATATGTATAAACCGAGATATGATATAGCTCAATGCTGGACAGCTACTCTGGGTGCCCACAGCCATATGTGGTCACTACCTAATCTTTGGTGGAACTAAAGATACCTCATTCCAAAGTATCATAACTCGTGTCTATGTCCTTAAGCAAACCAAAGAGCCCAAAACGCACCTCTCCCTGCGTGTGCGTCCCCTGAGCTAGAGTTCAACATGGTTACCACAATAGACCAAGGTATGGCATGCGATGACCAAGTTTTGTTTCAGATGCATTTCATTTCCTTCACATTCCTCGAACGAACTCGTATATAACAGCTGCTGGCGCACTTTGTTCATTCAAATGCGTCCCTTCTGGGGTCTCTATTCCTTTCTCTATGCTATCTTACAGCGCCTAGTTATTCAACGTCGCCGTAAATGCTCACCGACTCCCATAGCCAGTCGACGCCCTTCTCCAACATCAGCTCCCATAGTTCAAATCCATCCAGCCCATCGGGTAACTCCCGGGAGATCCTTATCCATCAATCACATCAAGGAAACAAAGGACGACAGTGACAGCACCCCCAACTCCACTTTTTTAACCAAGGACGTTAGAAGCCCAATCCATTTCTTCCAGCCTGTCGTGACAAGATCAAGCAATCGAGATGCCCTCACCTGCCGTCTCGATGAAGGGGTATTATCATTATCTACTAAAGAAAAACAAAAAAAGGAAAATGCTTGCACAGGGACGGTTTTCGTCCGTGTCGGTAAAATTCGATTCAAGGAAAACGTGGGGAACCCAAAATTGGGAAGACAATGGAGCAATTGGCTCGGTAAAGTCCAAAAAGTCAAAGAGTGGCTTGAGCTTAAGCTCATGATGTGACGCGGGGGTCGTTAAAATATTGCACCATGCCCCAGTCAGCCGGTGGCCCATTATGTTGCTGGCCAGGCTGTTCAATAACAGCACCTGTGAGACTCTCCCAGTCGTCAAAAACCACAGGAGCTGGTGAGTACTCAAAGTCCATCATTGATTCACCAGCGTCGTGTCCTTGGGATTGAGGTGGTGGCGGTAAGGGAAGCTCCCGCTTTTCTAGAGGAGATGGCGCTGGAGGGGGCATCAAGGGTGATGTTGATGGTCCCAATGGTGAGTGTGCCGACGATGCTGGAGACGGTCGCGAGGGCGAGGTAAATTGTTGAGATGGCACCATTATCGTGTTTCGGAAAGGTGTAGCGAACTGGGTTTGCTGAGGATCGGGTGAAGGCATCAAAGATTGATGACCTGGGTGCCCTTGGGTAGGCAGCGGCATGAACGACATACGAGGATCGTGCCCAAAACCTTGAGGTCCAAGATTGGCGTGGGAATATTGTGGAGAGGGGATCGGTGCTGAGGTGAGAACAATGTCGGCAAGGTCGTAAGCTACGCTGACGATCCACTGAGCTTCGCCCTCGTCACCAGAAAAGAACTCAAGAAGGTCCTGGAGCTGGCCAGGGTTCTCGTTCTCAAGGAATCCTTGGGCGCGGCCGGTTTTGCTTGGGTGCCAGCTGAACTGAGGTCGTCGTCCATTGTATTCGGGCTGCTTACTGACAACGAGCGCGTCCCAAGCTTCATGGATTAGAGGCTGGTGCAGAAGACCATAAACGACGCGTGAATGCATCCAGTCACCCTTGGTCATACCAGACTCAAAGTGACGGGCAACGTGTTCGACATGACGCTCGCGAGCTGGGTGGAGAGCAGAGCAGAAGCCGCAAGCCCAGTACTTGCGTTTTCGGAGGAACTTGACTACTTTCTCGGCATGAGGACAAGTTTTGCAACCATGGCATTGCTTGTGATGCTGGTTGAAAGAGTTGGATCCCCAAAAGCTGCGGTTGCATCCCGGCTCGGGGCAAGGGTACTTGCGCCAGCGCTCGTGAAACTCATCCTCGTGTCGCTTCCAGTCGTACTTGCGCTTGAAGCTTGTCTCACACGATGTGCACCAATAAATGTTGGTTTTGCCAGCAGTGCCAACCGGGGCACTCATTGGACCAAGACCGTTCATGGAACTGGAAGGAGGAATCGGAAGCGGCGCCTGCGATCGGTTACAGGTCGAAGTAGACTGCCATGACATCGATGACTGTCCCGAGTTGGTAGACCAGATGGATGCATGACCTGAAGAGCCGGAGCTGGTCGAGGAGACGGAGATACGAGGGCGATGACTAAAGGCGACCTGAGGAGGAAGGAACATAGCTATATGGTCATGTTCGTTAGCAAACATCTCAGCATGGCTAAGGGGTCAGAGAATCGACACCGAATGCCGGACGGGAATGACGCACAGTTTACTTCCTCGGGGAGAACTTCATGCTTGATTTCGGCTGATGGAGTTGGGGTCGTTGCAGTCGATGAGCCATTAGATGGTGCAGTCGTGACGGTCTGGACACTAGGTACACTCGACGCAACAGGAGGCGGAGGAGGGCATCGCATCGGCGGTGGAGGAGCGAGCGAAGCTGAGTTGGCATTATGGCTTGGATTGGCGGGTTGTTGAGAAAACGGAGCCTGATGTTGGACTTGAGTTTGAGATGGAATCGCGGACATGCTTTGCATGGCAGTCATCGCGCTGAGGTTGAGGTTGAGAGCCTGGCTACCATCGACCAGCTGATGCAGAAGCTCCTTGGACAGACCGGAGTCAATTAGGACCTGGAGGTTCTTACGCGCCTCGGCGAGAACATCCTGAGGGTTACCATCATGGCCCTGCTGAGGGGGCGAAGGGCTTGGTTGCTGCGACATGTTATGTTGCTGGAATTCGAACTGTTGTTGAGGACTGTTGGTCTGGCTCTGCGTATGGTGTTGGCTCTGTCTCGGATCCATGGGCTCCGCTCACATGGAGGAACAGCCGGCGACTGGGATGTAGGCCGGAAGAAATCTCGCGAGATTTTTCAATCCTGTATGGGACGGTTCAGGTCGCGGTCTTATTATAAGGTGGTCGTTGAAGCGAATGTGGTGGCCTCGGGCGATGAGCTGACGGCACGGGGTAGCGAATGTTGAATCCTTTGGATTCCGGAAACGAGCAAACAGCGAGTGACAGGAGCGAAAGTTGAGGGTCCCAAGACCTTTGAGCGAGAGTGGATATGAAGCAAAAAGAAACAAGAACGAAAGAAAGAAATATTGGTGATGGTTAGTTTGGAGTTGTGAAGAGACGGGAAGGTGGGAAGAAGATGGGGGATGAGAGGGTAGTGTAGGAAGGAGTAAAGGCAGGCGCAGCGTTGGCTCAGGCTCAGGCTCAGACACAAGGTAAGAGGCAGGAAGGAAGCTAGACCAGGGGTGCTTGCTCTTTGCTGGAGTCCCTCTCAGATAGGTACCGTGCTGGGTCCTGTCTTTTGGGAATAGGTACGGAGTACAGTACAATGCACTACAGGCGGGTATGGATAATAGATGTGGAGGAAAGAAGGACGGGACAATCAGTGAAGGTCTGGTTAGGTTAGACAGGTCAACCCAGGGAAGGGGCGTGGGCGTGTGGTCAGGTTATTTCTCCGAAGTGTTGTAATTAATGATCGCCTGTGGTGTTTTGTCTCCTTTGCTGTTGTGCACAGGGGGGTATGATTGAGAGACGAGACGAGCTCCCAAGAAAGGATGGATGGATGGGATGGATTCAAGGACCAGCCTGCAGGTGCAGGTGCTGTAAACTTTTGGTGCTGCCGCTGAAAGGGTCCTGGACCGTACCTAGTACAGTACAGAGGTAGGTACTATATCTTAGTACACTGACTGACTTGTTCTGAGCCCGTGCTTCAAGGAACCGCTGGCTGGTTCTTGGTCTGGCACCACCAGCAGTAACACAGACACAAGCCCACGAAACTGGGACTGAAAATGGAACCAAGAAAAGGAGCGGACCAAGTAGAGCGATGGCTTGGGTGGAACGAAAGGGACGGGAAAGAAAGCTAAGGCCAACTAAAGATGGGCCTATACCAGGGTATTTTTTATGGTGGTGCCTGGGTATCCGTAGGTACTTTGGTTAGATTCGGGTACCTTGCTGCTGCAGTCTTTTTCGAGGGCCTGCGCCTGTCGGTAGCCGTACCTCCTGTACCTGTACCTGTTCCTAAGTGACCAGTTCCTTTTTTTAAGCCCCATACAGTCCGTCTCTAGACCAGAGTTTCACAAGAATTGATGTTGAGCCGTGAAGGTTTCCCGTGTGGAAATGAAGATGTCGGCAAACAATTTACTGACGAGTAACCTAAAATAGAAGGTTCCCTTGTCTTGCAAGAGCGTAAATGGAAAGAGAAAGAGAGAGAGAGAGACAGAGAATTAATTGATTGAGTGAGTGAGTGAAATTTGGATGCGGAGGAGAAAAACATCCGGGGGATCGTGGTAAGATCCAAGGTGCGGATGGAGATGGACAGGTCAGGTACAGAGCGGCAGTGACGTGACGTACAGGAAGGAATTGACTGGATGATTGATTGATTGATTGACTGCAACTGATGAGATGGGGATGTGGTCCAGCACTGCTTACTGTGCTGTGCTTCCCTCGTCGATATCCTCATTCGCAGATGGTGCCATTCAAGAGACAATGCACCAGGTTAATGGATGGTGGGTGCTGTTGTCATCTTCTGTATGGCTCAATCTCAATATTGTTATAAACGCTTATCAACACCATTACCATGGCCAACTCAACCCAAACTACTACTAAGCGCGTGCAGCTGCAGAGAGCGATTCTGCACTTGGTCTTGAGCTTACTAGACTAGGTAGACTACCTCATCCTCATCCTCATCCTCATCCTCATCCTCATCCTCATCCTCATCCTCATCCTCATCCTCATCCTCATCCTCATCCTCATCCTCATCCTCATCACGATCTCAATCAGGAGCGTCATGACAACAAGATCTCCTCTCGCGCCGTCGACCAACAAGCGGGACCTGATAGCAGCAGAAAGGAACATCCCTGTTTGTTTGGACCCATCTCCATCTTGGAACGGCATCAGGGGTTAACCACGAGCCAGGAGCTCAGGACAGGGGGTTCTGCAGCAGAAACCAACCTATCCTAACCAGGCCAGGCCAGGTAGAGGCGCCCAGCTCTCAGGACAGGACAGGATAAGGCTTGAGAAGGATACAGTCAGTACTAACCTACTGTACTGCCGAGCCTACCTAGTAGAAAGCCCAAGTCAAAGTTGAAAGGAACAAAGTCCAGAAAAGACGCCGGCTCATTTGTGACAGGCACAGGCACAAGCACAGGCAATCAGCAGCAAAACAAACCAAACCAAACGATAGTTCAAGCGCTTGTGCGAGCGTACCCGACGCCTTCATCACTGTGCAGCGCCTGCGCTTGTACCCCATCACAGCGAACACAAGGTCTCTCTGTTTCACCACATATTGGCTCTAAAGATAGGCTTTGTGTTCTTGACTTGACGTTTTGTGTGGTTTCCTTGGATTAAAGTGACGCAAGCAGCTAGCTACGCGATGTCTCTTCTTTTCTCTCAAGAGAAGAGCCCCTGTCCTGCGCAGCATCCATCCGTTGCAGCTCGGCTGCAGGCACAGAGAGGATGGACGACATGGGGTCGTGTTCGGGTCAACGAGAAGCAACTCTTCCCTCTCTCCTCTTCTCTTCTCTCCCCTCCTGTCCTCTCCTCTTCCGTCCTATCGCTCCAAGGCGTAATGAAGCTGTTGTCATCAGAATGTGAATTTCCCATGACACGAGTAGCTGATCCACAGCAGAGAAAATCCATTTGACGGCGACCTTAGTTTAGTTAGCTGCGTTGATCCTGGGTTGTCTGTCTGTGTACGATATCTGTAATTATTTCCTAATCCTTTCTCGTTACTCCGGGGTTTGGCTCGATCAAGGTAGTCTACTCCGTCGCACGTCCCGTCTTATCAAAGTTGCTCGCTAGCTAAAGGAACAATATGGGATCACCACGTTTTCTTGTAATTTCTGGGATCATCGGTCAATCAGATCGGAGTTTAGCCGCACGATTCTTCAACTACCAAGATCAAAACGTGCTCTGCAGCCTTTTGAGGCAAAGTTCAATGCCATGGTATGTCATGCTGTGCTGCACTGAGCTGAACTGAGCTGATCTGATCTGACTTTGAAGACGGAACACCTTCTGTAACAGAATGCTCACCTGAAACGCGCGACAAGCATGCAGCAAGGAAGACCCCAAAGCTTTCTTTCAGCAGCGACCCAAGGGTCGCCATCCCATCCAAAAAGGTGACAGTAACAGAAGCGGTAGAGGTCACTGGAATGGAACCAAAATAAACCCGTCAACGCCGCCCGTCGAGCGTTTCGAAACGGTTTTCCGCCAATCAGCCACTACGATTAACTGGTTCTAAGCCCAAGGGGAAGCCTCCGAGGAACAGGAACAGGAACAGGAAAAGGAGCTCCATCCTTGGCTCGAATGTTGCGATTTTCATGGCTCTATACAAACAAGGGTTTGCTCGGAACGGATGAAGGAAGAAAAGAAGGGTCTGGTCGCAGCGTTATTACGGATACCATACGGGTACCATGCCTGGAGTTGAGGAGGGTTCAGCTGGTTAGACACGACTTCTTCGCCTCTGCTCGCCAAGTGCATACAGGAGTAAAAGGCGACCGTTGGCAACGTTGGCGACCAAGCCGGCATGGATCATGCCATCTGCCGATCCTGAACAAGCAACTCAATTCACATGTCAAAAGAGAAGACAAAGAAAGTCAAGGTATCCGTACTCTGTATCCGAATGCAATGCAATCCAACCCTATCCAGCCCGTATCGACTCTAACTCAAACTTCCATCCGTGATGATCAAGGCTGGGGAGGGGGCCGGGTTCTGGGGCTGAAGTTAGAGCCGGGGTTGGGATTGGTCGGCTAAGGTTGGTGTGGTATTGTATTGATCAAGTTAAGTTAGACTCTCTTGTGGCTGGTCATCAATTATGGCACCATCGTGTCTGCAACTTTTGGTGCACCTTGACGCCTCTTCCATCAGCCCAGGTTTCTGAATTCTGATACAGGGCAGTGAGGAAAGACTAGGAAAAAAGAAAGAAGAGGAGAGGGGGAAAAGCCGCAATGGAAAAAAAGACTTTGCGATATCCGTAGGATCTGTCGCCATTACTATACTGTACTGTACCTACTGTCTAAACAGTCAGATGTACCGTACATATGCCCCTGGATCGACGCTGTCATCATCGTCATTGTCAATTGCTGACTTATCTCTACCCGTCTTGGCTGTGCTCCACTCGTAACGAACGACAGACAGAATCCTTCCTCTGAGCAAGGGAGTTGTTTTCGCAAGCGATCCACACGGAGCGAGGCGAGGCCAAGACCCAGGACCCGAACAACGGAAGTGCATCTTTTTTGCTTTGCTCTGTTCTCAAATGATGAATCAAACCAACCTCCCGGGCATTAAATGAATGACTAAGGTTAAATGCCCCCAGGGGTAAGCTTCCATAGTACAGTACGGATACACAGGCACGGCAGATGTGGAAATTACCTGACTCTTGTCAGGACAAGCCATGGCCATGGATGGATCTATTCTATTCCATCCATCCCCAACACAGCTTGTCCCGGCTCATTAGCCTTGGTCTTGTTGGATGTATGTACTTTATCCATAATGGCTTGACTCTATGCATGTATAGACCCTCGGTACGGAGTACACGAGGTGGAAATCTTCCGCTGTCAATGATCGGATAATGGAAAGAAAGAAGATTTGCGAATAGAACCCCAGCGGACCCTCACCCGGACCCAGACCTAGACCTAGACCCAGTAGACTACTACAGTAGGCTCAACTTCGAGAAGCAAAGCACACACCGGCTTTTGCTCTTACTTGCATCATTTCGCGTATCACGACTCCCATGTCTCGCCCCCTTTTAAACGGCCTTGACTTGGACTTGGGTCCACAAAGAAGAAGCAAAGACAGGACGATCAACGTTGAGAACCCTGATGATGATGATTATGATTATGATGATTATGACTGAGAATGACACTGTAGCATCCCGCACCGACAACGGTTCTGCTGGTCTCGATCAGGCTCCAGGAAGCTAAGCAAATATGCATTCTCATTACCCACTCATTCACGATATCCATCTCAATCGTTGGTGGTGTCCCTATTCGTTCTAGTCAGGGACCAGATTTCACTTTTCATCATCATCACATGAACCCATCACTCACGCTAAAGTACTATAGGCATAGTTGCCGAGCCTGATTGTCCGTGCTCTCATTTTACGCAGAAGTCATTGTCATTCGCAAGACTCTTTGTGGGCTACTGTACAGTATTTGTATGCACACAATTATGACCGTTCAAAAGATCGACTTGTGCAGCCGCATGGCATAGCATAATCTTACTATTTCATCGATTAAAGAACCCGTATAAGGAAGGGTCCGGACATGTCCAACGTCAACAAAGCGCGGGCCTTTCAATCCCGTATTTAAAAGCAGATCATATGCACCAGCATGTCGCGGTTTACCCGAGTGTTGGGTTCTCTTCTCTTCATTGGGTAGCCCATAGATTCCTTCAAGCTTCGTGCTTGTGTTTCTATGTAGGTACTTACTTACCAACCAGGTACCTTGGTATGCTTAATGGAAGCTTACTATCTCTATCTCTATCATTAGTAGCCTCTGTTATTTTAAGTTCACAAGAGCTCTGTGTACCACTGTATCTGCGCACTGCGTTTGAGGTGAGTGAGTCTATTAATACTGACTTCAGCTTGAGGTTAGCTCCCGCATTGCCCTTTCAGCCCTAGTTTCCTACCGAGAAAAGGAAAAACTCAACGTTCAACGTTTCACCATAAATTCTTGGCCCGGGTACCTTAGTACTCCTGTTGTTGTGCCTACTACATACTAACGTACGGGGCGTACAGTACAGTACACTCCAACATATTCAGCTCGAATAGTCCGGAGATAAGGATAATAATAGAAAGAGAAAACAATAAGTGAGAAATAGGAGATGTCGGGATGACAGTTCTCTATAGCCATGGGCAGCTTTAGCAAACAACCCTTGCCCGAGGGAACAGAACGTTTCTATACCAAAAGAGCAATATAGCACCGAACCCTGTGGTTTAAAATGGCAGCTGAGGTGGTAGACTATATATATAGCACGGCCAACTATCATTACATGCAAGGTACCGCGTTACACTGCAAACTCTTCTTGCGAAATGATGTCGGACGGATTTCTTCACCGTCTCTTTGTCGATTCCTGCCTATCACGAGTACAAGGTATAGTACATAGTACATAGTACAATAGAGATCAAGTCTTTAGCCAAGTTGCTGCTCAGTACTGTAGAAAAGAACAGCCCACTGTGCACTCCTCCAACTTCAACTTGAAACCCGCCTCAAAACGACCGGCTCGAGGGCCGTCTCTCCCACTCCCTCCACATTCACCCCGAGGCTCCGTGCTCTCGCGAGAAACCCCGAATGGTCCTTCTTTTCCTTTTCTCTTCTCCTTCTTGCTCTCCACCTTGCCTTGTCCATCAGTTACTGTACGATACAGGGGAAAGCTTCGTTCTCGGCCGAGCGCTGCACTGCCCAGTGGGACTGCACGCACCCCCCTTTTTCGCCTAAAACGTCACTCATGTCTAGCCTCGATCCTAGTTCGGGAGATGGGTGTGATGTTCCTTTTGAGGGTTGCATTTCGTATCTCGGATTAATGAAAAGAAAAAGTAAAAAAGAGTTCGCAGATGCTGTTACAAAGATATTTACTATCTACTGCTAGTAATATGTTATGTCATACCTGAACGCCCATATGCGACCTAATCCAATATACACATGCATAACATGATACGCATCGTCACCAAATGAAAGTCAGAAAAATCGAAGTAGCTTAGTAAAGTCAAGTAATCAAGATGCCAGTAATTATTGGGCAAGCAGAGTTCTCCGTTTGCCTCTGTTTGATCCCCGACGCTGATCGGAGAGGGCCGCCCACCAAACCAAACATGAGGGACCGCACGGGCAGCAGAGTTGGCAATCGTGCAACACCGGCGCGAGAGTGGTATTCCAAATCGGGAGACGGATCCAGAACGACCTTGAGATCCAAGCTTGCATAGCTTGTCCATCGTGTTCCGCCTGCCGATCGGATGCCCTATTGTGTTTTGATGGGCAAGAGGGTATTCAAGGTATCCCGTCCTGTCCCTGTATTATGCCAAGTTCGTAAGTCGACAAGCCTCGGCGAACCATCAACATCCAATGTACTTGAGACGAGCCGGTCCGCCACGCCGTTGTGCAGCTTATGCACTGGTGCTGAAGTAGTAATTCTCCCACAAGTATTCGTAGTCTTCAAGGATACCCCCAATAAAGGAGGGCATTCTCTTGCTCACTCCTCCCACGACGCCCTTGGTGATGTTCTCGTAGGCAGCGCCCCTCATAGCCCACCAACCCATGGCCCATCCACGCTTGCTCCATTCCTCGCGCTCCAGGGACGTCGTCCGTAGACCGCGGTCCCTCAACTGCCGCGCCGCGTACTCGACTGCAAATCCGATCAGCCAGGGGGTCCAAGCTTTCTTATCTCCTCCCCTCCTGTGGTTATGAGCCATGGCCGCCGCGTAGATGAGCGGCGACAGGATCTGCAGGATTTCGGCTCCATGGCTGCTGCCCTGGAGCTGGTTAAGCAGCTTAGTCGCAGGCTTGATGTCATCGGCAGTCAATACACGACCGAGCAAGTACGAACTGATATCACCTCCAGTAGGCAGTGATGGTAGGCTCATTCCAGTTCGGGGCATAGTCCACTCGCGCTCGTGTGCACGTTTCGAGGACTGTGAAGATCCTGACCCATCCGCTGATATTTCATCCATTAACTCGCTCTCACTTCGGTACGCAATTTCTTCATCTTCGTCTGCAGCTGCGGCATCCTCTGGAATAGGCTCTCGTTCCGGCAATACTGGCGTGACGAGCGGTCGTGACCGAGTAATACGTAAGAGCAAAAGCCGACAGAATGCCTTGAGGGCTTCTAGGAGCACGACGACCTTCCACCGGGACTTCTCGCCACCCTTTCGTTTGGCCGTCATCTCCCATAACATCTCCGTATAAATAATCATCTGCAGAAACATGGCTATTCTTCGATATGCGCCACTTCTCTGAGTCCAATATCGGGTATATCGTGCATGCGCCGACGGCATGCTTGCCATCGGCAGACGCGCAATGGCCTTTTGAAGTAGGGAGTCATGGTAAAGAGATAGCAGCTGAACACCCGAGTGGATCGACTCGGAGGCGATTTCGGCATCACGAAATCGGCCTGTCAATTGTTAGATACAGTCTTCAAAGAGCAAGCGGTCGGCAAGTCAGCTTACCTGGAATGATATATGTCAAACTCCGAAGAGCGCTCTCTATCTGCGACACTTGGCCGGCGTTCTTGGTAATAAATTCATCGTACATGGAGAGCCACTGAGGAGGTAATGATAGGATGCGGCCGATTCCTGGTCGTGGTGATTGTTTGGAAGCTGTAGAAGAAGGTATTTTGGTAGAATTAGAGGCCGAAGTTGGCACGTCGCGCGTCAAAGAGGGATCCATGTCCCTTTTATAATGTCGGTGTCGGTGTCGGTGTCGGTATCGTCAAGACAAGGGTACGTCGTTGAAAGGAGATATGCGCGCGTGGTGCCGATCCGTATGAGCGTTGAGGTAGCGAGTATTTCAGTCGCCAGCCATGACGCGTTATTAGGAGTGGAAAGCGCAGTCTTCAACACCGACAATAATGGTGATGAAGGCGGTGGACAATGTCTGTGTATGGAGTTGAGTTGATTTGATTTGGATTGATTATGGGAGATGGATGAATGCTGGTCAGCCAGCTCAGCTCAACTCCTGGGGTTGGGTTGGCTGCTGCCCGCCGAACTACCCCGAGGCACGTCACCAGAATGTGGAGGTGGCGCGTGCCTGAGGCCGACGACCTCGGCATCAACGCCGTAATACCCTAGACACGGATGGCAGTTGAAAGAGATGAGATGAGATATCTACAGAATTTTATCAAGTTGTCAATAATATTGCATTTTTTATAATTATTACAGCCTTCTATATCAACACTTGTATCTCTCCACTATCTCAATTTAGTTGTGATGGTTCTCCACTGCTGCTCACCGATTTCACATGATAACCCATTGCTTCATCTAACATGTGGGCATCACCACGTCAGAGATGCATTATAAATGTCCAAGCACATTCACGGACACCGCCTGTAAAGAAATAACCATGACATTGTCTAATGGTCCCCATCTATGTACGCTGTCTCTCACAGGTCAATGCAACAACCTTAGTTGCAAACCGTGATGGGATACGTCTTTATGCAAATGCATAGCATTCTCTGCTTCTAGGATATGTATGTACCTTACTCCAATCGCATCCTGATTTCTTCTTTTCCTGTAGATAATACACCTGGCCAGTCGCAGCCTAATAGCAAGCACGCCAGAACTCCTACGCTTATCTAAAACAATGCCAACTCACTCCCGCCTGTTCGCTACCAAAATGATATACTACTAACAAACACCCGAGAGAATCGAGATAGATTCCGAGATTGGCTGCCGATGCCAGTCCAATTGCCCATCCTCATTCACCATAAAGGCTGCCACCTCCTCGACAAGGTCCCATTCTCCTGTCATCGGATTCTTCTCTGCATAGCGGAAGATAATGTTCATCCCAAGGTCCTCAAACACCAATTCTCTCCTTCTGAGCCGCAGCCACTGCTCGTCTTCGTTGCCCTCCAATGCGTTCATTGCCTCGACCTCATGATTCTTGAGAGCGATTGCACGGAATACGCGACTGTCACGCAGAGCATTTCGGATTGGATATTTTCCAAGGATGCGGATGGCGTCCTCCTTAACTGCTTGATCTCGACACCCAAAGGCAGATACGAAGAGCGGCCATGTCCAGCCAGAGTCCATCGCAAAGCCACAATTGGGACGAGATGCAATTAGCGTCTCAGCGATAGCATTGATTTGCTGATATTGCGGTGTGAGGTCTTTTGCTGTTTCGATACCGGAGTAACGTGGCATGGCCGTATACACATAGAGGATGAGGAACTCAATGTGTAGATTGATGGCGTTCAAGTAGGACTGGGAGTCGGCTGGTCGGTTATCCGAAGCAGTTTTAAGGAGAGGACTGAACGAAGTCGACCATCGATGGAGCCATGATCTTGACTCTTCCAAAAATTTGGCGATTCGTGGGTTCTGTCTTACACCAGACAGCTTGGCTTCCAATTCCCTCATGTCTTTGACCTTTGTCAAAGCCAGCTGCGCCGTGGTCGCCGTCAAAAGAGGGATGTATTGAACCATGAGCTTCTGCAGCAGAGTCCAGTAGCCATGGGCCTCATCCAATGTGCTGAAAGCTGCTGGCATATCGTCGATGACGGTGATGTTGGTCTGCTTAGGTCTGAAATAGGGTGAGTGCTTGGTAAATGGTGCAATACCCGGAGGCCTCTGCAGTGGCGCTCGTGGAGGTGTCTGTTGATCTGACATCGCTTGTGGACTTGCCTGACTTTGAGGACTAGGTAGACCGACAGGGTTCTGCTGGCCTGGAGGTGCACCCGCCCATGGTGTGCCAGGTTGACTCACTGGGCTCGACATGTTGTGAGGGCTGGAAGCCTGGTTTGGAACAGTCTGGTTGGCTACGACAGCCGGTGGTTTGGGAGGGAAGAAAAATTTCCTATACGAACCCATGAACGACCGTGACTGCAATTCCAGGGGCTTGTAACAGTCCAGAATCTCTTGTACCAACGCAGGAGGTGCTGGAGCTATCCTGACCAGACTTGGTGCTTTATCCGAACATGCAGCCAGCTCGTTAAGCATGCTGAAGCCATGTATGATGTGCTTAAGAGCTGCTGGCATATTGCCTCTTTGCGCCTCGAAGCATATGAACATTAGAGATGCCAATAAAGCTGTACGTAAGCCTTCCTTTGTCGGCCTGGCCTTTGCCTGTAATTGCAGAGCTTCGCAGTAGTAGACGATAGCGTTGAGATAATGTTTGTTGTCGCCTGCAAGTTCGTTTCCAGGAGAAGACGCCTCAAACTCGACATTGGAGGACTTGCGTAATGCACCAACTGCCATGGCAGCATATCGTAAAGAGGGCTCCTGCAGCGTAAGTTGAGGCATTGTTGTCGTCCATAGCCGCGAATTTCCCAGACCTCCGCTAAGGAAGCTAACACTGAGGGAAGACCATTCATCGAAATATGACCGCTGTTCACTGCTTGTGAAGCAGATTGTGTTGATTGAAGGTTCCTCTAGAATCGTTGGCACTCTCGCCGTAACAGCCGTGGACCCTGTGCTGACCTTTATTTTCGGACCTGCACGAGACTTGGCTGTGGAATTTGTTGCTTGTTTCGACCTGGTCGCCGTAGGGCGTGGTCTCTGTTCTGTGGCAGCGGTTTCAGAAGGGGCCGAAGCATCAGCGTAGCCATCGCATGAACCTCTCCATTTCAAGCAGTTGAGACATGACGGTTTAGTCTCATCGCATTTGACATGTCGCTTTCTAAAACATGTTAGTGATGAGCTCCTCAGGCTGGAATGACTTGCGAGCAACGCGAATCTTGACGGACAGCAAAATACTTACTTGCCTAAGGAAGAGTTAGCGATGCATCGATGATAAACGAGGGCTACACAATAAACTCACATGTAGCACATCCTGTACGGGCTCTGCTTGAGCTGCGCCGAGTATGCCGGGCCCTTGTCTCAAGTGCAAAGCGATGGGTGCCGCCACCATGAGCAGCCGTGGCATTTGCAGACCTCTCAGTGGGAGATGTTGAAGGACTAAATAAACAAAGTAATCGTAAGCTCAGCTCAGCTCAGCTCAGTTCGGCTGTAGGTTGAAGGAAGGGATCCATTGGCGACAGGGCTGGGCAGCTTACCCAGCTGAGTTATTGCGCCCTCCATTAATAGGGATCGAGAATTGGATCTCCATGGCTACCCGTGGTTGGTTCGGGTCCCACCAGTTGGCTGCAAGAAGCGAGCAAACAGAAACTAAACAAAACGGGCAAACAAATTACGAGGCTCAGCTCAGCTCGATATGGTAGACAGTCGGTTGGGAGAAAGGAGAGGCTTGTGCAGAGACGAGAAGCCGTTCTGGTAAAGTAGGCAACGTAAAGTAAGCCAAGCCAAGGGTATTGCGAACCCCAGGAGAAGCTCGGCACTCGGAGTTGGGAGCTTGCAAGGGTATCTTCACCCGCAACGGGCCTCGACGTACCGCACCGTACTGTACCTGGCTAGACAGAGAGGTTTGTGGAGATGGGATCCTTTAACGTCAGCGGCGTTTAGTACTGTATGAGCTGAGACGCGATCTTGGACGAGAGAAGTCGCTTTCGAGTGAAGATAAATATTCAGATTGAGCCACGTACCGTACAGTAGACTAAGTTAGTGTCCACGTGTAGAACGGCACCACAGTCTTTGAAGAATCAAGGAACCTTGGGAAGAAAAGGGAGAAGGTAAATGTGGATGTCTCTTGACCCAAGGCGCCTTGTGCCAAGAACAGGAGGTATCACTTATGTTGCTAGTCAAGTACAGAATAGGCAAAGACCACAAGAGTCCTCCACCAGAATTGGAATGATTCGATTTACAAGTGACAAGACAAGACGCCTCTCTGCACTCCAGGCAAAACCAGACAGTATTCCCGAGGCACTTGCTTTGTTGGGAACGTCAAGTCTAACGGGATGAAGAAGTTCATTACTTATTGATTCGTCCCAGCCAGTCTGCGGTTAATCGAGGCGAGCGGTATATGGATCAAATAGCTTTAGCTTGGTGTAGCTGCCGGGGCATGGAGGGGATCTGGATGCGGGATCAAGATTGTTGATTGGTTGAGGATACGGCGGTTACAGTGGCTTTTAAGAGGAGAAATCATGGTATAGGTGTAGTCGAACTGTTGATGTCTTTATCTTGACTCGGTCTTGGATTATTTGTGCTGTATGTCATGCTTGGTCACGTATGGGACCTCAAATGCCGAGTAGGATTCGTGCTAGATTGGCCAACGTGGTTACTGTATGTTTAAAGTACGCAGATGAATCCTTCGAATATGCATGTACGTCACTAAAGAAGATTAAGAACAAGATTTAATACCTAGCATGGCGCGTGGCTGTGGATACAGCATGGCTCTCTAGTCCAGATTTGACGAGAACTGCCGTTGCATCCGAGGTCAAGATGAGGAGAAGTAATTTACATAGGTACTTGGGAATGTCTAATTAACATCCATCGTTAAAGAGAAAAGAGAAAATAGGCACATACTGACTGCTCCAGCAGAATTACATTGCTTTCGCAACCTTCCGAGGCCGTCCACCTCACGACAGTTGAGGTTTCCATACTAACCACGCAGCCAAGGAGTGATCTCCCGTCTACTCCGTAAACCCAGGGTTTAATACTACCCAGCGACCATGTCCACAGCACAGAATCGACCTTTTACAATATTCCCACCAATGCCTTTCTCGTCACCATCACGCACGCATTGGTGATCATCGATCATTGCCAATCGAGTCTCGGCGATTTCTCCCCCGCGGTGGAGATGCAAGGACAATTCGAGACATCGCAGCAGGGATTGTCCTATACAAAGCTGCATAATGTCGGGCACAGAATTGAATCATTGTCAAGGGGGTTTTGGGGCTGATACTGTAATGACGATCAGGGTAACATCGTCGGTGCAGTTTGGTCCTGCAATATCAGGGCTGACTGCTAGGCATTTTTGAGTCTCGAATGAGTGTTGAGACTGCACGACATAGGGCTGAGAGCTACTACTTACAACCGCTTTTATTCAACAAAGGTCAAATCAGTGGGCCAGTCGTGCCACCTCGGGAACCAACGCCACTTCCGGGACTTGATGCCTAACTGGATCATGGCAGGAGTTCGACTGCCGCCATCCATTCTACGAACCATACCTAATGTCTCGATGTCGAGTTCTATTGCCCTCTGGTCTGTATCGCAAGATCAATATTGCAAGTTCTTCCTTCAACGGAATGGGAACAACACACTTTCATTGACAATTGTTTGTTCAATTTTACTGGCTCCATGAACAAGAGCCTTGTCGCTATGCAACATCCTGGCCCGTTCATAACAAAGAATTATCTTTGAACTCTTCACCCTTATCGAAATCACATCAATATCACGCATTAATCCCATTGATATCTTGCAGGAAATGTTGCCGATCTTCACAATCACCCAGAGGTTCACATACACAGGTGTCAGAGGACTGTTGTCGTTCATATCGTTGACATTAACTCATTAAGCCTTCGTGGCTACTAGTACAACTCATGTCCGCACAGCAGACATATCTTTAGCGACGCTCGCTCGCAACCTCCTCAGCCTTAGCAGGCTCACGATCCTCAGCACCGGCGTAGTCCAGCGCATTCTCACCACCCTTTCCACGGTAGTTGGTAGGATGATCTCGGTCAGCGCCCATGGCGTGGATGGGATCAGAGGGGTTGGCACCGACACCCTCAAGACCGGAACGGTTCTTCTTCTCTGTACCGTGCAACTCCTGGCTGGTCTGGCCAGCGGCAGGCTTGCCTAGGCCGGTGTGGACATCGGCAGAAGTAGCTCCACCAAGAGTTGCGGAGGCGGGGACAGCGCCCTCATTGCCGGAAGCTTGAGCGGGGATCTCGGTCTCGGGGTTGGGGCGGAAGGTGTTCTCGGGAGGGGCGGTGCCGGCAGGGTGCTGCTCAGCGTGGAACTCGGGGGCAGCGTCGTTGCCAACGAGAACTCCAGGAGCGTGCTGGATGATATGTGAGTACAGGTATTCAAGAAGCCAAGCATGTCTATGACGATGAACTTACACCACCCTTCATGAGAGGCTCGGCAGGAGCGACCTTGCTGCGGAACTCACCCTTTTGGGGAGTAGCGGACTCGGGGTTCATGGACATGATGAATGTTGTTTGTGAAGAGGTTGTGAAGATGTGTGTTTGTGGTTTAGCCTGTAAAGGATCTTTTCGAGGTATGTAATTATAGAGATGGAATTGTGAGAATGCTGAGAACAAATGTTTTCTCCTGCATGCTGCAAAGCTATATAAATCATTGTGATGCCGTAGATACACATGTATGACATCAACATCTGAGTCGTCGACATGACATCACAGTGGCCAGGCCGGAGCAAGCCCAACCATCATGAGTGGCTGTCTTCTCTCTTGCCTTCCCGTTCCTAGCAAGAGCACACAATATTGAGCTTGTCAGAAGGAATCAGAGTCCGAGCAAACAGAGGAATGTCTCCCTTCCACGCGCAATCGATCGATGAAGATATCCAGGTGGGTAGGATATGTGGAGCGAGTATCGGAGGTATGCTCCGCGAGCGAGCTCGTTGGTTGGGGTAGTGGAGGAGGGTCCTTGTATACAACGTCATGATGTGCTTGGCTACCACGGTGAATAGGTGAGATTTCCATGAATGCGTGCTTGTATGACCTTGCGATGCCGGCTTTGAGGTTGATAATGAGACGATTTTCTTGAGGCTAACTGGTGTTTGATGAAAGTCCGGTCACATGAGCGGGTTATTAATCCAAGGCAGCGTCGTGTATGCAATAAGGGCCTCATACAGCATTTTATTTCTTGTTGTCTATTAGTGTAGTAATTATATATTTTGCTGCAAACAGAAGCTATTGTGATTGGTGGTGTATACGTTGTTGTGATCAAGATGGTGTTGAATGACAGCTAACCAATTAAAATTGTCTTTTGCATTTGGCAACTAATTACACTACAACAATCAGTCCATCAGACGATTTGGCATGATCACGCCGAGAACTTCTGCTTCTAAACTGCAAAGTAGTTTAACAACCCATCTTGGGACCATCTAATGCGCTGGAACAGCGTACGGGTATACCCGTGAAGGCGCATTGTTATCATCGCGAGACTTCTTAGCGTTGTGGTTTAGTAAAGGACTGTTAAACCCAACTGTTCAATCCGAATCAGATAGCAAGCATTGGGTGGTTTTAGGTTATACATGTACTTGTGGTGGCCCTGTGACGTACACATCGCGTGCCCAATACGATTGACGAGCGCCCCATTGGTTTGGTGATGTGCTCTGCGATGGTAGATGAATGATGGGAGCGGTTACATGAGGGAGGTTTGGTGATACGAAAATGGCTTGAAGCTGCATCCCTAAATAGATGCAAGCCATCAAATACGGCTCCCGAGTCGGGGTTTCCGACACGACTACGAATAATCATGTGGCGCCCAAAGGATGAGAGAACTATCTACCTATTTTTTCTTTCTTTTCTCTCAGCCTAAGATCCAACGAAAGCGAAGAGAATCCTTTCCTTCACTGTCCTCTGATGTTTAGCTGCCCAAGTGACCTACCCTACCCTACCCTACAGCTCTACCTTACATGATAATGCATTCTACTCTACTACACAGAGCTTCTCTATACTTGGCACTGCTGACAGGTCTGCATTGATGAAAGACCGAGGCTGTGAGATATCATGATTATCTGTTCAGAGATGAACTGTCCTTGCACGATGATGTGCATGCACTCAAGGTAACGTTCCACAGCAGCTTATACATACATCGAAATGTCAGCAAGCGAACAAAGCCGGATATAGCAGGAAACATCGCGCCCCAAGATCTGCCATTAGAATCTGGTGGTGGCTTTAACAAGCCCCAAATCCGTGAATAGGGGTCTCAGCTGTACTGTTCCTCTATATTAGTGTCATCTCTTTTTTAAGCCTCAAGGGTCTATGGCTGATTTGGCAGAGCTGAAGCTAGACAGTGTTTTGGCCGCGATTGCACTAGCTAATCACGAGGATAGCACCAGTTCAGCCCTAAAACAAGAATTGCAGACAAGTTTGATGAAATGACAATCTGCTGACAGGCCTGGCGTTGAGACTATTTACTCGTTAGATTGTGTTGAGATGATTGCTAGGTACTGTTCTGAGTCAGCCGCTGATAAATTATGATTGGACGACGGGCTCATCGTCGATGACCAGCACAACGTCGCAGCGCTCGCTATCAAAACTTTCTATCAATAATAAAAAAAGCACAGAGCTTTTTGATCAACCAACAGTGTCGCACTTAAAGACTCTCCGGATCGCCGATAAAAGAAAAGTGTCGCACCAGGGAAAGAGAAAAAATGGGAGCAAGACTGGGTCTGTAAGGATCCTTTAATCTGCCGAGTACCTAGAGCCATGCAAATAAACCAAAAAACGAAAATGCGACCGAAAATGGTGCCCGCAGTTATTAATCTGAGCAGATAGCGCCTGGGAAGACGTAATATAACGGCCCTGGGTCTTTTTAGTCGCTGTGCCGCCGGTGTTAATAGAGGCTACAAATTAATATGACGCCACATGCAAGGCTCCGATGGCTGGATTCTATTGCATTAATAGATGCGGATGTCCTTGGAAGCATCACCAGCCTCATCAATGTGAAATGCATTGCTCTGTTAATTGATTGCTGTGATGGATAGTCACCGCAAGATGCTCACTGCTCAATTGACCCATATCGCTTTGTTATGTTCCATGATCCTGGGCTACTGATCGTCAATCGACAGGCGAGAGTGCACTGGAGGAATCGACAGTGGAGGCCAGGGGATCCGAGTCTAGACTACACTGTGCCATCAACATACAGAATTCCCCTGCCTGTTTGCCTGTAACGAACGACTTGTCGTGAACATATTGATAGTTCAATTATTATTAAGGGTTCAACTTCAGCATCTGTACTAGTCAGACTAATGTAAGTAAACGGCGATCAGCAATGGGAGAACAAAGACTCTCGCCCTAGAAAGAAAGAAGTTGGGCTGATGAAGGTAGTTTCCGAATATAGATCAAGGTTTTCTGAGGGAGAAAACGAGAAAGCCAGTAAAGTAGAAAAAGGACGCGCACGCCTCTATGATAGAAATAGCCTGGGCAAACCAACCTGACCAACCCCGTGTTAACGACTCTCACACCATCGGACGACTAAGATAGTCTAGAGCATTCCCAACCTCGTTTTGGAGGAGGCTGTGCTCGTACATAATTTGGGTCTCCTCATGAATCGTTTCTGTATGGAAGGCAGGGAAAATGGAATTTTTGGTAATTGACGACCGTTTTCGATAACTGTTTTTGCGCCTCTGGTTCAATATTGGAGTGTTTACAGAGTATGAGCACGGGCAACAAAGAACCAAGTCTTGAGGCTAGTCTACCTAAGATCAAAACGTCTGCGTCACGGGTCCCGCCTTGGCCGGGGGGTAATTGACTCCAGCTCCAGTGGCAGCAGCGAACCTAGGTACTGTAGGGGTCGGTTGCCGGGGAGTCAAGGGCGGAACTCCCGCTAAAAAGGGCAATTCCAGGTTATCGGTCCGCATCCGGTGTGGCTCCCCCAAGAAGCTGCCATGTCCCCTCATTCGTTCTTTCCAACTTTCCGATGCAACGGCCCCAAAAGTTCACTGTCTCTTTGCTTGGGTCCATCCATATTCATCCTCCATATTTTCCTCCCCTTCGTTTCTGTTCCCTTCCCTTTCATCTCATCTCATTTACTGTACGGATACTCGTCAATCAATAGTATTCCCAGTACTCGGTCTTTTTATTCCACTCGCTCGTTGAGTTCCTTGCTGTTGCCCAGTATTGCTCCGCTTTCCAACTTTAACGCTGTCCTGTCGGTCGCTAAAATCTATCCATCCATCCTTCGCCGATTGATTCGATCCACTTGACAATAGCCCCCTTCCCTTGAGGCGGCGAGCCGCTGCTGGCATCATCCATATTCTTGGCATTGCATTGGTTGCTTGCAAGTCGGCATCCCCAGTAATTATTGCTGCCACTGCACTGCTCTGCCAGTTCCTTTCGCTTGGATCCAAATTTCTTTCTTATCCACAATGCAGAATTACCACGGTGATCCCTACGAGCGGGAACCTCTCGACTCTCAAAACTATTACAATTCCTCGCCGCAGCGGCCCATTCCTCCACCCCATAGTTATACACCAGCTGCTGCCCACTACGACGCTCCTGCGAGATCAAACCACCCCAGCGCCCATCCCGATTCTTCCTATAGTCGCGTGCAAGGCGGTTACGACGACTACCATTCTCAAGGTCGCTCGGCTTCACCTTACGGAGGATCGCCTGGCTACGATAGTCCTCGACGCCCATCACCTCATCAAGGCGACCACGACTACCACGGTAATCAAGGCTACAACACCTACGGGGGTGGCGGAGGAGGACATTTGGGGTATGTTTACCTTAACTCACATACTACGCCAAGCGCATGCAATTTTGGATGCCGCGTCGTATAGAATGGCAGGAGTTGCACACAGCGTTGCTAACGGTAGTTTTCTAGTAGTGGCATAGGCGCAATGGAACACTCTCGCTTGCCTCCACCTCCCTCACGGACACAGCAGAACCCGTATGGAGGCAACGGAGGCTACGGTTACGGCTACGATTCACCCCGTGGACCTCCAGGCTCGTCTTCAACATCCCACTTCAATGGAAGCGATCCCTATGTCGATAATCCTTACCATGGATACACCAACTCAAGAAACGGTAGCGCCAACCTGGGTGTAGTGAATCCTAATGAGATTGCCGACGATGGAGATGATGGACTGGAATACGGAAAAAGTCAACGAAACTCGATGCTGAGTCTTTCCAATTCAGACCGTGCAAAGAGGGGTGCATCTGCTACTGCTGCAGCTGTTGGAGGTGGCGCGGCTGCAGGCGGCCTGATGAGCGGCAGAGGTTAGTGGTCCCTCGAGCATTTATTGCGCAATCGCTAACTTTCAACAGGTGGAGCTTATGAAATGAATGCGGCACGCGAGAAACCCTATGGCTCGGCAGTTAATGATTCCGGGAGAAGTAAAAGGTGCAAATGGCTCATCATCATTCTAGTGTTTATTGTTATTTGCGGTGCCATTGTCGGCGGTGTGGTTGGAAGCATGGTCAACAATGGAAGGGACGAAAGCAAAGCTGGCGGAGCAAAGGGAGAGTCGGCTAAGGACGATACGAGAAAGAACGGTGATCTCGGCAAGAACAGCGCCGAGATCAAGGAGCTTCTCAACAACCCCGATCTGCACAGAGTGTTCCCTGGCATGGACTACACGCCGCTCAACTCACAGTACCCCGATTGCATGCACAATCCGCCCTCTCAAAACAACATCACTCGCGACGTTGCTATCTTGGGTCAGCTCACCAACAAGATTCGACTTTACGGTACAGACTGCAACCAAACCCAGATGCTCATCCACTCCATTCAGCGTTTGGAGCTTGACGACACCAAGATCTGGATGGGTGTCTGGCTGGACAAGAACGAGACAACCAACGAACGACAAATGAGCCAAATGTGGGATATTTTAGATGAGTATGGTGCGGATCCATTCGAGGGCATCATTATCGCCAACGAGATTCTGTTCCGAGAGGAGATGAATATTACCACATTGGCAGAGATTCTGGACGATACGCGCAGCAAGCTCAAGAAGAAGGATTTGAAGTTGCCTGTTGCCACCTCCGATCTGGGCGATGATTGGACGTCCGAGCTAGCCTCTGACAGTGACTATATTATGGCCAACATTCACCCCTTCTTCGCTGGTGTCGAGGCAGATGAGGCTGCCGACTGGACCTCTAGCTTCTGGAAGAACAACAATGGTCAGTTTTGGAAGTCAGACAAGCAAAAGAATATCATTTCCGAGACTGGTTGGCCAACTGGTGGTGGAACGCACTGCGGTGGCACCTCGACATCTTGTACCAAGGGCTCAGTCGCTGGCGTTGACGAACTGAACACCTTCATGGAGGATTGGGTCTGTCAGGCCCTCAAGAATGGTACCAACTACTTTTGGTTTGAGGCTTTTGATGAGCCATGGAAGGAGAGGTACAATGAGAAGGGCAAGGAGTGGGAGGACAAGTGGGGTCTGTTGACTATCGATCGCGAGCTCAAAAAGGGAGTCAAGATTCCTGACTGCGATGGCAAGACGCTTAAGGACTTCAGCGCTTTTTCGTAAACGATCACAAACACAGTTCTACGATATTTCTCAGCCACGATACGTCGTGGACGCTGGAGTTGATGCCAGCTTACGGACACGAGGACATGCATTGGATATAGCCAATAGCAACCTCGACGCTCAGTATTTAATGCCTTTTCTTTTTCTTTCTTTTCCTCATGGAACCGGAGTTAGGGAGTACTAGAAAACAGGCGGAAACCTTGCGATACCTGTTCTTTGTTTCATGTTTCGAGTACACCTGGAATGATGATTACCTTGTAGAGACGGACCGGAAGGAAGGTTTCTTATAACGACTCGCGCTTGCGAATGTATATAGTTGATGCATGAGGCAACAAACAAATAGGAAAAACATTTGACAAATCGGATTGCTGGCTGTTTGTTAGGATGAGGCTAGGACATTTGGTTCGGGTGAAGGTGCTTTTGTGTATAGACCGCGTCGTTATCGTCATTCATTACAAGCTATATAGTAAAGCCAGAAGTTCGTGTGCTTTTATCCCATGTTTGTGCAATCCATTTGTCCCGATTCAAATCGTCCCATCACTGATTACCTCCAATAGCAAAACTCCGAGTCTCATTCCAAATGCCCAGGATAATAATGCCGTTTAGGCTTCACCCAGATGTACGCCTCCTTCCTGGTGGTCATTTCCGTCTCCGACCACAATCTTGCTCTCGGGCGTCATAGGTCGTGCCAGGGGAAAGGCAAAGGGCCCTCCATCGAGGCATTCAACTGTAGAGTGCAGAGGTTGAGAAAGTACCAAAGGTTGAGCAGGTTGAGCAGACGTTGCAGCTTCACGGCTTTCCAGCCTGGCGAATCGTCTGTGGAAGTCGTGCAAGGTGTCGGCCAGTTCTTGAATGAAGTTGACCTGACTGTTCAATTGGGCTTGCATATCACGGATGACATGGTCGAGTCCAGGGGGGCCAACCGAGACATGAGGCTGATGGTGATGCTGCGGAATAGGCATGTGAGGGGCGGCATTCACGTCCTGATGCCCGGCGAAGAAAGGAGCTCCGTTGGGGTTCGCGACGAATGATGGGCCTTGAGGCATGTGAATGCCTGCGCGTAGGCGAGAGGCTTCGCGTTGAAGATGAAGATCGACCATGGCAGCGACGCTTGTCCCGCACATGGCTTTGCCCTGGGTACGCCTCCACAGAGTCAGCAGGGTCTAAAGACGAGCGATAAATGAACATGCCTTTTTTCGACGCGAGCGCTACAAACGTTGTGCAAAATGATTCGCTTGTTCTCATTGCTGGCGTAGATGTAGTCCCCCTTTCGAGTGGCACGGTCGCAGACTTGCCAAAGGGCTTGATACTCTGCCTCCTTAGCCTTGGAGTCGAAGGCCTTGGGCTCTGGTGACAAAGACATGGTAGATGGTTGGTTGTTTGGTTTCTTGATTGTTGTTTTGTTGGATTGATTGGTTGGGATGATGTTGTGGAGAGGATTAGGGAATCTTAGAAGAACGAAAGGAGACGAATTTATAGTCTGTTCTGAAGGTGACTATGAATCACTGTCGGAAGGTGCGGTGGACCGGTTCATCGGATTTGACAGAATCTCGGATGAGGTTAGAATTAGAGCGAAGAGTCCGGAGGACGACCTATGCTCATAAAACCAAGATTGCGGATTATTGAAGCTATATCAGAAATCTTTGTTGGTAGACCAATCAGCCTGATCTATTTCTAGATACTGTTGGCCAAGTCTGAGAAGAGATTAGGATAGTGTCTCGGCTGTTTCTCGAAATACTAGAGTGACCGGTATAATGGGTGACGACTGAAAAGGAATGAACATGAGTATGTTGAAGGTAAAGTGGTTTGAAGAGACGAGATGAGAAAAGACACCCGTGAAGAACTCAATTGATGGAACAAATCAACAGCAGATATCCACAAAAGTGAATTGACACTCATCAATAATTCATTATTCAGAGATAGTAGTCGACTCGAGTTTCTTAGACAGCTCATCCTCATCCTTCTCTTTGTTTTCGGCACTGTCACTCTCCTCCTTCACCTTTCCCTTACTCTTTCCTCCCTCCTTGATCTCCTCTTCCTCCTTAGCCTCATCCGTAGCCTTCCAGTAAATAGTCGTTGTAGAAAACACCGTGTCGTGCTTCTCCTCTGGGAACTCGGAACGCTCGTACGTCTTTTGGATCTCCTGAATCTCGTCAAGACCATCTGAGGTCATCATACTAGGAGTTCAGCGTTAGCCACATCATTGATCAGCAAGGAGGAGTCAATTACCTCTCCCAGGCATCCCATCCCGTTCCAATGAAGAGAGCAGGGAGATGCTTTGCAAATGCTTCTTTGTAGACGCCCTTGTACAGATGAACACCGAAGAAGAAAGTGGTCGGGGTGACAAGGTCGTTTCCTGCTGGTTCTTCAACGACAGCATGTCCCAGGTTGCCGAGGAAGGTCTTATCGGAGGCACTGAACATGGGATCTTGAATATAAGTTTCGATTTTTTTACCTGTAATTTTCTCTAGACAATGCTGTTAGTTTTGGTTCTTTGAGAACAGAGTTAACATACCCAGTTCTTCCACAATGATGTCAAAAGCAGCGAGCTGCACGAATGAGGCCCTGGGGTCACTCGCCCCCTTTGGATCAAACGTGCCAACGCCGAAATTCACTGCACGGTTAATTCTTTTGAGGCCGGAGGCTTTATTCGAAATGATGTCGCGCACCTTTGTGCAGGATGGTTCAGACTCCCAGCGCTCGCGATGGCGTCTGTACGATGCTTCAAGCTCGGCTGGAGAATACAGGTTTTCGGTATTTGGAACCACAGGGTTGGCATTGATGTGTGAGTGAGAGGAAGATGAATCTTGGTTGAATTTTGTGGACTTGGATTTGTTCTTGCGAGATTTGCGCGAGACTTGTGTCCATTCTTGAGAGTCTTTGGGAGAGGACATTTTGGTAGTAGGAAGGATGCGGGTAAGGAAAGAGATAGGTGAACTTGGGATTGAATATGACTATGTGTTGAATGAATACAACAAAGTGGTTGTGATGAGGAAATGATTCTCATGAGAAGTTGGCTTTTATAGTGAGAGACTCAGTGAGGTTGTCGTGAAGATTGAGATTTTGGGACTCCACCGCTTCGGTGTAGCTCGGTCAGGTCAAGGTGAGGCGGGGCGTTCTTCAGTGGCGCTTTCATTCATGGATAGTCAATTTTGACAACAATAAATTTCCCGACTGGCTTGAGTTTGACCATGACTTTATAGATAGTTAGGATGTTACTGATTGCTTCCACTATTGCATTTTATCGTCTTGTGGTGATTTGTGGTTTTACAATACAGCATCACGATACGTGGGTTACATACAAGAAACGATGGCACCAATACACATGGTGGTGGTTTATCCCGGTGGGTAAACTACAGTACAGCACAACTTATTGGTACAACCATCAGCTTACGGTTGTGTCTGTGTCTGTGCTTGTGCGTATGTATGTAAGCTGTACTGTACAACTCGACGCCTAGATAATACTGGATGGGACGAGACTCTGGGGTTACCACATCAGAAGTCAGCAGATGGAAAATTGCTGACATACAACATGCACCACGAATATGAATGAATCTCGGCAAAACTGATCCGATTTTCGAATTACATCAGTTCATGAAAATGAAGAAAGCGTCTTATTATTGATTGATGGTTTCGATCTTTATCCCCTGTCAAGCGGGGAGAGAGGTTGGACCTGGACCTGGACCTGGACTTGGACTTGGACATGGAATTTAGGACCCGAGCGCCACGATTAACCTCCCGCAGATCATTGGCCCTGCGCCCCGCCCCTTCCTAGCGCCAGCGCTTAGAATAACCCAACCACAAGCCAGAAACAAGTCAACTTACAGCTTGTCACTCCTTCCTTAGCTTCCTACTGGCTGCGCTCTACGGGTCCTGCAGCAGGGGTCACACCCTCCAGGAAGCATCTTCAACGGCTTCTTACTGGCAGACTTGTAAATCACACTGCTTTTTCACTGCCTTTCCCTACTCTCAAGGACTCAAGCACAAGAGAATCACATCAAATCAAGTGCTTGCAGCCGCCTGCATCCTGGTCAAAAAAATGGCCACCCGTTCCCCGGCTCCTTAAGACCATGTCAACGCCCCCATCAGTGTCCTGCGGCCAGTTCATGAGCCTTTTCCATCTTCAATCTTTCTTCTTTTTTCTCCGATAAGGAGCTGACTTGTTGGTATTACTGCTTGCTTGTTGGTTCGTGACATGTTCATCGCTTCAAGAGGCTGAGCCTTATCACTTCGACACGAAACATAGCGACGACATTTGTTTGCTCTAGCACAAACACCAGACAGACGCTTACCGATATATACTCACACCATACACAAATCGCAAACATGCGGACGTCGGCTCTTCTCACCATCGTCCTCGCGACAATCGTCTCTGCCCACAGTGTAATCACCTACCCAGGCTGGCGCGGCAACAACCTCATCACCAACGAGACCTTTCCATATGGCATGCAATGGATCTATCCATGTACGTCCATCTTTTCATCCTACAAATATTGGGCAATCAACTAATTAGCACAAAGGCGGCGGTCACAATGTCACGACAAACCGCACATACTGGCCCACGACAGGCGGTGCCATCGCTTTCCAGCCCGGCTGGTTCCGTGGCCACGAGACAGCATTTGCCTACATCAACATGGGTTTCGGCGATGACGGTCCAGACGGCGGTCCTGCGAACATGACTCTTCCCATGGTTCCCATGTTCCAGATCCTCGGTCCCACCAACAATCCTTTCCCAGGAACGATTTGTCTCCCTCAGGTGCCTCTGCCAAAGAACACGACAGTAAAGGCTGGTGACAAGGCGACAATTCAAGTTGTCGAACTCGCTGTACACGGTGCAGCTCTCTACTCTGTATGTTACATGCTATTGATATACTCTGGCATTCATGATCTAACAAAAGCAGTGTGTCGACATTATTTTCGCAGAACCAGGCGACAAGAAGCTCAAAGAAGTGAACGAGACCAACTGCTTCAACTCGACCGATATCGGCTTCGCAGAAATCTACACCATTACGACCAAGGAATCTGGATCTGATGAGTTGGTGAGCGAGTCCGGCGCCACCCTGGCATTCCGTCAGCTAGGCTGGCTGCCTTTAGTGGCAGCTGGACTCTGGGCTTTTCTGCTAGCGTGATGAGATGAAGAGAACGTATATCTGAAAGCATAATGAACGGCGTTTATGGAGGGAATTGGGATATCCCTGAATATTGTTTCTTCAATTACTTCTGGTAACCTCGATTTGGGCCGAAGTCTTGTTATGGTGTTGGAGGAGCTTCTATATTGCTTCATTCATTTAAGACACTACATCAAATATCTACTTTACTATGAGTCAACTTTACTGCCAATGCTACATACAGTAGTGTGACGATGAAAGCAAACCTGAAATTAATCTAATAGTGTGTATTTGATTGACCTTATACTGAATAGCGGGAAATGAGCTAGACCAACCAAGCTCAGAAACCTCGTTATGGTAAAATCGGTATCCATTTGTAGTTCTATGTAGTTTTCTTCTAATCCTGTGCTTCTGTCGTTCTAGTCACGCGGAACCCGGCTTGGCGCTGCAACACCTGCATTGCCGCCGTCGCCATCACATTTACGGAGCTACCTTGGTACATTCGGCCGCGACAGACTTGACACGCTCCTCCAAGCTATGTCCTGCAGCAGTTTCGATCCATCCCTTGATACCGAGATTGGCTGCCTCAGCCTTTGACGCGGAAAGTAGTGTGCCGAGCGCCACGAGACCACGGTACAGAACTTCTGAGTCAGTTTGACCATCGCGGGAAAGGATTGTACCAAGCAGGATGGCTAGACGACGGCGTTGGTCGGGGGTAAGAAGACGCTCGCGGTGTACGAGAACCGATAGGTTGATCGCTGCCGTGGTGGCGGCAATGAGAACGTTACGGTTCAAGGGTCCAATAGGGTCTGAGGATACACCAACGATGCGCTCCAGAAATGAGATGGCCTCATCCGATTGAGAACTAACAATCGAGCGGCCATTGGCCGTAGAAAAAATGTTTGCAAGGGTACGGAGACCCATCATGGCCGCGTTCTCGTTGGGAGCTTCGCCCTGGGGTAGGGATGATGCAAAAGCAAGATCAAGAAGAGAGCCGACGTTTGGATCAGAGAACTGCGCAACAAGAGGATACTTCGCAACGCAACGGAGAAGATCCAGAGCAGCTAGACGATCCGAATAAGGCCACTGGGTGAGAATCCGGACGAGGAGAGGCATAGCAGATGGAGGAACAGGCTTATTAGACTCGAGAGCAGTGCGCAGCTCGGATAGTGTCGATTCGTCAGAGGGGTTAAGAGCAGAATCCTTACGGCCTGATGAGACCATATTCTTGTTGATGGTAAGAATCTTGTTGAACATAGCTAAGAACGTCAGTAAATGTGCAGATGCAAATGAACAGACAGCTTACCTTCGTATTTAGCTGCTGTGATGCTAAGATAGTCTTTCTGAGGGAGCACCTTGGGCTGGGTGTTCTCGCCAGGACGATACCGCGACTCAGTACCAAGAGGATCAGGACCACCAGGTTCTGAAGTCTGACCCAGAGTAGCGCCCTTGGTATTTTCTGTGATAAAGTTGGCCACATTATCGAGATAGGAGAGTGGTAATTCATTATCGCCTAGGAACTTTGTGGCTCGCTCGTAGGGATTCTCAGAAAGGTTGTAAGGAAGCTTGAGCGGAGGCTTGCCATCCTCAATATCAACGTCGAACACGTAGTCGTACATCTTGCCGTTGTATTCGACTTTCTTGCCGGTGCTGGCGACAGCATCAACGACCGTTCCGACGTTGACCCATTGCTGCTGGCTCATTGACCACGTGTGAGCAGTGACAGCACCATTATCCTCCTTGATCATTTGAACTTGTCCTTCCTTGGTACCGGCCTTGGATGTCAGAAAATCCGGGCCAGGGAGCTTTTCCTTGTTGATGCCTCCAACTTGTTGCTGAGGAATCGATGACGATTTCACAGATTCCTCGAACTCCTTAAGCGTCGCTTGATCAGCAGTGCGTTCAGAACTTCTCGTGAAGACGCGAGCAATGCTATCGCTGGCACCTGTGACAATGTCTCCAGTCTCGGGGTTCGCCGCTACTGTCCATACAGAGATAGCGGGGTGAGTAATAGTCTGTACGCAGTCGTTGCCCTTCCAGACCCTGACAGTGCGGTCCTCTCCAGAACTGACAAGTTCACCTGTAGGGAGACTTGTGATGCTATAAACAAAGCTTTCGTGCCCATGGAGTTCGGCAACCTGCTGTCCGTTCAGCTTCCAGAGACGTATGGTACCATCGTTGCTGGCGCTCGCAATATCAGCGCCGCTGGGGTGGCTTTGAGGAACCCGACAGAGAGCGCGAACAACATCGGGTGTGCAAATAGTTGACTTTGGTGCCACTTCTCCCGCAGTAGACTGTCGCAAATCAAAGACGCGGATATTCTTATCAGCGCAGCCAGTGACTACTGTATAGTCATCAAGAGCTACAACGCTCCAGACTGACTTGCCTTCATGGCCGCTGAGAGACAGCTCTGTCTCCCACTTCTGGGGACTCCAGACCCGCGCTTGGCCATCCCATCCGCCGGACACCAGATACTTGCCGCTAGGGACAACATCGATGGTGCAGACATTGTGGGAGTGGCCGATGAGAAGACGTTCGGCGTTATCGGCGCTGGTTGCGTTGGGTGACTTGACCTCAATGATTGTATCTTTTCCACCAGAGACAACATAGCCATCAGGGTGTTCGCTAGACGGAGGGAAGAAGGAGAGGGAGTTGACGTATTCGGAGCCGCGACTCAAGAGGGTTGCTTCAAAATTCGGAGGTGATTCCTGCGTGCGACGCCATACGCGGACGCTGCAGTCACGGGAGGCGGTTAAAACGGTATCGGGGGAGGGGAAGCTTGCGGCTCGAACCTAGAAAGCCTATCAGTTAGGAGTACCGATTGGTATGATGTGGAAAACACCTACATCGGCTTCATGGCCGGTCAGTTGCGCCGACAGCTTAAAGTCGGCCATTTTGTTTAGAGTGATGGACAAGATGGGTTGTATGTAACACTACTGAATGCAGTGGAGGGGAGCTGAATGATGCAAAAGCGATAAAGAAGAGAAGAAAGACAAGGGCCTGCTATCTGTTCAAGGCAAAAGTCATGAGCACCAAAAGAGAATTACGATAGCGAGATTTTCTGTATCATGAAAAGTCATCAAAAGAGCAGCTTGACAAATTGTAAAGTCGTTGACAGATCATAAGTGGTCAGTAATGGAAGCCGATCGATTGCCCCTTCTTGTCCGTCCAGCTTAAGCCACACTGCGTCACCAGGCACCAGCCACCTCCACTCAGCCGGACATGGACTGCCAGAACTGAGAACCAAAAACAAGGCGATCAGATGACAATTCAAATGAAGTCAAGAGAGATGGAAGTGATGGATATGGAGTCTTGAGCAACGATGCATAGGTACGAACAACAGCTATCCTTTGTTACCAAACACTACCACTACCACCAATCTCAGCTGTACAAGGTAACCTGCAGCACCCCGCTTCGTGGCGGTGCATGTCCCGAAAGGAAGGTCCACCGCCTTCATTCCATCAACCCCGCTGTACGAAGTGGGCAAGCGTGACCCTGTCTTTTGAATGCGCGCTGCTGTTTCCCCATCTTCGCAAAGATTTGGCAATTTATCACCGCCCACCCTCCTTTTAACTCCTCCTCTTCTCTTGCACGGGGGTTCGATTTGGGGACACTCTTACGCTCCTCTACTCTGCGACTCTCCCCGACACTACCACGACTTGTACCGTCTCCTTACCGTTTCCCAATTCTTCATCCCTTTTGTCCAAGTCTTGTCCTGGTCATCGCTTGAGAGAGACGCTCCACACTTCTGCGACGACACGCGATAACCATTGCCACGAGTCACGATACGAATCGCTCTTAACGACGCCTACGACCGTTACGACTTTATCTCTTCTTTAGAATTTTGACGCTCAGCTCTCACTGGGCATTCTCTTTTTGTCTATCCGATATCACTTCGCAATTCGACCTGCCACAATTAGCTCGAGTCCACAAACACCGCCAACCATCGATTCTCACAGCTGTCGCAATGGCTTCTGAACCCCGGCAGTATCATCCTTTGACCTGCCACGGTCACTCCCGACCCGTTCCCCATATCGCCTTCTCAGCTATCGACAAGGAGCCTGACAAAGACAAGAACGATGTCTATTACATGATCTCGGCCTGCAAAGGTGCGTTGCTGGGTTTCTTTTGGTGAAGCACATGTTGACGTTTATCAGATGGTAACCCGATGCTTCGCAATGGTACCAACGGCGACTGGTAAGACAGCCGTGATATTGGTTTAGGGGCCTTCTGACATGTCTAGGATTGGCACTTTCATTGGCCACAAAGGTGCTGTTTGGCAGGCGAGGCTCAGCCCCGATTCTCTCAATGCTGCAACTGCATCGGCTGACTTCACAGCGTAAGTTAGCTCAAACGGCATATTATCGCTTAACTTACACCTTTGTAGCAAGATTTGGGACACTTACACCGGCGAGCTGCTTTACACTCTCCAGCACGAACACATTGTACGTGCTATTGCGTATCCTCCCGACAACTCCGATCTCATCGCGACGGGTGGCATGGAGAAGAAGCTGCGTATCTTCGACCTCTCAGAACTCGCAGCGGCTCCTGGATCTCCTGCTACCATCAACGCCTCGACTGGATTTGAGATTGGCGAGGGCGTTCACACTGGTTCCATCAAGTTTATCTGCTGGACCCAGGACCCTAACATTGTTGTGACAGCCTCTGACAAGACAATTCGCTGGTTGGACCTACCTAGCCGAGCCTGCATCCGACACGAGGTTCTCGATGGAGACATCAAGTCTTGTGAGATGGTGTCATTGGCTCCCCAGTATGCTTCGCCTAGTGATATTGGTGGCGGAAAGCCAGTGCTCGCTGTCGCAGCTGGCAAGACTGCGTATTTCTGGGGCGGCGTCCAGGCGATGGACGAGCTTAAACGTATTACTCTGCCCTATACGATTGCCAGTGTATCCGTTGACCTCAAGGGTCGCAAGTTAGTTGTTGGCGAGGAACCTGGTACATGGGCCAAGGTGGTTCGCTATGACGATGGCACGGAGATTGACACACACAAGGGACACCACGGTCCTATCTGGTCGATCGCATTTTCTCCTGATGGCAAGCTTTACGCAACGGGATCTGAGGATGGTACTATCAAGCTGTGGAAGAACTGCGAGGGCTATTACGGTCTTTGGCGCGGAGGCGGAGAAAGAGCTGCAGAATAGGAGCGCGGGTCTATTTCGGCTACGTCAACAGCTGACCTAGAAACGAACGGACAACGATCCAAGGTCGTTTCCACTGAGCGGGGTGAAAGTCCAATATCTGTTGGCCAAGAGAACATTGACCCTCCTGGTAGTAAGATCAAATCAAGAGAAAACAAATGCTCGACCGTGCCCGTTGGGGCCAGAACTAACGCATGGACAAAGCCTCTCTGTTAGGCCATTCGCGTACAAGGGGGAGGAGAAGGTACAGTATTTATGTTAGACACATGTTTAGGGGTGGAGGGCCTCGGCGGCCGCTGAAACGGGGCGAGATTCTCAATATCTATCTACAGACGCCATTAATACCAGTGTACTATCAGCATATCTAGATACACAATCCGATCCCATCCAGTATCAACAGACGTTAATCTCAAATTTCCCTTGCACTACCTAGGGCATGATACCCACCCATACCTTTAAAATGCTATATACGACGAGTGATCCTTTACAACGCTACTAAAACTTATACCGAGACCACAGACTACAGGGCATCTCGCCCACCAGTACGAGTCCACACTACAGGGGCGCAAGTTCATGACCCAGAACAACTTCTCGAGTCTACTGGGGAACGCACTTACCTAGAGTCATTGTCGGAGCCACCTACCTGATGGCGTCGAAGGCGAATGCACGTATGCTCAAAGGGCTCAGTGAGAATGAGGTTGGCGCGATCGTTGGAGGACAAATTCATCAATTCGAGTTGGCTGATGATCTCTTCATCACCGTGAGGACAAGTCTCCTCATCAGGGTAGACAATCACCCCGTCATCCCAAGTGTCGTCGTGAGTGATGTAGACACCGTACTCGATTCGCGGCTCGTTGACGACCACCCAACTCTTATCGAAACGGGAATCGAAGTAGAGACGATTCTTTTTCTTGGCCATACCGCGAACAGGACGACGACCGCGGTTGTTGGCTGGAATGGTGACGGAAGTGTTAGCCCCGAACGAGAAGGTGGGATGGCGAGAGCTATCGGATGAAGAGGGAGCATCCCCGGGAGACTTCAGAATACCTTTGGGAGTGGCCGCGAAGTCAAAGGCAAATGTTGGGCTAGGTGGAGTGAGCTTGAAGGTGAAGGGGCGATGCTGAGAGGTCTCAGACGCAGAGGCAACACCCTGAGAAGACTCTGGGTTGCCGTTGGCGGTCGGGGGAGCAACCTCTTTGCCCTTACCCTTAGGGTTAGAGGCAGAAGTCATGATTTCCTTACCTTTAGACATCGTGTTGGTGGTGGTTGCTTTAATGGTTGATGAGTAGATAGGGATCGTGAGAAGATCTGGGATGCAGATCCAGAGTGAGCAAAAGTACCTGCAGGGACGAAGTTGATGAGGGAGGAAAGACTTTAAGCTTTCATGGGAGGCCCGATGTTTCTATAGACATCCTGTACACAGCAGTGCCGGGTCTCTATTCAATTGCTTAGGCTGTTCCTCATGTGTTCGTTGAGTGAAGCATTGTATTCACCTTGACATTGAAGATGTTCCAAGACAGGAAAAGGACTTCCACAATTGTTGCGAGTATACCCAGTTAATGAATCATTTTTTTATGTTCGCGTACATTTACAATATAGAAAAGAGAGATCATCAGTATTGTTCAACACTTGGGATGTGTTGATGTTCTTGGTGCTTTCTGTCTTACGAAAGAGTTGCCCTGCCGTGAGCCCGTTGCCGACTGAACGCATTCGGCAACAACGCGATAGTAAAAGTCAGTGACACAAATAAGAATCGACAATAGTTTGACTAAATAAATAGTTAAAGATAGCGAGAAGTCATGAACATTGTTGCTTGCCAATATCGGTGGCCGAATGGCTTCTCTGTAAATTCTAGCCGTAGGGTAAGTTGCTCGGAATGATATGATCTTGGAACTCGGTGATAATAGCAGCGACAATTACTCTAGGTCAATTGTATGACCAAAAAAAGTTTGGACGACTCTACATAGTGAATGAGGAGATACTAGACCCAAAGGTATGCAGGTGTGGCCATTCACTACGCTCCAATTCTCACCAAGATTTCGACCCTTGACGGAGCTCCTGTTAAAGACAACCCAATCGTGGGGCAATTACTACGAATTGAATATGAATAGAAGACCGAAACATGATTTCACACGTGAAATCTACGAGTCACCCTTTGAACGTATCAATATTTGATAGCTGTTCCGCTGTTCCAAATGAGGCGAGTAAAACCCGAAAGATTGCTACGATTGAGCTCCACGAGAACTCCCAGCATAATGTAAAAGGTAAATATTGGTCAAGAGTTAGTTTTTACACCTTTAGCTTTCTAAACTCATACGTCGAGAACAAAGCCTTCCACAGACATCATTCAGCGCCGACCCAACTCATGTCACTGACTGATGCAGGGAATGTGCGATGGGCTTCAACGGTTGTGCGACTGGTCAGACGCTATGACAAGATAGCATGTTTGCCATGTGGAAGGAGATGCAGATCTTTATTCGCAGTCTTGACAGGGCTGGGAAACTTGCCTGCCGCGCCTGCTTAGGTAGTCTGTACATGAACGTCTACCAAGATACCAAGCCGTCAGCAGTGGGCTAGACCCTATACCGAGCTGTCTTAATGCTCTCGAAGGAACGATATCCCAGTCAATCAACTCAATCGGATCCGACGATGCACCGGAGGCCCCGAAGTCCGGATCCTCTGTGGTTTGCTGGCATGTTGCCGGCCGAGGCATCTCAAGAGCAAATGGTACAGTACAGGACCAACACCGTTTAGCATCATGTCTAGACCAGGTTACAGCAGGGGGATTCTGCTTATTCAATCTTGGCTTCTGCTGTGTCACTTGTCCAAGTGCAGTTTGTTGCTGGATGGAGAACGAATTGTTTTCCCACGTTAGCTTCAAGGTGCAGATTGGCGAGCTGAGGGATTGTCATGATAGAATTGGGAAAGTCGACACGTTGATCAATTAGCGAGGCGAGGGTGCCGTGTACCGAAAGCAGATAAGGTCTCTCTGCCAGTCAGTGACAGCAAGATCCTGCAGACTTGGTTGCTTGGCAGGACGAGGTCAACTGTCTACAAGAAGCAGAAGCAGAAGATGTTGGCGTGGCAATGTACAAGCATGCATTTTGTAATTCAGCATATCTTGGAGTGAAAAGCAGGGCAGAAAGGCGACCAACAAGGACATGATCAGAGGGGGGTTGGCGAGAAAAGTCCCGCGGTTATTTGCATGAGCAATGGTTCGTCTGTTGGACGTTGACTGTAGAATTTTATGAGATATCATCTTTTCTCGACTGAGGTGTCACATTGTACAGTACTGTAAGGAGGGGGAGAGGAGGCAAACGGGCCTCAAGAAGACCAAGCCCAACATCAGAGACAAAGAAGACAATAGCGTCCGGAAATTCATTCCGGTGCCGTTTGTTGGTTGGCAAGGTACCTAGAATACGAATTTCCACTTCTCCCTCTGCCTCTCTGCCTCTCTGTTGCGAGTCGAGTTACAGCACATGCGCCACCACGGGAAGAGACATTATTTTATTAGCCAAGCCGGAGACGTTTACAAAAATGACTTGTTCGTCGATTGACTCGTCTTTAGGAAATCCTTTTGTGTGGAGATACTTCCACTCGTCCGGCCGAGCTGCAGGGTCCAAGCTTGCACTGAAGAAATTGAGAATAGCTTCAATGACGAGACAGATCTTTTCTGCTAAAAGCCTGGGTGACATCATGTTGCGGTTGAGCGATCCAGGGACTGTTTGGCTCACTAGATGTAAATCACTAGAGAGAGAAAGAATAAAGGTGATCGTTCTGATGAGATGAGAAGAACATGTAATGCAATGTAATGCACGGACATTGATAGCCCAGATGTCCATCTTGAGATGTCGCAATACAAGCCAAATGCATCTGTGAATTGAATCAAGTACCGACAGGAAAAAGTAAAGTTTGGCTGAACTACCTGCTGCAAATTACCGAACACATTCACCAAAAAAGCAATTCCATTGTCCACTCTTACAGTGCAGTGCAGTGAGTAAACAAAGAGAGACAGACACACACTCAAGTATGGAAATGGTTAGCCGAGGCGGCCCGCTGCAGGGACGTTACGCCGCGTCGCATGTCACCTAAAGAGGTACATCCATATGTACTACATTGGACCTCTACAGAACAGACTCTTTGCTGCTCTTTTCAGCTTCCAAGGTTTCGTGTTACGCTGCAGTACAGAATTAATTCAGGCGTTACTCCAAGTTTCACTCAACGTTTTCTCTTCAAACGGCGTGGCTTAGAATTGCGGCACAAAGACTCCGAGATAATCTAGGTACTAAGTAGGCGAATGATATGAGATGCAAGATGCAGGTGTCCGCGTCAGACAAAAGACATGCCTCGGTTTGATGTGTCGAGGTGAGATTTAAGGTGAACGTGAATGAATGTGGGGATAATATTCATCTGCATAATGTGCTCTACGGTACTACTGCGGAAGCGGATCCGATACAAGGTTGAAGTGACAGAGACAGAGATGATCTTTGCTGTCCTGTCCTCTTACTAGAACAGGGCTGATCTAGCAAGCGGGGGATGATCAACACTGGCTGATGAATTGACAGACTAAACAATTCAACGTCATAAAACTCATCGAGATCGAAAAGATGCAGTTCATAACTACCTATTTTCGCGTACAGTACTGTACATATCATATTGAGACTCTCTTAAACACCATCGCAGTATGATGTGTCTCAACGTCACAGGTTCCAGAAGCAGAGGCTAATGTAGGTAGTCCGCGGCACATTATTTTAGTGACATTAAACTAACTTGGTACCTAAACCTAACCACACGCCGCAATAATGCCACTAGAAGCCGCAGAGATGCCGTAGCTGTCAGCACCCAACTGTGCATGTACGTACTACCTAATCTACTGTACTGATTGATGATTGATGGATGCCCGGTCTTGGGTCAACGGGGTTGCTCTGCCGTGCACCAGGTATTCGTATTCCCGGTGAGCTACGGCGATAGTTACCGTGCAGTATAGATTGTCCCTCTAAACGCGCGATAATCAGGTCCGCGTCTATCGACAATGGCGACTCCCGGCTCCGAAAGCACCGTTAACCCCAAGGAAACGGGGCCTCGTGATACCAGTAAAACATCCCATCGGCCCTGTACAACGGACGACGGTTCAACGAGTATTTCCCGCGATTTGAACCATGTACTTTTAGACCCAAGCTTTGGTGTGGAGATACAAGTGAGCTAACACTAGCTATTACCGTGCCCTCCGTTCCGGCCCCCTCCGCTCACGCGTTTCTGGTGGGCAGAGGCAGAGGCAGAGTCAGAGTCTGGTCTCTTGGAATGGGCTGTTGAGAAATCAGGCCACTTTCTTCCACCCTAGTAATAGTTTCACGGCCAAATCTTCCTTGGTCCGCTTGTCACAGATACTGATGACCGTTTGATGGCATTTCTGATCCTCACAATCAATTGTTATTCCAATGTTTGTTCCCGATGTTTTTTTTTGGACACTAGACTAGGATTGGGATGACTTTCCGACGAAATTTTGCAAGTCACTGCCTTAGTGAGGGCATCGCGACGTAATCGCTGGTCTGGTGGAAGCCATGAGATCGAGATGATACATACCATGAGGCTTTAAACTATTTGGCAGAGCATAGTATATTTTTGGATCATGAACTGCACCAAACACGTGGAATACTCCGATCGCAGTGAGCAAGTAAGTGCTGTATCTCGGGAAAATGGAGTTTGGGTTTGAGCTTGAGCTTGAGCTTGCTTTGAGAACAGACATTGACAAGGGTTTATGTTGGTTGTGTTGTATGCATGGCATTGGGAAGAGTGGATACTTGACGCTCGACACTCGACTTACTGGCGATGTTGGGCATCTTCATAGTATTCTTTCGAGATTCCCAGGCGTGGTGAATCTCTAGAACGTCGTCTTTCTGACCGCTGCAAGAAAAGAAACCCCTGAAGACATTCGAGTCTGGACCATCTCGGTAGTCACAATCCCACGTTTGTCATGATCTACACGTTGTCTTGTCTCCCGTCCCAATCCACAATAACTTTTGTCGAATTCCCTTTTTGGGTACCTCGTTAGACGCCACTGTACTCCATCTTCGGCCCTCGCCAAACGTTTTGGAACGTTCCTGGCCTTCCAGGCGCCTTTCGGGAACAAGACAAAGACCAACTAGACCAGAAGTGCCACAAGGAGATGCAGATGCAGATGCCACTGTTGGTTGCAGTCTCTCTTTGCCACAACGCGGAACTGATGCCGGGTAATAAGCTGGAGATGCGTCTGTAACATGGGAGATGCTAATACTACAGTACAGTACAGGGCAAGTTTGGATCGATAGGCGAGGAGCGGTCGCTTCGGTGAAAGCGGATGCGAATAGCAATCCGTTGTTCAATTAAAAGCTCGAGTCAATTTGAGGCTGATCCTATTAGTGACTAAATACAAGGAGCTGCTGTAGTGGAGGGAGGATGGATGTTGCGGATACGAGCGAGATAATTGTTGGGTTTGGGTATTCCTTTGATGGAGAAGTTCAACGTCGCAAATGCTGAACCGAGATGTTGCATCCGTGGACAAAAGAGTTGATACCTGTACATTCGCTTAGAATACTAAATGTTAGTTCAATTGATGCTCTGTATTTACAGACGATATTGACCTGAAATATTGACACCAGATCAGACAAGGACAAAAAGAGACAAAATTGCCTGCATTACGAGTCATGATTGGCGGCCCGACGCTCTGACAGCTAAGGTAATTTAGCCCATTAAGGCTGTATACGGGTACCTGTACTTACCCTCGCTTATTGTGCTAGGTGTTCTGGACCTTCTGGAAATCCCGAGCTGCAACGGGAGATAATATTTTGACAGCGCTTACAGCGTAACCAAGAAAGAGCCGGTACCTACCTAGTGGATGACGTTGACCTCGACTTCAAGATATGTCGCCTTTCTTTTTCTTCGGGTAGATACAGTAGATGATCTTAGCTGTAGCTGCATGCAAACAAATAAATGCTGCTTTCGTTAATGATTGGCATATTCTTTGGCAGCTCTCTGTTTTCGTGCATTGCAGCCGCCAATGGACTGCAGTACAGTACAGTCAAGCGAACCTACAGTACAGTAGACAGGGATGCAGGGCAGGTAACTGAAACCCACAGATAAAATCCATTCATTCACCTTTGACATCCATTCTCGGCCGCCCGTTTTTCCCTTGCGTTTCGCTAGTTTTCAAACGGCCAAGGACCAGGCCACGCAGCGTCGATCACGGGAAACGGGAGCCATTGCTTTTTCAGCCCGTTTCATTCAATAACGACCCCCCCCGATGCTTCTGTCAGTAGCCGCTGTGATACAGGCCTTTGCTTGACTCGAGCAAATTAAAGAGAAAAGAGAAGAGAAGAGAGAGAGGTGTGTTGCTGGGATTGAGGGAGTAAACTGAAAGGGCGATGGCGATGGAAATCTTGCAAGGGATAGAGTGTACCTAGATTACCTGGGTAGGTAGTTTATCCGGTAGAGTTCTCTCAACACTGTCTGTGAAAATGATGCTTGTCTACGATAATAGAGAGAACGACCGATGGGAGTTGAAGTTGCCCATTACTTGGACGACAATTCCATGGCATTGATTAATCCATGGAATGGAAAGCCAAGTACAGTACCTGTACTCGTACAGGTACCTTGACCTTGTCGAGGGTTCAGGTACGTACCTCTTGGACCGGCCGCCCCCGCCAGTCTTATGGTGCGGTCGTATGACGCGGAACAGACTTGTCGGGCGCTGTCGCTCTAAGCTTTCCGTACCAGACACACAATCCTTGGCTACCAGATTTTCCGCAGCTGTACAGTTACAGCTACAGCCAACAGGGAAAAATTGACTCGAATTGCCTTTTGACCATGGAAGAAGCTATATATCGCTTGCCCCGTCTCGCCATCCCAAAAAAAGTGTCTGACCATCCCCATCCCATACATTCAACAACACCACGAAAACACTTCTCTCACCACTACCGTCTGATATCGATACCTCAATTCTTTGACGGCTCAAACAAACAAGACAAACAAACAAACATTGCTTTACTTTACTCAACTCTTCTACTCGACTCGGCTTAAATACACAATACACACGCCCTTGTTGTATATCCACACACCCCCTTGATTCTTCAACCATCAATACATCCATACCATACATACATATCACCCATTACAACAATCAGCCAACTCAAATCTAAACCACCTCATCCTTCATCAAATCGATACAATGGCCGACATATCATTCGACTACTTTGATCATCCTCAGAACAGACAGGTACGTTGTTGACTCTCCATCTCGGTCCTTTCCCTTCCCTCTGTCTCCACGATTCTACTGTGCACCACACCCCCTGGTCTCGTCAAGTCTGGGGCATTAGTATTGGCATCGGCGTTGGTATTGCTGTTTATATGGCACATGTCTTCCCCTCCTGCCCCCCTCACCTCACCTCACCTTCACCTCATCTCAGCCCATTCTTCCCTTTTGAGCAGCCCACAATCTACAACCTTAACTTGACCTGCAACCATCAATATCATCTTTATATCACATCTACCCTCTCACCACTGGTTTCAACTTGTACCACACCACAAAGCACCTCATTCATACTCTCTCATCCATCCATCCCTTCTCTTCAAAGCCTTCTGTTCTAACAACCTACTATAGCCTCTCGGCTTCTACGACCCTGCAGACTTCAGCGGTGATTCGGCTCACTCTCCCGACTCACCACTCTCTCCCGTCTTCACCAACCCATATCAACTCCCCGTCTCCAACGACTGGGTAGGCTGGGACGACAAGGCTACGCTATCACCTGATCTTGACGCTCTCCCCAAGCAGGAGCCCTTTGAAGGCATCAACCTCTCTGCCATCCCCTCAAGAAACAGCATGGAGCTCAGCCCCGCTATCAACCCACACGACCTCTCGGGTACCATCCCTGATGCTGTACCTTTTGGCCGAGTCGGTCTCAATGACATCGACACTCAACCTCTGTTCCAAACTCCCATTCCTTCCATCTCTTCTCAACCTTCTCATCTCCAGTCCAACATGATGCAATCCACCAATCCCTCTCAGATGTCTTCCTCTCTTGGAAGTATCACCTCCAAGGATGCCAATGGCCGATATCCTTCACGCAAGCGCAAGTCCTCGGGCTCTGGAAGCTCTTCATCTCGATCATCTACCTCTCCTCCTCCTGCCACCCGCCGCCACTGTTCTCCTCCCAAGAAGACCGCGCACAACATGATCGAGAAGCGCTACCGTACCAACCTCAACGACAAGATCGCCGCTCTTCGTGACTCCGTACCAGCCCTGCGTGTCATGGTCCACCGCCTGGAACAACCTTGTGTCGAAGGCATGGAAGAAGACGGCGACGAGGACCTCGGTGGACTCGCACCAGCCCACAAGCTCAACAAGGCCACCATCCTCAGCAAGGCAACAGAGTACATCGCGCACCTTGAGAAGAAGAACAAGAGCCTCGTTCAAGAGAACGGCCAGCTCCGAAATCGCATGGAAGGCTTTCAGATGATGGTCATGTCTCGAGATCAAGGACCCCCAGCAGGCGTCTGGGCATAGACTGCATTTCTTGGCTTGTTCTAGACCTGGTTCTTAGAATATTCTGCTATTCTTTTCTCTGTGGTATTATCTTTCTTTTGGATCGACAAACTGGAAACGTAACGCAACGCCTCGAGCTTGTGTGACTGACGAATCATGATATCCTGGCGTTTACTTCCTTCACAAACTCGGCGTTCAAGAGGATATGGGAAAGGCATTCTGTTGACATTTCATGGCGTCATCGAAGCGAGCTCGACTATGTAATGAGCTGTTTGAACAAAAAAAATATGGGAACGTTCCTGGCGGAATAGTATAAACAATCTCCAATACACATTTAATATCTTGCACTATCTGTATTCATCCGTTCAAAGTTCATCATTGTGATTCTGACCTTGTATACCCAAGACATGAAACCACCAAAGATCCACCCCGCGGAGATATTGAAGCAACTTGAGCCTCAAAACTCGCTTGTAGATCATCGTGGGTCTCCAGGTCAGATGCAGGGTCCATGGCCCGTCCCATCTGTTCTAGAAAGGAAGAAACAACAGCAGGGGTGAGTGCATGTCAGGTCATGGTAGTCAGACTGTGACTCGGTACATGGAACAGGTGATGCGATGGGGATCAGACCACTATGGGCCGGTGGCTCAGACGGTGTATGTTCCCACGCGTGGCTGATGAGCAGGGTGAGTGTGTGTTAAACAGGTGATCGTGGGATGGAAAGAAGAAGAGATGCAATTGTTGGGTGGTGAATTGTTGGGTACGGATACCTGGCAGTTACATTGAGATGACAGTGAAGCAGTCTAGTTACATTAGTTTATGTTCTCTCCATGTGCATGCACCAAATTGACAGCATCGTAACTGGGTCAATAGCGTAGAATAGGAGAAGATTGACACTGTGTAGCCAGATAGCTTCATACATTTAAAATTTAGCTTTCCAAGTCTGTAAGACAAGCTTTCAAGCCATAGCCTTCAAGGCAACCTCAAACTCTTCAGTGATAGTCTCCTCCCATCGCGAATCATCCTTCAAAGGCCTCCACCCCAACTCACGACTCTTCTCTCCCCGTGTCTGAGAACTAAAAGCTCTGATCAGCACAAGAATTTCAGTGAGCTGTAGGGGAATACTTACTGGGAACAGATAGCTGGCTCCGTCAAATCCTCATCACCCCCAAACCATGCCAGACTCGCCTCGGCGAGCGAAACACTCTTCGGCTCAGCAGCGAGTTTGCCTCGCTGGTAGCCAACTCTCGCAATACCCTTTGCTATATCCAACCAGCTTTGCTTCCCATGATTGGCAAAGTAAAAACCCTCTTTTCCAGAAGGAATCTTCTCCCCGTCGAGAATCTTGTTCACGATAAGGGCGTACAGACTAGCGATGTCTTCGATATGTGTATGATCCCAAACCCCTAGACCATCACCGGCGTATATAGCTTGACCTCTTTTAAGAGCAGCTCTGATCATGATAGGAATTTGGATAGACGATTTGTTGAAAAGCCCTGTTCCGCGGCCGTAGATCAAGGGTGAACAGATGATGTACGTCTCCACGCCGATGTAGACACCTGTTTCGAAAACAGCCACATCGCTAGTTCGCTGGTTGTACTTCTCTTTCTCTTCTCGAAGCTTCTCATAAGCGTAAATATCATCTTTATCAGAATACACCCTTGGTTCCTCGAGATACTTGCCCGAGACAGGCCTGTTTCCAAAGTTGGAAGTTCCAGAGTTGTGGATATAGTGCACTGGCTTGCCTGTATTGGCCTTGCGTTGAGCTAGACCTGAAAGCAGGGCTTTCGCCGAGGGGATATGATAGCCATTTGCGGCATGGATAACGATGTCATGGGTTGACGCTGCTTCGGTGAGAAGATCAGTGTCGTCAAGGCTTTCGAAGAGAATGGTGGTGACTCCAAGGCTGGCAAGAACTTCGGCTTGATCTCGACGACGAACAAGAACTGAGATGTGAATGGTTTTGAAACAAGGATGGGAAGATGTCAAGAGAGTGTCCAAAATCGTCCCACCTCTGATACAATTAGTCACTAGCCTCCCAGTCAGTTGATATACGACTTACATGTAGCCGGTAGCACCAGTCAAAAGAATTTTGGGGGTCTTCATTGTGGGAGTAGTTTAACGTAAAGCAACTAAATATCAAGATTCAAGTAGCCAAACTTGTACGTGGTGTCTATTTCGACACCTTTCACAACAGAAACAATCATCTCTTTTATAAATTGAACTAGTGTCTCACATCGCAAAACATGTAGCTGAAAGGAGCTGTTAATGTTTCCCAAAGGAGTAGCTCCTGTTGTACTGGAGTTAATCTCGGGGTTAGGAGGTCGGACTTAAAGCAGAGCCTCACGGCATTAAAGTGTGGCTGGCAGATCATCAACTTGAGGATGTCAGCTATAACGTTATAAAACGTTATTCTTTAGACTTTGGTAGATCGCGAGAGTTTACATAAGTTTCGGGCTCTGTTAGGTAATATCAAGATGGGACGTGCAGATGTCATCATCGTGTCACTATATCGTTATTCTTTCATTATCAATATTATACTGGTCAAATAAAGACCGCCAATTAATGCTTTACTGCTTCTACACGGTGAACAACACAAGTAAACATGTTTCGTTGTACTATTGACAACACGGTATATTCATGCTACATACTTCAGAACTATTCAGAATAGCTTCTCAAGAACAACTTCAAGGTCATTCATGCTATCCTCCCCAATATTTTCCTCCAGCCATCCCTCGGCCTTCTCCACCAACATCTCCCAAGTATCCTTCTCATCTGCCAGCTTACGCTTGAAGAACAAGATCGCACAAGCTGTAGCAAGAACCTCACTCTCCAACGCATGGCCTCTGACGCTGGAAGGAAGATCAAGCTTGGCGACTTGCTTCGAGTCAACGCCCAAGACGCGTTCAAGCTCCACACTCCACGACCAGCTGCCCGAAAAAGTCTGCAAGCTTGTAAGAGCTTGCAAGGGGCCCATCTCATGAATTGGAGTGGGAGCAACAGGAGCAGGAGGACCGCAAGGATCATCATCAAAGAGTGCATATCCCATATCTTCATCTCCCTCTGAGTCCTCGTCTTCTTCCATCACTGGCATAGCCGCAGCGTCATCCATCTCGGCCCGGTACTCAGCAAGCAGTTTCTCGTCAACTTGAGCGGTAGGTGGTGCAAGTGCCGCGGCTTTGACGATTGGAGGCTGACTATTACAAGCAGGTGAGCCCCCGAAAGCTGTGTGGCCTGCAGACGGACTCTGAGAGGCACTGCCGAAAACAGAGCTACTAGGTGGAGGAGCTCCAAATAGACCACTACTAGGCTTGGCCGCTTGCGAAGCTGACCCAAAGAGACCGCCACCGATATTGCCAGTATTGTGAGACGATCCTCCCGGAGCAGCCCCAAATAGACTGCCACTGGGTTGAGCCTGTTTCGAGGCCGAGCCAAATGAACCTTGAACAGTAGTGTTACCAGGAGATCCAAATAGACCGCCACTAGGTTTGGCTCCCTTTGAGGTTGAGCCAAAGAGACCGCCGCCCGTATTGTGGAATGCCCCCCCGGGAGCGGCGAATTGAGCGCTATTAGCTTTCCACCCCGGGTTCGCGCCTGTCACCGACATCATTCTAACAGCACCAGTACTGGGTGCACCGCAAGTATCCGGTCTATCCATGATACTATTGAACCCAGCTTTGCGAAACCCAGAAATTTCCGTTGCGGAGTATCTGTCATTCGTTTCAGAAACCTCTCCGGCCTGTACCATGTCTCTCTTCTGTGCATTGTCCTCAACAGCAACGAAAGAGCACCACTTGCCGCCAACCTGGAACTTGACACCCAGACGTACCGCTTCTCGCTCGACTAGGTCTGAGAAACGGCCCTCGTGCTTCTCCTTGAGGAACTTGCTGTCGGAGTCCTTAACGTTGGTAAGCCAGCCTCGGCCTTCTTCGAGCTCTTTGACCTCTTTGCGAGCTGCAAGACAGTGGATGACGGTGTCCTTCTCGGTAAATTGGGTGATAGGAATTTCTAGCTCAAGGGGTCCATGATGGGAAGTGCCCTTGAGAATGACCGACTTTGGTTGCTGGTTGGGGGTGGCATCAGAGAGGAGTACATAGACAGTGGTGCGATTGAAGGGGAACAGAGGAGGGATTTGGCCCGGTGTCTGCAGATAACGTGGGACGGGTACGTGGGGAAGATGGTCGAATTTGCTATCGACTGTAGGTGTATCAGCCATGTCGCTGTCACCATCGCTATCGACAGATGCATTAAATAAGGAAATCGGCTTCTTTGCAGTTTGGCCCTGTTCCAGTTTGGTGTCAGAAGCCTCAGCAGTGTCAATTTGGAGGCTATCCATGACTTTTTCGACCAGCTCAAAATCGTCATCGGCAGGAGTTTCCGTTTTCTCGTATTTAACTTCAAGTGAATAGTCGGTAATGTGAGGAAATAGAGCGCCTTTAAGCATACGAACCACCTTCTTGTCCATTTTCTCATCATCAGCAACGGTTTGAGCAAACCCGTTACCTGCACGAGCGACACCTTCAATCAGAGAGGTACTGGCACCAGCTCCAATTCCTAGAGAGAAAACTCTGGTGGTACCCTTACTCTCAGCGACCTCGTCATTGATGAGCTTAAAAAGCCGATCATGATCCCAGATCTCGCCATCTGTGAGAAGGATGATTTCAAGATTCATATCCTTATATCGCTTCTTGAAAGTAGCCTGGAAAGGATCATACATCTCGGTGCCACCGTAGTCGGCCTGGAAAGTTCTCACATGCTGAACTGCTTGGTCCAAATTCTCTTGGTTGTATGTTTGGGATCTTTCCCATAGAAAACTGAAAGAAATTCCAAAGCTACAAATGTTGAATTTGACACCAACAGGCATCGACTTGAGAAAGACCTCAAGTGCGGTTTTGAGATTAGAGATCTTATCGGACATACTCCCACTCCGATCGCAGATGAACACGATCTCGGGCTTTTCGGCAGGAAGTTTGAACTTGGGTACCAATGTTGTCATGATCGCACGCTGATTAGGAATTTCGGGATGAGTTTCTAGTATGGCTGACGGTTCTCCCAATTTAGTAGCAACCACCTGGACAACAAAGTCCTGTCTCAAATGGACTTCTCCTTGTTGCAGTGTCGCCGAAGCCCGTCGAAGGGAGGGTTCTTGTGACTTTGTGGTAGACGTTGTCCCGATCTCAACAGACAGGGGATGGGAAGGGGACTGGATGGATTTGATAGAAGATCCATCAGGCATTTCGGCATCGATTGTGAATGAAAAGCCTTTCTGGGGTATGTTGGACCCAGCGAGCGACTGAGCAGTTCCATATCGGGGCACAACTTGTGTGGGAATAGTAAAACGAATACCATCAACTTGGGCATCATGCTTGAGCTCGCCAAGATAGGTGATATCAACGTAAACCTTTTCTCCAGCTGGAACATTCCCAATAGTTGTGGTAAAGACGTCAGCGGCTTCGAGGGACTGTTTGAAAAGGCCAGCTATTTGGCCCTTTGCTTTGGCTTCGTTGTAGACCTGTTGTGCCTTTTGGCGTTCTTGGACTACGCCCTTGATGGTTTTTGACCCAACTGTGCAGGTAAAAGCGACAACGGAGACTCCGTCATATAGAGGGAACACATAACGAAGTTCTTCAATGGTACTATTGGTAGGATTGACGAAGGTTTGTGTAAGATTGGTGCGAGAGGCGGTAGCGAGAATGGTGGTATGGGCCTTGACCTCGACCTGGGGTAGATATTTGAGGTCGTTACCGACGAAGATGTAGCAGCCGCAGTCGGTTATGTTGGTGACACTGCGACCAGGTTGACCAAAGAGAGAATAGGCCATGGCGAGAATGGTTTTGGTGAGAGTTTTGGTGTTAAAGAAGGACGTAAGAAGATGGATGAGAATCGTGTTGTGTTGTTGAGATGAAGAAGGCAGAAGATGGCAGCCAGAAACGAGATTCTTATAATGAGAAGGAATCAGTAGAGTTCTCGTTGTGACTCAATTCTGTGCCTGTGCCGCCAAGTGACGTTGTTTGACTTGAGCTGAATGGCTGCCTCCTGCCTGTTAATTCTGCCTTGAGCATTTCATTGGTGGTCGTGTCACCACCACATGAGATCTTGGCTCTGATTGGCCACACCAGCCACTACTCTGTTGCCTGCTGCCCCAAGCTCCTTCCTTCGCAGAATGCTGTATAAGCATTGAATGAATTGATCCAATGATAGAAGATTTGCTTACAGAATTACATGGATCTCCCAAATTCCATTCAATTTATTTCTCATTTAACTCGTGGAAATTCGTTTTTACTCGCTGCAGGTTGTTCAAATACTGCTGCCTCAATCAAGAACCTTGCATAACCAATCCGTTGAGGTTGACAAAGCAGGGACTTTTACTAGACCTTTAACTTCACCTCAAAACTTGCATGAAAAACGAGCGCCACCATATTTGAGACATCACATCAAGATGAGTAGTCAGACTACCGAGCCTACTTTCGAGACTTCGTCTTCTGTGCCGCAAGTCAGTTCCTCATCGTGAAATAGTAGCAAACCTACCAAGGTATGTAGGTACTTAGCTTCTTTGATTGAAGCCTTATTATAAATATCTATATATCAGTCGAGTAAGGCGATAAAGCTTGAAAGAGTACGGTTAAAAAGAATTGAAGGGCCTGTCACTGATGGTTTATGGCTTGAATATTCAAGGTATGCATACGATAGCTTGCAGATTGATTGCTTGGTAGGTAAGTTGATATTGCCCATCATCAATCACTAGATCGAAATTCCTCGTGCACATATTGCCCCTTTCCCTATTACACTGCTGTACCCATATCGGGCTTCCTATCATTTACAGAACAACATCATATGATAGTCATCTCATCATTATCATTCCATGTGATTTTCACATATTCTTGGTAATCCATTCATCGTGGGCCAACTCCTTCGCGGACGACCGTTTTGAGGGGTCCCACTGGAGCATCCTGCTCATCATAGCAAGAAACATATCTTGAGCTTGTCCTTGTAGGTTGCTTTCGAGCTGCCTCATCTCAGTTCTTTCCGGGAGCGGAATATCTTCACGAAAGTCTCCTGTAGGGAAAATTTCTTATTAGCTATGTCCAAACGGTTGGATTTCAAGTAGAAGCTGGCTTGCCTGTATCATTGAAGAATTTGTGGCTCGACTTGCCAGACCGGACGAGTGATTGGGGGGGGTCCCCGAGTACTGCAATGATCTCTGCAAGATGTGCTCGGCTGCGGTAGGTCTGAAACTCTGGGTCATGTCCTGTAAACAAGTGCCCGCCTTCAAAGAGGTCCCATATCTGAATGAGATCAGATCAGCTATTGACCGTCAATGTTATGAGAGTCTGCACTTACCATACAGCCCGTATTCCAAACATCAACTTGGTATTCCCAGGGTGCTTCAAGAATGACTTCAGGAGCTCTGTATATGTCAGGCTGTATATCTTCAGTATGCTCAACATCCCCAGCAACGGCCGAACCAAAATCACAAAGGATTGGAGCACCCCATTCCTTTGGCATTTGGAGCTCTCGTGAGGTGTAGATATATCTACCGTCAACCTCTTTTCGCGGCGAGGGATCATTGAGTTCCTGCTCTTCGAAAGCAGCAAAAACGGAGTCATCTCCGATGCCAAACATTATGTTGTCGGCCTTGATATCTATCCAAGATCAATCAGCTAGTCTTTCAGGTTAGAGGCATTCAGTTAAACGTACCTGTGTGTATCACCTTGCACTCTGTGTGCAGAAAGTCCAAAGCAAGGAAAAGGCGATGAAGCACAAAGGCGAGGACTGGTGGGGGAAGTCTCCTCACTGGGTTGCGATGCAGGAATGTTAGAACACTTTCCCATAGTGGAGGGTGTACGAGACATCGATGGGATCCATCAGGTCCAGTAACATCGAATGAATCCAAGAGTTCTCTCACGGCGCTTCGACCTTTGTGGTTGGAAGTCGAGGCGGAAATACGCCTGTACATTACAAGCTCATTCTCCAATTGTTGACCCATGGACTGAGAATTAATAAAAAGTTTTAGTGCGACGTGCCTTCGGCCGCTACAGAGTACACATTAGCAAAACTTTACAAGGAGCTCTCAGAACATTGTGATAAATACGTCAAATCGCGTGCTAACCAAACAGTCGAGCTAGCTCCGAAGCCTAGCTTTCCAACGACTTGGTAACGATCGCGAAGAACTTCGCCAATGCGGACGGGATAGTATCGTGAGGCGACATAATCCGGAATGAGCTCTTCTTCTATCTTCTCTGTTGGGGCGATACGCTTGAAATTAGTGTTGGAGAAAGCCAAAGGCTTCCAGGCCCGGCCAGGCCAAGGCAATTTGCGAAGAATTGATGCCATGGATACAGTTCAGACAAGTGATGAGGAGAAAGTGAGATAAGAAAGGAGAGGAAATGAAAATTCGACGCGCCTTTGGTTGATGCAAGACGAGGATGTTCCATCTGCCGAAAGCTCAAAACGAATGGACTGTGATTAGTCAGGCGGCTAAGCAGCCAATACCAAAAGGACCCATAATAGACGTTCAGACAGTGACCAAACATGACCACTCACGACGTCTCATTACACGCGCAGAACTATTAACTTTCCGATCAACATACCATGTGGATAAACAATGCAATTCATATCACCAACAAGTTCTACAAATGTAACATCGGAAGGTTTTCCTGAACACTTGACTCAATAGCCTGACAGTTCACGGACTCTCTACAGCTATAGCCGCTGGCCGCATGCACGGACGGTGGGTACTTTGAGAAGATCGAGACACCAACGGTCTTCACCTGGTACATGAGGAATCTGTAACTGTCCACTTCGTATACCCTCTGCTTTGCTGCTATTTTCCATACATGTAGGCGCCGTGTCTTGCCGCCGAGAGCAGGTTATGACAACGGCATTGAGGATGCAGAGTGAACTTGAGGAAGGTGACAAGCCGATCATAAGATCGCGACGTCTATAAAAGCACCATGAAGTCTCCTCATATTCAATATCCTCTCTCAAGCATTCGAGCTACTCAATTCAAACTACTCCGTTCAAACTATTCAATTCAAACTACCGAATCTCTAGCCTACTACGATGTCCCGATACTTCTCCACAACGGCTCGCAAGTTTGTGAAATGGCTGGGTTATTCTAAGGAAAAGCTCCCAGACACCTTCAGGCAAGCCGCAGAAGTCTATGCAGAGAACGGCGCTGTGAAGGTAAGATAGAACTCTCGGTATACCATTTTAATTGCTCACAAGACGCAGAAAGTTGGCGAAATCGAATCCATCGAGATTTTGTAGGGCTTATCGATCCTATTTGTCTGTTATATGAACTACCATTGACCCTCTCGCCAGACATCGTAATGATGGTTCGAGTCCAGTGCACCAATCTCACTACAATCGGAAGGATAAAGAGTTCATCATTAGTGCTCGAATTACTCCAGCTGATGGCAGTAAGCCAAGAACTCATCATATCTACGCGAACGGAACAGGAACTTTCAGAGTCGGCGACCGTCGCGAATACTCAACATCGCGCCGTTAGGTCACATTCTTAGACGTGAACGTGGGAGGTCTTGCTCAAAGTAAAAGGAGGTGGATTTGCTTTCTTTGTATTTGTACAGTAAAGTATAGTGTGTCCGAAGGAGATAGAAAATGGGCACATATACGATCAGTTACTCAACCTGGTCATAAGTCGTCAACAGTGAAAGCCATCGTTAAATCTAGTTCCAGTGCAGTAATCACTACTAGAGCAATTGTTTACGTCAAACCTTGCTTTTCCGTCTTAGTTTCCGCAAATACCGCTTGGATATATACTACCACAGATCTTAGACGGCAAGGAAGTAATTTGTTAGACCTATCATAATTGTAGGCACCGAAAACCTGAATGTATGTACTTAAGTAGGTGCCTAAAAATCCAGGCCAGGTACTTTTACGCTACAATACTAGGATGTTTATGATGAGAAAATAATAATAATAAAATTGTACGCCCCGTTATATGAGAAAGAGTAACTCAAATATGATGATAGTATGAAACCTCAAAACGAATAATTGATGGAGCAGCAAGCAACACAGCCCTCTCAACCGAGTCCATAGGTAAAGACGGCCTTTCGCTGCACCTTGTAATTGGGTCCGCGATGTAACGCGTGGGCTCTCCCCAGCTTGGGAGAATAAAGCTGGGTATTACCTCTTCGATTACCCTGGCAAGTGCCAGGTTCTCAAGATTCACACGATTACAAGCGAAAGTCGCAGCCGCAGTGATCGTCAAAAATTATCCGGCAATAATTATTTCCACTCTAATTTTGACAGCTGTGCGTGTGTGGTCTCGGAGCCGACACTCTTGTAAGCTCCACTGAGCTGACCAATTCTTTCGGTGGTGTCACTGCAACAGTTTTAGCTTCAGCGGCCTCGGTTGGGGGCCGTTCAATTTATCTCCGGACGGGGATCCCATAACTTTGGGCCTTCAAGAGTGGATGCCCGATCATTTTGCAGTCAGATAATGCAATTAAAATAAGAACCAAGTTCCTGACGTAGGGATGTGAGACTTGGAAGGAATAAGCTTTTAGCTGGTCGGTTGTTTGTGGGCCTACAATGCAACAGTCAACAGTCAACAATCTTGTCTGTTGCCTAAACAATGAGAACAAGAGATTGAGTTGAGTCTTAGTTAGCATAAAGCAAGGACATTACTCCAGTAGTCAGGGCAATGCGCAAGGTAATCCTGATCACTGGATATAAACGATGAGCGTCAATTTGTATTTGGTAACATAATTATCTTTGTGGAATCGCTTCCATTCTGTGGGTTGTCCCGAATCTTGGTCAATACCCTGCTTTGAAGATCACAGTCCAGCCATCTTGATGCCCAACAATATAACCATAACAACTTTAGTATTCGAACCCAACTTTTAGTTGCAGTCAATAATGTGTAAGTGATCCAATTAGTTCAAACATGAGAAACAGGCTATAGACCAACCAAGAGAAGGACAGAATGTCACAACAACATTGATGCGACCGCACCGACGACCCCATGCATAGTGGCCCAAACAACCAAGTCAATCAACAATATCGCACACAAACATCGAGAACAAGTAATTGTAAAACAATTCGCTTGCGATTCATTGACAAAGAAAATCTAGATAATAAAAAGAAGGTCTAAATACATCCAATGAACATCCACCCAACCAAGTATTAACATCAGAAAAGAAGTCCCCCATTTTCCCACTCTCATAAACTCCAGACTTTTGAACCCAACCCAAAAGAACTTTTTATCTGTGAAGATTACCCTCCCAATTGCCAATCCGCACACATGAAAATACACGCTAGCCACAAACAAGAGATCTGAGGGTATCGAGGGTATCCTATGATGTACAAAGTAGCGATTCGATTGCCTTTTCCTTTCCCTTTCCCATGTTTCTTTTGAGACTTTTATTTTAACTCCAGTGACATTATAAAAGAAATGAAAGTGATCAAGATATTAGATACGGTTCGTGAGGGAGATGCCAGGTGAAGCAGGTCGGTCCAGCTCAAGGCGGTGCATGTGCGCGTCGAGAGCGCTGACCGAGGTGGATGCGCCGATGGAGGTGTGGCGCTTATGGCGGGAGGGCTTCTTGGTGACGCTCATCTTGCGAGGGCGACCATTCTTCTCGGCGATGGGTGACTTGGGTGATTTGTCGTCGGCGCTGGTGGAGGAGATGGAGGAGGCGGAGGAGTGAGTGGATGCGTTACTGGTGTACGAGGACGCGCGAGAGATGGAGGAGTAGACAGATGATCTCGACGAGGCGGTCTGGGGTCGCTCGGCGATGTCGGAGAGGATTTCTTGGGGTGTGCGAGGCTTGTTGTTTACCATTCCCAGGCAACGCTGCCACCAACCCTTATCCTTCTCATCCGAAAACTCGACCATATCAGCCAGGGCTTCCTCTGCGCGCTCCGTCTTGTCCTCATCGAGAGTCAGTGCACCATGCTCGGAAGCTAGATCCAGCAGGGCGGCTGCGTCGCAAGCATCGCGTCGCTTGCTCATATCGTTCTCGTGCAGGCCGCAGGCGTCCATCTTGAAGATGATCAAGTCCTCGAGGGACGTGTAAGGCAGGGTAGCCTCGCCCTTGACATCGCGAACGCGCTTGGCGGCTTCGGGGAGGTAAGGGCTGAGCCAGTCGGGAATGAGCTTGACCTCAATCTCCCAGCCGGTTGTGTGGCGGTAAAGAACGACGCCGGACTTTTCGACGAGAGGAGTGATGGGATGGCCGACAATTTCTTTCTTGACGCGACCTGGCGAGGAGGACTTGCTGATGACCAAGTCGATGCTCTGTTAAGGTTAGAAGGTTTTGTGAGTTTGGGACAATTGGGAGGACATACTGTTACTCTATCTCGTCGGGACAAGTATTTGTTGACGGCCAAATCCCCAATAATAGCAAGACGAGTGTTCTCGAGGCCGGGAATGTCTGCAATGAGACGGATGATGTGAAGAGCAGCCTGCTCGAGCTGGGCGAAGCTTAGTCTTTGCGACATTGTGTACTGCTTTTCTCGTTGGATCCGAGGGAAAGAACTAAACACTTCGCCCGCTTATAGCAGTTAATGAATGAAAAGAAAGGTATAGGGAGTCCCTGAACCGTCCATGTTTTCGGGTATGCGCAGTCGACTAGATATATGGGATGTGACTCGCATGGAAAATGTTATGGCAGGTCCCTGCGTCTTGGTCGTGCGGCCCGGGCTGTCACAAAAGGACCCGCGGGGTGCATAGGGACTGGGTAGGGGCCTAAGGACCTTACGCTTTGGGCCCTGGACAACCTAAACAATGCCCAACAACGGTCAGTATTATCAGCAGGGGTACCATGCTGGTAGCGAATGGGACGGGCTGTGTACCTGAATTTGCAATTTTATTTTTTATTCTTTCTCAGGGTGATCCCAGCTCCGGGTCAATTGGGTTCCAAAAGAGCCGAGCCCAAGGGGTAGAGTAGGTACTCTGTAGAGAGTAATTACAGTAGAGCACTGGAATGCCCCCCTGTTTATGACGTTTTTCTTGATTCAATGGTGGATTTGACTCGCATGATTCGGCATTGAAACTTGGGTAACTGTGAATAATAAACTCTCGTATCCGAAGAAACAAAGCATCAGAAAAACAGGGAATGGAATCTCGATGGATGGAATGAGTCTAAGTAAAGAGGTTGGCTATGTTTTGGCGGTCGGGGCTTTGGCATGGGCTCTTAGCACTGAAAAAGGAAAAAGATGGTGTACGACTGAGATCCCGACTCTCTTTTCCTTTCTTTTTCCTCTCGGAACAAGACCCTTTTTCTTTGCTTCTCGATTCCGATTTCTCGAGTATTTCTCGGAAATTCCCTCTAATTCCTTCCTTATTGTTTTCGAGAACAATTCCCGTATCGCGTGGTTTTTAATAACTTCATTTGTCACTAATTGCTAAGGAAGGAAGCTAGCCCGGTAATTAAAAGCTGACAGGCGGCCCACGTCTCCTAAGGCTCAGCCATCCGGACAGTGATCAGCGGCGTGGTAGTGAAACATTGGGCGCGGTTTCAGAATGACTTTCGCAATATTACTGGAATGTTTCCTTTAAGGTTGTAAACAATAAGAAGCAATCCATACTTTGAAGCTCAATGTTTAGCCCGACATCTCAAAAACAGCGATAACAAATGCACACAATTATAGAATTGCATAGTGTATTGTTATTTACTTTGCAAAGAACCCAATCTTACAATCTTCTGCTGGAGCCTTCTCCCTTGCTGCCGATCTGCAGGGTAGGTCCATTCTTCAAGACAATCATTGAGACGTTGCAAGGTGAACGCTGTCTTCCATACACTCTCTAACTCGTTGTCTCACCTGCCATTAAATGCGACCTGGTACAACTCTAGGCAAAACAAATGGCCCAGAGCTTGAAGGTCTAGTCGGTTACCAGACCGTCAGAAAGAGTGGCCGCTGCGAGCGTAGGAGACGAAACAATTTGGTCACCTTATGCTATGCTAATGCAGGCTGGCACCTAAGCTACTCTGTTTTGGTGTTCTAAGCCTTGACAATTCTTCTGCCATCCATCTGCCAGGTAACTTTAACGGCATGTAGTGTGAGACAACATCACTCTAGCTCGGTCCAGATCGAGATCTCGTCTGATGGAGCATAGCGATGCGAACTCATATGACTAGTAACGTGTTTTAATTACAGTTTGTTGTTATTTCCAATGAGAGAATGTGTGACTTAGCAACCCGTGACTAGCAATGCTCCTCAGTATCGACACCTTTACTCATCAACAGGCACGATCTCAACATTCACTTCTAGAGCCGTTTCTGCTTTAAGTTTCAGCATTGCGGGATAATAACGAGTGAATGCTACATACCATTCTCAGTCCAACAGGCAACTTGATCATCGCATAGAGACATAGGACATCCTTCTCTGTCAAGAGGCGATACTGTACTACCAATCAGTCATGCCCACGAGCGAAATAAGATAAACTGCGAACCTGTGAATCTCGACTCAGGCTTGCTGTCCCTTGCTTTGACTAGAAGAGGGTGAGAGGAATGGGCGTCTTCCTTTCTAAACCAAACAAGCACCTGGGGACCCATTCCAGGGCGTTCAGCTGGGAAGCGACCCAGAGCTCTATCGCCGCTGATGAGACGATCACCTTGGAGTTCGAAAATGGTAGGTGTAATGAGAAATACACCTCCCACTGAAGCTGTTCTTCTTTTGTCAGGGTCGTGATCTGGTTTAACTATGTGGAGGCCGTTAAGAATAATATAGAAACGATCTGGAAGAGAAGACATATTGGAGGTTGATAAAGTCATGGAACAATAGACGTATGATCGAAACGGGTAGGAATTTACAATCGGAGACGCCAAGGACATATATATGTATTTGTATCACGGTCGTTGTACAGAAGAGTGAAAGACGTTTATCCAACTTGGGCTCGGCACGATACTAGTGAAGTGGAACAGAAAGTTTCAGAATCCAGTTGTGATACTTGACCGACGGCAGACAAGATGGTTACTGAGTAACCCACAATAGTGAATGGAATGGATTATAGCGGTGAGAACGAAACTCAAGTCGACAGTTGTCGATGTTGCACTGAGCTTGTCGGATGTCTTTATGGCACAAACAGCTCGTATTGTCAATGATGTTGTACAGACTGCCTCCCGGGTATAGTAAAAGTAGCCCGCTGAACGGTGTTTTGGTTTTCAGTAAGTCTATCCATATCTATATACTTCTTTCAGAAGGTGTGATTTCACATGTCAACTGACTCCCGCCACTCTGTGCCTCAAGATCCAAGATCTGACTTCTTCGAAACTCCGGCCCAAGAATCTCCTCCTCGCTCTGATCATCCCCATGATGCCTCCCATCATCTTTAGGACAGACTTCGGTTCTAGATAAGGAACTGCCAATACCGAGCTTACGCTCATGTTCCCTCATGATCTTATCATGTGTGTCAGACGTATTGCCACTTCCGTTTCTGTCTGCCCGCTTAGCTGGTATAATGCCACCGCCGATGGTTTGTAGTGGATACGATGCCCCAGAGTTATTCTCGGGGTAGTTACTGGAGTTGCGAGTCGTCCATTTGCGGAAGTACTTCTTGTAAAGAGGTCTACAGACAGGAATGCCAATGCAGACCATCGTTACGGTCATTTCGGCAGCTGACCAGACTATTAAGCCCATTGGATCCTCTGGATAGACATTAGCTGCATGTAGATGGACATGGTGAGGCACTTCCTGGTGTGATTTGGACTTTTAAGTTTAGGAACTTCCAGAGTCCGTTTAACACCGAACGCTCCAGCACTAGGACTAGATTAGATGGAGCTGATAACAGGGAAAGGGGATTTGTACATAACACCAAGGCTGAAACTAGAGAGAATAACAATCTTCTCTTTCATCTTCATCTGTAGACCTAGAATGAACAGCCAAGGGAAGCCGGCGAAGAAGAAATCGGCGACCACGCAAAGGACTTTCAAGGTTAGTCTATCGAAACATTGTCGATGGTACTGCGAGAAGACTTACTACATAGAGTCAGAGATGCTGGTGTTGTGTTTACGGTGCAACGCCCTGGTATCCGACGATTCCAGAGGTATTGTGGTGGAGTGCATTGGAGCCAGTAGACGAAGCATACAGAGATGGACGCAGCGAAGAGGCAACTCATAGCGGACCAGATAGCTATCTTGTGCCATCTTTCCTTGACAAGGCGTAGTAGAAAGAGCCCTAGAGACGCCTTTGCGATGCTCATGCCTATTATTGCGAATGTTTGGCTGGCGGCTTCGTATATCATTGCGAGGGGTAGGTCGTCGGGCCTGTCTTTAATCACGTCGTATATGTTCAGGCCTAAGCCATAGTGAACGCCGATACTCATAAGGATGGTGTTCATGAGCAGAAAGACCTATCACGGGTCATGTCAGTGTGATGCGAGTCTATGAAGGAGGGTATAGACCGACAAAGGCAAGATTGTACACATGATCGTCAACACCGAAGGATTTGACGATATATATCCTGGTATAAGCCCGCAGCAAGACGAAGAGGAAAGTGACAAGCGTCAATGCCCACATAGAAGCAAGAACCCAATGTCCATCACCTCCCACCGCCATGATGATAAACAGATATCGCTAATACGAACATGTTGTCTTGATCAAGAAGAAGAAGTCTTCTGCAGTGTATGCATGTTGGTTGTGAAAAGAGCAGGAATGGAACAAGGCGTTAAAGAAGGGGGAGCCAACACTTTTCAAGCAAGCCACAGAGTGACACAAAAACCGTCTGGGCATCTTCAAGGCGAGTTGACTACCTGATGCGGATTGAAGAGGGGCTAAAGGTGAAGTGGAATCTGGTCATTGGTCTTTTATTGAAGCAATCAAGCCACATTCCTGACCCATCAAGTCGGTTAGCATGTCTGGGACTTTGGAATCGGATCCGAGGCATGTTGCTCAATCCCAATAATTCCTGTCAATTTGTTGAAGGAACCGTTCTCGGCTAATCCGAGATCCACCGGACATGTTAGAGAATTAGCTGCTATTGCTCGGTTTTGTAAGCACAAGATGAACAAGTCGATGTAGATATCGTCAATGTCGAGTTCAGAGATGGCCTCTGCAACTACGGAAGCGAGATTCTTCAGCTGAACAAAAGGGGCTAGCCAGGATACAGACTACTCTATGTATCTGCAAGCTTACATGGTAGTTACCATTGGACAAGTGCAGCCCAACCTTAGACATTGCTTTTTCTCTAGTCCCCCATGAAACGTAGAAGCTTGATGAATTTAATTTATGGATGATGCCTTTATCCGTTACCAGCCTCTTAAAAGGTGCATTCAGATTAGACATGTCTATACTAGGGACTTACCACGAAGCCATTGGTTGGAACAGAACCAGGTCAGATCTCATCGTTCTAAGATCATCGAACAAACACCTGGCAATGCCGTCGACCATGAAGGGGCAACCGGATAACGTCGTAATGATATAACTCCATCAGTAACCCACCAAACTGTGTCGTAGATCCCATAAAGATGATTATGTCCCGGAAAGATCAGCTCAACTTGCCTTGCCAAGAGCGTCATTCTTCCAAAGGAGGATATGGGGGCAACATCCAATTAACTACGAGCGTTGCAGAGTCGTACAAGACCTGTACGCATTCAGCCCTGTAGACCACTAGCGAAAAGTGGCGTCCTTGACAATAGAAACTTGATGAGGCGGCGGCAATTGATCGTCTTCGACTAAGACAACAATAGATCGTGGCTGTCTCCTCGAAGCTTAAAGAGGTAAGTTGTACGGAGAGCTCGCAATGATCTGCACGGTAGTTCTGTGCAAAATGTCAGATCATGTCATGGATGAGTAGGAATGCTAAACTCAAATGTCCCCTTACGAGAACCTTTCCAGTGCTGAAAGTGATGAGTGAGAATCCAAGCGGCGGAAAGTCTCACTACGTAAGCGCAGATGGCATTTGGTTTAGTGGCGTTTATGAGATGTCCATGTAAGGTCTCGATTCATCCATCTTTTGAACATCATCAGAGCACTGGATCCGAATTGACAGAGTAATCCAAATGCATCGCAGTTCTTCTTGGGCGGGTATTTACTTTCACTATTCTAGACCCCTGAAGCCCTCTCGCAGGAACGAGTGATAAACGTTATGCCACATAAAGCATATTCAGAAGTGACACATCTGTTGGTACCTAGCCTCAACGGCCTGGTCGTGTTACCTGAGAACTAACAGTCTTCACCATAGAAGCAGCCACATAATTCAACATGGACTTGTACGTGGCTTAACATACGAATTTGTTACAATGTCATGCAGCCATTTCCGCCTTTGCCTCTTTGAGCTTTTAGCGACATCAGGTCCGCTTCTCCCGAACCTCATAAGCAAACATCTGATTCGATGACACCCCATGTCTATCCTTCATCTTCACAGCCGTGTCCCTACCAGCAACCGGTACACGATACTCAAAGCCTGCTTGGGAAGTGCAACCATCAGGAAGAGCATAAGGGAACGGCAGATACTCAGGCAACAAACCCAACTGCCGGAGAAGAGTTCCTTGATCCCAGGAGATGTGTTCGTGATAAAGACGGTCACCTCGGATATTGACTACCGCAGTAAAAGGGACTTCGGCTTTTATGTTGGTAGGCGGTACACCAGGCAACCTACGCAGGATCAGTATGAATATCACAAGTTGTATATGTTGCTTACATCCAAGGGATTTCTTGATTGTGCGTAAACTTGAAGATGAACTCATCGACTACACGATCTATACCAACAGTGCGACTAATCAGATCGAGTTCGGAGTCTGACGAGTTATTGAAGATAAAGTTATGTCGATAGAAATCAGATAACCTATCTCGACCAATTCCACCAGTCATCTGAAAATGTGTCAGTCTCATAAAACATCCACGGAAAGAGGGCTTACTGTTGGGATGTGGTTGACGTATGGCTCCTGGACCATAGTACTCATAGTATGCTCAACCGAGCGATCGGCAAATTCGTAGTGGGTATGCTCTTCCCAGATATACTCGAGATCAAAATAAGGCCCTCCGACTTTGGGCTTGAGAAACTGGAGATTTCTAGTGTGGGAAACAGACTCCATATTGTAGTCAAAGTGCTGATGGAATGGTGTTGCAAAAGAGTGGCTTTGAGCTTTGGGGTAGTAATAGACGGCCCCGGATGATTTCTCAGTGTCTTGTTTAGCAGCAGGTCCAACTACATGTCGTAGAATTGAAATATTTGCTGTAGCGAGTCCTGTCAAGTCATCGGTATTGGTGTATACAGCTGCTGATACAATATCAGGGACGTTTGACAAGCTTGGCGCAGCGGCATTCCAGAGCTCTGAGGCATATGCTTCGAACTGTTAGTAGACATCATCAATCAAGATAAGGATGCTTTACCAACTAAGCCAATCTTTCCCTCGTCATACTGCTCACACTGTCGCATAGCCTCCAAGGCCTCAGACAAGACGTTACCGCTATCAACCGCAGCAAAAGTAGATCCATCGATTTGGACCACTGTATATCCCTCTTCAGCCCATTTGATAAGTACGGACGGCACACCATCTTTGATCTCTAGTAGATTCTCGGATGTTGGTGTCAAGACCACAAGGCCCGGACCATGACCCCGACGCGAGAGCGGAGGCAGCAAAGAGACACCCGGTCGAATCTCCTTGAGCTGGGGAGCAGGTAGTGGATTGGGTGGTTGCGTAATGTCGGCGAACATCTTGATTGGTTTGGTAAAGGTTAGATGAGCTGTACGAGTCAAGTTGGTGTCGATAGTAAGTCATTGTTTCTCCGCATTATTGAGGGGCTTCGGATATACTGTGCCGCATGAGGAACTCATGGCCCGCAAACATCAAGTGTAAGAACCATAATGGTATAAACCAGATATAACAGTGTCGAAGCGATGATAGGGCTAGGCTGCTTAATTAGCTAAACAGTTACAGCAGGGATTGTTTATTCATCTTATCTTTCATACACCTGTCCGAGTGAAGCTCAAGTAGAGATATCAAAAATAATATGTCCTCATATTTCATAAATGTCAAACTCATATATGGTATACCATGCTCAAATCATCACACCAAAGGTTGCTGCCATTCTCCAAATTCACACAATCAGACTTCTCACGACACGTCTAAGCCTTAGGCTGCTTATCGTCAATAACCAACAAGCCAGCGTCAACACCTGCCCTAGCAAATCGATCTCCAAGAACACCGACGGTGCGCTGGAAATCTCTCTCCACGCCAAAGTCCTCAACAAGGAGGTTATCAAAGAGCGGATGCGACCGACCGAGGATGATCAAGTCGCCTACGCTGAAACGGGACTTGCCAACAAGCTCTCGAGCATGAGCCACGGCAAGATCGGGTAGTTTGCGCACTGAGTCAACGAGGATCTCGGCAAAAGTGACACGGCCCTCAAGCTTGCCCGAGGCGTTGTTCTTGGCTGTGTTGAGGAGGTCCATGTCGCTCGCGGATGGGAACCCGACTGCGTTCTTTCCAAGGTCGTTACCCGTGGAAGGATCGCTGTCGTGAGCGGCATTGAGTGCGACTTCATCCTCGCTGAAATGCAGGTGGATGACATGAATGGAGACATGGGGGTTGTGAGCGAGCTGAAGAGCAAACAAGAGAGCAGCGCGATCGTCCTTGCCACCAATGAATGGCACAAAAATAATTTGGCGTTGATCCACAGGTCTTTGGACGACTGCGCTATCGTTAACGCTATGGATAGACAAGCCAGTACGAGTACGTGTCAAGGTTGGCTTCCTGGCCAGAGCATCGTGAGGAATGCGGTTAATGAAGATTCCAGTCGTGCAAGTTGATCTATCAACAGCGGCCTGAACATAATCGATGTAGGTTCTACTAAAGAAACGATCGTTGGTGTTGCCAGTCTCGGTCAATGCAGCAGTGGAACTCTCTTCAGCGATACCACCGTAGGTGCTCCAGGGGATGATCATGAAGTCAGACCTGGCTTCCTCGGCATACTTGACAAGAGTCTCGGCGTAGGCATTGGTTGGGATGATAGATACTTGGCCAGCGACAGCGACGCCGTTGAGGCGAGAAAAGGTTTGGAAAGCAGAGAAGACAGCGTCGCGAGAAGCGAATTCGTCGACTTCGGCAGATGCCATGACGGACGAGGTACGGTCGGTCAGCTCCATAAGCCGAACACCACGAACCTCGAACGGACGGCCGGGGAATATTTGTGTCTTTTCTTCAGCTGGAGTACCATCTGCGCCAGCATCATTGATAGCAGCTGGGTTGTTGTGCTTCCGGGAGCCACCGAGAAGTGAAACAAGATTGAACAAGCCAGGAAGGGCATCAAGGCGCAAATGTAGGATAAGACGATGTGTTTGAGACTTGTCAAGAGCCTCTTCCATCTTATGTTCAGAAGACTGAGCCTCAGTCTGAAGAGGGTTTCCGTCCCAATCAATCTCTCCTCGACGCCATTTCTCGACCTTTTGGCGGTACGAGAGAGGGTAGAGCCATTTTGTGAGGGGCGCTGTGGTGACGGTAGTAACCTGACGCGATTAGCGGCGTGATGAATGTGGCTACGATATACTTACCACCGCCATGACAACGAACATGGTGAATGTTCGACTAGAAAGGATGCCAGCTTGCAGACCAATGTTCTATCAAGAATGTTAGAGTGAGGCTTATGGGTGACGAGATCTACTTACGAGGACAATCAGCTCGACAAGACCCTTGCAACTCATGAGCGCACCAATGGTAAAACTCTCACGCCAAAGACACTTTGTCAATCGGGCGGCGAGGGTACCAGCAATGATCTTGCCAAAGAAGGCGCAGGCGATAATCGCAATGACATATCCCCAGGTGGTGCCGTCATTGAGCAGACCAAGATCGGTGTTGAGACCAGATAGAGCAAAGTAGAGAGGCAAAAGGATTGACCCGACCAGATCCTCAATCTTCTCAGTCAATTTGATGGCGAAACCACCATCGTGAGGACATATAAGACCAATGAGGAAGGCTCCGAAAATGGCGTGAACACCAATGGCGGCTGTGGCAGGTGTCAGCGAGGCATCAATTGAGTTGAGGTGGCCGACTTACCAGTGAACCAAGAAGACGCCAATACCAGAAGAAGAGTTAAGGTAGTAATACCTTGAGATGGACCGTTCTGGATACTATCTGTCCGTCGCAAGACCCAGAGAAAGACAGGGCGCACGGCATAGACAAGGAAGAGGACCCAAGCCGCTGCAGTCAAGAATACATACAGCGCTGTGAGACCATTGGCGTTGTTGACAAGAGCAACACTGAGGGCGAGAAGAACCCAGCCGACAACATCGTTTCCAATGCCAGCAGCAAGGACAGTCACACCGACAGATGTCGACAGAAGCTGGAGCTCAGAGAGGATACGGCAGAGAACGGGGAAGGCAGTAATGGCGAGCGCAGTTCCGATGAAGAGCGCAAACGTGCCAAACTCCATATCCTTCATGGTACCTTCATCGCCATACTCTTCATAAAGACCCCACGCTACAGCGACACCGAGACCGAAGGGAAGCACCATACTGGCCAGTCCAACACTCACAGCAACACGCCAATTGGACTTGAACATACGCGTATCAACCTCGAGTCCGACAAGGAACAAGAAGAGCAGCAGACCAATGGTAGCGACGTTACTTAGAACGGGCATTGACTCAGTCGGAAAGATGTTCTCTTTGAAACCAGGGATGCGCATCATGACGGACGGACCGAGAACGATGCCGCCGATGACTTCTGCGATGACACGCGGTTGACCAAACTTGGACAGCGGCCATTGTAGAAGACGGCAGAAGATGATGATAATGAAGGCTTGGACGATGAAGAGGGCGATGGGGTCTTTGGGGTTATAGTGGATTGGGTTGAGGCCCTCGATGATGCCGCCTTGGGGGTGGGCGCTTGTGGCTGGTGCAGCAGCCGTTGCTGTTGCCGAAGACGACATGGTGATTGTCTTGTACAGTGATTCGGCGGAAATCACAAATTGTTCTCTCGTGTCTCGATCGGCTCGTGCGGAGGAGGCGCAGACGTAGAAGACGTCGCGGGAGGGAGGAAGCCTCTATACCAAGAAGAGGGAACAAGAAGACAAGATAATGATACAAAAGGAAGAACAAGAACAAGAGACGAGTGAGCAGCGACTGCCGCCGGGCTCCTTTTTGTGCGTTTGACGCTGGAGAGATCAATTGGGGACAAACAAGATGGGATTGAAGGGAGGAAGAGGCGGGGGGTCATCCGCTGTAGAGAATACAGTAGTGGAGCTGCCTGATGGACCAAGGGTCTAGGCTGTCGTAATGGAGGGGGGACGCCAGTGATGCATCACCTACCCAGACGGCCAGTCCTGTTCAAATTTGTCACTTTCCTTGCGTTATCTCTACTGTGTCAAGGGTCTTTTTCTGTTGTGCTACATTGGATTGAGTTGGTAGAGAAGATAACGCAGTATCAGTTGTAACCAAAAACAAGTATTACCCCAATTGTTGTCTTCTGTCGAAAAGTCCCGACTTCTCAGGTACCTCAAAGTTACACGACCATCTCCCCTAGCGTGTGAGCCAATTCAGTGGAGAAGGGCCTGGGCAAAGCCTTGGCAAATTTTAGTTATGGTCAGTAGAGGTGAAACACCCGGGCTTGTGATTGCGCTGAGACGGGCGCAGAAGCACGACATTGCTGGACTTGACAGCTTATTTTGTCATGGTCTAACATTAACATCTTCATGTGTCAAAACCGTTCTTGGCGGTTGAGGCGGAGAATTTCGTCTGTTGATAGAGTTTTGGGGCATGCGGCAGTTTGTGGAGTGATGATGACAGCAGCCCAGCAGTTCAGCCAGGCTTTGTTCAGTGGAAACACTCACAGCACCAACAAATCACAACGAGCCCAGTTGCCCTTTCAACAGCAATCCAGCGACGATCTGAACCAGGGAATGGACTCCTTTGTCTCATCTCCCCTGCCAGACAAGAAAGCGAATAGCCTACCTCACTCCCCACATCGTCACATGTGATGCTTCCTTCCCTCTTAATAAAGAAACCCCTGTAGCTCACGCGCCGTTGTGTCTCACCGCCTGCGTCTAGACCCTTCAAGATCTGACATGTCTTTGTGTTTGTTTCCGACCAAGATCGGCTTGATTGAGCGAAATTTGAAAGAGGCTGAGCTGCTGACTTGGCATCTGATGCACGAGATGCAGTATCACAGGTAACTTATTGGTGTTGGGTCTCTTGTGTAACCAACCACTTTGTCCTGTCGCGGATTTAACTCCGGACCTAGGGAAGCTGCAGAACCCTTAGATTTGAGGCTTCACCTTGTCAAATACCGGTGTGGCAGGTTAAAGTTACACTGCTCGTTACAATGCATCGGTTGAACGGCAAGTCTCTTCATCCAAGAATTAATTCTTCGATCTCTCAATAATTAGGACAGGACATTCCGTGAAGCCATTGGAAGCCTCTCCAGAGGTGGAGCCTGAAGAACAGTCAGACCCCGCATGGAGTCACACTCACACTCGCACTGCATCTCCCCGAGACTCGTCTTCTCTCCACTCACGTCGACTCCATCCCCACGATCAGAAATTCGTAAGCATGTCTCGCAATCTTCAACCAATCTCTAGGCATCGCGATACATGATCAGCAGGGGTTGTCGGCTGATGGTAAGCCAAGAGAGTTCGTTCTTAGTTGCCTTGGAAGCTCCAACTTAATTCCAGCCTCGACTGCGACCTTGACCATTGAATGGACCTGAGCTTTGACACAGTATCAGAAAATCGAACGCTAGCGGACGATCATGTCTCATGATGGAAAGCTGCCAAGTCAACAATTAGTGTCTTCTATTTGAAGCTATCACCAGTTATGGTACTACGCTCTCGCGCCTTATTAGCAACGTTTTATGTTGAGTATTCTCGAACCAGGAACACTTGGGCGAATATTCTTAGATCCCTCTAATTTCTACAATACCAGTTCGACTTGGAAGCTTGTCACTTTATTACGATTCGAATTTCAGGCTCGTCGTACTCTAGTTACACTGTGCAGACTATCGCGAGCAAATGATACAGTCCTATCGCCCCGATTTCAAAGCCTTTTCATGACTATTCCCGATACTCGGTGTCAACAGAAGGAGCCAAGGGCATTCAACATGTGACAGTGTGATACCATCATGAGTGACTCGGGCCTATGTGTTGCAATAGTGTTGCTACCAAAGGTGTGTATCTGGATCGGCATTCTGGTCGACTCCAAGGGCACAACAGGTTGTGGGATTACTTGATCTATTAATATGCTGCGTTCTGCACCGGTTCCACATCGAACCATTGCCTTGAGTCGTATTGGTATGTGAACTCACAAGTAAAACACACCAACGCCGTTTAGAATCTGCTGCGCCTGTAATAGCGATCATGACATTTCTAAAGGAGATGGGACGGGGAGAGAAAATGTGTATGTGTATGAAACACAAAGGGTCCTTTCACGAGCTCGAGGGAACACTCTCGATTCCTCCTCGTGGAGTACAAAGTCTCACATACACTGTTCCGGCAAATCGGTCGTCCATGTTTCATCCGTTAGCCAACGTCCTCCACCACCTCTGTTGATCAGGCACGTGTTGTACCAATAGTTGCGACCCAAAGCTCTGCACGACTTGAAGTGATAGCTTTAGCATTGAGGGGGGAAGAGACAACAACTGCCCGGGCCTGGACTGTCCGAAATGCAAAAGCCGGGTATTGCACATTGACACTATACACTAATGCAACAGAAGATATCGGATTTTAACCAGCTCATTGTCTCGATGGACACAAGTCACGCGAATATTCGCAAATCAGATTCTTTACTAGAACACGCACGTATTCTGGATGCGGCGATGGGCTTGACACATGAATAGATGGCAGTAATCATTAATAATAAAAAACGCTTTTTGTATGCTATTATATGCGACAATGTCCAATGTCATCGCGACCTAACCTGTAGCCTTTACAGTCGGTTCGCAATCTCTTCCAACAGTTGAACCTCTTCCTGCATAAGGAACAGATTATTAGGCAAAACCAATCCACCACCGGGCTTCATAATGATCTCCCTCCCATCATGTCTCTCGTGTCTATCCGAATCGCTTCCGTCATCCGTCCTTGCCTCACTCTGCTTTCCCTTCTCAACATCTGCCGGCTTCTCTCTCTCACCCTCCATCCTCTCACGACCCAGCTTCTCAGGTGTCCACCAGTACACAGGGTACGCGCGCTGTACGTTATTCACCAGAAGTGCCACGCCAAACATGATGGTGCAGTTGAATGCCACCACAGGAATGAAGAACCAGCCCAGATCGAGGACACGGTTGTCGACCACAGCAATGAGTCCGGTTGCACCAGCAGGTGGGTGGATCGTCTTGGTGAGAGCCATAATGGATGTCACTGTCGCACAAGAGATGGCGCCACCGAGCCATTGGATTGAACTGAAGCTGTCGCTGAGAAGGAAGAGCTTGCCGATGCTGACGCCGACAATAGCAGCGATTAGTTGACCGCCGAAGAAGTTGCGCGGTTGCGCGAGGGGAGATTCGATAGCGTAAAACTCAAGAACAGCGCCCGCACCCTGAAAATGTTAGCATCAATGATTCCAGCTCAGTGATAATAAGAGAACATACAAAGGATGCGACAATAATGGGAGCGCCTCTCTCAACAAAGGAGGGAATGCGCTCTGACGCCAATTCAATGACCGAAAGGGCGATAAAAATTCCGATAAATGCCCAAACAACTGGGAGAATTGTTCCGATGCTACCTGGCTTTTCGCGACGGTATCCGAAGATGTACGCGACAGGGTATGGGAGGTACTGCCATGGCGGCGGTGGAACGAAGGGATTAATGAAGCGATCAATGTCGAAAGTCCATTTCCTAGGGTCTGGGGACGGCATCGAGTTTAATATGGGGGCGAGTGGCCTGATACCCAATGACGGAATGAGATGAGATGCAATGCGATAAGATCTGGTGGTGAAAGCTGGGGTAAATGCAGATGAGATCAGGCGATGTCAGTGACAAGACGCAATGAATGGAAAAGATGAGTTTGGACAGAGGTAAACTTCAAGACAGAAAAACGCAAGAAAAGTGACGTAAAATTAGTTTAAAATGGCGTCGAAACGAAACAGCCAAAATGTCAATTAAAATCGGAGCCTCTTTTTCAGTCTCGGAAATGAGCTCTGTTGGTTGGTGATGGCTTCAAACTTTGGTCCATCGAAACAGAACAAAGCTTCCAGAAAAAAAAACGACCGGCGGCTCTGCTCCTTATACTAAACGCTTTAGCCCGCGGAGATGATCCATTATTTCTTCCCTTTCCCCCTCATCTAAATCCGTGCCAAAACAGAAAAAACAGGCACCGAGGGAAGACAAAACCCGATCCGATTCTGCCGGCGAAGACTTTCATTGGCATCAGCAACAGACGATTTCGTAACAAAAACTCAAGAGTTGCTGTGCGTGACCAGGTACAGAGACGGCTAACAGTGGATCTCTCCCCATATTTCCCTATTTCGGAGTCCGGAGAAATGGACCGCCGGTGATTGCTCGGCATGGTGGATTTGAATTTCTAGCATGACATAACAGCCTAAGCCTTTTATTACCAGCGATCCTCTTTTTTTATCTCCATGGAAGTCGGCTTCTTTACTGTTATGCCCCGGGCCGAAATGACAAAGAATTGCCTAACTGTTTTCCGGCGACACCGATATTCACAGGAGACGATGTGACTACAAAATAATTCCTGCATCGCGAAGTTTCGAGAATGCTTCAAGCCAACCTTCTGATGGATCTTGTTCTTCGGTGAAGCCAACGCCTCGCAACCTCTCCGCGCTCAATTGACGATCGAAGGTCAACCACCAACCCGCACTATCGAGTTGTTTCCTGCCCGCGCCGACACCTGCCTTTCTACCATACTCTCCTAGAAGATCTTTATGAGTTTCGATATACTCACTCGGTCGGTCCTCGTCACTTTCTCGTGGTGCGACGCCAACGAGCCCGAAAAACGACGCGATACGCGGCCACGCTTTAGCGAAAGTTGTCGGTTCTGCGCGATCGAGCATATTGACTATCTTTCCTCCGCACATTGATGGATTGAGCGCTGCGTGGATTGCGATACGGCCGAGAATACCTGACGAGACAGACGTGAACCGCGCATTGTAGGCTCCGTCGTTCCCGGGGAATGCAACCTCTGAGTTTGACCCGTTGTTCTTCGCATACAAAGAAAGATACTGTGCCCAATGCAGCGCGAGCGAATAGTTCGACCCGATAGGACTAAATCCCACGACGACATCGGGACAAACCTCTGTCCATGTCCAATCGCGACCGGCTGACGCTTCGGTGAGGATCTTGCGGAACCAAGGGTAGGCGACAGTCTTTGCGTAGTCGGCGGGTATAGTATCGGCCATAGATTCTTGGAGAGGAGGCGTGAACATCCCATCGGGGATGTAGATCCCGTAGCCCTATAGTCTAGATGTCAGCGGTGGAGGATGAGTGAAAGATATGGGGAGCGTAGCGTACCCTTGTGCCGCCCGAGTACACAAACGACTTCAAGTTGACAGAGAGGGTGTTGAGTGCGGATGCGAGATTGCGCATCATGTTGCAATTGATCTTGCATTCTTCTTCGTGGTTCACATCATGAGGCGCAAACACTACCTTTCATTAGCCGTTGTCCACCCCCATGTAATTGTAATACTCACCAAAGTAAAAGACGTGCGTGACCCTGTCAATCCCGGCCACCTTCTCTTTTAAGTGTGCCTCTAAACCACCACTCTTCAAATCAATGCCCGACACAAGTTGGAGATTCGGTTTCGGGTCTGACTCTTTAGGCCAGAACGTTCGATCCGCATCAACAGGGCGGTTGCTCACTGCTGTGACACTCGCAAAGGTGCCCGCTGCAGGGTAGTTTGAGAGAATTTGATTGACGGCGGCCCAGCCGATGAGGCCTGTCGCGCCGAAGACGATAGCGTGGTTCTGGGAATCAGACATCGTATCAAAGCTTCTCTCATTTAGTGTTGAAGCGTCACGTCGAGCTGAGGCGTATGCAGTATTCTTAAGTATCTTTGAACGATGTCTCGATTCTGTTGTTACTATGGCTCATCGATCCACATTGCCTGAAGCAGCTGGCCGAAATGGCTGGGTGATTTAGTGGCTAAACTAGCGGATCAGCGCTCGATTAGCGGCAAGAGGCTGTATTTTTGGAGAAACTTCCCGTCTCTGTTTACATCGGCTCAGCGTTGCGGTCCCAAGTTTGGGTGCTTTTATTTGACACAAGTCAAACGGAGATTATGACTCCTGGCCTGGACCCAGCTCTGGGACAGACGTGCCACAGGTTTGCATAGATGGAAATTAATTGAATATACTGCTATAGGATGAAACTCCCTAAGGCTTAGCGCTGACCTGCAGAAACAGCGAACAGGCACGGTTGTGCATGTTTTCCCCTTCAATTTCTCATCTTGAGTTCAAATGAAGACGGGACCCTTCTAATGATCCAACCGTCCTATCGTTTTTTCAGCTCTCTACTTGATCCGCGACACCGAAGCATCACCATCACCACAATCTCAACTTGTAATTTTCGTCAAAAATACCCTTCAAGATGACAACAAGCGTCACACAACTTCTTGTTATCCCTAACGATGCCCTCACACTCGTGGGCAAAGTCGTGGGCGCAGACGCGACAGCCACAACATACGTCCTCGAATGCCGCAAAGACGACGACGAATGCGGCAGAATGAGAGAGACCATAACTCTTGGTCCATGGGCAGAGAAAGCTCTAGCCACAGGCGTCGCCAAGACGGGAGATCTCGACATCTGGATCAGCGACAAGCTGGAAGACGGAACACCCTGGACGCTTTCGCAACATTGCGAGATGAGCCGATCTGTAGCCCAAAAATGCACAGTCTCACAAGGACCTGTGAAGGACAGCAAGGAATACAAGACGGAGGACTTTCCTCCTCGGACATACACTGATGCTTCCGATCTTCACCAGATATATGGCCCGACGTACGCGTACGCTCAAGTCACCTTGACTGCTGGTTTAGAGAAGCTTGCTTCTGCTACTGCAACTGGTAGTTCGGCTAAAGAGACAGAGTCGACAGCTAGTCAGAGTGGGACTTCCACAGCTACTGCTGATGCCCCTGGTGAGGCCAATGGTACAGGAAGGAGTCTTTTGAGCCCTCTGGCTGCAGCATGTGCCGGAGCATTGGCTGTTATGGCGCTTTGGGGTTGATAGTTTTGGAAATTCATATAGAACTGCGAGATGAAGTGTCTAGAGCGGAGAGCGTTCATGTTTATGAGTTATGATACGAGGGTTCGCTTGGGAAGAAGGGCGTATATTAAACAGGCTATTTGTCAATGCAAAGCAGTGAATGAATAAGCAGTCAAACAAGAGCTAAGGTGATGCGTGCTGCAGAACCTCATCACCCTCAGTACGTCGAAGGCACCTCGAACAAACACACCGACACTACAGAAGATAAATCATTGTGGCGACGGACAGGACGAGTCCAATAACGCTTCCACCCATCCTTACTCCAGTAGAGTCATCGTCGTTACCACTCCCGCTGCTACCACCGCTGCCACCCTTCTTCAGATCAGAAGACCAGTCAGTATCATTCCACTCTTTGAAGGTCAAGTTCGGCTCAAGTCTGGGCTTCAGGTCGAAATCAGCCGCAGCAGCCTTCTTCGAACTCGTGGTTCCGTTCCAGCAATGTCTACTGAAACACTCGTCGCACTGCTTAGGCATGTCCATGTCTACTCTTCGCAGAGAACCCTTGATAGCTGCACAGGCTAGACATGCAGGCCAGTTCTCATCAACGCTACCGTTTCCGTACGTAGCGATCTGGAAGGCGTTTTCAAAAGCAATGTTGAGCTGTGCAGAGGTGAACTCTGACTGGGTGTAGGAGTAGTTGGTGTACCCCGTCCATGGTGCATTGGGTAGCCAGAGGAGAAGAGGAGTGTCTTCACTGGTATTGCAGCCGAAGAACGTCGGCTGGAATGACAGGTTCTGGGCGACGATGGTGTTTACATCGGGGATTTTGGGGAAGGGAATGTTTCCTTGAGAGGCAGCGCGTGCAGTGTCTGCCATGTTAGTACTGGTCTCATAGTAGGCTTTGTGCAACTTACTAATAAGATTAGATCCATTGTTCCATGAGTTTGGCGCGTCGGAGGATGCCTCGTAGACGATGATGAAATCAAGTTTTCGAGCAGGAGTAATCAAGGGACGCAGGGGGTTGCTTTCCAAAGCAAGACTGCCATCGATCTTGACAAGTCAGCTAGCATCCTTGTGTTCGGTAATCAAGCTTACCAGTAGGAGCTCAGAGACCCCATCCATATCTTTGTTGTAATCTTCGAAAGGGTTAGGGTATGTTGCCCAAAGTGACTGATTGAAGGTCAAGTCAAAGTAACTAGCAGTCTGATTGACCAACTGCACTAATGGGTTGTCATCCTGATCAGATGGAATAGGGATATCGTTGATATCCGGATTGACCTTCTGCCTTTTCTCTAGCCATCGCTTAGCGAAGATTGGGATGTTGTAGAACGCGTCGATAAACCAGGCAGTAAAAGCGTTAGTGGTGGTTCCCTGCATAAAGGTAAGTTTATCAAAGCCCTCAACGCACTGGCTCTTGTTCTGAGGTTTGCCGTCCGACATGGAAGTACCGAGATACTTTGTAGAGATGAAAGCCTGCACACGACCACCAGCCCAGGAGCCGAACTCATAGGGCGTGACTTCATATGCGGTACAATTGAATAGGTTGGAAGTGTTGAGGGTTGGGTACATGAGCTTTCCAATCTCGGGGGATTTGCCGGGAACAACCTCGGCGAAGCACATGATTGGCATGGGGGCGTCGCCCATACCAAAGGCCGTGTCATTGTTGGCGATGTCCGAGTAGTTGCTGAAGAGCATATCCTCAGGGAGCCATGTTCCCCAAAATTGACCAAAAGTGTCAGCGACGGATACTGGGAAGCCAGCTTCATCCTTGGCCCCAGCATTCTCGAAGATGTCATTGAAGAAACTCGTTTGGTTGCCGTCGGGACCAGCAGCATAAGAGTTTGAAAAGTTGGTGTTCTTTTCAATATTATCCAAGGTCGTGAAGTTGTTTGCCGCACTATGCGGTCAGTATTGAGTAGGAAGATAGAAAATCGTGGACTTACAGAAGGGAGACAGTAACAGCACCACCGCCAGAGAGACCGGTGATATAGGAAAGAAGCTGAGTCAGACCACCAGTACGAGCTGCAACGGCGTCCTTGGAACGAGCATCGAATGCCTTCCAGATACCAAGGCCACCCAAGCCAGACTGCGTGCCACCACCCGAGACCGACATACCAACCATCGGGACATCATCTTCTTTCAGCTTGTCCATATACTCTTTGATGTCGAAATCAGAGATATTGACCAGTTTAAGGTAATCTTCAAGGTTGGGCATCATTTTCTTCGCTCGGCGTTCCCGCCATGAGCTTTCTTCATCAGATAAACCCTGAGTCTGTTAGTATGTTGGAGAGATGAGGCCTTCTGAGACTTACATCTTTGGCTGGACGAATCTTTAGATCGCTAGGACATTCTGCGTAAACGGGCACGTAAGGGTCGGAGTCAGCTCCTCCTTGGGCTAAGACGAGGGTAGAATACGCTGAAAGAAGCAGCAGATGCTGGGACAGTGAAAGATGCATCGTGAACTCGTGAGCGTGACTCTGGTAGATGAAGGGTAGCAGTATCTGAGCGTAAGGTCTTTCAAGCATTGGCTCCCCTCATTTTAACATGAGATCTCAGTCGTCGCCATCTCACGTGAAAAAGCATACCACAGACTGTCCCCTCTACCTCGAAAAAGAGTCAGCTGTGAGAGGCGTCAAAGGAAACTTTCCCACTAACAAACTCCACGAAACTCAATGGCTAGATCCAACCAACGAGAAGATGAGGAATCTGGGGTAAGCCGCCGCCATGTCTAGCCCTTCTGCATCTGGACGCGTAACGAATGCGATGAAAGCCACAGGCTGTGAGATGCTTATGTCTTGGCGAGAGGAATGGTGCCGCAAACCCGAAGTTATTCGGGTTGAGCGGCTTCTCGTATCTCAACCAGCAGTGTTGTGCGGAGAAGAAAATGAGTGGCGTTCTCTAATGCAATGGTAGCTGGCTATGTTAGCTTCAAACGCTGACGGCGAGTTATTAGTGTGGCGTTGGCATTTGCCATCAAGCATTTGGGACGTTGTTCGGCAAAGATTAACTTTTGTCTATACCTTCTATAGCAATGCATTCGGAAACTACTCGAATGGATTATCCTGTCTATACCTGACCCTCCTATCCCTCTAAGTTTGGTGTTTGTTATCGTTGTTCCCTTAACCCCTCACATATTGAATTGTCTTACAGTGAACCAAACCTTACTGTTTCCAGGACGTACTAAATCTCGCGATTAATAAGACAATAACGCCAGCTGCTAGTGATAGCGATGTAGCTGTGCTAGGTTAGCGTCGCCTTATACAAGGCAAGATGGGTTTACTTACCAACGGTAAACGCCCAGCCAACCCCGATGCCATCAATCATAGGGACTACTCCACCAACACTCATTGCGCCAAAGCTGTACTGAATCACGTATTTTCCTGTGATGACTGCTGTTCTGTGCGCAGGTCGTACCTCTATGTCACCGTCAGCTTCCATGACCATGAGATGGCATTGCTTCGACGTACCAGCAGCATATGTATTCAACCCACTGAATGCAGCCATAAGACCAAATCCTTCAATAAACGCGCTCACCACGGGCAGAGGCATTCCGCCAATCTTCTGCTGAACACTCCATCCATACAACAAAGTACCCAACGGTAGAATGATAAGAATGCTGGGCAAACTACTGTTGAGTCGATCTTCAGGACGTCGTTCTCCATTACGCTTTTTGATATATCTCTTGACGACCACGTCGGATATCTTACCTCCCACTGTGCTGCCGGCAAGGAACCCTGCGCCTGGAGCGAGATAGAAGAGGCCGCTGGACAAAGGAGAGGTGAGGTCGAAGCGAGGGTTTATTACACGACGGACAGAGCTGAGGAGACCGTACTGGTTGAAGCCTAGAAGACCACAAGCAATATTCTGAACGAGTCAGCACGTTTCCAGGAAGTAATAATAACCATACATACCGCAAGAATGACTTTTGGGTATGCGAATTGACAAAACACGTGCATAGGATTAAAGGTCTGAAGAATCTCGTCTTTTGTCCGAGGACGTGGTTGGACAAGCTTGGGATTTTCAACCTCACTTGCTCGAGGGATGAACAGGAACGAAAGAATGAACCCAAAGAGACACATTCCGGCCTCTACACCGTATATTACTCTCCAGCTGGTGAAAGTAGCAATGACACTGCCGAGAAGAGGAGCTGTACACGTTTAGTAGAGGCATGGTCCAAGGTAGCGAGTTGCTCACCAATACTATTCGCAGAAACACAACTTCCGAGGAAGAAACCTACCGCTGTTCCACGAACAGTCTTCAGAATGTTAGCAGCCACCTTTATCTGCGGCCTCAGCTACTTACTGGATCAAAGATATCAGCAAGGATAGTCTGTCCTGCCACCAAAAAGAACGGTCCTGTACTCCCGCCCAGAATCCAAAGAGATGCAAAACCAGCCAAGTTTGGCGCCGCGGCACAGCCAACTGCACAAAGACAAAGCGTAATGTTGGCAGCAAGATACGCAGATCTTCGACCGATGATAGTGCTAATCGGTAGCCATATCAACCCTGATAGAGCTTGGGCAACAAAAACGCCGGCGTTAACTGTGGTGATGGTAGTGACGGGTATATCCAGGTCCGAGGCCACTTCAATGGTTGCGGGCATTATGGCTGTGCTCCAGAAGGTCATGGGCAGAGGCATCCAGCAGACAACGAAGAGGATGACCCATTTTCGCCATGAGGGTATCGAGGTGACTTCGTCATCTATTGGCCTGACCGGAGGCAGTGGTGAGTCCTCAGGAACTGCTACAGTTTCTTCTGGTTTTGGGTTACTCATAGCGAAGGTCTAAAGAAAGAATGACTTGTACAAATCAGGAAGTTTATACCGGTTGATTGATCTAGTACAGGAACAGATAAAAGAATGTCTAACTGTAGCCATGAGTGCAAAGCCTAGGAAGCTACTGAAAAGAGTCTTTATCCAGCAAATCCGTTGCATTCAAGAAGCAACTTTTATGACTGTATACAGCGGTGTCGGTCTTTTCTCATGCATGATCATGAAGATCAGCAACTAATCCCGGCCAATTCCCAGAATCTCATCGGTCTGAAACTCCTCAAGCGCCGAAAAATGGAAATCTTTGCCGAGGTTAGCGTATATCCCTGCTAGAAGTGCTGAGTCATCACGGTCAAATTGTTTTTCTTGCCGTAGATTATCGGCATCATGCATCCTGTCTTCCATCCTTGACAGCACGTCACGCGAGCAATTGTTGACCAAAGAAAGTAAACCGTTGACAGTAAACGGTACCTCGCAGATCAAAGCGGGGAAGAAATAGGGTCTTCAGATTGGTTAAGACCCTTTCTGCGGCGCTTTGTTACACCAGCCCGATCTCCGAAACCCATTGAACTTTTGACAAGAGATCTTTCGGTCACGCCATGACTTCCAACGATGAAAGTCCTCGCGATTCGGAGCTTGAGAGTAGAGATGATATCGGCTCCTCCAATATTACGCCTTTGAGTGCTGGTGTGAAACGGCAAAGGAAGACAAAGTCCACTGCGTAAGTAAGACATGCATGCATCTAGTTTTGGAGGTTATGATTAATTGAATTTTAGGTGTCGAAGATGTCATTCACGCAAGGTGAAATGCTCTGGGGGTCAGCCATGTGAGAATTGTCAACAAGCCAGCAAAGGCGCCGAATGCTCTTATCCCCGGAAGAATAGGCTTGTCAAAGTCAGCCAACAGTATGCTTCTTTGTCTTTTCTCATAACTTCGCCGTGCTTATCAACTGGAATAGATACATAGAAGATCTGATTGCCGAGAACAAACGCCTTCGAAATCAAGATGCAGACCCCAAGCCACGTCCCGAGACTAGCATACCAGATGTTACCGTACCTTCTACCAACCAGCCAGAAGCCCCGCCCACATTGCAGGGCACTTTACTAGAAGAAAGACCCTGGTTCTTTGATATGAACGTTCTTCATACTCCTGTTCTCATCGGCGAAGCTTCCGATGCTGCTTTCGCGACGCGCTTTCGGCAGGCTATCTCTGAGCCAGGACATAGTCACATACCGAGAGTCAATTACGCACCAGACGAGACACTTCTTACCCTTTCAGATGAGGATTGTCCGTGGCCTATTCCATCCAGAGCACGGCTTCTTGTAAATGTTGCGTTGAAGTATGTTAGCAGAAGCTATTACATCGTGCGCAAGAGCCAAATATTGGAAGGCCTTGAGCAGACAATCTTGAACCCTCACTCCACCGATTCACTACTCAAAAGCAAACTATGGGCTCTGTTTGCTATTGGTGAGATGTACTCGACGAGAACGGCGGCAAAGAATACGAACTTCCCCGGAATGGCCTACTTTGCCAGAGCTACAAGGATTCTCAGGATTGTTAGTGAAAGACCGCGGATTGATGCAGTTGAAATCCGTTTGCTTCTTGTAAGTTGTTTGTCATGGCACCGAAAAGAAAGCCCCAACTAACCTTGCAGTCATTCTATTCGCTTGCCCTGAATCGTCGCTATACAGCCTACGCCTTGGCTGGTTCGTCAGTTCGCCTTGCTGTGGTTATGGGTCTCCATCTCAACGTCCCCGAATCCCAGCTCCGCAACGTCGGCGCACGAGAACATAGGAACCGCGTCTGGTGGACAGCTTACAGCTTCGATCGCATGTGGGCATCAAGGCTTGGACACCCTGTAGCCATTCGAGATGACGATATCGAGGTCAATCTGCCTACTGACCCGGGTTTGGGGACGCTCTCAGACGACTTTGTCGACGCATCGTATCTTATCGCTAGTTCACGGCTTGCGCGCCTAGCTGCGAGAGTTATCAATTCTATTTACACCAGAAAGCCACAGCAGAAGACCTTGTCGCAAAGGGTGCAGGAGGCGCTGAGGGATCTGAGAGCTTTTGTGGAGGAGTTGCCTGCGCATCTTCATATCGAACCTACAGACGCCCCGGAGCCCAGTCCCAAGCCTCTCTCGCTTCACTTGTATTTCAATCAGGTAAGTAGATCATCTGGATGGTGGAGTCTCCTAACATAGCCAGGTTGCCATCACGGCCACTCGCCCTATTCTTCTTCACGTCCTTCGAACCCATGTCGCAGCATGGGACACTCAACCTCGCACCGAACCTCAAATCCCAGTATCAGCAAAGACCCTCTCCGAAGCCTGCGTCCGCTGCGCACGGCACTCCTGCCGGCTCTTAATCGAATGTTGGATAGACGGCTCCTTTGCAACATTTGACTACTTCTACACACAGTATCTCTTCGCCGCGGCAACTGTCCTTGCGATATCGAGCCTTATCGACGGTAAAGAAGCTCGCAGCGACAAGGAGCAGTTCGAGTCCGCGGCACAGTTTCTTGCGCAACTAAAAGAGAATGGAAACTTCGCTGCTGAAGAATTCTGTCGACATCTCGATGCTATGAAAGTGTGCATGGCGACGCGACAGGGACAGTTTGCACCAGATGCTGTGATGCAACAGTTCGAGGAGATTGATGTAAGCGGCTTCTCAAACCCAACTGCCGGGATGGCGCTGTCAGAGCCTTCGCTGCAGGAGCTGTTATCACAGCCCGTGCTGGATTTGCAGTTCATTGATGCTTCAATGTATCATGACGGGTCGCAGGGGCTGTACTGGCCTGATATAGCTAGTGATATCAGTCCTGAGAGCTGGACTGCTACCGGCTGGACGCCAGGTGCTTAATTGTGTTTGTATAACCTTTGCATCAATCTGTATATAGGAAAAGTAATGGTGTAATGTAGGTTGGTCGGGTTGTTGGGATCTTGAATAACAAAACTATCTCGTGTATTAAGACTGCAACCAGATGCATGTTGATTTAAATCTCGCTTCCTAATTAATCAATGTGCATCGCTGTATCAGGAGATAATACATCACAAGCCAAGATTGTGGTGCCACTATTCGCCCTTCACTAAGTGGTAAAAACGTGGGCACGTATCGGAAGCTCTCGGCTTTGAGTTCTGCCTTTTGCCCCGTGGGGTCGCTCACATGCCTAGATGGGTTGTCTTACAGTACTAGTGCGGCTCCGAGTACATACGTAACTTAACTTTGCCCCCTCAGAATGCCAACCCCAATGAAGAAAGTGGTGAGATGTTTCGGATCTTGAGGGATATATAATCTCTACTCGGCCGTTGTCGTATTCCAGTACTGGTCAACTGCATTCTTAATCTCTTATCTATCCCTTATCCACACCCCAACCATGTCCATTATTCAACCCATCTTTAGAGACGAACCTTTTCTCTCAAATGACGATGACTGGGATTCAGTCCAGCACATTGAATGGGAACTTGACGCCAAGTTCTTTACTGGTTGCAACTCAAGACCTACGACCCCACTGAACAAAGCCGTGGCCGACCATCAGATTACTCTCGCCAGAGCAGCTGCGCTTATAATCCGGATATCCCTCAACAACATTCCTGTGGATGTGCCGGACTTCGACCCTTCCTGTCTAAAAGGTTATCGGAAACAACTGTTCCAATGGATGAATACCTACAACGCCTCACCCGCGAGCAAATTGTTGCTTGGTGACGTTACTATGGCTGTAACCATGGAGATTCTGTCTTCGCTCCCCGAGATGGGTGTTGAGGGTGAGATCCTTGCCAAGATTGGACCCAATCTAGGGGGCATCTTCCAAGGAACTGTTGATCCAATTTCGTTGCTTGCTGCAGACGACCATATTCATCGCATGCAGGATGACATGAAGCTGATGCAGAAGATGAGGGAGCATTTCGGGGATTACCTATCTTGTTTCGCGACCAAGGAGACCCCCATAGATGTCCTCGAAATCGGGGCCAGCACATATAATAGTACAAAAACTATTATCGGTGCTTTTTCAGGCCGAAAGAGCGTTTCCTACACCATTACAGATCGGTCGCTCTCAGTGCTTGAGCAGATCAAGCCGTCACAAACCGGTACGGTCAACCTCAAGGCTTTGGATATCAATCGAGATCCACTTGATCAAGGATTCAGTCCTCAGTCTTTTGATGTGGTTCTTGTAAATAATATCCTTTACACAGCCAATTCGCTCAGCGAGGTGCTTGACAATACGAGGAAGCTGTTTGTTCCTGGTGGTGTCCTTCTTCTTGTGGGAATCTCGAATATGTCGCCCGCCTACAACCTCATCTTTGGCATGAACGAGAATATGTGGTCAGGTAAGATCGCCCGTTCCTTATGACAGTTGGGTTACTAAATGAATAATCAGATGGAAGCCACGAGCCATTGGAATATCCTTCTATCAGCGAGTGGAATGCTGCCCTTCAGAGCAATGGCTTCAGCATGCTCGAGCCGGCGACGAAAACGTTTGATCATATCGGACAGTCATCGTACTGCGTCGTTTCAACAGCTATAACTACCACTCGCAATTTAATGGTCAACATCCTTCCTGATAAAGAAGGCAAGCTCCTCAACTTTGCACATCAGCTTTCGACAACCTTGATAGAAACCAATACAGCATCTACCATTTCGCCAACGCTTTCTGACGACATTTCTTCACGGTTCATCTACATTGTTCTTGACGATGGCTTGTCCTCTCTCGAAGAGTATCAAAATCTCGTCAAGGCGAACAACGTTCTGTGGATTGGTATGAGCAATGGGAGTGGCAAATTTCGGGACATGGATATGCTCAAAGGATTTGCACGGACTGCTCGCGAAGCAAACGAGAAGCTCAAGCTCGTGACACTTAAGATAAAACAAGAATTTCCAGAGTATGCAGAACTTATGAAGGTGTTCAGGCGGATTATACAGCTGTCGTTCCAAGAAGATCGAGGTCCGCGGACGGAACTTGAGTATGAGTATGTCAACGGCAAAGTGCTTGTACCACGCATAAAGAAAGTGGGAGGGATCAGCAAGAGATAATGATAAGTTTTGACTTTACCCTTCTTAGGTTTCGTGTTGGCACTTGGGAATAATGCATAGTTCAAAGTATGGAGGGGCAAGAAGGGTTCCTTGAGGTGTGTTGGCTGGATTGCACGGATGTGTTTCGTTCGAGCTCAGCCATCAAATAAGGTTGGTTGTATTTACACTTTGCACGAGACATTATGACTCCTTTGCCTACACAGAAATTTTCTTTTTGCATTTTCCTCACATAAAGTTTAGGCTGGCTATATATATATAGTGCCACTCTCCATCCGGCCTTTCTTTCTCTTCCTTCCACCTACATGAACAACTAGAACTACATTTCCACAACGACTACCACCGCACCTTGCCTATCATCAACCATATTCAACTACGTAGATACAAGATGTCTATGACTTCCGAGAAGTTGGGCAAGGTCCGTCCATCTTGGTCCATGGAGATGGAGGATCTGTACAGAGAATATTTCCCGTACGAGTGGATAGCAGCACCCGCGACAATGCACAAACCATTCTTTGCACCTCTTTCCTCATCCAGAAATGTCAATGTCTCGACCGTAGATACGGCCACTAGGGGTTTGAACCTTTTCCAGATGCCGCCTGAGATCCTCTCTCGGATTATCCTAGAGCTAGATATCGTCTCGACAAACTGGTTCAGTCAGGCTAACCGCCAAACTCGTTTTGTGACAACTGCGCTTCCTCAATATCGGCAAGTCGTACAGCACGGCGCTCAAGCAATCAAGGCCATGGTGCGAGCAAATCTGGGTCACTGCTTTAGATACAGAGAGTTACACCGTGCTTTGATCCAAGAAGAATGCAGTCTCTGTGGGAAGTTCGGTGGCTTCCTATTCCTTCTGACCTGCACGTGCTGTTGCTACACCTGTATTCACACCGCATCGGAGTTGGCCGTTACACAGATAAGCTGCCTCTGGAATGGTGACAGGTACTGTTTGGAATTTCCTCAAGTAAACTTCGACCAAGACAAGTCGCACTGGAAGACGTTCAAGACAAAGCTTTACCAGAAGCTGGACACTGCTGATGTCCGCTGGATGATGGTACCAGACAGGTCAGACCACAAAAATAGACTGAAAGACGAACGAGGTGTGTCCGTCAAAGACATGCTTAAAATTTTTCGCTCTATAGATTCCCCAGACCTTGGGATCGTTCAGAAGTTGGAAAGCAATACTTTAGCTTATTATTCAAACGCATGCATCGTGTACCCTTGGCTCGACTAGCGTACGATGAGGGAGGAACATGGGGTGAGATGCCTGCTATGCCCTTGCTTGCCCTTTACGAACAACGAAAAGCGTCAATTTTTATGGCAATATCATTCTGCCTACTTTCACTATCTCCAGTTCTATAGCAAGAATGGCGTCAACAGCTTCCAGAATCATCTCAAGTCATGCACGGGGGCCCAGGAGCTGTTGAAACAGCGCCGCCTTAGGGAGCATCTGCGATCACAAAGACGAAGAAGTGGTAGGAAACATCCCTTGGACGGGATATCTTGCCCACCATGGGTTTACAGCGCATATCTCGCCAGCCATTGAGAAATATGTGTTTAAATATCGATTCATGTGTTACTCTTTAACCGAACATTGTTTTTTCTTTTCGAATCAATTGAATAGGAATTCCATTCGAGCACAGCCTCCGCTATGTCATAATCTTAGCGTCTATAATTGACCCGAATGTCGGTCTCGCTTACTGGCAAGCTAACCCTTTTCATCAACCCATTCGAGGTAGAATCCTCCTCGGAATCTCCTATTGGTTGATGGAGAAGATGACGATCCCAGGGCTGAAATGTTGCCGTGCAAATGCCGCTTTACCCGATGACGAAGTGGCAGATCCTGGGCTTGAAGTTAATGGCTGAGATTGATATAAAGACCTGACTGTTGCTCCTTTCATTGGAATTTAGTATCACACAATTACCTCGCGATCCGATCTCTACTACCAGTCAACCTTTTCTCTCAAACAACTTGACTTATCTTGTATCGACATCATGTCCTCCAGCAAAGAAGCAGAGCATATGGCCAACCAGGCCCAGCCTCAACAACCTCCTGCTCCAGCATACAGCGAAGCAGGACCCTCCCATTCCCAATCAAATGACAAAATTCCCACGGCAGAGAACCCCTTCGACTTCCCTGAATCTAATCTTCCCACATATTCTGAAGCTTCAACAAGCAACCAACCACCTATCGCGATTCCTCAGGAAGCCCCAAGCCAAACATCCCCTTTTCTAAAAGCATATGCACCAGCTCTCCTAGGCCACGGAATCACCCAAGAAGCCTGGACTTCTTTCCTCGACACCATATCCGCTTTCATGACCGCAAAGGTCGGGGAGCGAGCTGTCAATCACGCTGGAGACATCGCCAAGACTGTGGGCCAGCAGCCTGTCTCTTACGTCAAAGGAGTCGGAAACCACGCCAAGAGCGTTGGCAAGAATATCGTTAACAACACAAAGAAGGGCAACATCATCGGTGCAGCAGCTGGTGTTGTCGGCGGCGCGATATCTATCCCACTAGGTGCTGTATTTGGCGCCGTAGGAACGATCGTGGGCCTCCCCGGTCGCACTATAGCCGCTGCTGTCAAGAAGCCTCAGACACCTGCCGAGAGAGCTGTTGCATATGTTGCTGTTGCAAATCACGACTGGCTGAACAAGAGAGGTCTGCACGCGAGCATAGTCACCACTGAGCAGCTTTCCGAGATTGTTGGTGTTTCTGTTAAAGCACTACTAGAGGCTTCGGCCGAAGGGAACAAGAGTGAAGGGTCTTTGGGACCCTTGGGTGCTTTGAGTGAGCATACTGCTCATCTTGAGGTCAAAGGGCCTGGTGTTGTTGATATCAGCAAGGAAACGTGGTGGTTGACTGTTGTCCAGATCGAGGCCGCCTCTTGAGCTGTCCAAGTTGTTTCCCCACTATATCATATTATTAATATTCATACTTGATATTTAGACTGCGAATGACGTTGTTTTGACGATACACCCGACTTTATTTCCTCAAGATTATTGTTGCTGTTGATTGCCCACCACCGTACCTGACGATAAAGCTGGGTCACGATTATTTACCCCGCATGCGCCAAAGTTACACCTCGTGAACCAAACTCGCGTCAGCCGATTTCGCTCACAAGACGCAAAAGGCTGAGTCAACCAGCACATGCCACTATTCCCTTCTCTCTTTTTCTCTACATATAGATATAGCCATCTTCCATTGATCTAGTAGCGCAAACCTTGCCGAACTAGGCTCATTCCCACCGCCATGGCACCAAGCACACAAGCCGTTTCGAACTATCTCGCCAGCCTCTTCAGCCTCGCAGGCAAAGTCGCCGTCGTGACAGGAGGCAGTTCCGGAATCGGACGAGAGATGGCCATCGCCTTAGGTCGCTCGGGGTGTCGGATTGTTCTTGTTGCGCGACGGCCGAAACCGCTGCAGGATACCATTGATCATCTCGCCGATCTGCACGTTACCGCTGAAGCTATCGTCGCGGATCTTGGCGACCAAACCTCTGTGCGAGACGCGATTCAGGCTATAAAGGCCAACGTGGGAACCCCCGATATCCTCATCAATGCTGCGGCTGTCAATTATAGACCGCATATGAACGATCTGTCGCAAGGAGCATGGGATGAAACGATTGCTGTCAACCTCACTGCACCGTTCACTTTAGGCCAGGCCTTCGGACCCAAGATGGCAGAGAATGGCTGGGGCCGCATCATCAACATTATTAGCCAACAAGCTTTCCGATCATACGGCAACAGCGGCGCTTATGGAGCTTCGAAAGCCGGCCTCTTGGGTCTGACGCGATCACAAGCAGAGGCCTGGTCTCGTCATGGCGTTCTCTGCAATGCTATCGCTCCAGGCGTTGTAGATACGCCGCTGACCCGTGTCACGTTCAACGTCCCTGCCAAGGCCGAGGCCCATGCTACGAGAACGATGATCGGAAGGAATGGTCTGCCGAGGGACTTTGCTGGGGTTGCTGTGTACCTGGCGAGTGATGCAAGTGCTGCGGTAACGGGGCAGACGATTTTTGTGGATGGGGGGTATTCTTCTACGTGACTAGAGGATCGATATCTTAAGATTGGGTAGGCGTCGATTTGATACCAACCTGGGAAGGGACCTGGGTAACGTAGATGAGGAAGCACAATTGAGCCGATGGTCGTATAGTCAAAGCAAGGCTGATAGAAATACGCACCAAGAGCTGGCAATGAACTCGAAATTACTCAAGTTACTCAAGTACAAGTTACATGGATTACAATGTATAATGAACATGGGGATCCGGATGTGTTTTCTCATACTTGCCGGAGCCCATTCACAAGTCAACGGGATCTGACAAGGGACCTCGCTCAGCCCTGACTCCGAAACGACTCAAAACTGAATCCAAAATATCTTAGGACAGTCAACTAGTAACATAATTTGCACTCGAACATAGACAGTAAAGAAGAAGCCACGTGAATGCAATTCAGCCGTAATAGAGGTTTGCGCTTTTTTTGCCGTAGGGTAAGCCGACTCCCCCCCGTACGCCATCCTCGCACTGTGCCCTAAAAATAGTGGATATCTGATCTAACGTCCGCTGGAGACAAGACTCATTACAGATAATGAACTTATTTTCATTCAACCTCGGACGTAGTAATGTCGCTCCTACAGAGGCTATCCTATACTGCACTTCCACCCGACCACATACGCCTTCTTCACATTAACACGGACAAGTTGGACGCAAATGTAGGCTTTCTGGAGGTTGTTTCACTTGACAAAGCGCCGCCCTTCTACGCGCTTAGCCATTGCTGGGGTACTCAAGCTCAGGATACCGCTATCCAAGTTGGTGAGCAAACAATATGTCTTACACCAGGATTGGTAGCTGGTATCCAAGCCCTGCAGAAGCTAGCTGGCGATGAGTCTAGCTTCAATCCCCCACTCAGGCATGTTTGGATCGATAGCATTTGTGTCAATCAGCAAAGCATAGCAGATCGCTCCTCCCAGGTGGCTCTTATGAGGAGAATCTACTCCACGTCCCTTGCCACTCTGATTTGGCTGGGACCGGAACGCGCTTGGTTTGCATCAGCATCGAAATTGCTCGACCAAATCTATCATGTTTTCTTATCAGATTATCCCACGGCACGGATCGAGGGTGATATCCCTGCCAGGGTCTACTCAGATTCCCTTCATTCACTCACCGGTCTTCCGCCATGGGATGCTGAGTGCTGGAACCATCTGAAACATATGATGGATCTCGATTGGTTTTCTAGAATATGGGTAGTCCAAGAGGTAGTGCTATCTCCACAAGATCCCATCGTCATCTGTGGTCAGCATCTATATCCATGGCGCAAGCTCCAATGGGCAAGCTCATGGTTGCGGCGGACAGGATACATGCGGCTGCCACAGATTCCCGAGACGTTACTCAACGTGAGTAATATGGGCAACTTGCGATATTGTCGATCGAAATGGCCACTGGAAGCTTTGATGTCATTCACAATGACGAAGTTCCATGCTACAGATCAAAGGGACAAGATATTTGGTCTTCTTGGAATAGCTGCAGAGTGTGCAGATCCTGCAAAGACCCTAGAAGCGCTACGGCCTGATTACAGCACCGACTTGGCACAGACATATCTCAAAATCGCTCAGTTTCTACTCAAGAACGGAAGTTCATTAGCTGTACTAACCCGAGCACATGGTGCAACTGGGTGTTTGATGAGAAAACAACGTGTGCACAACTTTGAAGACCTGCCTTCTTGGGCTCCCGACTGGAGCGACTTTCGCGTATTTAACAAGAGCATACGAACAAGTCTTGCTCGTGCGCATTATTCTGATCCGGATGCACCACCCAGACTTGGTTTCGCCAAGTCTTATGCGGCTTCAGCTGGCCTTCGTCGAAAGCTTTACGAATCTGACGATATTGCTACTCTCCGCGTAGGTGCCGTGAAACTAGCCACAGTAACACATCTTCACTGTTTCGACGAGAATGAACCATCGAAGGACGAGTTTCAACATGTTATAGACGCAAAACTTCGCGCAGCATGGAACTTGGGTCTTTCGACCTTGAAAATAACAGACTTGACGTCCTGGGCGACAACTTTCATCAAAGTTACTACGGCAGAGCGCTATGATCTCATGAAGCGTTCACTTGAACAGACCATCAAAGATGGTACGGCCTACCTAGTCAAGAAACTAGAAGATCAAGAGTCAGGGCTACGCTTTCCTGTGAATATCATCGAAAGGCGCAGAGCCATGGATGAGCTGCGAACGCTATCAGTCGGTGGAGATTCTGAAGAGTATATTACACTGGCATACACCTACTGCTTCAGCAGATCTCTTGTGGTAACCTCTACAGGAAATGTTGGGCTTAGCCCATCAGATACAAAGATCGGCGATTATGCTGTAGTTATCCTTGGTAGCGACGTGCCTTATGTGCTTCGAGATAATGGCTCATTCTGGTACTTTGTTGGGGAGCTATACCTGGAAGGATATATGAATGGTGAAGTGGCGATGGCGATGGAAAAGAGACAGAGCAAAGAGGAGATAATAGACATCAGATAGATTGAAGAGATAGCGAAAGATAACAATGGATACATATCGAGCGCCCTACCAAAAGGCTAGTTAGACGCTGATTGTCGACAGAAATGCAAATCCAACCTACACAACCCGACTATTCGAATATCCTGAAACGAAGGTCCTCATCCTCTCCAAGAACATCGTCCCCGCGTGCCAATCCGCAGGTCTTCTGCTCCGTAGGTTTGTACAAAATCTCATAGTTGGCATAGATCGGTGGCAGAGGCTTCTGGGTGTCCTCAGCGGGCTCCTGTGCCTTTCCTGTTCCCTTCAGCACAGAAACCTGAGTGTGGCGGAAGTCGCTGGCTGGTCTCTCCTGGCCTCCGATCTCAACAAACTTCCAGTGCAGGTGCCTCTTGAAATACCCTTCGACCGAGTCTCTTATGGGTGAAGAGATGTGCTGATAGCGGCTATCCAACGCTTGAGACATCACCGGAATGGTGAGTAAGACCTGAGCTCGGGAGAGGACGTTTTTGTCCTTTTGGTCGCCACAGTTGGCACAGCCCTCATTGGAGGGTTCCATTCCACCCAACGAGTACACCTGACCGATCAGATTCTCCTCATACTTGAAGGTTGAATCGCGGTCGTTGTCTTGGCCTCCGAGCCAGAATTGGATAGAATATGACTTTCCGTTGAGTGCATACCGATCATAGATGGCATTAATGACATAGTCGTTCCAAGTTGTTTTCTCGGTGTTGATGGGCCCAAAGAAATCTTTGCTGGGGATGTCATCATTGGCATAGATAGCCTCATAGTATTTCTGAGCACTGGGGTAGATCTTCTGGATGCGTGCTGCAAGATCGGACTTGAATCGTTCTTCATTCAGGGTTTGATCATCAAGGATTGCATCAGGGAGAGGGATGAGGTCGTCATATTGGTAGTGGGGCTTGGTCCAGTCTCTCACGTCGTGCGACCTCCAATACCCAGTCGCCGGATCATCGGTCTCAATGGCGTGGAATGGCAAAAGGTCATCGTACTGACTCTTGTCTGGAACCTTCCCCTGGTTAAAGCGAGGCTGATCAAACCAGGCCTGCCAATTCAAAGCTTGCCACATGACCAGGAGACGATCGATGTTACTTCTTCATGTTAGAATAGCTAATCTCGACAAGGGCTGTGGCCTGTAACCTACCAGTGATGCAGCCAGAATACGGGATCAAAGGCCGCGACTGGGACGTCCGACATATGGCCATAACATCCAATGGCACCGGGGGCTGGCTTCGTCAAATTAGATCCACCGGTAAGATTCTTTCCACAGTCGGCGTTAGCTATCAAGAATAATTTGCTTCATAGGATTGAGGCTGCTTACATGGACATTGTTATGTATGTACTCAAGTGAAAGGTAACCAGTACTGACTTCCTGAGCACTCTCAGCCCAGTGCTTGGTACTCGCAAATGTGTCCCAGGTATCTGTATACTTGTGCGAGAACAGACGATTGACGGCATTAGCTAATGTTCCCGGCGGCTTGAAATCAGGTTTATGGTCCTTGTTGTTCGGATTGTACCAGTTTTTGTCGAAGTTGTTGAAGATGAAGTTGGCCTCAACGTAGTTGTTGACACCCTCTAGGCCTGTAAAGCCGCCACCCTCTTTGCTGAAGACGCCATAACGACTGACATCCGACCACTGGGTCCACTGAAAACAGGTTAGCATCATAAATCAAGTAATATGGAGGCGAGCTTCTTACGGGAAATCCAGCGCTAACATCGTCTGCGATGTTCCACTGGGTCTTACCCTCAGGCATCTTTCCAAAAGCTCTTGCTTTACCATTTTCCTTCTCCGGATTTTCGAATCCCCAGAATGGGTTGGGAACGTCCAGCTCTCCTCTAGGTTTGTCAGGTGGATAAGTCGTGACTCGCTTGAAGAGTAGAACTTCTGGTAGTGCATACTCCTGGTTGTATTGCTGCTTTCGGGCTCAGTCCCAGTAGGGCAATCTCCAGGTATCAGCAGCCTTCTTCCGCTCGGTTGCTTGAGAAGATTCGAATTTCCACTCATCAATGATGTCGTTCATGTGCTTCCAGACCAGTTGCTGAGTGCAAAATTAGCAATCATATACAGTCCTTTATCCAATTCACTGTAAATACCTCGAAAAGCAGCATGTAGGGTCGATGCCAGGTGGGAAACGTGATTGGCAATAGCCTCCATTCGGGTTGTCTCCTGGAACTGGGTTTTTAGGATGCTGTGGAGGTGGCTTGGCTCCATCCCAACGTTGAAGAGGGTATGCATGAATGTCCGCGACCTGAGAGTAAGAGAGCCTTTCCTCTACGCCGATTGCCTTGAAGCGGTTCATGGCCATGACCATCAAGGTCCATTGCTTCTTGATCAAGGGATCATCGGAAGGGAAGAACTTCTCAATGTTCAGGCGAGAAGGGAGGCCTGGTGCATAAGGGATTGTCTTTGTTTTAATCCCAGCATTGGAAGGGATTCCCTAGATAGGGAAAGTCTTGTCGCTGGAGGCCATCATTTTTTGAGTAAGAATTGGTTTTGGTTTGGAAGAGGTGCTAGAGTTGAAGATGGAAGTGTGTTTTGAACAGTCATTTTGTTACTGTCCCCACTCTCTATTTATACACCTCGAACTGCTACATGATAAACCTTTAATCGTTCATGATGACCGAAAATGCAAACAGTTCAGCTCCGATCTCGTCAAAACTCTGCACACACTCAACGTCTTCGGACATGTTCGAATCGCCACTTGTTCGGGAGGATCAGCAATTGTGGCCAGCTGTGTCTATACCTGTTTGCAAAAACGGCGATGTGCATGCCTTGTAGTTATCTGCAATGGATGGTCACACCATGCCTACAGCTGAAAAGGTCCATGGATACTGGGCGGCTTTAACCTGAGGTTTCTATGTACAGAACGCGTGATTGGAGGCATGCCAACAGTCCTGCGCATCGCAACGACGCAAACCTCCTTTGCTCGTGATACACTCCCTTTGCGGACCTTTTCTCGTCATAACAGACCCGAGATACCCTCCACCAAACGACCACACTCCGCTGCCAATGATGGCCTTCCGTGGGAGACTCAGAGAGATATGGCGTTCAAGGAGAGCTGAACAACTCTGATCACCTATGCTAGCTTAGACAACCCCTTAGGCTTTGAAGTCAGCTCCATTAACCTTGGAGCACAATCCTTTCGTTGCTCTAAACAGTAACCTTCTAACACAAAGGAAATCTAATGAATACAGAAAAAAACATGAGAAAGACACCCAGATCTGCTCCTCGCATGTGTGGTAGTCCTCTCATCCACCGCATGCAATAAACAATATTGTGCAAGCATTGGAGTCATGACGCTTTGGTCGTGTGAGTTTGTCGGAGAAACTCTCAACAGTCATTATCCCGAACGCAGGGAACACGCACAACCCCGAGTTCAATTGAGCTCCTGACCGTCATGATTGGTGATTTCGACATCCGGTGACGTAAAGCGCAATAGAGAATGACAGTACGAAGACCACCACTCTAAAATGCCATCTCGCGATATCCTCGTCCAGCGCAAATGCGTCTTGTCGAGTTGAGGAATAGTGAGGATACTGGAGACATACATGAATGACCATATGTTTCTTCCAGTACCCACGTAGAAGTCCGTATCCACATCGAGTCGAACCTTTTCCAGGGACCTATCAAAGCGAAATTGGCCCAGGCACTCCCGATGATCGTTTTCGTATTCCGCCAGTAGTCCGATGATAGGTTTGTGTGCTAGTGCAAGATCTCGGCAAAGCGTGATTCCAATGATTCCTTGCGTGCTGCATGATGATTTGAACCACGGCCCGTTTTTCTTTGTGCAGACATTTGGGAAGTTTTCTATTTCCAAAGGTGGCCGGTTTGGTGTAAGGTTTTGCTCGGCTCCGTTGGCTGCCATATACCGTACGCAGTCAAGGGAGACATGCCGGTACTCGTTGAAAAAGACCCGTGTTACGTCTGTTGTGGGCCACAGGATGGGACAAGAGCCTTGCCAGTCGTCTGATGACTTCGCCGCACCGAATATAACTTTTCTTCCTTTGGTAGTTTTCATCTAAGATTTATGAAAAGTTAGATATGATGACTAAAAGTAATAAGGGTACTGTGGAAAAGAAGAAAAGGAAAGAAGAGACAAAGGACAAAGAGAGAACAGAGAAGGGAGGAAGAAGAAGAAACGATCCTGTGTAAGCATTGAAGTCATAGGGCCCGAAAAGTGTAATTCAAAAACGAAACCTGGTTATCAGGGGAACAAGGGTGCTCAACCTACCGCCAAGCACGAGCTCTTTATTTGTGAGCCGTGAATCGATGAGTCGCTGGACCGTCCAGCGATCAGCTTGATGTATTCTTCCTTGTCTAGTGGCATGTAGATGAAATATCCACATGGCCAGAAATGATCGATCTCAGCATAGAATCTAGGCTCCTCGCCTGGCTTGTGAGCGTGTACAGTAGCTACGTCGTCTCCATCCGTAACCACAGTGTAGCCGGTGACATCCTTGGCGTTACAATCGAAAGACGACATCAATACTTTCTTGTCTTTTAGCCTAGTGTGATTGGTGTTCCACAGGGTGAGGATTTCGGTCGGGTGCAATGGGCTTGCCCAGCGGACGGAGCTTTGGACTTCTTTGTCGGGTTTGATATCGTCAGGGACAAGGATCTCCCGGAGTTTGTAGCCCTAAAGGTCTGTCAGTTATCATCAACCTCTGCTTAAGAATTCAGTCAGGGTATAAGAACCCCTATAAGAGCATAAGAGACGAAATAAAGTAGCCTAATTACCATCCTAAGATTGCATAAAATGACAACATCATTCCGTCTCTTATGCTCTTGGGGACGAATTCTTTTGGCAACGGATTCATGCTTACATCGGATTTCAAAGCGATCCGCCAGTTTACAGGGTATCCCGGAAGGACCCGCCAGTAAGAATCTGAAATCGGACCTGGACCCAAAAGCGCTGTGCCTGTGATCGGGGAGCAGAACATGACAGCTCGAATTCCACGATGGTCCTCCGCAATACAGATCTGACAAGGCTCTCCTTGGCTCTTGAGTAGTGTGTATGTTTGTTTCGGGATGTGGTCTTTGGAGTTTGTGAGCTCTTTGATATAGCGCACACCGTCAAGGAGAGTATACGCTGCATATACCTCTTCGTGCAGCCAGAGAAATGTAGTTGGTTCCACACGCTCTATTGGCTGTGACTGTTGCTCGTGTGTGATAGTTGCACATTCGTGGACGAGCATCTCAGCTATGCTATCAAGGATCTCTGCAGGCAACTTGTCCCCAAGACCGGCATCTAGCTTCTGACATAAAAAGTCCTTCGTGCGAGAAAGACGCTTGACTTGCTCGTAGACAGTAGGTTCGAATGTTAGCCGCCCCGTGCATATAGCACCTTTGATGTTTCGTTGAGCGATCCGAAGGCAGTCAACGTGAATAAAAGGTACACGACGGCTCTGCTTATCGCAACGTTTCTTGTCACCGCAAGCGTGTATCCGTACGTAATACTTGCTATCATCGTAATAACTCATTCGAGAGAAGGTAAACTCGGCGGTGAATGCATTGTCCCAGACATCTATTTGTCATAAGCACGTGCCCAAACCGTAACAGTTTGACTCACAGGCAACCACCACGTCATCGTCTTCAAGATCGAACAGGCAGAGTCTGCATCTTGGATCTGACAAACATAGACGTTTCCGTGGCTCGGTGGACGGAAGCGAGATTGACTGCATGCTGTAGGTAGCCTAACGCTAGTCTAAGGTAGCATAAGGCGACCCAAATAATTTCGTCTCTTATGCTCCTAGCAGTTAATTCTTCTGACACCCTGACGACGTTCGAGATAGGTAACAGTCCTTGGTAAAGTCAACAAATCGATGCTCTGGTGAGAAATACGATGACTTCACTGACGTATTCGACGACAACGGCAATGTCAATGAGTTTTAGAAAGAGGGGAGTTGGTGACGAAAAGAAAAGTTTGATGTTTGCCAGGCAGCTACCAGGAAATAATATTATGTACCAGCAACGTAGCTACCTGCTTTGGTCAGCTGGTGCGGGCCAACATTTCCCCGTCGCCATGCACGGTGGGGTCTTCATCTCATCTTACCTATCTACCTATCCATAATATTAAGGCTTGGGCAATTTGAATAATTCTGTTTCTCAATCCTGTAAATCTGCTATGGCTCTATGCTAACGGAATAATTTCAAACTTTGGTACAAGTGCTGAACCAGTTGTTAAAACGAAGGGCCCTGGCCTACACCCTAAAGGACGAGTACAGAGAGTCGGAGATGGGAATGGACTCGGAAAGATATATTCTTGTCATAATACGTATGGCAAAACCGTCCACACCTACGATTTCGATTACCGCACCCTCCATAACCTCCTTAGTACAATGATGGCGCTTACTGTCCTTGTCAGTTATCAATGTTAAAGACAAGCTGGAAATGAGGATGATTGTGCGAACAACTTCGCGGAAAGGCCTCGAAACTATTCTTGATCCGCTATCATCTTGGGCCATTATTTAGACTGCTTGAGCTCGGTTTTCTAAGTCTTGGAAGTTAAGTCAGTACTTCCTGTCATAAAGGGGTCATGAGTTCACAGATTGTGCATGACTTTCAGCCTCGGCTACGGCGGGTTCGGCGATCCGTCATTGCCGATCTTCACATATTTAAGCCACGCAGTATATCACCCCGCAGTCTATACTTGACTCACCTATGCTGATCCTTCCAAGTTCATTCCTTGAGATATATTGAACCATCATGACCAACATTGAGCCTCAAGCTGTACAGTCTACTCAGACTCCAGATGGCATCACAACCATCTCCATCTGTCGTCCACATCGGAAGAATGCAGTAGATGGCGCAACTGCTACAAAGCTCGCCGAGGCTTTTGTAGCCTTTGAGAACGACCCGAACCAGAAGGTTTGCATTCTTTATGGTGCACATGGTACCTTCTGTGCTGGCTTTGATCTTCACGAAGTCGCCAAGTACGATTCAGGCCAAAAGCCTGGAGAATATCGAGGTCCCACTGTTGACCCCAGACACACTGTTGACGGCCGAAATAGTGGCCCTATGGGACCTTCGAGAATGCAGGTTAAGAAGCCTGTCATCAGCGCAGTAGCAGGATACGCCGTGGCTGGCGGTCTAGAGCTGTCGCTGATAGGAGACATACGCATCGCTGAAGAAGATGCTGTCTTTGGTGTATTCTGCCGCCGATTCGGCGTCCCGCTCATCGACGGTGGTACAGTTCGTCTTCAAGCCATCATTGGCCTAGGCCGAGCTATGGACATGATCCTCACAGGGAGACCCGTCAAGGCTGATGAGGCGCTACAATTTGGTCTTGCGAATCGAGTTGTGCCAAAGGGTCAGGCGTTGGCAGAAGCCGAGAAACTCGCCAAGCAACTTCTGGCGTTCCCTCAAGAGTGCATGAATGTTGATCGTGCTAGTTGCTACTACTCCGCATACAGCGCGACCTCTTTCCAGGACGCGCTCAGAAACGAATATGAGAAAGGTGTCGAAGTGATTAGCACGGAGAGTGTGAAGGGTGCAGTGGCTTTTAGTGCTGGAGCTGGAAGGCACGGTGTATTCGAAACGAGCAAGTTCTGAGAGGCCAGCTTTGCATCCGGATGATTAGTGGACCCTGTAATTAAACTGCAGAATAATAATTACGGAGCAAATTGAAGCGTTACGGATATCACCTTTGCATTAGAGTGATTGGTAGAGCCTCTTTGTATGGCACTGGGAAAGATTGCCCAAACGCGCCAAACTTCTTGCTACAGGTTGCACATAGAGCAGACAACATGGAATCGTCGGTACACTAGCAAAGTATAATTGGCTTAATCATAAGCCAGCTCAAGGTCCGACATGAGTGGAATGGAAGGGATGTCCGAGAAAGCTAGTAGGCTCCTCATAGAGAAGCCTTGGCAATTCTTTGAGGGTCGCCAAGCTAGAAGCTTCAAATCCTCCAGCGGCGCGTATTTCCAGTTTAGGAACCAATTCCTGTGACTGTGTAACTTTGTTAACTCAGGAAGGCTCAGTTGTTGCCTTGTTTAAACAGGATATACATACCATCGCAGACTTCATTAGGTGAGTTGGTTTGCGTCTTGCATCCAGTCAGAAAAGAAATATACGATTCGAAAGCGAGCAGTGGATTTAGGTGAGAATTACTATGTCGATCAAGATGGACAGCCGAGTGAGTCAGACGAGTGAGAATCAGCAGTGCGAGAACGAATGAACGGGCAGTTTGATGTGGTAGACTCCTTTCCATGCCTTCCGGGAATACATTCCAGGATGAAGAGGTGCAGTAGCTCAGAGAACAAAGCTTCTCTTAAAATGACAGTCACCAATATCAGTGATGAAGTCATCGACAAAGGCGGCCGTCGAAGCTTCCTTCACCCATTAGGTTCAAGGTTAAGCTAATCAGACTCAGGACTTTTGCTGAGATTGCCTGACTTCGTACCATCGATCCTGAAATAAAGAACATCAGCCTTTTCTATATAGACCCTCAATCTCACCACGAATCAGATCGTACGGCAAGCAACTCAACCGAGTGGAGGCAGTCTTTACCAAAAGGATGACCCGCGTCCGAAACCAGAATTTCTAATTACCCTAAAACCTAGAGAACGATTCACCGCACACGTGGACGTCAGCCAACTAGCGTTTAGGCTCCCGAATGGGTATCCTGGTGTTAAGATTGGAAGCACGAGCTTGTGACGATTTTACAGTAGAAGGCAGGTAGGTAACCGAAGAAATATTCTCTAAGGCTTAGGCTAGTAAAATAAAATAGTCTAAGATATACTATAATTTAGCATAAAGCAATCCACTTATTTCGTCTCTTATGATTTCAGTGGTCAATCCTTCTGGCACCCTGACGGCAGGGGAGAAACGAGTTTCTGGGCATGTGGATGAGACTCAGATATTGGAGTGCGGGGATGTTGTTGAGATAGAGGTGGAGAACGGGACAATCAAGAATTAGCAAGTACGGATAGAGAAAACCCGATAACCACAACGAGCATGCTGTGCGACGAAATGGGCGGCAAACTCAGCCTCCATCGAACCAACAAGACAAAGTAAAACCATGTATTTTGTACGGCCCCCAAATTAAGGTACTGTGGCGTTGGTCCTACTGTTTCACCATCATTGGCTCCGGATTATATAGCATCCAATTCAGCCCTGTTAATAACAATTAGACAGTAAGCTGACGGCGATCTCAGCCCAACGAAAACGGTCCCCAGCCACATGTACTCTGTATGACATGGTGTCTAGATCGAGAAGAAGCCGAGATCCTTTCATCAAAATGGGTAGGTGTGATATGCAGTCAGCATGTTGGGCGGCTTCCGAGGCTTCAATCGTACGATGCTAGAAAAACAATGGGAAATGCGGTATGATGAGACACTGCAGGTCTTCTTCGTGAGTTGTGATCTTGATCAGAATAATGTGCTCCGGGTGGCCTGATACCTTGTCACTTTGCTTTTCTTGCTGGCCAAGCTCAGCCACTTTTATGCATGTTTGTGAACCCCATGCTGCGCTACCCATGTTTTTCACTGTTGTCCCTCATCACAACAAGGATGCCATTCAAAATGGGACTACGCAATGTGGATAACCCACGCTTATTTCCTACCTTATTCTCTCTTGACCCTTGCCAGAAGGTAATCGATACTCGAATTGGCAGACGGACGGTAGAGTATCTTTTTCACCCAGAGCACAGGCAAGGTCGGCTGGTGAAACAAAACACGATGCGCGGTAGCACTCAGAGAAAGAGTACACAATCCAGGCTGTGTAACCACGCCCGCGGAACACAGCAATCCTATTATTGTGTGATAATCCTCCGGCCTCAGCTAACTCGTCACAAAAAAGTCCTTATTCGGAAATGGTGTGCAGCGCTATCATCTTACCTGCAGCTCGAACCCAACCCTCTCAGACCGGTCGATTAGAGGTCCAAGGTCCAGACCTGCATGGCACAGGGGCCTCCTCCCACCCACGGATCATTTGAATCAAGATACTACATTGTATCTCAACTCCATATGCCCACCTTTTGCTCCTCCATATCAATCGCCAATTGTTACGTTACTCCCGCGCCATGAACCACTCTCTGCGCACTTTCTTTCTGTTGGCATGCTGTCTTATAACAGCATGTCTAGCTCAGAATGATCCAGCCAAGAACTTCTGCCGGAGATGGGGTCATCAGACGGCTGTCGTTGACCGGAAGCTCTATATCGATGGGGGGATGATCAACTACGAGCGTTATAAGGCCAAGCAGAACTATACCAGTAGGTATCGATACTTCAAATTCGTTGAGCCCCGTTGACACCTTCATAGATGACTTCTTCACGTACAATGACCTCGACTCCGTAAACGATGAGGAGATGCCCAAGTTCCACAACGGCCTGTCCAAGAACGCTACGATTCCCAACGTCGAGGGTGGTATTCTGTGGGAGGACTCAGTCAACAAGCGTCTTTATCTCTACGGCGGCGAATATGAAGATACGCCATCAGAACCGTTCACTCTCTACAGCTACGATATCCTCTTCGACGAATGGCACGACAAAGGTTACCCTCCACCATCGGTTCAGGCCGCCAGTTATGGCGCTGGAGTCTCTGTTCCGTCACGAGGCGAGGCATACTACTACGGCGGATGGCTCAGTGACAAATCCATCTCAGAGTGGAGTGGTGACAGAGTGGCATCGAGTGGATTGATCAAGTATGAGATGGACTCAAATGAATGGAGTAACATGACCGGGCCCGATGATGTGGGAAGAGCAGAGGGAGCCATGGTCTTCATCCCAATTGGAGACAGTGGGATGTTGGTCTACTTCGGTGGTGGACAGGATTTGAGCGGGAACGGAACGCTTTCACCCCAGCCGATGGACGAGATCCTTCTATACGACGTAGCGAACTCAAAGTGGTATACTCAGAAGGCGACTGGCAATATACCTGGCGACAGAAAGCGATTTTGTGGTGGCGCAACTTGGGCAAAGGATCGCTCAAGCTACAACATGTGAGTTCTAGTCCCAATCATTTTTGCTTTTACAAAGACTGATAATTTGTTTAGTTACATCTTTGGCGGTCGGGGCTTTCCGCCTCAGGAGACAGGCTACGACGACATCTATATCCTCACCCTCCCCAGCTTCCAATGGATCCGCGGCCCATACCCAGGCTACGACAACGGCACTGGGGAATACCCCAAGAGCATGATGAGCTGCAATGTGGTCGAAAACGCCCAGATGCTTATCATTGGCGGTAGCTACGCCAACGCTTCAGACAGTATATGCGACGTGCCACCAATTCAAGGCGCACATAATATGAACTTTGGCAAGCAAAATGAGGAGAACGCCATGTGGGCGCGATATCAGACTAAGTTGACTACATACGAAGTACCAACTGAGATCAGAACCGCGGTTGGAGGCGGCAAGACTGGGGGTGCGACAATGACAACGCCTGAGGGTGGATTCGACGCTCCAGACTTGGAGATTCTGATGGAACGCACAGCCAAGATGGGCACGAGAAGTGCAACACGCGCAACTTCCACAAGCACAGAATCATCAACCCCTTCGTCCGACAGTGATTCATCCGGCGGCCTCAGCACGGGAGCCATAGCAGGAATAGCAGTCGGCTGCAGTATCGCTGGTATCCTGGCCCTTTTCGGGTGCGGCTTTCTCTTCTGGCGTAGGCGAAAGCACTACAGCGGGCCTCGCGGCGTGGCGGCGCCACCAGCACAGAGTGAGACGCCAATGGCATACACTGCGACAAGTCCAGGCCAATCAACGGTTGTGGGTGGCTGGGACCTGAACCACGTATCATCACCTGCAGGCACGGCTCCGTCTTACGGACATGGTTACGCTACATCGGAGCTTACAGGTCAACCTGGGTACAAGGCCAATGATGCACCGCCTGTTGAGTTGTCCGCTGACAGAGACGGTAATGGTCACCATGGAGGGTTCTCGCCTGTGTCTCATCCTTCACCGCAGCAGAATGAGTGGGGGCACCAGCGACAGTGAGACGAGAGGAGGTCAGCTTCAAAGTGATTGTTCTCATTCTGTAATTATAATCGTTAGTAGGAGTATATACCGGAATAATATTTTATGCATGGTATTACTTGAGTTCCTCGGTTCATTAGCATTGAATACTGAGAGAAGAGTGGACGGCTGAATTTCCGTCATTTGCCATTCTGTACGATCGTAATCTCCTTTGTGCAACTTTGGACAGTAAGCTTACTGTGCCTCAATCCTTGTAGATGTCTGTGGCTGTTTGATAGGCTGCTGCGCTGCTGCTGTGCGCCGATGCATCTTACAAGAGCGGTGACTTCTCTCATGAGAGCAAACTCTTTTTATATGATGGGTTCACAGAAAAGCTCTTGTCAAATGTGAGATTGGGCGAATGAGCGGTGGCTGTTTGGGTTGAGTGTCTTTCTTGTGCTGGCCCGAGGTGAAGTAAGGTTGCCCACGGGATCGAAGGTTTTTTAAGCTGATGTCAGCTTGGTGTGACATCAGGGCAATTTCCAATCACAGTCTGCACCCATAAGGTCACCATCTCAACAAAACGCATGAATTAAATAAGAGCGTACAAAGGTCCAATAGCTCAAAGGGCCATACACTGAATTAACTGGCATACATTTTGTCTCGCACACAATTGAGGCAAGCCTTTGCAACCGGATGCGGATTGTTTCTCCGTTCAGCTACATTCAAGTCGATAGCTAAACCCTACAGGGCGTAGCGATGCCACGCCAAAGCTAAAGGCGGCACATCCCGCGCATCCCCGCTCTTCTAGACCGTGTCTTCAGCTCTCAACTCTTAGCATCTTCAATCCATCGCTGAGACATATTGAACAATTCAGCGATGTTCAACCCCTCATTTAGGCCACAAAGGGCTTCAATTGCATCATTTTCATATCTCGATGGTTGCATCTGGAATATATCGAGTCTTGGAAAGGCATCTCTACGTTAAAGAAGGACTTTTTGCGCCAATCAAGCCGTGATGTTCAAAACCTGGAATGTGACGATAGTCCGTAAATGGTGCGGCTGAGCTTCATATCATTCACGACATTTACAAATTGACGTTAATTCCCACCCTGATTATGCGATCTTTGATACTCAATTCACCTTGTTTTTGACTTGCTAGAACTTCTTCCAAATAATGTCCGATTCAAAGATCTACGATGTGGTCGTTGTTGGAGGCGGTCCATTCGGACTGGCTGCTGGATACGAAGTAGCTAAAGCAGGAGCCAGTGTCATGATCCTCGAACAGAACAATTTCTTCAATCAGGCCGGAAGTTCAGGCGATCTAGCACGCATGTTCCGCACCATGTAAGTCACACTTATTTCTTAGTTACATATCAACTGACTCCCCAGGTACACCGAAGAGTTCGTGGCTGAGCTCGCTACCAAGACCATGAAGCATTGGGATGCCCTCGAGAAGGATGCTGGCGTATCACTTCGCTGGATGGGTGGTCTATTCAACTTTGGCGATAAGGATATGGGCAACGATACACCTGAGGTCAAAGCTCTTGTCCTGTCAGAATTTCTATCTGCTGATGAACTCGACAGGAACACTACTTGGGCCGATCGATAATTTGAAGAAGTTCAATATGCATTACAAGGAGTGTAGATTTCTAGAGTCCGAGCTAGGAAAGGTACATACTAACGGTAGAAGTGTCTGCAGAACAGATTGAAGAACAATACCCATTCAAGAACTTAAACAAGGATTGGATGGGTCTCTTCGCCCCAGACAATGGAGTTATCAACATCCAGCTACTCCTACGAACCCTGTACAGCCTCGCGAGAGATTAAGGTGCAGATGCCAAGCAGCACACAAAAATCGAGAAGATTCGTCCATCAGACAAGGACAAGTCTATTTGGGAGGTTCATGGAACCGTCCACGACAAATCGGTTACTTATCTGACCAAGAAAATCGTCATCACGAGTGGTAGTTATGTTAATCACGTCTTGAAGCCTAGCTTTGGGATTTCTCTGGGTCTGGATATCTGGGAAATGGTCGCTACCTATTTCAATATCAATGCAGGACCTAACGGAACTATTTTTCCCAGTAAGTTCAGCATTCTTCGCGCTCTACTTGATACTGGAATCGGATAAAAGGCATGTAGTTCGAGTTCGCTCCGGATGTAAACAAGAGATCGCGTCTCTTCTACGGCTTCCTAGCTCTACCATGGGGACCGCCGAATGTCGTTCGCATCGCCGTCGATGCTGCCACACATACGATCAAAGATCCCAGCCAACGACACCCCAATGTGTTGAGTCCCCAAGATATTCAAGATACTCAAGACTTCGTCAGAGATCACGTCGTCGGTGTCGATCACACGGTCCCGGCTTCCACTGTTAGCTGCCTCCAGACAAATGTTTTCGCTACGTATCCATCCACGCTATCTTAAAGCGTCGGCTAACACTTCTAGACAACATGTTCGTGCTGGACTTTTTGCCTGAGAAGTACCTGAATGGAGGCGCAGACAAGAGCATTGCTATCTTCACGGCTGGCCGGGCGATGAAGTTTGTCCCGACTCTCGGCAAGGCACTCTCTGAGATGGTGCTCAAGGGCGATTCTGAGTATAGACTCAAGGAGTTCTCGGTCGCGCGACCTGCACCTGCAGGAAAGGAAATCATTCAGGAAAACTGTGAGCCGGGCAAAGAGACTAACAGTAAAGTCGCTGCCATGTCACTGTTTGATACTGGATGCGAGCAGGCCAAGTGTTCATCATACGGTAAGAGGGAATTGGTTCAGGAGGCATAGTAGCATAAAATGACACATAGTTCCCTACCGATATCTTGCCACTCACTACAGAAACGTGATTAACAACCATGTACTAGAAGTGAAATTTACCACCACTTCGCAGGGATTTCTCTCCACGAGTTACTTCCGCAGTGAACATCTCCTTGCAGCTCATAATGAGAAAACCAATCATCTTGATATGTAACATTGAACCCAACGCTAGCATAGACCTCAGACACAGCTGTAGCAAGAATGTCCTTGTCATTAATCACTGGACCCCACGGGCTAGGTGCAAGAACATGATGATCAGTCAAAACCAGGTTGTTGACGGAGGCGGGGTATAGAGCCACGACTTGGTTTGAGTTATCAAACTGGCGGCGATGAACAGAACTGTTGGGGGTAGCTGCTTCGACAATGGACTTGGCCTTGGGGACAGGTCCTCCTTGTTTACCAGGTTTCATGTCGATACCTGTGTTGCTTGCCGCCTTTTGAGCCTGGGCAGAGCATGACCAGCCGTCCGACTCAGCGTAGTAGAATATCGACGGAACACGATGAATTTCTTCATCAGTAACTCCAGTCTCGCGCTTGAGAGTGTCGAGATTGGCTTCGATACGCTTGGCTACATCTTGGTTGACACTCTCAAAGTTCCTGAACTTCAGGGCCTCGGCGATGGTCTGCCGGGGCATGCACAGACTCTGCTTTTTGTCAGAAGCAGACAAAGGTCGCGAAACAGCCTTGACCCTGCCATGGCCATCCTTGGCGGCTTTCTTGAGCAGGTTCACACCCTTTTGGGTGTCAGCAACCATAATCATCCAACCGCGCTTGCTATCAGTTGGTAGGAACTGAATGAACTCATCCACGTGGCCCACATAAAGCCAGCTAGTGTCGAGGATCAATGGGTCCTGAACTTGTTGAGCCTGGAGGAACTCAATCATGAGGGGATTTCTTCCATTCAAAGCACCCATGGTTGCTCTTCCCACAGGGAAGCTCTTCCCGTTGTGGGAGTAAGGAGGGATGGTTTCCAGGTTGCCACATGAGTCAATGCTCTCGCCGGCACCAGGATGCTGGACAGCACCAACGTTTTCATTACGGAGGTGGTGGAAGATGTCACGACCAGCCCGACGGTCACGTTGAACTGATCGAATCATGATTCGAATGCTGACAGGGCCTTTGGGACCGGGAATACTAGCGTAGCCAGGCTCAAAGAAGTCCTGCGTCCATCTATCCTGGTTATAGAACTGGAAGACAGGCTCCTTAATGCCAGCATCAGCTACATTTCGGATAATATCGGCAACAAATTCTTCCTGAGAAGGGTCGAAACCCGGTTCATTGACACCGGTTGTGAAAATACGCTTGGCATTTTGTGCATGGTGATGAGTCAGTACGGGGGCAACTCTGATGGCAACAGCATCAGTTGCCTTGGTCCTGCCATCCGTGACAGTGAACTGGATCTTGGCGCGTCCATCCCAGCCATTAGGACGACGGACATCGCGAGCGTCAACGCCTAGATTGAGACCGGACTTGAGCTCTTCAGCTGTGAATACGTGACTCGAGCTGACGTAGTTCCACTTCCCGTCTTGCTTGACAAAGATGCGCACTTTCGAAGCAGCAGTTTCGTCGGCAACAGAGATTGAACCTTTAGCTGAAGCGCTCAAAGATTTCACAGGTAATGTCTTGATAGAGGCAAGCAACTTTGGGTTTCGCTGAACATTATCCGAAGCGTCGTTGCACTCGTCGAGATAAGACTCGCCGCCATCAATCTCAGAACTTGGCCCCCATATTTTAGCACAACGGCGACCAGAGTCACCAATGTTGGGCAAGATCAGGGCTCCCTTCTCGCTTGTCCATTTGGATTTGCCGGAAACGTCATTCTTGTCGACCTTTCCGTCACGGTTTGTGTCTGCTAGGATTGTGACCTTGAGAGCATTGGCTGAGTTGAGCAATGCTACTGGTTGTTAGCTTGGTGATTGACTAATCATCACTCGGTACATACCAAGTGCGCAGAGGGCTGCCTTCCCGGCTGGGAGATGCATGATGGATGAGATATAAACGAGAGACTTGTGTATGTTATCGCATATTTCTCCAGATCAAAGCGTGGGCTTTATATAGCTCTTCTACCACTGGCATTGACGACGCTTTGGCATCAACTTCATCTCCGCCGTAGCCAATTACAGTCGCTACTTCCTCCTGCCGTAGTGGGTCAGGCTGCTCACCCTATACGGGCCGCCTCGTATTTTTGGACTTAGCGCAATTTTAACGCCATGTGGATGAAACGGGCCCCTGGTCTAGATTCCTCCAGGCCCAGGAACACATCCTACTATCCGCGGGGGATGCCGCTGATCTTCGGCAGCGAAAGCTGAGGGAATATTGATAAACCTTCTTGCCAAGCTTATTTAGGAGGGAGTTTTGATCCTGGGCCATGAGGAAGGAGCTGGGCAGTGTTGATGGGCTAAGGGTCAGATGTTGCGTCGATCACATGCTAAGCGAGCATTCCTGCCGCAAGTGGCAGTTTGCTTTACAGCCTGTCTCGTGCGTACCTGGATAGCTGGATAGCGGTATTTCTCAAAGTCAATGTCAAACATCCAGGCACGCTTCATGGATTGTCTTCCTTTGTTCGCAAATGCCCCATATTGATCATTCACAACAATTTCGCCAATTGAAAACGGTGATTGCCTTGGGATCGCATCAAACGAATTGTTGGCATTGAGCTCAGCAGACAGCGCTACAATTTGGATTACCTTTCAGCCACTTATTCGGTTGACAAGTTTCATCGTCAATTTTTCATCTGAAGCGTCTCCCTCTATCAAGATTGATGGGGAAAATTGGTGGCTGCTGAGTTAACCACGAGGTTTCATTTGACGCGGAAGGTGAACTTCCCGGAACAACTATCGATTTGACTAACGGTCAAGTTTCTGATATCAGTGAGGCGATCTGGTAAACTTGAGGTACTTTTGAATGAAGCTTCTTGATTAACTTTTTTGTCTTAGATATATGCTTAACAAAATCAATCAGTTGAAGTTGAAATGTGACACTCATGGTATAGGGTTAGGATCGTGATAGCATAAAGTTACTGTATGCAGATGTCCCTTGCATGCTCACCTGACAGCTATTCCTGATACAGCTAGCCGGCTTTTGCTCTTGGGCGATCCATCATTGGAGCCCGACCTTTCCGGAGGGGAGGACGCTCTTATCGCAATGATAAGATAAGATAACTAACCGCCCACTTGGGACTACGGATACGGATATCGGATATCGCATCAGGGAATAGTGCAGGATCCTACTGTAGGATCCAGAGTTTCCAAACTTTACCATCTTTGGACAAATACTCGGCAAGAGTAAGATCTAGTGAACGCAAACCCGGAGACTGACGTTGCTCGATGTAAGACGAATTGTGTATAAATATGTGTCTTTTCAACGAAGAAGAATGGTCAAACCAAATTCTTCTTTCCATCTCTTCTTTTAAATCATTCTCTCCGTATCTCGAAGCACCTCCTCTCAAACCAATACCATCATGAACCCCCCTACTGCAACCATCAACGGTGTCACTATCGTATGGAACCACTTCTTATACCCCAGAAAGAGGCTAACTCAGAGAAGCGAAACCATGACAAACCTTATGAGGCAATCTCCCCTCAGCGGCCAGAGCTGTCTCAGCAAGGCAGAGTTGTTCTTGTCAGCGGTGGCTCGACTGGTATCGGCCATGCTATCGCAAGAAACTATTGCATTGCAAGTGCATCAAGTGTCATTATCCTAGGTCGTCGCGAAGATGTTACTAGTGCTGCAGCATCTAAGCTTAATGATGCATACCCCGACACTTTAGTGACTTCCCGTACCTGTGACGTCTTCAACAGGGTCCAGGCTCAACAAGTTTGGGATGAATTGGAGAAAGTTGGTATCCTGATTGATGTTCTCGTCCTCAATGCCGTCAGTCAGCCGGCGCTCCAGCCGATTCTTGATCAAGGTGCCGATAGACTTTGGCAAGACTTTGAGAATAATGTTCACGCGCCGCTTTACATGGTAGAGAGGTTCTACAAGCAACCCAAGCATGTGAAACAGAAGGTACACAGCATGTCAAAGCCTTTTTGCGCGAGACTAACTCCTCACAGTTTGTTATTTCCATCTCTACCCAAGACATCCATCGTTGGGATAGTGCCCCTCAGATGCCGGGCTACCAGCTCACCAAAAATTCATTTGCTACGGTCATGCAACAGGTTGCTCGAGACACGCCCGAGGAGAAGATACGAATCATTTCGTTCCACCCTTCCATCGTGTTCACCGAGTCTGCTCGCAAGACTGGGTACACGGAAGACACCTTGCCCTGGACTGATGGTACGTTATGCGAGAAGAACGGTTCTGAAAACGCTGCTCACAAAGTTTAGAAAACCTCCCTGGCTCTTTCGCAGTTTGGGCTGCTTCTGGAGAGGCACAGTTCCTCCATGGCCGGTTCGTCTGGTCTACTTGGGATGTCAAAGATCTGGCTTCCGGAGACCTGAAAGATCAGATCGAGGCTGATCAGTGGCTACTCAAGGTTGGAGTCAAGGGTCTTTGAATGGTTGGCATAAGAAAGAGCAATTTTGGAGGAACAATCGTATCGGAAGGCCTGCCTTGTCATGGAATGTGGACACACCAAGGGGCCTATCAATTATTATAAGCGTCTTCCAGTAGTAATGTCGGTTGCGCAACCTTATCTGACCGTTCGCCGAAATGTGGAGCCTGCTGCCTTAAGCTAACCAGCGAAGCCAGCCTACGGATAATTACAAAACCCGCATAATCCCCAATCATCCTTCCATCGTTCCCCTTCTATCGTTTCCCTTCCATAATCATTATCGTACAAATTATTTTTATATCATCATGGGCTATTCCGAGGTCCTTTGCCATCTCTGTGGCGTGAGCTTCAATATCAATCGATTCCGTACCGAGAATGAACCGCCGGAAGCAGCTTGGGGTTCTAGCATGAACACTGTCATTGAAGAGGATCCCGATGATGGCCGGTGTGAGAAGAGATGCTTCTATGTCCAGTGGGGTGCCGATTTGCAAACTGCTACCAGATTCACTGGCGAGGAGGCCATCAGTTCGCATATCCCGGAAGATGAGATCGAACACATTCCAGGACCGGAGTGCACACAAAACGGAGGGTATAATGGCCACCATATCCCTGTGGAAGCCATGAAAGGGTGTCAGGAACTTCAATGTCTGGTGCTCAAGCCAGATGACTGGACGCCTCAAACAGACGATGAAGAATTTGAGATCTCGAGCAGCTATTTTCTCAGTGGCTTGAGTGATTACATGCCGAGCAGAGATATAGGCGGGCCAGAAGTTTTCCCCGCCCGCCATGGCGAATCCTCACCGTATGCTGAAAATGTTATGTGGGATCCTGAAGATGCAGGAAAGTACGCCATGCCCTTTCACCCGACCTGCTTCGAGATCTTCAAGCGTGCGTCGTTACGAAGGCAAGGTGTGGTGGATGTCGAGGGTTTGATGCAATGGTGGAGACTCGAAGGGAGTTATGAAGACTTTGAGGATTTTCCTCGGGACCACGCTGTCATGGATGGCGGGGAGCAGTGGTGGTCACATAATCTTGGTGACGAATACATTGTAGCCAACCCGTGCTTTGTGCCCGGTCTGGAGCCGCTGCTACAATCGTCTGAGCAGGCGAAGGGGTCAGAAAGTGGCGAATCCGAACTTGCCATCATGAGCACAAGTGCATCGAATAATGATGTACTCGCCAAGTTGCCTGCTGAGATCAAACACGCGATACTTGTCGAGCTCAGTTTCAAGGACATAGCCAATCTCAGACTTGTCTCTCGGACCTTCCAGCATCTACCGAACTCTGTTCTATACGAGGTCACAGTCCGCGACACTCCATGGCTATACGAGGCATGGTCCTCGCTACCAATTTCCCACTGGGCGACTACACGAAAAGAGACGATGGTGCAGAAATGGGATGACGACACGGAGGCTTTCACCAGAAGCGCCCACCCTGCGATGCCCGTCCGCCAGCTAAGTCGGACGGGAACAGACTGGCTTCGTCTCCACGCCGAATTGTTTCGCAACCAAAAAAGCCTGCTTGGGCTGCGAAACAGACGCAGGATTTGGAAAGATTGTGAGCAGATCTTGGACAGAATCGACAAATATCGGAAGGAAGACAAGATTGTGCCACTGGGCAATCGAGCACCGGCGATTCCAAGACCAGCGAACTCCGATTCGGATGATTCAGAGGAAGAATGACTAGAGTTAGCGGTAGTCTACTGTTTGAGCCTTTTCAGTCAACTTGGTAGTATCGTGGGATGGAGGAGATGCTATGGTGCTAGAAAGTGAAGTTGTCGAAAAATAAAGAGTTTATCTCTTATAAACGGGGTGTTCCATCCATTCAACTCATGGCTTCCGTCCATAAACAACATGGATAGGCCACCAGCCATGTATGTTCTTATTCTTCATATCCTTCCTTACATCTACCAAAAACACCTCGACCTCTTCTGGAGTCCAGCCCAAAGCTCGAGTGAACAGGGCAAGACTCAGACCTGAAGCTCCATTACCGAGATTTTCATAGTTCCATAGACCTGATACATATTTTAGCACGTCGTATGCAGTCAGTAGGTGCTGAAGGATACTCACCCATCTCTTTGTACTTGGGATCACGCGGCCAACTGCAACATGGCCACTTATAGATCGTCTCAACGATATCCACGAAGCCAGCGTCGGCTAGTTGCTGTTTATACCTGGTACAACTATCCAGAGGGGCGCCGAACTTTGCAGCTGCTTCAAGCATCAGGTCTCCCCATTTTGCAGACGCACATCCTTCGGGGATCGTATTGTCGTCAGAGCGAAGTTGAAGGAGGATATCAGCTAGTTCAATCCAGCCGCCGGACTCCAAGTTACTTTCTCGAATGTCAGTGAAACTGAAAACAACGAGAGATGTGAGTGTTGACTGACTCGTAGCTTTGCTTGATGAATTTGGGCCAGTCTCGGACTGAACCGGTGAGCATGCGGCCGTAGATAAGATCGAACTTGTAGCTGAATGTCCAAGGATCTTCTATGTCGTCAATATAAAACGTGAGATTAGGCGGGACGCTGTTCAATGTGTTAACAGGATGAAAGCTTTGATACATGGCTGAGGATGTCTTACAAATCCGGTTGTGTAGGGCTCAGGTCGATACCGACAACCTAGAAAGATGATCGTGTTAGTGTGAAAACACCTTGAGGGACTTACAAGTTACTTTACCTGTGAATCAGGATGATCTTCAGCTATATACAAGACGTATGGTTAGAAAAGTGATCGGCAAACCTAGACACGATAGGAACTTACCATAATCGATAGCCCAAACACCTGTGCCTGTTCCTGCATCTAGGACTCTTCTAGGCGAAGTCACAGGACAGTTGAGTAGTTTACCGTCGAAAGTCAAGGTAAAGAGCATATGCTGTAGGTCTAACGTTACTTAGATTAGTGGCGTAGATCCTCGACTTAAATTATACAGGCATACCAAGTCTATCATTCTCTGTCTTTTGGAAGAAAATATTAAATCAGCCCATAGTTTGACCACATTGAATCAATATTATCTCATACCTCATCGTTTGGAAGTACGTATCCTGAGGTTTCTCTGTCAGTCATGTGATCCCGAGGTAAATGGCGCTTATCGCAACTGACTTCCTTCTTTGAATGCATGATATGATCTGCCATTTTCTGTGCGATGTCTCATGATGGTCGAAGCCAGTGACTCTAACGAACTTGCGAGAGACTACAACATAGATATTGATTAGTATGAATTCTCATTTGACCAGATTGGACCATCGCGAATGCGTGTTCACGTCGACAATCGCCGACTTCCATTCTGGTGACCAATGTTGGAGGAACAAACTCACCAAAGCAAGAGCGGAGTCACCGTCGCTATCTGTGCCATCTTGAGATGAATACTATAGCCGATCAGTTCGTCACCGCATCCGAATCGACATTGATGTGCTGGATACTGACATCGGCGACCAAATGATCAGGTTGATCAGTCGTGCCATCTGCAGGCAATTGTCCAGGAGAAGCCATTTTCTCACGTCTTGAGAAGCAATTACCTGTTTTTCGAAGATGGTTTTGAGTTGAAGATGATGATATGATGTCAGGCATACAAAGAACGAGAACTACAGTATGCCTCTACCGACATTGGACACCCCTGGTCGTCCAAGTCGGAACAGAAAAGGGCCGCAAACTTACACTGTCACAGGGATGAGGATAAACCCTCAGATCCCGTATAAAAGCGGAGTCTTGGCGGGTAAGTATCCCATTGGCGCGGCCAACCCTCTAAGTGGAAGGGATCATCGCTATCATGTCGCGATACCAGGTTTGCAGGGTATCTTCAAGGATTTAAGGTTTCAACTGACATGAGTGCGCACACTGTGGACCTTTAACGGCTCAAGCGAGGCAAGCGAGGAGGGGGCATGGCATGGACAACCGAATGATCCATGAGGCACAGACAGGAGAAGGGATATTTTACTGATAAAGGACATGGCCAACTGCATTTCCCTCGTTTACTCCACCACTTCTTCTGTTTGTCTTACTCTTCGTGTTCTTATTCGATGGGTCACCTTAAACTGGACTCCAGGGCTCTGGCTCTTGTCGCGATTCTATTCGTTGTCGCTTATGTTGTGTCGACGCTTTACCAATGGGCACGTCTGCGGCATTTCAAAGGGCCAGCATTCGCTGGATTCTCTCAATTGTGGCTAATCTCAACGGTCGGTGGTGGTCGAACTCACCTGGATCTTTGGGAGGCTTGTAAGAAGTATGGTAAGTCATGTGACGAACATCTCGGCATATCTGGTTCCTGCCAAGTTCATGACATTTATTGCCAAGCTTCTAGATCTTGGTCTCGTTTCCTTCGTGTCTCAACTTCTTCTATGTTCAATGTCAACTCCATCATCGTCAAAGCGCGTGCTGTCTGTTCTTTAAGCAATTGTAACATAAGCCATTCAGTTGATTGACCATGACCTACAGGTGATATCGCCCGCGTTGGACCAAATGATCTCATCACATCGGACCCAGACTTGATGAAACACATGCTCAATGTGCGCACACGGTTTCAACGTTCAAGCTGGTACGATGCCATGCGTCTGGATCCCACAAAGGATAATGTCCTGTCTCAGCGAAACGATGATCTACACGCCAGCACTCGTTCCAAGATGGCAGCGGCCTACTCGGGCAAAGAGGTCGACAACATCGAGACGACAGTCGATATCAACGTTGAACGCCTAATTGAATTGATAGACACGAAATATGCGTCTCAGAACAGACCTTTTGACTTCGGGTATAAAGCACAGTACTTCACGCTGGATGTTATCTCCGCGCTTGCTTTTGGTGAGCAGTTTGGTGATCTGGAGACTGATTCGGATGTCAATGGCTACATAAACGCGATGGAAGAGAGTATGCCTACTATCATCGTAACGACTGTGATGCCTTGGATGATGAAACTACTGCAATTACCTATTTTCAAGCCTATGCTTCCTTCGGAAAAAGATAAGGCCGGTGTTGGTAGAGTTATGGCTATCGCCAAGAAAGTTGCCGCGGAACGTTTCGGTCCCAACCCCAAGGAACACAGAGACATGATTGGGTCTTTCATTGCCCGAGGTTTGCTACAGCACGAGGTGGAATCGGAGATTCTTATGCAAATGTAAGCTTCGAAATGATGTTCCTGCATCGGTCCGTATAGAACGACACTAACAGACCAACAGTCTAGCTGGAGCTGATACCACAGCCACCGCCATTCGAGCAACAGTTCTACATATCATTTCCAACCCTCGCGTGGTTGAGAGGATGCGAGCCGAGATCAAAGAACACAGGCCCAGTCAACCCATCATCACGGACACTGAAGCACGAGCAATGCCATACCTACAAGCTGTCATCAAAGAAGGTCTTCGAATCCATCCACCAGTTGTCGGCCTCATGTCAAAGGAAGTACCAGCTGGAGGTGATACCTTCAAGGGTCATTACTTACCCGGAGGAACTAAGATCGGATACTGTGCTTGGGGCATATTCCGACGAACAGATGTCTGGGGTGAAGACGCTAACGAATTCCGACCGGAACGATGGCTAGACAGCTCCAAGGATCAACTTCGTCTTATGGAGGGTACTCTTGAACTTGTATTCGGCTATGGAAGGTGGCAGTGCCTCGGGAAGAATATCGCGTTGATGGAGCTAAACAAGGTTCTTGTGGAAGTAAGTATACAGTTTGGCCGAATATCCTATGACCTGGTGCACTAACAATAACCTTTAGCTTATCCGTCGCTTTGACCTTTCTGTGGTCAATCCTCTGAAGCCTTGGGAGTCTATCAATGTGGGAGTTTTCTTACAGTCGGAATATTGGATACGCGCGTATACACGGACGAACGTGTGATCGTGCCTCGGTTGAGATGTTCTGTTCATAGAACTGAGACAAGTTTCTTGACCAATTAGCAAGTAAAGATTGGCAGCCAAGACTCAATGACATGCTCTATCCTGCACGTTCATGATGTTTGCGTTTCACAATTATTCAGCCGCACTAGGCTCATCTGCAAGGGACCAATTATTCCGAGTCTGATTGCCGATTGTGACACGATCTCACCCTCACAGTCTCGGTATCTTGTAGGAACATACATGAGCTGAGAAGTTACTAATGACTACTGGAAAGTGTCGAGGTGATGATACGATTATTGTTTCAGCCATCAGCCACGCATTTGTTGATTGGGCGGTCTCTGCATCGGTCTGTGCAAGGAAAGACTAGTCTCACATGGGTCTCATGGGTTCAATCTTTCCAGAAGGACAGCAGGTGGGTAACAGAAGAATTGTCCTCCAAGGTTTACATTGCCAAAATAGAGTAGCCTTAGAGCATATCTGGACTGGTCCAAAGTAACTAAACTATTTGGTTTCTTATGCTGTTAACGGTCATTTCTTCTGACAACCAGATGAATAGGAATAAAGGTAATAGCAAAGTTCAGTTGTGTGCCAACAGAGGAATCATACCCTGTAGAGAGTTTAAACAAGGTAGAGAACTAGCATCCTATCAATGGGAGCTTATATGGGCGCGAATGAATAAGCAAAATATCTCTCACGGAATACCTGTTTTCTGTTCTATTTTTGCTTTTTATGCTCCTTCAATGCTCCATAACAGCGTGTCTCCAAGATAAGGCACTGAAGGTTGCACGGTTCTCGTTTCTTTTTCCATTGTTACCCTCTCCTTAGCCCCGACGAGGGGCCAAACATTTGAGGTCTGTTCTCAATTTCGTGTCTATTTGAGAAAGCGATTGGGTTCGATCTGTGTCACACAGGTACACGAGCTATTGGACGTGTTTCCGACGCGTGCTTCGACGGGAAAGGCACTACTTTATGAAGATTCCGAGTCTTCTTGACATGTTTTATGGCCTGATGTGACCAGTCACGGACAGCCAGTTGAGAGAATGTCACTATGGCCCACAAATCCATGTCCTTTGGGAATGCGGTTGGTTTATTCCCGTTACATCGTTACTTCGCTAACTAAAATTGGAAGGAGTCGGGAAATTACACTGGATTTAACAAGGGTCTCAGCGGCAGGCCGGACTTCAGTTCCTTAATTGTCTGTCAAACTCTAATAGATTACCAAAGGAAACGGGGATCTGGTTATTGAAACGAATCAGAACCGATACTCTGGGTATTCCGACTTTAATCTAGGCAATTCCCGGCAATTGCCAAAGAGCTCCATTTACGCTGATCAACTACGTATTGTAGCCAATCTCACTCTCTTGAACTCTTCTCATGCGACCAGCAGAAATTGATAGCAGAGCATGGAACGCTAAGAGATTTTCTTTTTCTTTTTCTCTTTGCTAGCACGACTGCAGAGGCTTTTGATAGCATACCAAGAAATTATCGTTATTATGGTAGCATTCCTCTTTCTTTGTCGTAGTCTAACAAGGAACAACTCCTTCCGAGGAGAACGACCGGGACTAAACTCAGATGCAACCGTAATTGAGATGAACTACCCTTGCTGCATTACCATCGAGGTGGAGATATGGGGCCTTGGTCAATTTAACAATTGACTTCTCCAGCTCCTATCGAAGCTCATGATTGACATGTCAACTTCAACGCCTGTCAGCGTTGCAAACTCACTTCGGCTACAAGAACCCAAGTTCATTCTAACCAAATCTTGATTACAAACTGGCAATCCGGTAATGAATTTGGAAATTGTTGCGAATTGACGGCCAAGCCTGGAGTTGACCAATCTTGTCAATGCTGATGACTCTCCACAACGTCTTATGTTGCAGCAGAGTGAGCCCGGACGCGGTCCGTTCCGGTTTAGGCTCAGTCCGTTGAAATGAACATTGCTGATCGGGGAGATGGCCTGGTCCACCTCGAAAAAGACGCTGCTTATGGCGATTGTTTGTGGTCAAGATACGAACTGACTTTGGCCCGGACGCGCCCTTGCTCGTAAAATTCTTAACGATCGAGGAATCTATATCTGCTGATCATTGAGGTTACAACACTAAAACAACAGCCGAGGCTTCATTATCGATGTCTTTCGCAAGATCAGTGTTTATCAGGTTAGCGTCTTGCCCTGACATTAATGCTGACAGACTCCAAGAACACTAGCGCAGCACGGCAAGGCGACGGGAGTTGAAAGGTCAGACACCATCAACCACGTTGGAAAATTTCCGCCATCTAAAACAAAGTTGAGGGGAAACAGTTTCGGATCACTTCCGGTAGAGAATGACTAGAGGCTGGGCACCACTTCCTAAAAGGATACAGAGTAACGAGGTCCGAAGGTCTTTGTTAGTTTCAGAGAATATTCCTCAGCATTGATTTGCTGTGAGACGAAACTGATGGTGTTGTGGAAGTGCGGGGTCTTGAGGTCTTCTGATACAACGACACTAGTTGAGGTGTGTGAGATGTCCCCTCTCCACTGCTTAGTGCCGAGGTATGGAGATTTCCCAAGGAGTTGGGTCCAGGGATTCAAGGTTTGGACGATCGAGAGATGAAACTGTAGAATCAAGCGAAAATTAACAAGAGGAAAAAGAAAAAACAGCCAAGATTAAGAATTGCAACAGATTATGATAAATACCACCGCAATCCCCGGTGATGATGAATTATTCAAACCAGAGCATTCCAATCATTCCAGCATCAACTCCAACACCCAACAATTAGTTCCATCATTATCAATTCGCAATCATGAAGTTCTCTTCCGTTCTTTCACTCTTTGTCGCTTCCGCGTCTGCTCTGCCTACCTCTTCCGGATCTCTTGTTGCCCTTGAAGGGCGCCAGATAGGAAGCATCACTCGCAATGACCTTTCCGACGGAGCTGCTGGCGACTGCCCTGGGCAAATCTTCATCTTTGCTCGTGGCTCTACTGAACTCGGAAACTTGGTAAGCCACTTTCCGAACAGAACGTGGGACAAGAGCTAACAATTTAAAAAGGGTACTCTAGGTCCTCGAGTTGCTTCTGCTCTTGAAAGCAGCTTTGGCCGAGATGGAGTCTGGATCCAGGGTGTAAGTGCTTCCCCATAATCTCGACTAAACTCGCTCTAACTTGTTCAAGGTTGGCGGTGCATACCGCGCTACCATCGGAGACAACGCCCTCCCTAGAGGAACATCCAGGGCTGCAATTCGCGAGATGACTTCTCTGTTCAATCTGGCCAACACCAAGTGTCCTTCCGCGAAGCTCGTCGCTGGAGGTTACAGTCAAGGTGCTGCTCTGGCCGCCGCCACCATCGAAGACCTCCCATCCAACATCCGCGACAAGATCGCTGGAACCGTCCTTTTCGGATACACCAAGAACCTTCAGAACCGAGGCCGCATCCCCAACTACCCAGCTGAGCGAACCGAGGTCTTCTGCAACGTTGGCGACCTCGTCTGCACTGGTTCTCTTATTGTTGCTGCTCCCCATCTGGCTTACCAGTCCGATGCTTCTGGACCTGCTCCCAGATTCCTCATCCAGCGCCTCAATGCTGCTTAACTGAGGATATTACGATTTCGATGACCTTGTCTATCACGACTTTTGGGAATGTTTGGAGTGTGGGAACCCGGGTTTCGTCTCTTTGATTGTGTTTGTCGCTCTTTTTGATGCTTGTATGTTTTTATGTCTAGCTAGCAATTTATCTTTGGCGCTTACTCTGCTTTCCCGAATTTGCCATCGAGTGACAGTTGCGACCGACACGGCCAGTTACAAGTTATCTCGATAAGATACTATCTTGTAATGCCTGAATTCAAGGCATCATGCGAATTCTCTGGCATAAAGTAAGTATTCAGTTCAGCACTTAGACCACCAACCAGAGCGCAGAACAACGTTAACATGGGACTATACTAAACGTGGAAAACTACCCACTCACGCCTTATTCTGTGCCTCTTCGCCGTTGACCCTAAACCAAGTCTTCTCATAACCTTTCTTTGTTCTCCACTTCTCCGATCCTGCTTTAACAGACTTCACCAAGTTACCCCGCCAAGTATCACCAAACTCCTTCTCACTCATCATCTGGGCCCCCAGGTTCCAGGCCAGAACACTCTCCGCTCTAGCCCCTTCAGGCGCATGCAGGAGTCCAACAGCCACGTCAATAACATCTGGACGATCATCCACCGTGTAGAAGACTGTAGCGGAGCATCGAGAGCAGAAATATCGCTGGACATCTGGTGAGCTGGCGTAAAAGGTAAGAGTCCCATATCGGGGATCTCGCTCTTGACTCTGTACTGCACTCTTGAGCTCATGGGTGTTTTGAGGAAACTTGTTCCCCTCGGACGCTTCGGCAAACTCGATTTGTGCTGGGAGAGCGAACGTCCAGTTCATCATGTCGACTCCTATCGATAATCGACATGAATTGCATGGGTCCAGCGTGGCAAGATGCTTGTGAGATGCCCGGTCGATGTATCCCGGTATATCTTTGGGGTCCATGGTTGAGAAGTTAACATTGCCTGGTCGAAAGACAAGCTGAACACCTTTGCAGCGGCAGTGCATAGGGATACCTGTCTTAGCAACCTTCTCCGAAGGAACATTTCCTTTAGCTGCTAGCAAGTCCTCGTGCAACTCATTGCTCTTACCCGACCTTCCTTCCCAAATACGTGGCTTCGGACCATTGTGGTTGACATCCTGTAGCCACGGTGAAATGCCTCCATCTTCTGTATCCCCAACAAATATCTGATCCACGAATCGGATCAGATTTCCATCGTCAACATCCTTCAGGACCCCCGTGAAAACACTCAAATGGTTGGCTTTGTTCTGATAATGCTCATCCCAGAACATGGGAGCGGAGCAAGTTCCACAGAACATAACAGTGACGTTGGCCGTGAACTCGTAACGCTTGAGATTCGAATTGAGAACTTCGTCTCGCGGGCCGGGCCAGTTTGTATCACTGCTGTACATGGCTCCAGTGACGTTTCGGCACGACGTGCAGTGGCACATGGATCCCTCAAGAGGTAGGTTTTGGCGAGTGATTTGCGCGGTGAACGTGAACCCTTTGCAGAGGCATTGGGCCTGAAGCATGATGTCTTGAGTATCATCGGTAGACATGATTGCAATGCACTGCTGTATTCTGCGTGGCCTGGTGAGTCTGCCGTTGCTCGATTTGGCTTTTAGAGGAATGACCGTTTGGGTTGCTTTTCACGAGGAGGTGTACAAGGGAAAATGAAGTTCCTAACGCAGAATCACGACCACGAATAATATACCCCACTCACGCAAGGGCGTGAATGACTTCAATAGCCTATTGGCGGATAACATCGGCCCTTACACATCACAAATTGAAGAAAATAGATAGTAGTAATTGTTTCGCAAGAGAAATGTTTTCCAATAAGTAAATGTATGTCAATCGGCTATACAAACAACTAGGTAGGTAAGTTCGGCGTGTTTGACGTGCTGGGGTTTGTGTAAGCTTTCACGGTCCCTCCAAGACGATCCGAGGAGGAAGAAAAAAGCCGAAATCCTTGAATGACCTATAATTTTCCCAGCTTCTTCCAAAATATCTTTAACAGTATCACGTTCGCAGATGTATTTATAGATGATTGATCAGTGCTCACAGTAAGCTGCAAAATGTTCTTACCCTGGTTTATCCAGATAAACAACTGAAACAATCACGCAGCCACCCCCGATTTATCCAGTGACCTTTTCTGTGCCGCAGCCTTTGCGTCACTTGTCTCATCTATTGGCTCCCGATCCGTAGCCCCCTGCACCGCCTTAACCTGCTGATCTCGATCCTTTCTGTAGGACCCTGATTCTTATCATTGTGGCTGACGTGATGTCACTGAGGAAGGGTGAGCCAAACATTTAACTACACCTTGGCGACCATCCCTTGGCTTTGCAGCTTCTCCAAAAACAACCGCCAAGATGTGTGAGGAGCCTTCCCCATTTTACGAATATATCGAGCCCTCCAGCTCAAACTCAACGCCATCGCCGCCCCGACAGTCTTTACAAAAGAGTCAGCCAACCAAAACACAGTTTGCTACAGTAACTCGCAACGCGCTCGACCGTATCAACTTGATAAACTTCTCCCAAGCCGAAGTCGCCGATCTCCACGAGGTAGTCAGAAAAAATTGGCCCAAAGGCATCAAGACGGTTATTCCTCGTGAGCGATCGAGAGAGTTCAAGCTGAGAGGATACCCTTGGGGTTTCGATCCCAACGGAAGTGAAGAGTCGCTATTACTGGTACTTCGTTTAGTCGAGGCACTTTATGGGCTGGGTTGGGACATTTACTCTCCTATTGAGATAAGTAAACGAATAAGCACAAAAGGTAGCACACAGTAACGAGCCTTTCCGACTATATCATGCTAATAAGCCAGACGCACTCGTGTTTCGAAAATCATACTACAATCTTCCTCCTGTCGAATGGATAAACATCTCATTCCATGGCGGCGACAAACTCAAGATCCTCAATTCACCACCAAGCGATCTCGTCAACGATGTTCTCGAAGCTTTTACAAGAGATATCCAAAGACATGAAGTTACTAAAGAAAGGGCAAAGATCAAGTTTAAGGGCGATCCATGGCGAAGCATCCACCACGATGATGAGGACGAGACGCAGCTGAAGCTTCTGAAACTACTGGACGTCGTTGACAGGAATGGATTTACACTTTATGCGCGGACGGGGGCAAGGTATAGTGATGAGACCAGCGAGTCCAATGTTTTGATCTTTCAGAGAAGGCTCGAATGGGCTTAGGAAGCGGCGTAATGGATAAAGTTTGGGGATCTGTGACTGATAGTCAATGAGCGCGAAGTAGCTAGATGAATCGATTCATATCCAAGCCTGTTGGGCAAGATGCAATCTGCCATCGAGTACGATGCAGCTTGACCTTAGACGAAAGATTTGTTCCTCTTGACTGCAAGGAAAGTCAAACTCCAAAGCTGTCTTACATTACTCTCCGTTCCGGATCCCAGCCCAGGTGGAGGCGGCAGAGTTCCCAGAGGCGCGAATTTGTAGCCACCTTTCTCACTGTAGCTCCAGCTCCAAACCTCTGACTGCAAACGTCCACTGTTATCCTCAATGATATCCCAAAGATGATTGTATGCATTCTTCACTGTCTCGTGGACGCCGTCATGACTGCAGAATGCAGGAGTGTCGTCCTGGGACTTTGACAAACACCTTGCGAGTTGACGCTCGAGGCCTTTAGCCATCAGAGCTAGCTGCCAGCTCCAGATAACCGTTCCGTGGTAAGCAGAGTTCGTAAACCCGGCGGTTATTTCTTTGTTGTCTACCAATGCTGGGTTGGCTACCACGATGCCGTAGGGTGTGCTCAATCCTGCGGGAAATGGACGAAGGATGGCGTTTGCGGTGGCATTCAGGAAGGTTGTCAGTTGCTCATCATTTGTCGAGTTGAGAAGAAACAAGCGGAATGCCGTATCCGTGTGCGTGATCTCAATCCTATCTGGGCTCTTCGTAGTATTGATCGCGATCGCGTAGTCTACGAGTGTTCCAGAAGACGAGTAGTTTGATAGAGACTTTGCGTTCGTTGGGCCATCGTAGAATGTGTTGGTGTCGATATAATCCTCCAAGCGAGAGGTAGCCTCTTCAACCGTGACATTGTATCGAAATAAAGACAGTGTATTGTCCTCCCAGATCTTAGCTCTCTTTTCTGCGATCATACTCCAGTCCCTCGTTATAGAGTTATTCGGGTAAACTCCAGGCACCTTCGCAAGCTTCGAGATGGCGTAAAGAGCTGCTGGCACCAAAGCACAGTTCACGTCGAATGGAATCCGGCCATTGGCAAGACCATAAGTCGAATCGCGCCATTGGCCGACTAACTCGCCTTTCTTGAGCTGAATCAGATTCTTTACGTCTTGCTCCTCTTCGAATGCTCTCGTGATGTTCATGATCTTCTGTGCGTTGATGTAGCTCAGTCCACCCCAGGTCAGATTCCGATTCTCAACGTCAACGTCCCCTGCTTTTGTGCTGAGTAGTGGCTCAATTCGGCCTGGGAAAGCACCGAAGTATCTTTCCATAAGAACAGGTAAGAAGAAGTCGGTATCTATCATTGGATAGGTGAAGCCAGGCGCAGTCGACATAATACCCTTCTGCAAGTTCAGAAACGTCGCATAATCGCCGATGGTCTCTTCATGGCAGACGGATCCATCGGTACGATTGATACGCTCCAGGACGGCACCTACCACTGCCTCCAAGGCTGAGCTGTTTCCTACGCTGAGAACGGGGTCGAGCAAAAGTGCAGCAATCATGGTGTCACGGCCAAAGTACGTCAGGAAGCGCCAGCCACCGGCGAGGAGCTTGTCGGTATATGAGAAGAACGACAAAGATCGAACTTGAGATGCTTCTTTTTGTATCAGAGATTGGGATTGGTTGTTGAGAACTTGTTCTGGTGAGAGTTGCTTGAGCTGTGGGTAGTTGAACGAAGCTGCGAAACGGTAGAAGCCAGCCCCGAAGCTGACAGTTTCACTGTCGGTCGAAATGCTGCTTTGCTTGCTTTCCCAGGGCTGTAGAAGCAGGTTGGTGGTTGTGATATTGTCCAGCCATAATCGAGATATGAGAACTCCTCCGTTCTTGGCTCTTGTGATGTTGGTAGCATTTTGTATGATCGGACTGAGGATGCTCGGCCCTTCAGTGAAGTCTCGGATGTTGCGGATACTCCCCAAAATAGCCACCGTCAGTTTTGCAGAAGTGTTGAAAGAAAGAATACCCTCAACTCCAACAAATGGGTATTCCTGGTCTTCTCCATTGCGATTGATGACGCCAAGAGGGGATCCAAGGGTCGAGTTGACGAGCTCAATAGCCAGCGTTCCATTCTTCTCGTTCTGAGGTTCGAAGAAAGTGCATATACCGCTGTTCCCCGCAGGCCATGCAACGATCAATCGCGGGCCGATGATGGACAGATTGCTATCAGAGAGGGGACTTGTGACAACAACCTGCGCGTCAGTGTTGCAGTCGGAATAAAAATAGTTCTCGTAAGGCGGATCGCTTAATTGCTGGGTGATAACAGGGCACGATTCCACCAACGCAAAAGTGAAATACACCACAGTGAGTAGAACAGCTATCACAGGTGCCATTGTAACAGGTATGCAAACTGAGAGATCAAGTCTGGGCGGAGAAGGTACTAAAGCCATGATGCCGTTATACATCAGCGATCGACATCGGAAATTGCGGGGTTAGCGCGAGCTTCACAGTCAAGAAATCAGGAAATCAACCAGCTTTATTTGTCTAGTGTAAGCTTAGTTATTAGAGATCTGTAGAGGGTGTCAGCGATGACGACAACGTATGAAAGTCGAATAATGCTTCCTTTCACGTTGATGAGTAAGACGATATTTCAGCTCAACTGCCTGGGTGGGTCCACGTTCTATGTTGTCGCCAGCTCCTGCCTAAACCCACGAAGCAGTGCGTTGAGGAAGGAGCTGCGAAGGAGCTGCCTAGGCATCCAACTCCGCCGCCGATCTTTATCCAAGCTGAACATCACGCTTCCAACAATCAACAACAAACAAATCAGCAGAAATGGCGGCCTCGCCCGCAGAGACCCGGGTATATTTGTTCCATCTACCCGCGGAGCTCTATCAGAAGATCATTTCTTGTCTCAAAAAAGATTCCGTGAAGAATCTTCGCGCAACCTGCGCGACTCTAAACAAGATCACACCTTTCATCATTGACCGCGTTTTTATCTCTGCAAATTCACTGAACATTCAGGTCTTTCGCGCAATCGCTGACAGTGAGACCTTTCGACACAACGTCACCGAGATCATTTGGGATGATGCGAGATTGTCTATTGAGCCTGAGGACATGGGAGAAGAAGATCGCTTTTTCGGTATTGGTGACCCAGCCAAGGCTGTGACTGACAATGGCTGCCCTTTCTGGTTCAAGGCGCGCAGACAAGACACTGATGTGCCCGAGTTCAGTGGGCAGTGCAATCCCTTGGGCTACAACAACCTAAGTCTGGAAGCTTCATGGGACTACTACAAGGGTCTCTTGGAAGACCAGCGCCAGGTCCTGCAGTCGGGTGCTGATATCGAGGCCTTCAAACATGGTCTAACACGGTTTCCCAATCTTAAGCGAGTTCACCGTCACTCCTTCAACGCACGGCAAGATAGGGCAGCCAATGTACCAAACGCCCATGATCAGGGCATTCCCATCTCGCTTCGACTACCCTTTGCCGAAAGAGTGGCCAAATGGTGCGGAAGAAGAACCACGGGACGCATTGCCTTGGATACCCAAGAAAACTGATGGTCTAGTCTTCGACTTCTATTACGGCAAGGTGTACCAAATCACCCCTAAAGAATATAGGGCCAGGTTGTACCAATGCACCCCTGAACAATACAGGGCCAGGTGGCGTGGCTTCCGTGTCGTCCTACGAACATTAGTCGAAAACAGCCACGAGCATAATGTCACGGAGCTCATTGTTGGCGGTGCCGAGATCGTGACTGGTGTGAACTGTCGTCTCTTCGATCGGCCATGCCAAGAGTATGCTGACTTGGTCACTATGCTCAAACGGCCGGGATTTCGCCGTCTTGCTCTCGACCTTTTCACGGGTATAGACGAGCATCGCAACTGGAGATCATTTCGAAGCGGTCTTATGCGCAACGCTCTATCAGAAGCAAAGGATCTTCGCCACATCACTCTTCATGCAACGACATACACTATTAACGGCGAAACTTTCCATCCCCCGGGTGTTGATGGACTGCCTGATTACTGGCCGTTTCCGCTACAGAGCGTCTTTCCCATAAATTGCTGGCCTAGATTAGAGCATTTCGGTATTTCCAATATCCAAGTGACGCCAGAAGATCTGCTCTCATTTCTCGCAGCCCTGCCATACTCCTGCCGATCCGTGGAGCTGAGTAACCTGGCGTGGGCTAATGAGGATGGGGGATGGGCCAAGGAGGATGGAGGTTACCGCTTCCTACTCAACGAAATGCGCACCAGACTGGACTGGTGCTCCAGGCCTGTGGGCGAGAGACCTAGGCTGAAAATCCTCGTGACGCTGGTGTCGGAAATCATTGAAAATGGATTTTATGTGGACATGGGCAACCTAGCAAATGCCTTTCTGTACGACGATGGAGAGAATCCTTTTTTGGGGCCAGGTTTCTTCAGTGGAGGTGGCATTTGCAAAAGCTTTTTTGATCCGGAGGTTTCATACTTCGACGAGGGACGTTGACTGGAATTACGACGTCGGGGGATTGTGGAACAGGCAGTCCTAATAATACATGGACCATGACTTTAGTTTACGGAGTAAACTATCACTGTAATTAGTCTTTACAGTAGTTCGGTGTCTCTGAAATGCTAAACAACCATCGTTAATTTAACTTTTGTGCTGACTATTGCCAGAGGTGCACCTGGTAGGGCTGACGGGCGATTGCTGATCCATTCGCTTACAGCCATCCCAGAGCCCTATCCGACACTTCCATCTCACTTCACTTCAACTCAGTCCCTCAGTGCTTTTTGGCACATGTACTGTCTTCCAATCCCACACCCATTAAGAACGCAACTCTCACAGCAGCCTGTCCCCACAGACTCCCCAGGTTGACCCAATCCTCCCACCTCCAGACACCCGGAGTCCAGAACACGCTACCCAGCGCAGCCCAGCTGGCATACATATGTAGCACGTCGCAGATCAAAATTCCGATGACTACAGTGCGCCATACGCGTAAATCAGTTGTCGATCTGAGTAAAACAGCTTCGTTATAAGCAAAAAGGGTGTATGTTGCTGCGACTTGGTCGTACATGACTTTGCTGTCGGGCGCATATCTGCTCGTCGGGCTCATGGTATTGAGGAATAATGCGGGGGCAAACCAGATGATGAGCGAGCCCCCGAAGGCAGCGATTGGTTCAAACCAGAGGAATACGAAACGGTAGAGGAAGGGAACGTGGGTAAGTGCTTTGCGCGCCATCTTGTCGATTCGAGTATTGGGGGACAAAAGTTGATGTGGAAGTCAGGCTGAAGATCCAAGAACGCGCCGTGTGATGGGTAGAGCGAGCTTAAATACTCAGTGATCTACAAGATCCACTTTATTCTTTATTCGTTCTCAAGCCAAACGTCTTGTCTCGGATCTAACGGATCGCGGCAGTTGAAAGCGGGCGTTATCGTTGCATCGCCTCTGAAGATGAAAAGCATATTCGGGTACATGAACCTGGACCATCAGTCCACCGAACAAAAACAAGCGACAATAAGTTTACAGGAGACTGACAGTGTTATCTCTTTCCAAGATGACGTCAGTTTCTTACTATCTGCGAATCGCGCCCCGAGAGCAAGACATGGCGGCGTTCGCTTGTGAAGTTGAGTTCATAACACTCTCCAGATCAATCGCTCTACCGTACAACGGGGTTTGCAATTCCTATCAGCGCTAGTTGTTATGGGTGAACGCTAAGATCAGGTAAGGCATTGAGAAGCTTAAACACTGCAGACTTAACCTCAGAAAAGCATGCTAAGAAGACAAGGATATTGCCTGCAAGCTTCTCTTTGTGTACTACCTCCACTGTATGGAGAGTAAGATGAGGGCTCTCTAGATTGTTAACATCAAGATACTGAATACGGGCGGGGTAACACCTCCTTTTGATGGGCAACGAAGATACACAGAACTTACTGGAGTAATTTGTGAAGCTTTGTGCGCGGTTGGCGACCGCTATGATGGCCAAGCGAAGATCGGGGTGATTTTACAATGTGTGTTTCAATAACTATAACAGAATGTTCGCCTTTATGCTACTTTTGTGAGCTTTATCGATAATGATGTACGCCTAGGTCTGTCCAGTAACTCACTGCAGTGGTGTATGAAAACAGTAAATATATACGTATTCGTTGAGTAACGCGTTATGCTGGCGTTCCCAGAGGCGGATGCTTTTGGTAACAAATACCAAGAGTCTCTTAGCCCTTGTTCTGTTGAATTCCCGGTGTTGAACACTGACCTTGCTACTAAGGCCGACTTCTATCTCCTCGGCGACGCGATTAGTAACTTTAAGGGCGGCTGGTCGACGTGGTTGTAAAAAAGAACTCGATATAGGATATAAAACAGGATATGTTGTGATACTTGTTTTATGGGTGTGCCTTTGTTACTCCAACGATGCCGTCGTGTTCTGTCCCTAAGGTGTCCTCAGAACAATTCGATCTTGTTTCTAGTGCCCTTTGGTTATTAGATTGACTAGTAAATCTGAGTCGGTTGCGACTAAATAGAGCCCTGAGCATGTATATTGAAACCTAGGAGAGGGTAAGTCCCAGATCCTGATTCAGGATATTCGTACGCTGCCGCAGCCTTTCCTAAAGACATAGGAAGCGACTCCGGCTTACCAAAAGGAACCGAATCGCTTTCTCTCTCACTATCCCAATAGCAGTGGAGTAAAGTTGGAATGGTCCTGGCCTTGTTTACCTTGTCGGGGGAGGTAGATGACATCCTAGTGGAGATTAGCCGGTTGAGTCCTGGATACTGCTATACACTTTGGCAATAGGTACCTAATGGGAGATGTTAAAAGGCAGCTATAGATGGACGTTCTAAACAGTTACGCTAACGACAGAATTCAAGGCAAAATTAAATTTCTGGCGCCGTCGTGGATAATGTCGGCAAAAATTGATCACGCTGGGGATCGAACCCAGAATCTTCTGATTCGTAGTCAGACGCCTTGCCATTGGGCCACGCGACCTCGCTTGACTGTTGAAAGATGAACAAACTTTGGCCTACAGATACCCTAGACCAAATCTCACGAAGAACATCATGCCTCTCGTACCCTAAAGAAACTCGAAATCATGTCAGTAAACGTCGTAAGTTTGCTAGAGTTGAGCAGATCAATATTCTCTCTTGATTACAGTTTTTTTTCCCGTCGGCATACCAGTTACCGCCTCAGTTCAGATTTCATCAACGAATCAAGACGACACTGAACGTTCTTGCACCACGTGAGTTTACTTTGATCCAGCACGTGTGAACGGGCAAGGTCGGCGAGTCCTTGTTTCCAGCCAAATGTCAATGCCTAGTGCGAGCTCACATAGAAGAATAAATAGATCGAAGCTATCTTGAATAATCAGCAAAGCTTTCTTGATGGTGCGCCAAACCCACATGAACTGTTGGTCTACCACATCACTCCAGCCAAGTTCATTTGAGCTTTGATGTCACCTGAGGGGAGCTTCCAATGTGACAGATACCTGTACGGCTGTCTAACGAACAGAAGCATTTGAGGAAAACGTTATCCGCCTAGCTACGGGCCGTCGGCCAGGAATAGAATTCTTCAATTCAGGCATATGTTCGTAGACAACCCACTCCTTGGGTTGCAATTCCTCTCGTATATAGTCTAGTGGAGCTTGGAATCTAGTTTGTGAGAGAATGCGATGAAGCTTGGCAAGGGCGGTTACAGGCTTAGTGGTGGTCTCGGACTGTCAACTCGGACTACTAGGCAATCACGACAAGAGAACTAGAACAACATAAAACTCTGATTCTAGAATGCGGGGTATAAGAGGAAGGATTCGCCAATGACGCTGGGTCGAATGAATGGTCGAGCAGCAATGCAGCGCTGACCATATCCTACGGACCCTATTCAGGAAGGTGGATCGACTTCCGACGGAGTCTAAGAGATAAAGTTGCATTCGACGTCTCATCGTGTGCGACATGCTATGCTTGAAATGTATCTGAAAGTTTATTAACCACCTACCCATTCACTGCCCGGTCAAACAATACATGGCGGCGGCCGACCGTTATCGAGGTAGGAGGATTGGATAACGAAATAGGAAGGTATTGATCGAGTATACTAATTGTGTTCTATAGAAGTGATGTAGCAATAGAGCTCCCATAGAGTATAAAAGTAAGACTTCCTCACTCAACAATAGACCTCATCACCACATAACAATTCTCTCAAGCTTTTCTTCAGCATATCAATCCAGCATCCATCATAATGAAGTTCACCACTATCCTCTTCGCTATCACCTCGGTCATCACCGTTGCCTCTGCTGCCCCATCTATGACCGACGAGCAGGTCTCCAAGGTTCCTCGCGACGAGCTTTTTCCACGACAAACTTGCCGTGGTACCAACTGTACTGCCTGCATCAACGGCCGAAAGTGCTGCTACCTTCGCCTCAACCCCTTCTGCTGTAACTGTTAATTTCCTTGATAAGGCTGTCCTCGAGGTTAGTGCGATTACATGAGCAGTGTAGACACTTTCGATTGACTTTGAAATCCAGAAACCTCCACCTCTACCACTTGCAAAGAAGGAGTATGGAGATGCTGTTGAACCAGATGTGCAAAGATACCGTGGTGGATGAGGATGTCTACAGGACCTAGGAAGGAAGATCGTCATGTAACAGATACTGTTAGTTTAGGTCGCTGCTTAAACAAGCTATCCGGCTGAACATGTCGATTCCAAAAACAAATAACAAGTATCTCATTCTCTCTACATTGACTTTACAACGAACAACGTAGGTTAAATATGGCGCCAGATCGACCTACCCGCATTAAATTTCTGCAGGGTGTGCTGTAGATAGCTGAAGAGACTTCTGGAGGACAGATGTGTCTGGTATCGATGAGTGCGAAAAGCCTAACAAGTGGATCTTGTCCTAGTTTATGATGAGTCTCGTCTAAGTCTATCTAAAAGCTTAGAGGAGACTATTCTAACCTTTCAAAAACTTTCGTATGGACTTAGCGATAGTGTCGAGGGGTCTAACGTGGAATAGATATCGGTCCACCATATCATTCCAATCATTTTTGTACTGATCTGACAACAATAGAAGAACTTTCACAGAGCATCAAAGAATTCGTTCATAATATAGTGAATGGATTCAATTATTTAAGTAGAGTAATCCAGGTCATTAACTAGTGGTATCTTAACTAAATCGATAGCAACTTTTGCACTCCTTTGGGAGTCACATCTTCTCAATGTCCCGAGGAGCATTGGCAGGCTCCTCGTGCTCATCGGCAACCTTGTTCTCAACAGCGTTGGGCTGGTAACCACCCTTGTACTCTGAGGCCTTGAGCATGTTCCACTTGTCTTCCTCAGAGTCGAGGTGCTTAAAGTTGAACCAGAAGGCGACACCACCGACAAAGGCAATGACAGCAACGACGGTGTAGTTCCAGACGAGAAGAGGATCGTCGGAAAGGGGGGTGAAGGCCTGGCCGATGGCTGAGGCGAAGGCGGACATGAAGAGGTTGACACTCATAACAAGCGACTTCATGTTATCAGGAGCCTTGGAGTAGGCATATTCGTATGATGTGACGTTGGTGAAGATCTCGCCGAGGCCGATGAAGATGTAGGGAAGACATTGAGCCCAGACGTTGATGTCGGCGGGAGCACACTTCTCACCAGTCGCAGCATCGTCACCATTGGCATACCAGCCGCAAGGGCTCTTTTCATAGATATAATATTGCATGACAGCGGATGCAACCATGGCGAGAGCAGAGATCAAGAAACCGACTGTCATACGCTTGATGGGGGTGAAAGCAATACCCATCTTGCGGAGACCAGGGTACAGAACGTGATCGATAATCGGAACCATGATAACAATTGAGATGGGGTTCAGGTTCTGAATAACATCGTTGGGAACACCGTTGAGAACCATGGTGGAAGCCTGGGTGGTCAGGTTACCGGTCATCTGGTTGTAGGCCAGGTGGAAGACGGGAAGGTAAAGGAAGACCTTGCAGGCCATGAGACCACGTCGAACTTCGTCGACCCAAGCATCATCGTAAGTCATCCAGGCAGGGCGCTGGTCGACGGGAATCTGAGAAGGCTTAGCGTGCTCCCAGTTGGGTCGGAAAGCAGGGCTGCGCTTGGAGACGTAGATAAACATGCGAATGAACTTGGACAGGACGGAACCAGTCGCAGGCTTGAGCTTGTACTTCTTCTTGTTGAGAGCCAGAACGATGGGGGCGATGAGGAAGAAGATGGTAGGGATGAAGAAGGCCAACCAGAAGGAGTGGTACTTCTCAACGTAAACCATGGCAATCTGACCGCAGACGGAACCAATGTTGATAGCAAGGTAGAAGTAGAGGAAGACACGAGTGTTTGTCACGGCGGGATCGACAATGACGCGCTCGCCATTGCGGACCTCAACGCGCATCTTGGTATCCTCATTCTGATCAGCCAGAAGGGGAGAGACGTTGGCCTTGAAGAAACCAGTTCCGACGCAAAGAGTGATGAGACCGACGATGAAGGCACCGAATGCAGGGTCCTTGCGGACAATGACGTTGGGAGATGAAGCAGCAACCAGGATAGTATGAGCGATAGTGGAGATAGCGATGGCGATGTGAAGAGTAACGAAACGACCGAGCTTGGCATCAGCAATCCAGGCACTGGGGATGTTAGTGAGATTCACGAATCAGATGTTAGATGTAACATACCCGACGAGAGGCATCAGATAAGCGAAGAACTGGTTGAACAGAGAGATACCCTGAGCAGCCTTGGGACCCATACCAAGAGCACCAGCCTGACCTTCAGGGTCAAGAGGAGCACCGGTGTTGGAGCCAGGAGGAAGCTTCTGCGCAACAAAGTTGGTGTAGAGCACAGCGGAACCGTAGTATGAGAAACGCTCGCAAGCCTCTACGAAGGCAATGGTGTACATGGCCCACTTGATCTTTCCGGAGACACGACGGAGCGTGTGAAGCTCCTCCTCGGTGGGAAGCTCATCGTCAGAGTCGTCGACGGAGCGGCGTGTAACGTCGATGGAGCCCTTGGCGGCGACCTGAGGGATGCCGTGAGTCTCAGCGTCAGCGAGACCCGAGCGGGCGATAGCATCATTGTCGATGGGACCGGTGGACGTCATGTTGACTTGTCCTGGAGGCAGTCTTGTCTAGAGAGACTGTTGAAACGAAGGGGGGTGAAACGAGATGTCGAGGATGCCCTGGAGAGAGAGACACAAGAAGTGGGAGGACACGGGATGGTTATATATCGAGTAGGTATGGGGTAGAGGGACAGAGGTGCCCCAGAAATGTTGCATGCATCTCCAATATCCGACAGCACGGGCTTGGCCGTTGCCACGAACTGGGATGAAGCGACGATCCCAGGATGATAGCAAACTCGAGACCAGACCCCAGAGTTTCCACATGCAACCCGACTCTATCATGAGTAGAGTTAATAAGTGGAGCCAGGACCTTATCTTGTGCGGCACCAATAAAGGACCCCATAACAAAAGTACCAGAGACATGGGGACAGAGGTTATGCCACATGCGGGGTCAAGGCCCGAGCACTAACGGAGAAGGTCGATAGATGTTCGGTCCTTTTGCCGATGGAAAGGGAATGATCGCCCAACCTGGAAGGTCAGTCGGCCGATGGAAGTTGAATTGTCGTTGTTGGTGAGCGTTGCATTCGTTGATGAGGCTCGGGGCCAAGACGGATGATTAGCTCCTTGGCCATCTCTTGACATTTCTTGGAAGCACATGGTCATGAACCCGGAAAAGTGGTTATATCCGATAGACTGTCGATTCTCAGCTTCATCTTTCTTTTCCTTCAGCTTGATGCAAGCACTCTGTCCTACTCCGTACTGTAAATAGTCGCAGTGCTACAGTAACATTGTTTCGCGATAACTTCAGTGATAGCGTGGCGTCTCAAAACTGCCGAGGCACAGCCAAAAACCAAAGATTGCCTTCTCCCGTTTTTTTACTGCCATCCATTACCGCTTCGGAGCTGGGTGTTTTCCGGCTCCGAATGCGATGCCCAGCTTTTGATTGGGCCAAGACACCGGTAGTGGCTTGATCTTGATCTTGATCGTCTCTACCGTTTCAGCTGCCAAGATGGTTATCCTCAAGTTTGGCATTTGAGTGGTTGCAATAAAAGACGATCACTATCAATTTGCCTCCAATCTTTAGTGAATGTCGTGATGGGCAATTGTTACGACCGATGATGTTAGTGGCTTTTACATGTTACCTCGAGTCTTGGCAGTGACAGACAAGAGGATGTGTCGCGTGCAGTCAGTTACTCCGGACTGGACTTGACTCAGGGGACGTGCTCATCGGAATGCCCCGACATGAGATTAAAAATCCGTACTCTTCATGCCTCTATATTTTACTGCTATTGCTGAAACAATGCGCTATCAGAAAGACCCAAATTGACGCCACGACGCAAACGATAGCGCGACTGACTGATGATTACATTACACTACCTATCTAAAGCAAGTCAAATGTCTGTTGTTTGCCTCCCACTCATGCAACGGTAACCTTCCAAAAGCGGTTACTGTTGTTACAGCTTCGGCAATAGAGTGGGATGATATTTCCGTGGCAAGTTCTCTAAACGCGCTTCTGGAATCTCAATCGAGATTCTACCAAACAATCGACACAAATTATTCGCTGTACTGTCATACGGCGCAAATAGATTCTCGTCACAATCACTACTCGTACTGATAAACCCCGGAAGTCTTACTGTAACCGTCGTATTCACCGCGTCTAATTGAAGCTCCATCCAAAAGGATAGACCACCCTGTAGTCCTGTCAATTTTACGAGATGGTCCCCAAAATCCCCACTGAATTAACATGCATTCGCCTTCTCCAAATGGATCTCGTTACCTCACAGATTCACTCTGAGCTGCCCCTTTTAGGCCGCAACTTTAAGCTTGTTGAACAAGGTTACTGTTTGACTTTACCCTCCCACCGGTTATGGTCTCGTGCGTTTGCGGGGAGACAATTTGTTATGTAACAGTCCGAATCCTCAAGTCTGGGGAGAGGATCTTTTGCTCAACTGAGTAGGTGATGGTATTCTGTATGGCTAGCTTCTTGTTTTACTCGCGTTTAGAAATCATTGCCAAGTCTAACTGTAGACGCGCGTGGCGTTTTTTCCCTCGGAACTTTTGGGACGCCGCTGAATCCTGCGCAGAGCCAAGACGGACTTTTGCGTGGGCGCCAAGATAACAGCGGGCAGTAACCCCCCCTGCAGTGAAACCCCGTCCTGACCTGACCTGCCCACAACCAAAGGACCCTTTGTCTAGCGCCCTCGGTCTGGTTCTTGTTGGCCTCCTGTCGCAGTGGAGTTAATCTCTGTTGTCGCCCGCAATTGACAGGTCTATGAGTAACAGAAACAACCTCCCCCAGATTTTCGCAATACTTCAATCTCAACACGCAAGATGTCGTGCTCAATTCCTTGCAAACTATTGTCTAATTGTATTGTGCATGCCAACTTTTTAAGCGAGCAGAGCCGCAGCGCAGCCAAGCAGAAGCTAACGGTCTTGTCGTCAACGTACGAGCCAAGACGGGCGGGTAAGTAAGGTAACGTCTGGGCGGGGGCCACGATAGGGCGCTTTTTCGGCGCCGCCCATACCGTTTCCATGGGAAATTAATTCCATAGCACGCAATGGCTTGGCCTTTTCGGTATTCGGCAGGTTGTTTCTGTGCTTTCTTGCCCTGTCTTACCTATCTTATCAGCAAATAATTGCAGCATTCCTTCTTGACGTCTTCATTATTGGCATCCATGATGAGTGAGAGACTCTCACCAACTTGCGATAATGGTACTGGAATAGGCAGGTCTATCAGTAAACTCAGTCATCCTACACGTTCGAATATGGTTATTATGTTGTCTTATTGTCAGCACTTACCACCCGATAAAGCATCGCCTGCACTCCTTCGCTCAATAATCGCATTCTCGACGAATCGCGCACATGGCATTGTCTTACTACCCGGACCAGGGTATCATCATCCCTGGGCTCATCGTGGGACACAGATAACCTAATCCACGACGCGAAAACAGCAATATGCCCCGTCGAATAAGCAATAGTGCAACCGTCAACAGCAGATCACTGCACCTTTAGGTACCACTCCGGTCCAATGCTTCGATAAGGAAACTCTAGAATTCTTTGATCGACGTCAAACATGCCTTATCATGGCTGGTAGTGTTGCAGCACACAGCCCTACTGCGTGGGTTATTGCGCTGTCAGGCTGACATTGGTCACTCGAGTCTTGCATGGCCAGGATTCTATCACTGACTATCGAGATGGGGCATCTTGCCACCGATCCTTTACGCTCTCTGCTTATCGCGGTAGCCCGACATGCCAACCTGGACCTGTCTATTCACGCGGAACTTCCGTCTCCCTCCGTCGGGTACATTAAGCGGTTTTGGTGCGGTTGTGACAAAAGCAGGCAGGTAGGTAATAGAAGAATTGTCCTCTAAGGCTTAGGCTTTTATAATAAAGTAGCCTAACGGCTAGTCTAAGCTAGCATAAAGTGACCAAATTGCTTTGACCTTGTTCCAATCGCGATGGACGGGAAGCAGCTCTGGGTATCCGGCAGCGCCACTCATTGCAGCAATTCGGATGATGGCCCATTGGAGATCTAGCATCAACTTACAGAGGGCTGCATCCTTCGGTGGCATAGCGATTCGGACTTCGTGACCGGAGAGAACTGAAGTCCTTGTATCAACTCGCATGGCATCAATGTCGGCACCATACTTGTTCTGGCCGGATGGGCTTCCCTCATTCTCGTGTTGGATCTGCATCTCGGCCATTGCATTCATAGCGTCCTTGTCGGCCATCTCGTCGTTTGGTTTCCCTTCTCGACGGTTTAGCCAATTGAATTGGATGATGACATCCACCCAATCGTCTTCCACATCCGTCTGAACGCGAGATTTGTCGGGCTCGTAAGGCCCAATGGCTTTGCAGAATAGACCGATACGGGCCTGGCCCCAGTAACTACGAAGCTGAGGGTTCAAGTAGAGCATATTCCACACCTTGTCAGTTTCACCAAGAGTGGTAACATCCATCAAGAGATCGGCCAGTTTAAGACGGGTCGAATCATCGAAGAAAGGAACAAAGGCATCTTGGATAGCCTTAGTATCCTGGACAGCCTGTTCGGTATTGTTCCATGTAAAAGGGAGAATATGGCAGACTTGCCCGGACCCGGTGCGTTGGAAGAGGCACCGCCAAAGATCTCGCTCGCGACATTTTTTCTTTTCCGCCTCGCTTCGAACATGAGGCTTTGGTTTGTAGTCGGGGTCGTTGTCAGCCTTGGTAGGTTTGCTAGCCTGGCTAGGCCCTGCTTCGCTTTCGCTGGTTTCTTCCTCGAGATAGGGCGATGTTGCACTGCTGTTTCTCTTTCTTGAGCGTAGCTCCCTTTCGGGGTGTGATCGTTTCATGGATTGTGTGGCAGATTCGTCGGCAGTAGACTGATCCGTTTCTGGAGGCCGATCCGCAATTGTAAGAGCCTCCTGGGCTTTTGTGAGATCTGAGATAAATTAGTATCCAATTTGTACCATGTGAGTTTCAGAAGAACTTACAGTGCTTCACTAGGTTGGACATGAGTTGTAGCCTCATATGCAGCAAGGTCTCTGGATGAGCCTCATGACTAAGCCAACCGCCCTTTCTCAAATCGTCGATGGGGAGAATGAAGATAGTGGCGACATGAACTGCGGTAAGACGGAATTTTCCCTTCTTGGTAGCGTACGCCTTGTTTTTAGCTATCTTAGCCTGGATCTTGGAAGCATGTTCAAGCCTTTCTTCCTTGGTATCGCTCAAATCCGACGTCTGAGGTTTACTCCAAGGAAGGTTGGCCTCGGCGATCTTTTCAAAAGATTCAGTCAGCTTTTTCTGTTTCTTAGCGACCTCGCTATCCAGAAAGCAACGCACGAGGGCTGCCACCTGATCGGGGTCTTTGACCGCGCTCATAGTGAGTAGCAGAATAACGGGAAGTAGTGAAAGGTTTGGCTACAATTTTGAAGAAAGATGCGTAGATACTCGGGGTTTGCTTATGACACATCTGGTGATAAAGATGCCCGCAATGCGTACTTAATAAAACAAGACTTTTGATCACACGAACGAAAGATGGGTAGAAGGTTGGTGTTGGATGCAAAGGTGAAGGTTTCTCGTTGCAGAATTGTGCAGTCGATAAAAAAGCTTGTGCTCTGAGAACTTTCAGAACCTTCTCTCTACGTCTCAACTACTAGGTTTGCCAGCTGTTAGGCAGTGCCAGTGAGCGACTGTTTGAGTCACAGCCTTACGTACTAGGTGTACCTCAGGCAAAAGCGAGGCGTTGAATTTGCCCATTATGTAACAAAAAAAGTCCCATTTGTTTACAGTCTTATCCCAATGCTCGCAAATAATTGTTGGTTGTTGAGCAGAGCATAGTAATATCAGGAATAGTGCAGCGAGCCTTGGACTCTGCTGTGGTATTCTAAACTCGGCTCTTCATTTTTATTCACTGTTTATATTAAACATCAGAGGATCTTGATGCAGCAGGGGCAGGTATGGGGAGAATTGGGTTGCTGTAGCATCTCACGGAATTGATCATGGATAGGTAGCGTGCTGTTTTGCGCTGGCATATGGGGAACGGAAGGATTATCCTCTAAAGCTTAGGCTACCATAATAAAGTAGCCTAAGTGCTAGTCTAAGCAAGTATAAAGTGGCTAAACTATTTCGTCTCTTATGCTTTTAGGGGCTAATTCTTCCCATGATTTTGTTTACTGTCCTCCCAAGGGACAGAGGCGCTTGGAGAGAAGTGGAAACAAGATTGACGAGAAAGATGAAGCATAGAGACTTTGCATGAGATCTCTTCATTAATCTACCCTAACATGAAGTTTTCATAAGGTATCAAAGGAAGGACTTGCTCTCTTCCCGTCCGCTTAACCACTCAGACACGTTGTCTTTTCGCTTTGGTTGCTCCCTTCCCGTCAACCATCGAGATAAGCTTTCCTTGACGACTTTACACTTCCTTTGATCCATCTCAAACGGAACCTCTTCTGCAGCTTCTTGCACTCTGCATTCTCCTCTTCAATTGAAGCAAATGGGGCGTCAGTAGCGGCATGGTTTGGCCGAGGGGCTGGCGTCGGGGTCCCTTCATCCCCCAGATTGCGGGGTGTTGTTGGCGATTGAGCGGCCGGAGTTGACGGAATTTGGGTAGCAGTTGTTGGTGTCTCGAATGCCCGTGGCTGGGCCTCCTCTTTAGAAATCAACGGCAGCTGTTCCCAGTAGTCCGTGACGCCTCTCAACGCTGTAGCGTGTGGGAATTTCTTCCTGGCCCGTTTCATCCAACACGACTCGATGACTTCCGGAAAGAACCTCTGGTTGGACATGACTGCTACAACTACTGCCCAAGACATAGTTTGGTCGAAGTTGTCGTCTTTGATGTTCTTTCCAAGTAGATGGTTATAAACCTTTCTTGTTGATTCTTTCGGCGGGCGTAGTTGTTTCGCCGTTTCAATCCAAAGGCTTTTTTCATGGGGGATAACTTTGCAGCCCCAATGCGTCCACGCTCGAATATACCTGTTGTACCAGCCTGGGTGCGCCCCGCGGAAATCCGGCTGGTGAGAGGGAAATCCCGGGGGCACAATCACAGGTACTGGTTCATGCTCCATGTAGCGGTTGTAAGGAGGCGGCGATGACATATGTTGGTAGTTGCGAGAGTGGTATGCTGAGAGGAGACGTCATTGTGCTGTTTATTTGTCAGGTCTCTGCTTTCGACCATCCCGGGGACTTACTGACCTTATTGAAGAGGTGCGGTTGTGGAGTTGTTGATCCTGGCGGAAGGAAGAGGAAAAAACTAAACCTCATGTAGGGCCAGGCGAAAAAAAAAAAAGGTCATGTG